AAGATAGTAATTATATTAAGCTTAGTAAACTATTTTACCTTCGAAATCCGCTATAGTATCTTATTTATTAGAGGAAGGGGGTATCTATCCTTCTAGGTAATCTTATTTAGGCCTCTATAGTTAACGTAGAACCTTAGTCCTCCTCCTAGCTTCTTAGTAAATAGTATAGGGGCGGCCGTAGGTAAGTTACTTATATGGATAAACCCTTTCTCTAGTAGTTCTATAAGAGTTTTCTAAAGTACTAATAGCTCGCCTCTAGATATATTATAGAGGGGGCTCTAGAGGATCTTTAGCTTATTTCCCTATTTATTCTATTCGACTAGCTCGATCTCGTAATCGATATTTAATCTATATAGAGATAGTATTTCTACTATCTTCTAGTTAAATATATCTAGATACTTATAATACTATAGTAGTAGCTTCGTTCTAGAATCCGTCCGTAGCTTTACCTTTAGAGCCTTCTTAATATCCGCTATACTCGCTACGAATATTTTAATAGGAGCTATCTAGTAAAAACTTCTATAGATAGACTCTATTATCACCTATATATATAGTATACTCTATATAGTAGACTCGATAGGGGCCGTCTAGTAATAGTATCGTTAGATCGACCTTATTAGTACTTATATATCTTATCCTATAGACTCGCTAGGAGCCGTCTAGTAATAGTATTACTAGATCGGCCTTATTAGTACTTATATACCTTATCCTATAGACTCGCTAGGAGCCGTCTAGTAAGGTCTTTACTAGATAGATTCTAATATTATTCGTAGACGATACTCTACCTCCTACTTATCGAGGTCTCCCTTTTATACCTTCTCCCTCCTTACTCTCCTATATAAGTAGCTAAAGGCTACGGCTAAAATTTCCTTTATATCTATTTTCCTCTATATATCCCCTACCTCTACTCTAACCCCTATCTAATTAAAAACTAATATCCTCGTCTATTTTTCTAATAAGGCGTTCTAATCTACTATCTAACCCCTTTCTAATATAATATCGTACCCTACTACTTATAGTAGAATATATATAAATATATACTTCTATTAATTACCTATAATATCTAGAGTTATATACTCTACTTCTATTATTATCTCGCCCGTCGGTCTATTTATACTAAAGAGTATACGTAGTATAATTAGAATATACTTAATATACTACTTTCTAGTAAAGGCTAATATTATTACTCTATAGGCTCTATAGCTAGTATCTATTATAGTTCTAGCTATAGCGGTTTAATTTACTATAATATCTATAACGATATATAGACTTTCTATCTTTCCTTTCTAGAATCTTTATTATTCTTATAATATATCTTCTCGGGGCTCCTATATACGCTTTAATATAGGAGCTAGTCTTTTCCCTAGTTTAAATAGTTAGCGTCCTCCTTCTCTTTTAGATCTAGTAGTAGTCCCGACGCCGCCGGGGTTATATCTATAACCTATATTATTAGGCGTAGCGGTAGATAAGGGTAAGCTATAACGAAGTAGTCTATACCTCTATAGTATAGGTATCTATAGCTCTATCTATACTTTTCCCTCTCTTTAGGCGACGCCTACTTAGTACGGCGAGCTAGCTTCTAAGTAGTACTATTAATATCTATAGAGTCCCCTTAAGGGACCGCTAGAGCAAGAGCGCGGAGCTACTAGTTCTAAAAGCTCTATACTCTATAACTTTAGAGCCTAATATATTAGGCCTAGACTACTTGCTATATCTCTCTAGACCTATTATCCGTTTACCTAAGAAGGGAATAGTAGTCCTCGTAGGACTTAGGGGTATCTACTTTAATTATATACTCTAGGAGCTTAGGGTCTAGGGCTATCTATAGTACTTCTATCTTTACTATATTGTTCTAAGTATAGCCTCCTACTTCTATAATAACTTAATTAAATTCTATAAGAAACTTAGCTAGTACTCGCTTCTCTTAGTATATAGTATATACCCGCCGTCTAGCCTTCTTCTATTAAGTTAGGTTAATAAAAAGGTAGTCTAGGTAAATATAGAAATATACTAGTATAAACTAGCTTAGATTATACTAGTTACGCTCTATCTAGGGAAGGACTCTTCTTACTACTATTTCTTCTAGTTAAGAGAAAATATACTATACTTACTAGCTAGAGCCCCTAATTAACTCCCTATCTACTATAAATTTAGCGTTAACTTCTATTCTCTATAATAGATAGTCTAATAGTCTTTCTCTACTAAACTTTTCTATATTTAATAAGGCGGGTTTTAGCCGATTAGAGTATAGTAGTATCTATATTAAGGGGGCTAATAAGGCTTAGGGGGTGAGATATACTACTAGAGATATCCCCTACTTCTATATCCTCTCTCTTAGTATAGCTAGCTATACTATTAAGGTTCTAATCTACTCCGTCTACCTCTCTATAAGGGTACTCTACTACTCTAGAAAAGCTCCTAACTAACTCGGTAGCTAGTTACTATTCTACTATCTATTTCTATTATTCTTCTAGCTCTAACGTTAGCCTTCCGCTATATCTATTACGTTCTAATCTTCTATTCTAATATTCCTATACTAATATTTCTAATATCTTCTATATACTCGATATACCTAATATGTCTAATATAACTAATATATCTAATATAACCAATATATTTAATATAACTAATATATCTAATATAACTAATATATCTAATATAACTAATATAACTAATATAATAATATATTTTATAATATTAACGGCCGAAGAGAGTTCTATTTAATTAACTAAGGGTATCTGTAAGTTAAAGATAAAATATATAGGGAAGAAGAAGAAAGGGGAAAAGGAAGGAAGTTAGTAATAGGGGATAGAGCTATAGCTTTAGACGTTAAGGTTATATAACTATATTAAGGGTTATATACGTGAGAGTAAAAAGGGGGAGTCTAGTAATAGTATCTCTAGATAGGCCTTACTACCTTATCGATTACAAAGCGCGCGATGATCCGAGAAGGGAATAGGGGTCCAACCCTTTATATCTATTAACTTTAATAAATCGGAAGTATAGTATAATATATATCGGACTTTTAGTAGATTATATTATACCTCGAATAGGACGAAGAGGTACTAGCCGACTAATTTTATTAAGGACTTAAGGATAGAGTTAAGGACAAGATAGTATAACTTAAGGAGAGACTAATATAGATATATTAAATAATTAAACGAGCTATTAGAATCGATATACGACTATATAAAAGAGATATAGAATAAAAAGGATATAACTAGAAATTTAAATAAGGACGCTCTATAAGGTAAATCGATAAAAGGTATACTACGCCTATAGAACTAGATATAACTAAATAATAAAGATAAAATAATAATAAAAAGAAACGATACTAGAAATAGAAGCTATATTTTTATTATAAAAAACTAGGATATTATACTAGGGATTATAGAAAGAAATAATAAATCGGAAACTAACTTAATACTACTAAGACGCTATTAGCTAGTAAGTAAGAGGGTAATTAAGGAAAGAGGAAACTATAAGGGTACTTTAGAGTAACTATTAGGATACTAATACTAGAACGATAAAATATAGTATTAGGATAAGAAAATAAAGAGTTACGATAAATTAAGGAGTAAGAAAAATACTTAAAGAACGACTTTTATAAAGAATAGAATAACTAGAACTTATTAAAAGGAAGACGAGTATAGATTAAAGAAATTCTAAGAGAGTATAGAGAGTACTATCTAATAGTTATCAAATAAGGAAAATATACTTACGGATTTAAATACTTAGCTAGAATTTAGAGGAAATACTATACTTAAAGATACTCTAGATAATAGATTTAGGATAAAAAACTCGAATAGGAGAACGTACGCGAAGAAAGAATTATACTCTAAGAGGAAGACTTTAATAAAGTCTTTAATAAAAACAACTATCTAATATAGCTAGTATAGGGAGAATATAAATACGAACTAATATATAAATTAGAGATATAGAAAGCTTTATATATAGAAATATACTAGAAAATTAAGGAAAACTACTAGAAACTATAAGTAACGATAAAACTATTAAACACCTATAAATATATTATACTACTAGAATTATAATAGAAAGAGGAGGACGAATATATAAACCACTTTACCGAGTTTCATTAATTAGTATATGAATAACGAGGAATATATCTACTACACCTTAGGCAATTAGACTGGGGTCGGTACCGGGTCGGGCCGGGTTTTGGCCTTTAAACTACCGACCCGATCGGGTCGGTACTAATAAATTCTTAGCACGGGTCGGGCCGGGCCGGACCGCGTCGAGTCGGGTAAAAAACCCGGGTTTTTAACTTTCTATTACTAATAGTAATATCTTCCTAAATAGGAAGGCTAGGCGAATAGAAATATTATTATTTAAAAGCTCTATTAATTCTCTATAAAATAAGGCTATTTACGTTTTCAAATTATTAGTATTAGAGGCTCTAGCTTTATATTAAGATATAGTTCTAAAAATAGTATACTTTCTTTAAAATTTAGCTAGAGAGCTTAATTTAAATAGTATTAAACTACTAATAACCTTATTTAATAGAGAATTAATAGAGCTTTCTAAAGATTCCATTCTTATTTGCTTAGCTTCCCTATTTAGAGAGTTAGAATATTTTAAGCCTCAACCCGACTCGATGGGCCGGGTTCTAAGCCTTAACCCGGCTCGCCGGGTCGGACCGAGTCTAAAAAAAGCCTAATACCGACTCGACCCGGCCGGGTCGGACCGGGCCGGTCCGGGTAAAAAACCCGGACTCGGCCCCAGTCTAAGAAGATTCGGAATAATAGAGGTATAACCCTACTCCCGTACGAGGAGATAAGGAGATATCTATAGAAAAAAGGAGAAAACTAGGAACCGGCCTAGTATCTCTAAGAAAATAAAAAAAAAAAAGGGGGTATATTAGGGGGGAATAACCGGGGTTATAGCCCGGAATCTCTAGCCTATACGAGTTCTTACTATATTCTTATTTTCTCTAAAAGTTTCTACTACGTTCTTATTTTACCTAAGTATAGCCTATACCTCTACGTAGTACTTAGGATTAGTAGCTATATATATATAATATATTTTATATCGTACGGTGAAGCTAAGTAGGCCCCTTATCCTCTATTATTTATAAGTATATTTAATTAGTAGATATAGAATAACCTAGAGTATAACCTATTATTAAGGATATATTAGAATAAAATAGATATTTAGGGGGGTTCGTACGTTATCCCCCCTAAATAACTCGAGTTATTTGGGGGTGGCGGGTTATAACCGGGCTAACCCATACCTTTGATAATTGACAATATCTTAATAATTTATATATTAAAATACTATACCTCTATAAATAAGTTGTGACACACCAAGCTGGATGTTCTATAGAAACAATTACTGCTTGATTGTGTGGAGGTAAATAGCAACGTCCCGGCTGAAAATATAGTCCTTCACGAGTTGATCGGCGGACTCAACGATCCAAGTCTGGCAGTTCCTTTGAATGATCTTCTTACCAGAAGCAGCCTAGTGCGCTAGTTAGCTAACGTCTTCCGCTAGAGGTTGTGTAATAAATATATGGGTGTTTGCTAGGAAAATCCTCAAGGTATCTGCCCCTAAGGCGGGCACTGAGAAATGGGTGAAGGGACGAAACTAAGTTGAAAGCTTACCATGTCATTGGCCGCATTCAAAGTCTTTCCAGGGGCTTTCACTTTGTATGCGCTAGCCTCAAACCCACAAACAGGTCCGTTGTCGATTTTGACTTTTCCATTGTTGAACATGGCCTTCTCATCAAAGTACTGTGCATCGACCCACTGTAGCGCGATTCTCTTCATAGGAATGTTACCGGTGACGCGGAAGTCATGGCCACGCTTGACCTCGAACTTGAAGCCATTCTTCACATCGCCGGTTGCGTGAATTAGAACACCGAGGTCGGGATGGGTGTGGGCGCACACCCAGAAAGCCCAATGATCCTTGAAAGGCGAACCATTGTAAACCAGTAACTGGACCAAAAAAGCACCAGCAGGGCCCTTTGAGGCTACAACTGGTGGTTTAGGGGCTGGTGGAAGAGTAGGAGCCTTTTTGCTAGCCGGCGGGGGTGGAGGAGGAGGAGGAGCGGGGGCCTTTTTGGAAAACATGATGGGAGTGTCCGTTTATAGAAGTTGGAGAATTATTTCTAATGAAAGGCTATGTGTAGGGCTCGGAATCGTCTCGTAAACAGATAAATATAGATAGTGTTTGGGAATGTTCAAGTTGAAATGGATGAGCTATTGAACGAGACTCAACTTGAGGGAAGGAAGAGGTTTATATAGCTAAACCACGCCCGATTCGAGTTTCTCGGACCGTTTGCTAAGAATAGCATCCCGCCAGGTTTTCCTAACCTGTTGCTGAAAGAAAGCAAGAGACTCCATTCTTTTCTCCATCCAGGCGGCTAAAGAAATGCGTACCTGGATGGACGCCCTATTATTGGATGAAGAGGCCATGGGTCCCTTATGCCAGCAGTTACGATGTTGTAACTGCTACGCCTTCGCGCCGCATCGCCCGTTCGCCTCATCCTCGCCGTTACGCTGGGGCTAGGGCGTAGCGGTTATGAGTGTACTCCATAGTGTATGGTCTTGGAACACGATTCGACGGAATGTCCGCCAATGGATTTATATAGTTCCCAAGGCGCAGCAGACCATAGCGCTTACATAACATAACTAGCTGCCTCACCTGGTCTCGGAGGCTGAAGGGGGAACACGTGACCGCAGCCTCTGCAAGACACAACGGAGCAGCAAAACAATGCCTCAGCAACCAAATGAGCACGGAAAAGGTGATAAATAGGCGTAGAATTGGATGATGACGATGGACAGAAGGTCCAGAGGCTATACTACGGCTATTTATCTATAGAGGACAAAGGGCCGTCGGCCGACTGGTGCCTAAGCGAGATGAGGCAGGAGGTGGCGGCAGCGGCGTATCGCTTATTCCGATACGCTGGCCAAACACCGGTTCCAACACCTGGTCTTGTTAGCTGCAAACCTCGAAATGGTGAACGAACGAAGCCTGTGCCTACACCCTCTCCCCAAGCACATTCCCAGATGCAGCCCGATAGCTTACTGCCTCTATTGCTTCCTCATCCAAAGTCAACCACGGATACATCGAAACCAGATACCGGCTCCGATCACTTCTATTCTTCTAGCCAGATGAAGACCTTTCCCAACTCCAGCTTCTTCAAGGAGAAACGGGCGCCTACACTTCCAACGCCAGCCGATATTAGGGCTATCAACCAGAAGTCGGACAACGTCCTCGCCACAAACTTCAATCGCCCACAACCTCTTAGGATCCCGTCACTAGGACTGTTTGTCAAGTATGGAGCTGATGTTACTATTGTCGAAGCTCAGACTCAGATAATGGTACGCGAGAAATTGCAAGGCCGAGTACCTGTCCCCGAAGTCTTTGGTTGGGCGGAGGATGGGGGTCAACGGTTTATCTACATGTCCTTGATTGAGGGCGAGACTCTGCAGGAGAGATGGAGAGATATGAACGACCATGAGAGATGGACGATCTGCAAGGAACTTAGGTATATAGTGGAGGCATGGAGGTCTTTGAAGCAAGATACACATGATTACTATATTGGTAAGTAAATTTTTCTAGATATAATATTTAAACACATCTAATATAAAATACCTATATTATAGGTAGCCAGGGCAAGCAACCGCTTAATGACATATTCCTTGCACATCGTCCAGAACTTACTGGGCCATTTCAAGGTGTTAAAGCGGTTAAACAGTTTCAAGATGCTTGTGGTATTGAAATTAGTACTGATGTGCCAATTATATTCACACATTCTGACCTTGTTGCACCTAATATCCTCCTATCCCTAGGACCAAATCTAAAAGTGGCAGCAATTATTGACTGGGGCCAGGCTGGGTGGTATCCTGCGTACTGGGAGTATTGCAAGGCCAGACGGGTGAGACTGAACCCAGAACACTTCAGTGATGCTCTCCAAGAAGAATGGAGGACAAAATATCTACCACTTATTATGGATCCCGTTCACGATGAGACATACTACCACCCCTGGCTTTATTTTGTTTTGTCTAAGGGCATCTGATAATATCTCTTCTGCAGCAATAGAGTATAAAGACAGTCTAGATCTGCCTAGCTTGCACGCCCCTTGTAGTTAACAGCATCTAAAGAGAAACCAACCTATAACAATGCCTGTCTTGCCAATTATTGACGGCGACCTCAATCTAAACTTCTCTCATCTAAATATGAGGCGACTTCTGCTGTCACTTTAGATGACTCTAATACATCAGCTACATCTGATGAAGCTGAGTTCTACAATGCTGCGTGTTTGCACAGCCTAATATAGCGTCGAGTATCCTCAGGCTTCATTCAAACAAACATACTAAAAGAGCAAGAACCCGAGCCAATAGTGCTAGCGACAAGTCTTTCCCAAATTAGGCCTTTAACCCTTTATACATAGCTATCAAGTAGTAAGCATTGAATTCTTTTTATATCTATTTTTTTACCTTGCTAGGCTCCTACTCCCAGGGTCTGTCGAGAGTCGAGAACACGGGCACAGGGACGTGAAAAAGCAGCTAAGCTGTAATCGGAATAATCGTGATCAGTATACGGAAATATGTTGTTCCACTCACCGAGCATTCTCATTTTGCTCCACAGAGACTTTTGATTTTTGGCTTATCATCAAAGTGCCTCGTCATCTTTGGCTAAAAATAACCATATAGGGGCGCTTAGGGCGACCAAGCGGGAAGATATAGAACTATCTCAGTTTAACTAACCTCACCCTCCGATGTTCATCAGTTATCTTTTTAAACCAAGCACGGACCCCATTCTTCCTTAATACTGTTCACGAAGGAGAGCGTTTGCGTATCACCCCACCGTACATACTTCCCACTCACTTATGCCACCGTTGGCACAGAAAGACAGCGCACCGCCAGGGCCCCCCAGCTCCCCACCACTAGCTTTAAGATTCGCACTATCTACCTTGTCGAGACCCATAAACATACCAGCAAACCCAACAGCCGCAATGGCCGAAGCCAACTCAATGTTGCCTTAAAGAAGCCATTACCATTGGTTAATGGTGTGGCATTAACATAGGAAAGAATAAACGAGTCTTGTGGAGTATGTCTTATATAAAACAATGATTTTATTAGATAGCCCTGCCGTCTTTACTGGGGTCCCCAGCCTCTGCGTTCTTACGAAATGCAAGGACATTCAGCCGACTTCGCGCGAATTCACGGAGCTGCATTTTGATAAAGCAGCCATATTCTCATACTAGAGTTGGGGAGAAATCCAGATATTCATTTGACTCTTAGAGGTACATAATAACTAGTGGTTATATAGTGCTAGCAATATTTTTACCAACGGCAGACTAACTATGGCTAGCATGGCCTTCTCCCCCACCTATTTCCTGTGCCCTTTAGCGGACCCCGTTCCTGCGGCTCCTGAAGGTCCTTTGGCCCTGGGCAGCGTTCTAAAGAGCCCGAACGTCCCTTTAAGCCCCCTAAACAGAGATGCGGCCTTGACGCCGCCTAAAGTCGTCTCCACGGTAGAAACCGACTGGCAGAAATCTGTCTCCGACAGTACATCTATGAGCTTTGGGATTTTTGCTAGCTTTATGGAACTAGTACTTGGGGCTGGAGCGGACGTGAGCGTGGATCATTCGCGAGCAAACCACAGCAACTTTGCCTTCGATAAGTTGACTACTTTGTCCTTTGAACCCACGCTGGAGTACATTAAGGAGGCTCTCCAGGCTGCTGGTGTGCGGCAGTATCGCGATTCGAGAGGCCTAGCTCGCTGCAAGTCGCTTTACATCGTCACAGGGCTGAAGCTGGCTTCGGGGGCAGCTATCCGCTACGTGTCCCAACACGGACCAGGCATTGCTGCGCAGGTGGGGGTTGATGGTTCGGCAGCCGGAGTCCCTATTTCTGTTGGTCCAACCGGTCACTGGGCCCGAGAACGAACTCAGGAGACAAGCTTTTACCGTGGGGACGAGTTTATCTTTGCCTACAGGCTGCATAAAATTTCGTTCTTCCTGCAGCCCGATCCGGCCACCAACCTGTACATCAAGGGCGCATTTTTAGACGCGGAGCAATCTGGGATTAGTGAAACGCAAGATATAGTGCAATTTATGCTGGAAGATATTGATGGAGCTAGTCTCCCAGGGTCTGCCCTTGTTTCAGCTAGTATCAACGGTCCGCTGGTGTATGTAGTTCGGCCTGCGGTTTGAGGAACAACTTCGCGCGACGTTTTCTCCTTTACCCTAAATCTGACATCTAGCTTGCTTTGCTTGGGAAATTATTACAAAGGAGCTACTCAGAGTCATAAATGTATTCCTGACAGGCTATCATATCTCATGTAGGTAATCATACTTCTTAAATTTCTTAATTTGATCATAAATCGATTCCTTTGTGTCGGGATCGTTGAAAAGTTTCTTGGGGTGTAGTCTGTGGTACCCGTCTACCTTGTCGGTTGCAAATCGAACTAAGGTAGCCTGTATGGCCTGAGACCTCTTAAGCCAGCCCATAATAGAGGAATCTTGGGGCAAGCCGGCCTCTTGCTGTCGTACATATTCAAGCAGGCTTGCGACAAACCCAGCGGCGATTGGGGTGGCGATGGAAGTTCCGGATAGAGCCCTAAAATCCTCCCTATGTCCATCAATACCCTTCGGCCAGTCCGAAGGTACAGCTTCCCCAAGAGCGACCAAATTGAAGGCCGTTTTAACCGGCTTTGGGTTGAATTTTGATAGCGACCCTTGACCATCCATTGAGTGAATCCCGAATACCGTTAGGTGCTCGCTGGCCGGAAACGCCCGGTTTGTCAGAGGGCCGCCGTTGGAAGCAGCAGCGAATAACAAAACATTTCGGTTATGTGCAAATGAAAGTGCTTTACTTAAGCTATCATGGAATTCTCGAATGCCAAAAGACATTGTGATAATGTCCACTTCCCACCTCTCTGTTGCGTATCGGATTGCCTCATAACATCACCTAGGTCAGTAAACAGCTAAACGTGTTTAGATAAGTCATATAGGTACCTTGATTATTGGCTCGTAGCCATCACGGCCAATAGTTCTCGTGTCAGAAACCTTTGCTACGAATATATCTGCGCCAATAGCAGTCCTGAGAAGTAGGCCTAGTGTATGAGTCCCATGGCCAACCTTGTCATGCATAAATTGAGGATCATCTGTGTCAAGTAGGAAATTTCTCGTAGCCTTCAACCTTGGTTCAGGATTATCATTGTCGCGGGTGAAGCCAGTGTCAAGGATAGCAATTCGTATCAGAGCTCCGGAGGAAGACTGAGGGGGGTTGCCGACATAGGTGCTGAGGGTCCTGTCAAGCTCTTTTAGCCATGAGACCGAGCTAAGTCTACCCCTTTCTATGTTAGATGAGATTACAATTGAAAGGTGACAGGGCACTCACTCAGAAGCAGGGTGTTCCAGAAAATCAAAGAGGCCACCTTCAGAAACAGGTGCTTGGGCAATGGGCGAACAATTATAATTACGATGAACAATTACAGCCTCCTTGTTCTGGCTATAATTTGTCGTTCGAAGCGGGACGGCGGCCGAGCGGGCTGTCGGTTTCATTAGGGTGTCAGCCGGAGGCTGGTAGGTAGACGCTACCGCAGCCTTTGCAGACGGGGAGGAGCTAATATGGCTGCCTATTTCTGTACACTTATTCTGGGCTTCAACGGTCCATAATGCCCTTTTCTCCGTCTCATTCTCCCTGAGACTCAAGAGATCCTTCTTATCGTTGATCCAGTTATTGGTACTGTTATAAAGGCGTGACACCACTTTAGCGGAAAAGCTGTCTTGTACAGCTGGTGTGTCGAATTCACTTTCCAGCCCACGAGGAAAATACTTAGCGTCGAGGCAAGCGCTCACCGCATCGCAAAAGTCGGCTCCTTCTTCATTAGTCATTGCTCTTAAAGTACGTCGCGCTTGAATTTTCTCTTGATCTAAGGATCTCTTCCGGCTAGGGCCATGATTCTCGTCAGCAAAGGGCTTAAACTCGAATATTTCGAGAAGAAGAATTCCTAGCGCTAAGACGGTCTGGTTAGGATGCACGGTTTCCTTAGAGGCGCCCTGCGAAGCAGTATCTTGTATGAATGTATTCGCGCTTGTAAATATGAACGGATAGGTGAGATCCGGCAGAGCACCAGGTCTTCGGAAGAAATAAACGTCGTGACAACTGAAATTTGGGAGTAGCCAGGGAGTCTCAAGAACAGGCCGTAGCATCTCTGTCAGATATAGGGCCAGCGTAAGCTTTCCGCGTCTTGAAAATACGGAAGATCCCCCAATTTTCTGCTTGAAGTCGAATATCGACTTGAGGGAAATGGCGGCTGGGGTATGTTCGCACATATTATCCCCCATACGCAATTCTTGTAACTTGTTGTCCTCGACCATAATATGAAGAGAGGCTGACTTTTTGTGGCAGTCTTTGATTGACGGACAGATATCTGTATGATCCAATGCCGACCAATATTCACCAGCTGTGTTATCACTCTCATCTGCAATCCGAACGAGGCCATGTTTTTGATAACTACGGAATAGATGTTAACAACCTTAGAATATACCTTTGTAGATATGTTGACTTCTACTACTTACGTCATGAAAAATTTCCCTTCCTGCCAGTTTTCTATCTTATTGGAACCCAGGGCAAAATAGCCATCGAGCTGAACGTCGTCACTGTCAGGATAAGGCCAAGGCAGCTGGAGACATATCCCCTGGCACTGTTCGCAAGCACAAGACCAATGTGACTGAAGTTCCCGATACAGGCATATCGATTTATTTTTTAGGGTTAGAATCTCATGCTCGTATTCTTCGTGTTTGCCTTTGACCTCGCTGTGATAACTGTACTCCGCCTGGTCTGGGGCGGCCTCAACATTACTCTCGGCTGCGTTGTAGGCTTTACGCCGCTTTTTCGGGTTATCCCTCTCCGCCCACTGTTCCACCACCTGTAGCTCGGCAGGCACAAAATCAACTTTACGTTTCTTTGCCCTAAGGTTGTCTGGTTGCTCCCGATTCTCTCGATAGATTCGTGTACGTTGCTCCACATATGGATACTGTGAATTGTTATCCTGATTTTAGAGGCATTAATATCGTTCTATACTTTCTTCTTGCCTTGGCTAGACATCATTTACATTTGACGGGGTACACTCTTCAGCACCTTCAGCCGTTATACCGCTATTCAGTTCCCCTAAGATATCATGGGCGGTCTGTTCGTCAGGAGACTCCTCGAGGCGATTGTAAAGGGCTGCTAAATCAGCTCTGGACCAGGCGGCGGAATGGTCTGGAAGATGATGTCTACGACGATGCGATGGTGGGTGCGACGATGGCTGGGAAGGCACTCCTAAAAAACAGATCGCTGCGGACAGGTAATCCAGTAGCAATTTCACCTCCCACCCCATTGAGGGCGTATGGACGAGGCCGTAGGTTGGCCACAAAACCTCCTTCACGCTAACAATTGAAAAAGAGCTGGGGGGCGTTAACTAACTAGCGGTTATATACTACGAGGAGCCAGCAGGCTTCCTGCATGAATAATCACACGTTACGTAATAATAAACTAAAGAGAAAGCCGCAGCGGATAGGACGTACTATGTAAAATGGCACTCCTATGCGGCTCTTGACTGTGGGACCGTGTAGCTAGTCCTTATGAACGGATATATCTGATATATGACGTCTCGGAAGCTCGAAGGCTGTACTTAAGAACAGAATGCGGGTTGTGACAAGAAGGTTGTTGTTCCTAAGTGGTCGTCCCTCTATTTTACTACTTTTTTTTTCTGATTGTGGCGGAAATATATAACTATTTAACCAGTTGTATTATTTTACCAAGATTGAATGCGATTGTTGACTTAAAACAGGACGGGCTAAATGACTATATAGAAGGGTTTATCTCCACCTTATTCGGAACTTGCGTCATTGCCCCCTCCAGTAATCGGGAGCTGTTCGTAGATATGCCCATGCTCCCGCAAAATTCGAATCAACGGGCCCCAAACACCCTGCCCACTGACGCTGCTAGCGAATGTTTTCACGCTGCCCACCAAGATGAGCACATCCCGTGCTCTTGAGAGAAGGACATTGACACGATTTCGATCGGCCATAAAACCAATATCACCACGATCATTGCTCCGCGTAAGAGAAGCTATAATGATACGCGACTCCTCTCCCTGGAAAGAATCTAGAGGGGGAAAGTTGCGGTGTTAGCAAGTTCACTCAAGTAAGACGATAAACCTGTAAGAATAGTCCTACCGAGCGTGTCTACTTTGGTCCTCCGGAACACGGTGGAATCGTCACTATCCCACTCATCGAAATGGTAAATACCAAACCTCTGCTCTATCTCTTCCCGTAGGAAAGTAACTTGGCCCGAATATGGGGCTAAGATGACTATATCATTGAGTGAATAGCCTTCAGAAACGAAGTTTTCGAGCACCTCTGATACTATGGACACCTCTGCCATATTAGCCCTACTTGTATCTAGTTCCTCGTCTAACCGCTCTAAAATTTCTACTTCGCACTCCGGGGAGTCATGGTCAATAAATATAACGCGGTCCTGCAGCCCACACAGGGCGGGCCGTTCTTTTGTGGTGGGACTGTCGATTAAGTCATGATAGGTAAGCTCACGCACCAGTTTTGAGATTTCAGGGCACATGCGATGCTGTTGCGATAAAACTGTACATCGATGGCCAGTTCGTATCAGTCTCTCAAATAACGATACATCCAAATTATATCCATCCCCTTTCTTTACCGAGAGGCTATGGGAATTTATCTTGGGCCTCAGCTGCTGGTGGTCGCCAATCATTACAAGCTGTTTTGTTTCTGGCCCAATCGTCGCCAGTGCATGGGACTCTAGGATTTCCCCGGCCTCTTCAAGTATGACAATGCCGGGGCAGATAGTACGAAGAATTGAAGCATATATCGCTCCTCCAGTAGTAGTGCAGCCAATTATTTGCTTTCTGGCCAAAACTTCCCGTATTCTATCGTTAGAAGCATCCTGGAGCCACTCCTGGCTCTGATTCAAGTAATACGCATTATTACATACACTCACAGCTGCATTTTCCAGCAGTGTCTTTTTCCATTTAAAGATCAAGGTTTGCCGTTCCTTGGGCTCAAGGTTCCATACAGATTGTGACTCCTCGTCGTTGTAAAAGGTATCATTGCCCGGCTTCTTGTTCTGACACCACTTAGTATAAAGATGCACTGAGGCTGTATCGGGTATCTCATTTTCCATCGAAGGCTTTGGTATAAACGCACGATAGAATCCTGGTTCCGTGGACTCCAAAAGTCTCACTATGCTTTCACTATCTGCTTTGATATGCTCGTATTGTCTGAATGTCATATTAAGCTGGGCCTCCCAGTGATCGCGCGCATCCTGGGTGGTTCTTTTTGAAATCTCCCGGTATCTTGAAATCTCACGGTATCTAGTGCCCTTAACCATAGCTAGTTCGTGAGCAAGTCTCAGTTCTTCAGTACGAGCGGTTGATTCAGACCCTAACCGAACGATCGCAGATTTATTAATTCCCCTATCCAGCAAGTGCTCTAGGAACTGGTTCAAAGAATGGTTGGTATGGCACATTATAAGAATTTTCTCCTCGGTAAACTGGTAAAAAATTTTAGTTATGAGAGCCCCTATGAAAGATTTTCCTGTCCCTACATAATAAAACGGGATTTTAGGTTTAAGCCAACTGCAGCGAGAGGATAAGAGATATGACTGAGTATAGCTTACCTGGTGGACCTTGGATAAGGCTAAGCCGGTATTTAACTGCAAGCCGAAGCGATTCCCATTGAGACTCGTCAAGGTTGATGGCTTTGGGACTTTGCAAAACCTTTCGCAGCCTCCTATTGTCCTTTCTATGGATGTCGTTTATTATATCAAAGGGAACAAGGTTCGTTTGAATGTTCAGGCTATCATTCCCTGAAACAAGAAGGGCTTCCATGCACGACATGTCCACTTTTGTTTGAAGGGCCCGCAGCACCGGCTCGTACATATATAATGGTGCCTGAACCATCCGTAATTGGATGTCACTGTGCTCTTTGAAACAGATTAAAGTCTTTTCCAGCGACTCCATACTGGATATCTCGAGTGGTAAAATGGGGGGATCACCGCGATTAAAGTGCTTGATTCGACGCACTTTAGCAAACGCAATGACCTCCCCTCTATGAACAAAGCAGCCATACGCCCCGTGTTTAAGATCGCGTGTGCCGTTCGGGAGCAAGTCAGAAACCCATGAATCCTTTAAGTCATCAGTAAATGATCCGAGTTCCTTGTTGCACTGGACAGCTAAGGCGCAAGGAGGAAGGCGGTTTGGATCGTCGCTCTCGCAGGTTATCGTCTTCAGCGATAGGCCGCCTAGGGTCACGACGAACCGTGCCTTCTTGAGCTCTGTTGGCCTGAGTAGCTCATCCTTAAGCGTACACAGCATGTCCTCCCGTAATAAGCGGAATTGATTACCAATATGCCTCCCGACTCTATTTTCCATTGGTTCATCCATAATTGCATGCATCGGCTGGTAGAATGGCTGTTCGTTTGATCGGAACTCATCAGGTGTCGGATATATAGCTATTCTTCGAAAGTCGTCAAAATCGTTATCATGCCGCCCACCGGGCCCGAAGATAGGTTTGATTCGCTTCTCAGCCAATTTCGTATGATAGAATCGTTTGATATTTTCTCCGAGCATACGAATATTTTCATCTGGATGTGCTAAAAGGGTGCCATTTCTCAACACCTTGCATGCATCTTCGACGATATCAATTTCGTTCAAGGGTGGATGGAGACACAAAAGCTCAGCCATCAACCAAGCAAATGCATAGACTCCTTTCGGTGATAACAAGCTGTTTTCAAAAAAGTCCATAAGTTGATTCCAGATTCCCGGCGGCTCTACCACCATCACCAGGATACGACGGAACCAAGAGCCATTGCATAGTTGCTTGACATATCGATCAGATATATAGTCGAGAAATCGAGCAAGGTAGTTATTCACGAAGGCCGGGGTAATATCGAATCTCAAGCCCCTCTTCAATCCCTGTAAGGCCTTCGAGCTCGTAAAGAGCCTTTCAATGCAAACACATCGATCTTCTTGTTCCATGATCGATTCCAGAAAAATCTGAACAGACTTGACGTTATGGAGCTCTTGTTTCCCCTCTAATACATGTTTGAAGTAGTCACGGGTAATTACCGACCTGCTCGTAGAATATACATAATAACTCATGTTTGTATTTTTCCAAGAAAAGTAAAAAATATAAAAAATAAAAGACTTTGGCTTTCTCAAAGATCTCAAAACGTGGATCTTTGGCACTTCGCTTACCGTTTCAAAATGAAAGCAAGAATAAGATGACTTCTCACTCTCTTTAAGTTCCCGCAAGGCAGCGGCAAGGTATACCGCTTATCACAAGGCTGAGCATGAAGAGGGGTAAGACGCGTCTGATTTGTCGAAAATAGCCAATTTTTCAGCTTGGGAGCCACAGAGCGATCATTTCCTGACTTTGTTATATAGAGTAGGCATGGCCAGCATGATAGGCCGTGCGATTGTCCAACAGCGGTGCCGTGTTTGATATATCAAATATGAGCAGGAGCAGCGGATGATGATTGGTTGAATGCTCAAAGGAGATACACACTATGTTTTGTATATGTATCTCTCGCCACAAAAAAGGTGCTCAAATGCGCCAGTTTGGTGCTCTACCTGCTTTACCCCTACCCTTCACTACCTGCTCTATAAAAAAAAAGTATGAGCTTACCACGGATCGAACCTACAGCCTCCAGATTCTAAGTTAGTAGTAATATATAGTTCTAACGGCGGCGACAAGGTCTTCGCTGGAGTAAAACATTCTGTTTTAAAAACGTATGGGGCGATCTCTGGGAGCCTAGCATCTCGTCGTAGTAGACTTTTGGTACGTGAATATTCCTTCGGTGGATAGGAATATTCACATCCGCAGAGCAGTACTGGGAAGAGTAGGTAAAAGGATGACATAGAGCCGCGAAGCGCTCGGTGTCATCGATGGCCTGGAGCCACTGAAGGCTAGAGAAGTCAACATCATATGTACGGAGTATAGACAGCTGTATGGACGCATTGTGGGTCGAGGGTTAACTTCTAGTAGAAATAGCTGGGGTTGCTGAGTCGGCAGTGACGTAGTCTAAGTCAACTATACCGTTGGTTGTTTTGTAGCGCATTGTCAAATTCTGCACCCGGGCCTCCACATGGAAAACACCTGAACGGAAGCCCAGCTGCAAAATGGTTCGGTATAAAGGTGGACGGACCAGGTCCCTCTCCTCAGGCTCTAGTCTACTAGGATAGACCCCTATATCTTCAGCAAAATTATCAGAAACCGTCGCATCTTCCGCATCAGCAAGACAGGGGAACTCGTCACTCAGTTCGAAAAAGAGGACTTTGCTGACTCCCCTAGAACCGCCGCCTCGGCATGGTTTGACAACCATCGGGTAATGCAACGTTTCCAAAGTCAGCGACGTCTCATCCAATTAGCCTGCGTTGTCAAGGCGCAGGGCTTGGGCATTTGGGCTGGCCAACTTGCGTGTTACGTATTTGTTAAGTGACTGTGCATAAGCCAAGGTAGGCTCTGTTGAAAGGCTCAGTTTTTCGGCTGCTCGTACGGTTGCATCTAAAAAATCATCTGTGAATGTGGTTATGCCATCGATGCCCATGTCTCTGACAGCTTCCGCAATTCTTGATGGTAGCCCCTCATCAATGGTAGTGTCAATGGCGACAAATTCATCCTGAAGACAAGAATATGTCTCATCTTGAAGCCAATGGCCCGGCTTATCGACAACAACGACTGAGATTCCAAGAGCCTGAGCAGCCTCAAGTGCCCCCTGAGAGCAAAAAGACATCTTCTTTGGGTCGTACATGGCTCGTCCCCCTACCATGGCAACCTTACGTGCCTGAGGCTTGGTCTGGAGCACCCAATCAAATGATGGTCGTGCCTGGAGGTCCTGGTCCAGACTCTTTACCATCTCATGACTTGGAGTAGTAGGCTTTTCGTCCACAAGCAAAGCGCCGGGCGAAGAGGTAAACAGTGCCAGAAGATGAGTCTCTCCGAGTGGTTCGACCAAGGGAATATAACCGCCAGCGGCAGATAACGGAATTACAGATTCAATGAACTCGGAATGACGCATCCTCAATTCCAAAATGTCGTTCCTGCACAGATAGCCACTGCGAGTGACAAGTATAAGTTTTGTAACTACACAAAGGCCCTGTTGGGCTGGTATCCCTCGTATCTTGTAGCATGTCTGCACAAGATGCTCAAGCGCAGTACCAGTGGCTCTTGGGGAGGAACCGTCAGTGATGCTACCATCTTCAACTTGGAGTATCCCATCACGAGACACTGGTGCAATGTTCGTTAGTAGGTCGAGACAATGAAAGTATTGCGGCACATTTTCGTCGGTTGAAATGGACTTTGAGAGTCTCCAATGACAAGAAGCCTTCGAGTGTACTAATTAACAATGATATTCAGGTCAGCCTCACCCAGAAAAATCACCAAGTCTCACGGAGCTTTCACCTTTGCAATCTGCTTCAGCGTAAATGAAGAAATCTTTAGATGCGAATGCCTCATTGCTCATGCTTTCAGTGAACATTTTCTGCTGGTTTCTTGCGTTTTCCTGGTAGACAGGGGTCAGCAGGGTACACCTCAACACAAAAGAGGAAACAGCCTAGGAAGTTTACCCCGATATAGTTATTGTGGTAGTATGTAGATAAATATATATATATAGAGTGAGTTTAGTTCGGATTTATAGTTACCATATTAGTTACCAAAAATGGCCCCTGTCAAATTAATGACAGCGCAGGTACGTAGAGTTAATATCGATAGAGTTGGGCTCTGTGAACTGTAGGTAATAACCCCTCTTCTCGGGACTACTGGTGTCTCTATAAGTCCACAGGACAACATCTCCCTGACCGTTCTCCTTACTACTCAAAGGGTCAGCTGGTGTGTTGAGAATTGCAAGGTATTGTGTGAGGGAAATCTACTCACTACCTGCATAAGAAGAATCCTGGAAACGAGACCATTCCCAAATCCACTCCACATTGTTGGCTTACTACTCCCCGACAAGAATTGGGCTGCAATACGCCTGGCCTTGTTGGCGACAAGGGTCCGAGGGAAAACGTATGGTAGGATCATGAGACAGTCTTCCGGACACGGGCGAACTGGCCCAATTATGTGTGAGAAGGCCAACTTGAATCCATCTGCTTCGGTGAGTGGATGAGAGCTTCAGTCATAGGCTTAAAGGGGAAATAGCTGTTAGTCCACACCCATACTCTATCTTTGGGTATTGGAGGGATACCGTCCCATATATCGGCCCTACGTTGTCTATGTAGAAAAAATTCCGAGTCGCTGTTGGTCATGGCCAAGTAGCCATTTAACTGGGAGCCACTGTTGGATAACAAATGCAGCCTGCATATGTAATACTTCTACCTCCACAGCAGCTCCAATGTAACATGCGAATGCGGCTCGGAAATGTAGTGGACACCCGTGTGTATGAACGTTGACTGGCGATCGACAGGGGCCGGGGGATCAATCGCGGCTGATATGTACATATTGTTTAATACGTATATCCGACTTTAATATAGCACTTCTATTCCCTAGGGTGTCTAGCGTTAGCTTGCATGACATGGATGATATGTATAAAGATCAGGTTATGGCCCTATCCCGACGGGGTGTTAGGGAGGGGAGAGATGGAAGGGGCAGTTAACAGGATTAAGGGGACTCTGTACGGAGTATGTGTCAGGTTCTTGGTATTGTGGGTGGTGTCTCGGCCGTCTCGACCATCTCCTCTCCTTCTGCGGGTAGAAGTTCAAAATAGCCTATATCCTTAGTTACTATTGTGATTCATCAATATTAGGCCAAGTACACACCTTTTGTAATAGTATCTCGGACTTATTGATATTAGTTTGCTATTCCACTATGTTCTATAGAGATGCTACAATTATATTGAAGTTAGAGTAGAGTTACACTTTCTCCACTTTTTTGAGTTGTCACTACTTATCACGTGCTCACCTACTATCCGTGGCGCATTGGCCCCGAGATAACTGTATCTCGCTCTCTATAGCAAAACCCCGCATGGACAGCCAGCATACCGCCTGGCCCAAGCAGGCTTTGGGGTCTTAATATGGGACCGTTCTACCTCTACCAGGTGGAATAATAGGTCGTTCAAGACGGCCCCTGAACGATACAGTGCTATAGTACAACGTATATAGAACTGGTTTGACCAATTAGAGTTGCAGCTGTAGGAGTAAGCGTATGCGCTCTCACATTTCCAATGGCAAGTAGCTCTTACAATCCCATCTTAGAGGTAAGCTGTCCATTCCATTACCCTTGTCTCCAGCTGCTAGGCCTCAGCATTTCCCCAAAGCTCAGGGAGAGGAATAAGCATCCCTTCTAGGCACATACGACTCTGCGGCATATATATAGTCGACGCCCTGTTATTGTCATCATTCCCTGTTCATTGTTAGTCTTATTCTGCTCCTTTCGTGGTGTGAGTTAGATATTATTCTAGGATCAACAACGGTCGATTGTAAGTAAATATCTTCTCGTCTAGCAGAAACGTGCGTTTTAGCGTAATGCAGTAGATGGTATAATTTTCTGATGATTAGTTAGTTAACCAAAACTACACCAAAGAAACCAGGGTTTGGCCAACAGCGGTGAACAAAATCGTAAATATCGTGTAAAGGCTCAAATCCGAAGATAAGCGCCTTCGGCTAACGGGTTCGGGGAAGCTGATTGACGACTACTCGAAGAATATATATATAAATATAAGATAAAATAGAATAAATAGTTAACTACAGTTACTAACTAGGCACTAAGAATAGGGACTAATCGTATATAACAGTAAGGAGGTTCGCGTGACACTCGATGCTTAATATATATACCGAGATTGTGGTTTACCAAGTCGATGCGATGTGTTGATTTTATCGGAGTATTTATACGGGTATTGAAATCTGTACTGTAGACATGGCATTATACTGAAGCGGTTACAATTTATACGAAGCAGGAACTTTTCACGTCAAGTTTCTTGTTTCATGGCCAAGATTCTGGTCATCTTAGCCAATGATTTGTTAGGCACGACGTCAGAAAACAAACAAGGTGCCAATATGACATCATAGAAAGTTGCTTTTGTATATATAGGTAGACCAAAGGTGTTATTATATACCTTTTGAAGTTCGTTAGAGAATCTACCGGCTGATATCTCTGGAGCTATCTTTACTTGACCATATCTCCAAGTGCATCTGTTGTTGTATTGTGCCGTTAAGAGCATACACAAGAACCCCCATTATGTCCGGCCCAACCAAACCAGAGGACTCGGGCGTGATAAGTCAGGAGGGTGTTATCTCTAAACCTGAAGGAACGGGCGCTGAACCACGTCCTGTTAGCGAGACAATATCTGAAAACGAGATGGGTAGGATGCATCATGGGCATAGCGAACAATCGCAATTCCAACCCTTCACTAGCCTTTCGGACCAGAAGAAAGCTGGAGAAAGAGAGTATGGCTATGATCAGGGGCACCCAATATCAGATAAACACCACAATGAGGATTACAGCTTTATGAAGAGGAAGCCGGGGAAAAAGTCATACTTTAGTGAACTCCTAGAGAAGTATGGGCCAAAAATTCCTATATAAGTTTGAAGAATGCTGACGAGCTTTTTCTCCTAGTTTTCACTAAACTTTCTTCGTTCGTTGTAAGGTAAAAATTAAGCTGCCCTCATGTCATATAAGAAGGAGGTCAAAAAAGCTGTTTAATAGCCCCGTGTATGTTATGCGGTCAGCTATTTAACCACCTTTGTATATATGGATAACTTGGTAGGGGCATGAGTTAGAGGCCATTGGCAGCAAAAGTTATATATGGAACTTGTGGCATTTTCATCGACGTTTCTTGGTCGTTTTAAATCTGGAAATATGGATAACCTCCTACCAGCAGTCAATCCTACATCGGTCTGTTGGTAGGGAACTGTAAGGATCAATCAATTGCTTGCCCAATCCATTCAAGACTCTGATCCATTGGCTCCCGGATATTCCATATCTTCATACATTGGGCCCAGGTATAAGAACTCCCCTAAGACCTTATAAAGATTCGTATAATTTGGATTTTTTATATGGTACCTATACAGTCATGGGAGACTTATCCGGGCATCATCTTTTCTTCCCAACCACAAAAAGATAGTTAAAAACATGAAATTTGGAGAAAAGAAAGCCACAAAGCATCGTGTGACTAGTGCATCAATTCTGAAACGGCATTTTAAATCCGCGAATATGACTAAAATCTTCTAAACGAAGCAACGTAGTACAGAGTTACGTCGGCTGACAATAGAAGCCTAGAATCGGATTAAATACCTCTTAAGCGATGGTTTTATCACTGGTGACCAAGCCTTTGGACTGTACAGTAGTTAACAATGTGGATGGCCGTGTTAGCATCTCAGCTTTGATATTTTCAGCCTCTAAAGTCCATAGGAATCCTCCAATTAACGAGGATATCTCAAGTTTCAGGATCCAGGAAAACCGTCTTTTGCTTCCAGGTGCAACTCTACATAGTATAAGGGGAACGGAAACGCAGCCTATTCGCTCGAGAGATAGATATCCAGAATCCAGATCCTTTACACGGTCTTTCCTCTTAGCCTCAAGTGACTCATTGAGGATAGAGATGATCTCAACTTTCAGCCCATTTCCAGGAGACGCACAATGCGTTGCAAACCCCCCGAACCAGGATATACCCCAGGCGTACGTCACGGAAACATTCAGATCATTATTTGACATTTGGGATATTCTTTTTATGCTCATTCCGTGTGTTTCTTTGTACTGAGTACTTTCTTAATCAACTAGAGCTTCATTTACAAGATCCTACAGATCGATCTGGATGCAGCCATCCCCAAAGATGTCACCATCTGTCCCTCTTTCATTTGTCAAAGTGGACACTACATGTAACTATGACGATCGCATACTGGCCAAACCTGAGGAACCGGTAACCGCTAGTTCTTAATGCCAGGTGATATACGGTGAGGCTGTTTTCCACAAGCCCTTGCGAATGAGGGGTTTCCGCCAGCCTTTTCCAGAACAATCATATAGTGTAGCAGCAGCAAGGCCTCTCCAGCAAGCCGGGAATCGAGCATTTGAATGTCTCCCCAAGATCCCAGACTGGCCGAGCAGATCTCTGGAGTACAAGCTTCATCTGTGGATATCAAACCAGCATAACGAAGGCGTTACTATGTATGTATTTATATGCATGCGCGATTTCAATGATCACACCCTGGAATATACCAGCGAGGGTTGGGTAGCTACGGCTAGAGGCGCCGGAGTGCTCTATGAAGAGTCAGAGTATTATTCTCAGGGAGTAAATCGATTTTTGCTGTCATAAAGGACATATAAATGGGCGATGCTTATGCAAAGCACAGTCTAGCTTTCGGAGTATCGACAATACTATGGAATTTAGTATTATTTTATAGTAATGGCATTAAATGTCAGAGGTAGATTGGTTTGTAGTCTGGAGAAGAATGACGGAGAAAAGTAGATATCACACGAGTGAAGTGGTGAATTGCCCTTTCGGGTAATTCCGACGTCAAAGCCAGAAACCTCAACGCCAACTTCAACTTCATCCTTTTTGATTCTTGAGTCTTTTCACAAACAGAGTGAACAAACATTAAGCTGTGCAACAGATGCGCTCCTGAAGCCGGTCTCAATGCTGCATGGAAGGAAAACCTCCCCCTAGGCAGATTTTCCTGAACATCCTACGGCCTTTTGAAGCCAGCCATGATCCTTTCTATCTTTTCAGCTCGACTCATACCAGAGATCAGCCCTGCATCAGAACCCTGTGGTGGCATTAAGTTCCTCGAATCATATCTGGTATAGGCAGGCTAACGACTTGCTTGTTCGATGCGACTTACGGTGAACCGTTCATCTGGTCATGGAGTTTCCTCGTCGAGATCCCGCTAACCAACTCCTAAGGGCGCGTGGCATATGCTAACTGGGGTTGGATTCTGAGAGGTATGGGAAGAAAATGGAAGCATAGTCGAACTGCGACTTGGGACTGTCCATGGAGCCAATAACGTATGGATGCATACGAGCTAGAGTAGCCAGGCGTGTCATTGTTTCGCGCGACAGTCAAGCAGGCCTCTTCGGTCATTGAAACCTCGTTCGATAACCGATGCCAATGGCTCTGGAAGTTGAGACTTTGGGGAATAACGACGTGTCCCGAACTAGGTCACTAGTTGAGGTGTATTTCAAATGGCTGGACCTGGCCAGTTGGACGGGATTCCTATGGCCAGCGTTTACTTTCAACCTTACAAATGATACACTCCTTGCTTCCAGAGTTAATTACTTATTGCTTCCAGGGTATCTATTAACTACTTCGACGGGAATGCCTCACCAGGCTCGAATCGGCTCATAACGGTGTACGATTGCATGCTGGTGAAGTTGCAGCAAGGGAGACAACCTTGGCCGCTCGCCGGTTGACATATAAACCTCTTGACAGAAGTCTAGCGCACCTCCTGCCTCGCCTCGCGAGCAGCCTCGTTCAAGAAACGGCTGGGAAAAAGAAACGTATTATTAATTGTTTTTTCCCTTTCGCGAATCCGAGCGTTCCATCTTGGCGCAGAAGTCGAGTCTGACACCCTGCAACAAGAACAAAAGAGCGATGCCGGCCTGTTGACAGGAGGAACCCAAGGAAAAGAAGGTCGCGTGAGGGAAACGGCCATACTCCGTACTATGTAAGTAACTAGAGAGCATTGGCACTGGGGTGACTTGGTGGAGATGCCGCTGGCCCTCCGCGACAGCAAAAGAAAAAGGCAGCAGCAGAAAGGGAGCGCCCAAGGAGAGGAAAAGAAAAAGTAAAAGGCGAGAGAGAAGGAATCAAACCGAGTTGGCATTGGACTTACACTTTAATAGGCTCGAGAACTGGGTCAATTGCTCTTGTTAGGCCTGCTACTCGAAGAAAATTCATCTACGCCTGGTGAGATATTTTCACAGGCCGAAAAATTTCTACGCGGCGGTTGCTACCAAATTCGACCTTTTCCCCCACCGAGGAAAAACTATCACTGTCTCTTTTTCTTTTCTCCACAGCCGTCAACCGTCATCATCGACCATCAACCGACAACGACATTACAGTCATCCAACTTTCGTCTCGCCATCCTTTCCCATCGCTCTCGTTTCGATGTATCCATGCGAAGGCCATCATACTCTACAGCTTGGCCCTCACTCTCCAGACGCCACTGAGAACCCCAGTCTTTGGTTATCCTCCCGTCGAAACCCCAGATCTAGCTACCTTCCGCGCTCTTGTACTCACAAGATTCAGCCGCCAGCCTCGTCTTTGCATACGTGAAATACGAAACGAATAAAAAAGGCATCCCTTTGGTCGAACAAACCCCCGCGCCCAGTCTCTCTGTGTACTAAGTACTGAGTACGGAGTACTTCAACACTCCCTCTGACTGTGACTTGCATTGTTCGACCTTCCAATCCTGCAATCTGTGCGCTGTGTCAGCTTTGCGAGCTTCGTTCAACGACTCCAATTGCTGCCGGCCCGGCACGAACATGTCATTGGTTTTTGAGCTCTGATCTCTGCTATTTGGATACGTTTACTGTCGCACGACATCCAACTCGAGCTATATACTCGCCACGGCCGCGTGATCCATCGCTGACCTCCCTTGACCTTCATTCTTCCCAAAGGGGGTCGTTTTCTTTTTTTAACCTGCCGTGAAACCTCAGCTCGATCCTTGACTCGTGCATTAGCGAACCGGCCAAGCTTCGCCTGGACCAGTTGAATCCAGGGCCGCCGCCGTGGTACTGCGATCTTACATCCTGAAACTCACAATCATAAGAAGAATAACCACCATTCTTGCGCCAGAGTGACTATCGCACTTGGACGGGGAAAGTCGACAAGTCCTGGACCGCTGAACGTGGGCATCGATCGTCCCGAAAAAGCAAAACGTCGAGCACACAGACTCTGGCTGCTGGACCGCAAAGCCTACCTCCCTCCCTGAGGGCCCTTGACGGCGCCACCACAGCTTCTGCGTCCCCTCACACACCGTTTGTTCTGAAAATACACCCCGGCCACTCACACGCAATTCCACGCTGACGTACAGACACGTTTTCTTGGGCCCAGAGCTGGCGGCGTTTCATCCACGTTCGTCTCTCATTTTGGTTCCTGCTCCATCGGGGGAGAAGGCACCGCGCCGTACCATCCCCAATTAAGATATCCACGTTATATAAATAGCTATAGCGGTGGACTCTTATTATGACGACTAGCTCCGGGGAGTGCTCAGACACCATGTCCCCGCACCAAACCACCGGCCAGGAATCGGACAACATGGCCGTGAATGGCGAGAATGCACAAGCTTCCTCCCAATATATACAGCTAAACAGCGAGGAGACAACTGATACGGTAGCAGCCGAGAAGAAAGCTGCTGCCGCAAAGGCAAAAGACCCTTCAAGGCCGAAGAGGAAAAAGGCAAAGAGAGCTTGTTACGCCTGTCAGAGGGGTCATCTTACTTGCGGTATATAATGCCCTTTCGTTCGTAGATAGATGAATTAACTAACGTGCTCCTTCCGCCCCTAGGTGACGAGAGACCGTGCCAGCGTTGTATAAAGCGTGGATTCCAAGATGCTTGCCACGATGGCGTGCGAAAGAAAGCCAAATACCTCCACGATGCCCCGAACGAGGCATTGATGGCTGGAGTGGGTGCGAGTCTTTATAACCAGAGGAACACGACGCAAAACAGCATCAATGGAGCAAACGCACCTTCTAGTGCTTCTCAACAGATAACTTCTCCCAATTTTTATAATGCACAACAGTCACCTGATTATAATGGCTATTCACAAACAAAGGCCGAACTGCAGGACAGTACAATAGGACCCGAGAACTTTGCCTCACAGTCTCCCGTTTCGCCAACATATCAAATGGGTCAACCCATGCCGAACCAAGGCCTCTCTCCCTCTCTCCCGCAATCTGCAAGCGAAACTCCATCAACGGCTAATGGTGCTCCGAGTCAATTCAACTCGGCCTTCTTTGACCCAAGTGACCCTGCCCTGTTCAACTTTGACCTTGCCAGCATGAACTTTGGGAACCACTATGGTGCTTTGGAATTTGGAATGCTTGGGCATATGGCGACAGGGGTAGGTGACACACCACCTAGCGATAACGGAGCCCAACGTGGATCAATTGGCCAAAACAGCTCCGGGACATTCGGGCTCGCTGGATCCAACTTTGCTGAGAGCCCTAGCAACCAGGGGCCCTATTTGTTCGGTGACTCTGGTATGAACGACTGGACGCAATCTGCACCCGTCAATAGGAGGAATATGTACGGTTCAAATGCAAACATGGTGGCGGGAAATATGTCAGACAAACCGCATGCGTTTGCCATTGAAAGTGCCCCGGCCAATTTCGCTAGCCCTGCTTCCAACGAAAGCCCGATGATGACAACCAGCTCCGCGACATTTGAAGACGCCGCTAATGCCACGGCATTTAATTCGAGACAAAATACATCCTTGCCACAGCAGCAGCAGCAGCAGAGACAACAGCCGGTCGTATCAACTCCCCAACTTAAGCAACAAAATTTAAACATTGGCAGCAGGCGCAGGCATAAAAATGCATCATCTATTTATGACAGTGTCAAGGATCCATACTCGTACACAAGTGGCTTTCACTCCTTAACGGCATTCATACAGCGCCGTTTCTCTCCGCAAAAGACGCTACGAATTGCCAAAGCATTGGCGTCGATTCGACCATCATTCATTGCGACAACCAAGACCCTCAATAGGGATGATTTGATATTCATGGAGAAATGCTTCCAGCGTACGCTCTGGGAATATGAAGATTTCATCAACGCGTGTGGCACACCGACCATAGTCTGCCGACGAACAGGTGAAATCGCTGCCGTGGGCAAAGAATTCAGCATCCTTACTGGCTGGAGGAAGGAAGTCCTCCTAGGCAAGGAACCAAATCACAATGTCAACACTGGTGGTTCATCAGGTTTACTGACTGGCTCAACATCACGAGGAAGCTATACACCGCGGCCATACAGTTCTGATCAATTTAACTCCAGCACGACGGCTACACCACGAACGCAACCGGTCTTTCTGGCTGAACTTCTAGACGACGACAGTGTCATCGAATTTTACGAAGACTTCGCCAAACTTGCCTTTGGCGACTCCCGCGGCAGCGTAATGACTACATGTAAGTTGCTCAAATACAAGACAAAAGCAGACAGCGGCGTTATCGCCAGTGGTAATGGCGAAGTTGGTGCCGCACAGAACAATGAAGTGGGCAGCGGCGAAGCAAACGAGCTCAACAGCAGTAGTAATGGCACCACGTCGACCGGGAGAGGACAGCGTCGTTGGGGCAAAGGTGAAATTGCCGGTGAAGCCGGCATGAACCAGCTCGGGTTCCGTGACGGGAAGGTTGAGTGCAGCTACTGTTGGACGGTAAAACGGGATGTCTTTGACATCCCCATGCTTATAGTCATGAATGTAAGTGTGCATCTCTCTCTACACTTGACGATCCTAGCCTGACGGATTCCAGTTTTTGCCCTGCATATGAACTTCGACCGTTCTTCTCTATATATCCCTGTGTTTTCTTTGTTTTTGCTCTCACTTTCATTCAGCTGCACTTACAATAGCGACTATAGGGGGAAATGGAGTGTATGGAGGTGAGTATGCATACAGCCGGGGAAATGGCGTCAAACTCTTTTGGGCTTTATTACAGGAAACTAACCGTCCCTCTTTTACTATTCTTTCTCTGTTTATTAATTTTTCTTTTTCTATTCCGTCCTTCTCTCTCGAAGGGAAAACGCTGGACTCGCTCCGTGTTTTCTTCCCGTTCCATCTCCAGGATGCAAGGGGCGACAAGATTCACAAGGGGAGGGGGGAAAGGTGAACATAATAACGTCTGGGCAACCAAACTACCAAGCTTTTAGGGCCCTTGTTAAGGATTAAAAGAACAACTCATATACATAGAAATCAAGCATTATCACTTACATCTTCTTCCCTGCCTGTTTGCCCGTATTTATCCCATCCCCTGCGGCTGCATAAGGGAGATAACAACACCGATAAAGCCCGAAGTCGCCGACTAGTTATTTAGATATTGACAACAACCAGAAGATCTGCCCTGTTGAAACAGTAGTATTAGTATAAAAAACATCTCTTTGTCTCCATTCTCAATCCTGACACGAGGAAGATAAAAAGACTTGAAACTGAAGGTATGAAGATGCCAAACCTCGATCCAACTTTTGGCGCTGATTTTGACTGAAGCAAGCAGAGAACAACCAGACCAAACCCGACCAGTTATTCACTGTATCGATAATACCAGCAGCATGTGCAGACCGGCTACCTGTGAGGTTTGCGGTTCGTCTTCTCATCTTCTCATCTCCTTTCTGAGTGTCTAAGCTACCGACGGATACGCGGGGGAGGGGCAGCGGCTAACATCAGTCTTATATCTACATCTCTACAGCCCAAAAGACCTGGAAAGGATGCGGTCTTCATGTCCCCGGCGTCCTGGACAGCGTACCAAAGGAAGAATGGTGTACCTGCGTGCCGAAGAAGACGGTCAACGACAAGGAGTATCCCCCAATGGTCGGCAAGGGGCATAAGGAGGGCGAAGAGCCACCGAAGCAGACAGAATGACTATCCGGCCTCAGGGGAACAATAAACTACTTGAAGAGCATCTTTTAGACACCTGTCACTGCTGGCTTTTGCTATTTAAGCATATACAAGATCAAGTAATAGACCGATATATCTTTTTCTTCTTCTTCTCCTTGCCGTATCTATGAAATCCATCGAAAGTGCTGGAATCACATGACGAGTTTTTGAACGACGATGTTGAAGTCATCGAGAACGATGAAGATAAAAACAATAGACAAAGATATAAAGAAGAGAGAAGAAAAGCGATCTAGACACCTTAGAGTCCTTTACAGGCCAGCGGATAGACACTCAGATAAGGCCTTCTACATAACTACGCCCTACAAGATGCGACCAGAAGGCCCAAGAGATGACTTTGCCGGTCCTGATACTGGCCCAGAGGCACCGTTTCCCATCCGCATGTCCGGGCCAGTGATCAAGGGCTTTGGAAGAGGCAGCAAAGAGGTAAGGCAGTTCCATATATATCTTCATCTTCTTCTCCGGACATATCTTGTTTGCCTGTATCCCGCCGTCTCTCTGTTTATACCCCTCCACAGCTCAGTTTATCTAGACGCTCAAGAAAGAGACAGATAACCGCATAAAACCATCCAATTCCAAACGCTCAGCTATATATATATATATATTCGATTACCATGCTCACCAGACTCACAGCTTGGTATCCCAACCGCAAACATCCCCGCCGAGTCACTATCGGAGCATCCTGACCTCCAGCTCGGCGTATACTACGGCGTTGCAGCCCTTGATCCAGCGCAGTTCAAGCACACACGCACAGAAGGTGATGCCGCTAACCAGCCTGCAAATACGGGTACGGCCATCTTTCCCTGTGTGCTGAGCATCGGCTATAATCCGTTCTATAAAAACACCGTCCGCTCAGTGGTACGTATATATTGTTAGCTGCCATCTATTCCAACATACTGACCATCACCACACACCAGGAAATTCACATTCTACCTCATCTGTCAATGCAGTCATCTCCCCCCCCTGCGTCATCTGCAGAGGCTTCTGAACGCCCGCAGTTCCACCATTTCCCCGACTTCTATGGAACGCCACTTAACTTGCTGATCCTCGGCTATATTCGACCGGAATATGACTACGTAAGCCGTGAAGCGTTGATTGACGATATTCGCATCGACTGTGATGTGGCGAGGCGAAGCTTGAAACGAAAGGCATATGCTGTCTTTTTGAATGACGAGGAAACCAGTGACCAAAAGGCTGATGAGGCAAGGGCGTGGCTGAGGAGGTTTTAGGTCTGTAAATAAGACTAGTTAGTGATATTATCGGTAACTCTCAGTATATAGTCTGGGATAGACCTCTGGCGTCTCAAAAAAGTAGTGTGAAATTTTTCATATTTTTATTCGGGTTGTTTCTATAGCCAGCGCAAATATAGTAATCGTACTTGCAGAGAATGACCAACTAGGAACAAAGAGCACCTCCGAGAATGAAAAGAATATCTTAGGTCTAGCCATAGGAACAGGAATGTAAAAGGGGTATGCAAATAGGAAAGCGCTTAAATGCCAGACAAAACACAAAAAACAGCTGGTGATCGTAATCATAGCTGGATAAGGTCAACTTCCGAAAAGTCAGGAGGGCTTCGACTGAATATGGCCCGACACTTGCCATCCAACGCCTGGTACTCGTTACTAATCCAAATGTGCTTCGTCAGTCTCTGCGTGCGGAAGATCTCGTCGTCGCTAACACCCATATCATCTCGTGGTATCCAGATGACTGGACGTCTAATCCGTAGTGCCTCATGCTGAAACGCCCTTTGTACAAGCTGATCACGCTCCTCAGGAGTTAGGTCTTCAAGCTCGTCGTGGATGCCTGAGAATAGGGACTGGCCGATAGCATGGGTAGGGGCAGCCTGTGACTCGGTATCAAGAGCGAGCTTCTTGCGTATAGTCCGGAGAGTTGGCATGGCGGCATCAGAACGGCCACCAAAAAATGGTGACCGGCTATTCGACGACCGGTCAGCCCAGGATTTCCGTTTCAGCTTCTTCGTCGAGCCTACGACGCGATTGAGCCGGGAACCAAGGAAGAGAGGAGAAGACGGTTGTTGCCGCTGCTCCTTGTCCATCTCACTTAACTCAATTGCTTCATCCTTTTCGCCGTCCTTTCGGTGACCCTCCGTGTCTGACTCTTCGTCTTCCTCTTCGATCCCTAATCTACGCCGTTGGGCGCGAGCAAACTCTTCATCACGCCGAGTAGCCTCATCTTCAAGGGTAATGGGCAGGTAGAGCGACAAAGGGTTGAAAGCCTCATTCAAGAAATATTGGAAAAGTGCGGTGAGAATCAAAACGACTATCATGCAGATAGCTTGGCCTTCGCACGCAACTTCTTTCTTTTCGTCCCTGACGAGGAAGAACATTCCGATAAGACAGACCTCCATCACGTAAAGACCCGTAAAGAGTTGGTTTATTGCCCGAGGGAACAATAAACCACCTGTGTCAAAACGGAATTTCGTAACGTAAAGGGTATTATACCGATATACGACCCAGAAGAGACTAAACGTGAGGACATTGAAGACCATAATAAGGGGCGAAATGATACAGTATATCAGCCCTAGATCAATGTTAGCAAAAGAGCGTCAAAACCTATAGAGCCACAAAACTTACCAATCGATGCCAGCGTGGTGTAAACAGGGAAGAAAGTTCCCCACTGCATCTGGTTGAGATTCGTTGCTCTCGCCCATTTCTTTCTTGCAGTATTATCCAGGATAGGTGCGAGAATAAACCAACTTATCAAAGCAAAGATCTGAACCAAAGCACCGGCACTTACAGACATGGCCTGCAGGATCATGTAGGAGAAGAAATAATTGCTGGCCTTGGGTATATTCTGGGCCAAAAGATCGGGTACACTTAGCACATTCTTCAGCGAGTCAATTATAGTTGAAAAGCTCGAAGAAATAGAGACAACGAGGAAGATCTGGACAAATAGGAAGGCAAAGTAGTAGTTTTGCACGGTTAATTCGATAGCCATACCAGTATGGACACCTTGGTTCCTAGACAAGAATCGAAGAACAAGTGGCAGAAGAGCCATGAGGATTGAGAGAAACAGGGGAGGAAGGATTCCCTGGATTGCCGATAGCAGCCACTGAGGAAGCTTACCGAGCCATCGTAGCCAAACAAAATGAACCTCTAGGTATGATAGCTGCGACAATAAACCGGTAAAAGCGACAGGAAAGGCCCAGCCGATCACCATGGCCCCCACAATAATCATCACACCAAACGTTCTGATGTATCGTTCCCACCATTTAATGGACATGTTGTCCCAGATAACGTCATCAGGAGAGATTTCTACCATGCGAGGGGTCATCTGCTTTGGGATATGATGGCTGACACTCTGGCAGGCCATGTGGGCAGCAACCTGGTGGTTAAACTGTACAAAGGCTGAATTCATAAGGGGAAATTTCTCTGGGTGTTGCTGGTCGATCTCGATTTCAAGATTCAGTCGAGCAAGCTCCTTTCGGCAGTGGTAGATAGTGTCGACCTTCTTACCCAGAAGCGGGAGAGAGGGCATCCAGTCCCAGCCAAATATGGGCAGACGCATAGTATCTCGGTCCTTTTCTCGAATATACTTCTTCCAGGCGGGTTCGCCATAGTTGCCCTCCTCATACTCTTCGTTATATGCCACGGGATACTCTTTGTCGACGTCATATTCATCCTTTTTCTTGTCTTTGCCGTCTTTTTTGGAGTTCTCGGGCTCACTAGATCCCAATTCGGGACTCGCCATGGTTAATGGACGACCATCATCGTGACGCTCAAAAACGGTTCCGTCCATACCCATAGGGTTATTCGCATGAGAAGACCCGGAAGGCCGTGGCTCTGCGTTATCGATGTCATGTTCTGTGTTCTGCTGGGGATCTGATGTCGTTCCTCCACTGTGATTATGACGGTGAACGCTTCCAAACTTCTTCAAGCCGCCGACGACGGTATGTCCAACTTTAGGAATGATGGCACCAACTTTTTGTACTTTGTCACGTTTCTGGCGCAATAGGTCCTGTACAGTGTGCGCGGTTTGCTGTGGGTCTCCAGAACTGATACCGGCGCCTTCAACCAGCTGAGTGGTTCTTCGGTCGTGTTCAGCTTGGATTCTCTGTTTGCTCTCTTTTGTCTGCTTCCCTTCTTTCTTGGCCTGAGCCCTGAGCTGTTTCAGGTGAGCTCGTTTGCACTTCTTTATCAGCTCTGTTTGTGCAGACTCAAGGGTGAACGCCAACTGATTCCGTAGCTTAATTTTGGCGTTTAACTGGTCAAGATCTCGGTTAAGCCAGATATTACGAACACCACCGGGGAAGACGTCAAATAAGGAATCAAGCGCCTCAACCGACAGCCACCTAGTGGGGATGGAGGTGACCAGTACCGTCGTCGCAGAAGCTCGCAGACGGTGCTGTGGAGAGGTCAAGTAAGACTGCCGTAGCCGTATGTAGCCCCTGAACTCGTCGAAAAAGATGGCACAGACGTACACGACCACGATGACGGCGAGTATCAGGTGTGCCCAATAACGATGATTGTCCTCCGGCCTGACATTTCCCCAAGCCAATTGATCCAGTCCGGTGACATTATAGCGAACCATGAAGCCATTATCATAGGGGTCTATCAGGCTTCTATCTCTACCGCCGACTTTGTTCACGGGGATCAGGATGGGAAGGATGATAATCGAGAGAGGGATAAAGATCTTAAGTAGCATCCGTAGATAACGTAGGAAGAAGTAGGCGTCCAGTCCACATTTCTTGATGAATTCCGAGTTCGACGTCCGAAAGACAGGAATAATCCATCGAAACAGGCCAGCTGGCGATGGTGCTGTTCGCTCTCGTTCAGGGACCAGATACGTGCGAGGTTGACTATGAAAGGGTTAGCCATCAGCACCACAGCTCAAACAGCCAAATTGCCATATCTTCTGACTTACTATATTCTGGTCAGCTTGCTCTTAAGGATCAGGAAGATGACGAATTCGACAGCGAAGATGATGATGGCCGTCGCCAGCGAGGCGAGAAAAGTCGATATGGAGATGCCAGAGGAACGCTGGCCTGTCCCGCTCTGCGAGTCGATAGCATCTCCCACGCCCGCCATCCTTGAAGCTGTTAATTCTCACACTGATCTCTCTCTCTCTCTCTCTCTCTTGACGCTGCTGGCTCTGGGTTTGAAAGAGTAGAGATAATTGAGGTGGTTGCTTGTTGTTTGCCGCTGCTAGCTGTGCATGATTTCTAGGGATGAGGATGAAGATTGAATATAAAGATAAAACAACATGAATGAGTGAAGGGCAAGAGAATGACAAGCTCCAAGTCTCCTCAATCACTGCGACTGAGCCAACAGATCTTCTTCTCCTCCTTTGACTGAGATGAAAGGGCAAAGAATATAAAACATCGACTTTCAAGGATCAAGGAGCAAAAAAAAAAAAAAAAAAACCAAGGGAAATCACAACCCCAGACAGGCTCAAAGTCTTTCTTCCTCCGCTCCAAACAACCTGACGACTCTTATATCTCCAGGGCCCGCCATGGAGGATATGTATGAGAATATAATACGACGATGATGGCCTGTGGCAAGTGTGGTGGAACTGCAGCGTCATTCTCCATATCAAGTGGCCATTGGCCGTTGGATCAAATCAAGGATGACCCTGGAATTGAACAGAAAAAAGCAAACATATCATCAACCGTCCAAGATGACATCAAAGGCGCCTAGCGAAACCTCGGTTGCTTCAGCTTGACGGGACGAACTATTTATACAGCCGCTGTCAGTTGTTCCTGGCGCTTACTGGCACGGAAGACTAGAACAACTCGGGGGAAACATTCGGGTTAATGGAGAGACAGCTATCACTGTTACTAGTCACCGGTCTGGTTCCTGGTCACCCAAATGCCGTCTCGAAGTGGCGTTCTTAGGATGATACCGAGCTGCAGCGGTTGGCTCTTTTCCCCCAGTCTGATATCGATGTTTACGCCTCAGCAGAACGGGGCAAAACCATACTCAGAGGCTTTGAAGATTGGAAGCAAAAGCGAGATCTCATGAGCTTGACGCTTTCAAGATGAGATTTAGACGGATAATCATTTACCATCCCATAGTGAGATAAATGATGCGGCTTATAGCTAAGGAGATACATCCGTAGACATATGTTTCCGCTATCTAAACCACTGCTTATATGATTGATACCATCGAGATGTCTCCATAAATTAACAATATTTAAGTATCATCGCCTCCCTGTGATGAATGACGTTGATTGACCAACTTTACGACAACTTGATATCCTTTCATACAAAACTGCCAACAGCAACTTGACTCGACGCCGTTGACGAGGATATATGTAGAGGGCTCACCAGCAAGTCATAATGCTTCCGTTTCTTCAGCCACCTAATCCTCGTGAACAGAGCCATGTCACTGCTTCCTGTCTACCGAACATGAAGTCACTCGCTGCCAAAGCCCTCCATCCGCGGCGCCATTCGCTGCATGAGAACACCCAAGCTCAGTATAAACTAGCTAATATTCGCAGCGAGCTGCATTTTTCATGGGATAAAACAAATCCAAACATTGTCATTGCCGCAGACAGTGCTGATTTTGACCCTTTGATATTTGAGGAATTCAAGGAAGAAGGGTTTGATATTGCACTTCTTCCACATACAGACAGCCCCAAGAGATTTGACTCCCAGTTACAGGGCTTGCAGGATTCAATGGAGTTTGGAAACAAGTATGCCATAGTGGGTGGGTTATCCGGCTGCTCCCTGGATTGCAATTGAATGGTTTATTACCACTCTGTAGACTCTCGTCCTCCAGAGTTCGACAGGTACTGACAGGCTATATAACTATTGTTTTTTCAAACACTTTTCAGCATACGGTGAAGCTGCAGCTCTGGTTCTAGAGGCCTGTGTAAAACCTATGCCTAGGCTATGTGCAGTTGTGGCATACTATCCAACCCGTCTACCCAACTTTGAAGCCAGGAGCATCTCGTCTCTCAGCCTGAAGATTCACCTGGCTGGGTCACAGTCGCTGATACCTATTGGCAAAGGAAGATGCTACGCATACGCCCATTCTGAAGTTGGATTTGCCCAGCATGATTCGCCACAATATGACCCTGTTACCGCGCGGCTGGCATGGACGCGGACTGTAGCCTGTCTCAGAGAAGGGTTTGAGATGAAGGCGGATTTGGAACCTGTATGGGAGAGACATCTTCTAATGAAGTATGCTTCCAAGGACCTTGAAGGTACCTTGGATTCGTATGCTGACGGAGCACGTATAAACTACGTGCCTACCAACACAGGAGGTTAGCCCTTGAATCTCTTCGATGAAATGATTCCCTTGAAGTTATCAGTTTAACACGTACGTTGTTGCCTAGGTATCGGCCATGATGAGCTCCGTCACTTTTACGAAAAGGAATTCATTCCTCGAAATCCACCGTCATTGCAGATCAGGCTTATCTCTCGAACCAAGGGGGGTGACCATGTCGTTGATGAAATGTATCTATCCTTCCAACATACGCAGGAAGTCCCCTGGATTCTCCCAGGGATACCACCAACCAACCAGACTGTGGAAATAGCCATTGTCAGCGTGGTAAGTTTCCGAGGAGAGAAGATTTGCCATGAAAACATATACTGGGATCAGGCAAGCGTTTTGGTTCAGGTTGGGTTGTTAGATGAGGCCCATATACCACCAACATTTAACCCCGTTACGAATGGTATAAATGGCCTCCATGGAGTCAGAAATCTACCAGTGAGTGATGTCAACAGTGCGAGGAGAATTTTGCAGGAGTAATTGGGCAGTAATATGTCGTTCTGTCCCTTGCTACAATCTACATTGAACAGGCTTTTCCTAACTCTTGTTAATAACGTGTAACTACTTGCTATTTGGGAAGAAGCGTCGGGCTATATTTGAATATACGGAGTTGAAATAATTACTTGCATTTGTAGATGGTTTATCTCCTATGGTACACTTCTAGCGAACTCAGTTCTGTTACTTCTGGTAGAGCTGGCCCTACAATGACTCCAATAGCGGAGCAAGCTGAGATATTTCAGGGCTCACAGAATGCTTGCTTTTTATAGTCATAGCACTGGCCCTCTGCGCAATTGGAATGACATCTTCTATCCGTACTTCACAGTCTCGTCCACCTCTTCCGAGAGCAGCAACCACAACACCAAGCAGGGTATCACCAGCACCGTTTACACTGACAATATCAGCATCTGCAAGTGTCTCTTCCGGCGGAAAAAGACGCATATAAACGCCTCCCACTGGGCTATCATCTATCTGCCCTCGGCCAAGAATATACGGTGCATATTCTTTCATGCTGAGTCGTTCGTCACCAGGCCACAGGATTTGAGTCAATAGTACACCCTGAGGACCCAACTTCGTCAATATGCATGGGATCAACGGAAGAAGCTGTATGCTCTGCTGAGGTATTCCCTCGTTGACAAGCTCCGCATTTGTAAGTGATATTAGACGGACCCTTGAGCCATTACTAGGTAACTGAAGGGCGTCTATGATACGCCACCACTCGGGGCTGTCGAAGTGGCCGGTGTCTCGGGCCGCAGCGTGCATAGCAGCTAGCTCATACCTATTCGGTGTTGCCAGGTCAATTACATGGCTATCGGGAGCCATGTCAGTCGCCCTTATGACTGGAGGGTGGCTCGATGTGTCGTTCTGTCGATAGAACAGCCTTGAAGCCTTCGGTACAGAAACCGGTTCAAGTGCTATTTTCATTCCCTGTCGTTTGCAAAGCTGTATCCATTCAGTGGCAGCCCTTGATCCCCAATTGGCGTCAACAACAGCCCATGAAGGTGGCACTGCCTGCTCTCGGATCAGGGGTTCCCAGAAAGTGTCAAAATTTAATTTGTTTTCCGGAAGTTCGAGAATGCTCATGTCTGCCATTGCGATTATCAGATCCTTCTTTGCATCATTGACGGCAATGTACTGAGCTGTTCTGGCATCGGGCGCTGAAGGCAGTAACTGTACGCCTTCTGACTGGAAGAAAGGGTTATATGTATCTTGTATATCACTAAGCGCACTACGTCCGCTGATATCGTCTGCAACCACGCTGCAGAACATTACGGAGCTGCCCATATAGCTTGCTGCCAGGGCTACATTGTGCCCAACGCCCCCCAAGGTCTGAGTTACGATCGAAGGATTGGAAGTTTGTAACTTAGGTGAACCATTGGCTCCGCCATTTGATAATGGAGCATAATCGCATGCTAGATCAACTGCAAGAGATCCAGCTACCAGCAGATCTGGTTCGTCTTGGACTAATTCTTGCGTTGAAGGAGAGACCGCGTATTCAGACGACTCAACGTAGTCCTGGGACTCTTCGGCATGGGCTTGATTTATTGGAATATTGACAGCTAAACTGCTATATCTAACATGAAATAACATTCACAATCAGCTTGCTAATCCTCGTAGCCCCAAAAAAGACTTAAGGAGTGCTAAGCTCACCGATCCGCGTCTTTGCCGTGTTCCAACTCTAATTTCGCAAGCTCGATGGCTACTTTAGTGCCTACCTCCACATTGTATTCGACAAGAGCTCTGTTCGTCGCCACACTGCGTCCACCGCTGAGCTCTTCAATCTTAGCTAAGACATAGGGTGTGTTATCGCTTCCTTGGATGCCTTCGATGTGAGCAAGTTCAATGGCCCGAGTGATGATAGCGTCCATCTCTGGCTTGGGAAACGAGTGTTCTTCTGGCACAGGGTTGGTGAAGAGCATTCCTGACTTAAGCTGTAATTGTGACTGGGCATCTAGAGAAGGGAAGTTAGAAATGTCAAGCCCAGGATCTTATCAGATGTAGAAACGTACAGATGATAGCAGCAGCATCTTGTTCGTTTTGGATGACCCTAGGAGCCTTGATGCCACTGTCTCGAGTGAAGAATGCTGGGAAGTCGACGTCTCCCTTGCGTCCGTCTGCAAAGGCTGCAACAACCACACCTTCGGTTTCTAGATATTCTAGGGTTCGTTGGATGTCCAAGAAGCTCTTGCAGCCAGAGCTGACAACGGCCACAGGTGTACGTCCAAGTTCGGTGAGGTCAGCTATACATCGTCAGCACATTGATGTCCTCGTTGCATGTCTTGAGGGGATCTCACCTGAAATATCCATGGATGTTTCTCCTCCTCGGTGAACTCCACCTATAGCTCAGTTAGATATGCCACAGTCATATAATGGACATAACATACCTAGTCCTCCGGTAGCAAAGACCTTGATTCCCGCAAGGTGCGCTAGAATCATCGTCCCAGCAATAGTAGTTCCGCCGTTCATTAGGTTACCCCGAATTCCCTAGAATCTAACGGTCAGCACCAGGCCTATGGAAACAAAGGCAGTCATATTTACCGCTCCACAGATATAACCAAGGTCCCGACGGGATACTTTGTGCACTTTTGTCCTCTGTGAGGTCGATGCTAGCTCTGTCAACTCCGTCTCGTTCATTCCAACGCGCGCAATCCCGTCGATGACTCCAATGGTCGCAGGCACACCGCCGGTCGACCTCACAATAGATTCAAGGCGCATGGCAAGATCCACGTTATCCGGGTAAGGGAATCCTACCGTGGTATCAAGTTAGTCTCGCAGTATTATCTCTCCATGGATGATGGGCCCATACCGTGTGTATAGATGGTCGTCTCTAGCGCAACAACGGGCTTCCCGGTAGCTATCGCATCCTCCACCTCTTCAGACACCTTCAGGAACTTGTCCAAGCCTGCCAGAGCTGGGCGACTGTAGTGACGAGCTCTCCATGCTGGAGCTCTGAGAAACCTGCTGGCGAGCGCACTTCTGGCCCGTAAGACTGCTAGAGACATAGCTATATTAGAGATGCAATAAACAAACTAGATCGTCAACTAGTGGCCATAATCAGAGTCCCTCTTATGCTCATGGCCGTCCTTTTTATATTTATATTTTCTTTTGCTTCTTCTTCCCCCCAGCAAGCGAGGTTGTTCAGTTTGTCGTCGATGTTTGACCGGAGTTTGGCCGGCGCCCTCTTTAGCGCTTAAGGCGACCGTTTAGATAATCGCAGTTCGATGTAAATACAATCGACATCAACAGAACAACCACAGAACGACGGGAAGAACCTGGGACTCGCCTTGATATCAGCGGCAGGCCTTTAGGTGTCCCATTGGGCCGGATTATACGCTATGAAGCTGCTCGCCGCATTGCTGCTCTCGTGCGGCTTTCTCTCTGCGACAGCTGCGAACACCACAGCTAAAGAGCCAGCTGTACAGATCCTACCGAAGAACTTCAGGCCGCCGCAGGTCTTTCAGAATAACAATCTGGTCCGTATAATCAACCTGGAGAAAAGCTATGCGCGGGAGTCGATCAATGTTGTGATCCAAAATGTCGACAACAAGCCGCAGTCAGAGTACTATGTGGCCTTTCCGGCAGACACCATCAGCAGAGTCGGAGGCCTTGAGGGATGGCCGAAGGACTCGGTAGAGAAGAAGAAGTTCAGAGTCACTTCGACACAGGAGCTTCCTTCAAGGTGAGAATTGCTCCCTCAAGTGCTGACTGGTCGAAGAGGAAACGGTTCTGTTCTGACTTGTCTATATAGCTCGCATCAATTCTACATCGTACACCTCCATCAACCTCTCGAGCCCTCTGCAAAGCTGACCATTACTCTATCATACCACCTACAATCTGCTCTTACTCCTATTCCCGCCGCCATTGAGCAGGATGGCAAGCAATACCTCTCTTATACATTTCCCCAATTCGTCCCATCCGCCTATACCACCAACAAGCAGAAAACGACCGTCAAATTCCGTGGATCAGATATCCCGGATTACACCAAGACTTCTACGCTCAAGGCTGAGGAGGATCCCAAGCGTGAGGGTAGCACCTTTACTTACGGCCCTTATGACCTGGAAGTCAAGCCAGGTGCTAGTGCACCTATCACGGTTCGTTACGAGTACACCAGACCCGTCGTTATCTGCACACGCCTCGAACGTGATATCGAAGTATCCCACTGGGGTGGTAACCTGGCGACTGAAGACCGATTCTGGTTTAGAAACGATGCAGCCAAACTAAATAAGCAGTTCTCGCGGGTTGAATGGACAAAGAAACAGTTTCATAACGCACCAAGCGTAGCCTTAAACCTGATCAGAGTACCACTTGCTCCAGGATCCGTGGACCCTTACTTCATTGATGACATCGGAAACGTCTCAACCAGCCGATTCCTCCCATCAACCGAGACCCGTCCCGGCCTTCTGGACCTGAGGCCACGTTACCCTATCTTTGGTGACTGGAAGTACAGCTTCAAGATTGGCTGGAACAACCCGCTCTCTACTGTTCTACGTAAGCAGAAAAACGGTAGCGGGGAGTCCTACGTGCTTAAAGTGCCGTTTATTGATGGACCAAAGATGCCAGAGGGCGTGCAGTACAAGGACCTTGAAATCCGCATCATTCTCCCCGAAGGGGCGGAGAATGTAAAGTATGAAATTGTTGACGGATTAGGAATTCCTAATCACATCCGCTCCGAGATTTCCTTCTTAAAGACCTTTTTAGATACCAAGGGAAGGACAGTCCTGAACCTCTCGGCATCCAAAGTTGGAGATGAAGCAAAGGATGGTTATCTAATTGTATGTCCAGCCAAGTCATGAACCTGTCTGTGCTTGCATATGTTTAAACTGACTACTAACCATTGACCAGGTAACATATGACTACCCCTTCTTCGCTTCCTTTAGAAAACCACTGAGCATTTTCGGCGCCATAATTGCAGTCTTCACTGCCGCATGGGTCCTTGGCAATATTGATGTTAGCATTAAAAAGAGGTAGACTCGGGATGGCATTTTTTATTCTTGAAATTTATTGTACACCCTACCATCCTCTTTGCCCTTCCAATGAAAAAAAGATTGTTACGACATGCTTATTCCAAACAAACATTAGGATTGTTCCTACTTCATTGATCAGGGTGCGGAAAAGGTTGTACTTATTTTATATCAAGCGTCAAAAGAAACGCTTTCAGGGCTTTGGTAAATAAGACGTTTTTAAACCATAAGTATAGACATGGATAGGAGCTACACAATCATACTAGAAACAGCAGAGCTACTCAAAGGAGACCAAACAAACATATAGACGGGCAGGGTATGAACACAGAAAAGCCAACTGGGCCCTTCTCGTAAAGCTCGCTGATAAAAGCGAGAAAAACATCTGGGGCAGATGCTCTTATATGTATATACATAACCGGAGGATTCAGAAATTGCCGCTTACAAGCTACTGGCGATCATGTATGTACCTGTGTTGTTAGCACTTCCACCAGACCCAAATAGGCCGCCGGCTTTGGCTCTCAATGAAAAGTTGATAATAACTGAAACGACCACGCCAAGGCAAAGGAGGGTTGGTCCCCATTTCTCATGATACACTCTCTTAACGTCTCGCTGCTTGCGGATCTTATCAACGCGCCACATGTACAGAAGGAAACTGTAGACGAGCAGTAGACAGGCCATGACGGTGAAGGCCCAAGCGGTGATGATGCTGATGTTATCGTGTCCGAAGTTGAGAAGCGTGAGGGCAATTCCGCTGACATAGATGGAGAATTCAAGCCAGGAGAGGAACGTACGCTCAACAGCAAAGAAGACCTTAGGTTCAACTCGCACTGGGACATGGATTCCTAGAACGTTGTTAGAGGCCGTATACACATATAAAATGGATAAATATAGATAACTTACTCTTGCCCTTGGGAGCCTTGAACTTCTTAACCTGAATGTCATCCCCCAGAATACGACGATTACGGCCACCGCCAGCACCTTCTGGTAATTCGGTGGGCTGAGGGAATGGGCGGAGGTAACCAAGGAATTGAACTGTGTTGCGGCCAGCGGAATTGAGATTATACCTGGCAAGCTTGTAGTAATACTGCCAGCCACCAACCTGTCTGGCCTCATCCAGTTCATCCTGAGCATTCGACTCATCCTCAGAATCATATAGTGGGTAGTCGTTACCACCAAGGAGGCCGTCAGCGGCGATACGCTCCTCGATATCCAGGAGGTTACGAGGAGCCAGCATGTTGTCAACCTCAGTCACAGCATATCCGTTCGTCGCATTGTCCTGATTGTCTTGATATTGCTGCATACCAGAACCGCCTGCCTGGGTTGTTCCATTGCTGCCATCAACGCGGATTCCACCCTCATCATCAGATTCGTCATCGTCTAACATGTCATCACTGGTCGATTGGTTAGACTGAACGGGCCGTTCAATACCAAAGCCAGGGGTGACTGGTTTACGAATATCAACGTCCATCTGAGGCATCCAGAATGGAAGGAGATTGATACGATCTGGCATGAGGGTTGCGGTGCCGTGGATGAATTTACTGAACTTTGGCACGGCTTCAACTAAATGACTTGACGTGAGCTCTTTAATCCATTGTGGAGGTTCCTGGCCAGCCTGAGTCTGGAGCTTGACTTCAAGAACGGCATAGGGGAATCGTTCAACGTCAGCAGCTGGAAGTTGTTTAAATGGATAGTCAATTCCTATATCCATACGACGCCAATTCTGGCCGCATCGTTGACGACCATCGAGGTTGTCTTCTCGGATCATTGTGAGCTCCGTGTCCAAAGAGACACGAACTCTGGCATCACCCGGAAGCTGGAAGGCAGTCCGGTGGTAGAATGATCTGTTAACTGGAACAAGTTGTCGGGTGATGACGCGATACTGAATCTCTCGAGCTAGCTGTTCCCAGTCCGCGATCTGTTTCTCGCTCTTCTTACCTTCCTTCCGTGCCTTTTCAAAAATGGATTCAACAGTCATTCGCCCTTCCAAGTAAGCATTGACATATTTCTCCTTAATCGGGAACCGAGCCTTGACAGATTTCTCTCCAGTCCAGTCTTCGCGATGGGTTTTACGCTCAACGAAGATTTGATCATTTTCCATACCTCCATACCATCTGAGACGAATGGCTTCAGCTCCTTCTGTCTTCTTCAGTCGCCCAGTATATAACTCCCAGGTATCGGTATTATCGTAGTATATCGAAGAAATAGCAGCATCGCTTTCTTCAAACTCTTTCGAAGCGTTGAACACAAGGACGGGAAGATGCTTTAAGATGATAAGCTTGAGCTCAGTAATGTTATCAGGATGCACCCAGTACTTGGTGGTTTGGCGGACAAAATTTTGCTGTGATCCACCAGCAGCACTGTCTCCCTCGACAGGATGGCCCTTGGTCCTGACCAGGTCATAGAGCTTTGACAACTTGACGACAAACGCATCATAATTGTCCTTGAAAAAAGGCTTTGCCCTCAATCGAGCAGCGAATACTGGCCTGAGACACCAATTTGTTTGTTTCTAATCCGTATTAATCCACTGATCAGCGAAAGAAAGAAAAAAAAAAATGCCTGATATGGATAAGAGATGGCTCACATCGTGTTTCTTGATAATCTTTTGGAAGCCGGTATAGTTCAATTGAGTGTATTTGGCGAGATCATGAACATCGGCAATAACATCACTCAAATCTTCCTCGAGTAGCAAGAAGTCATCATCAGTGGGAGGGGGTTGTCGACTTCTCATGGAACCAGAGGCCACAGACCGGTCCAATCGGCCAACCACCTCACTCACCTCTTTATCGCTCGCCTTGATGCGACGGACGATCTCATCACTCTTTACCTTCTGAAAGGTGAAGACCTTGTCAAGCTCGCTCTCCAGCAAAGCGACAAACCGCCTCTCATCCTCTTCAGTCCATGGCTTGCGTTTCGGCGAAGGGTTATTGGGCGTAGGCTCCGTCTCAAAAGACGTCTTCAACGCATCCTTGAGGTCCTCATAAGCAATATAATGCCAGGCATACTCCTTTATAAGCGAAGAACGAAGCTGTTGCCCGAACCTATTGTATCAAACATCTTTAGCCTGTTCTTCCTCTCCTTCTCTCTTCTCTTGCCTTAAAGGAAAACGAACACCGAACGAACAGCCAGGGAGGAAAAACGTTAAAATACGGGGATAAGATGAAGCATCAAGCTGAACGGACATACCTCATGATAGCTTCCAATTGACAGCTGTGAGCTCTCCCGGACGGTGTCACGACTTGAAGCTGTAAGGAGCGGTGATGCAGAGGACAGAGAGGAGAAGGAGTTCTTGGGTGAAGAACCAAAGCCACACACACTTCTGTGAGTTAATGCCAGGATTCCTTGCAGCCGGTTCATCGAACCAAGCTCGTTAGTTAGCTCTCACAAGGGTAAAAAACCCACCACCACCCTCGCCACCGGGGCTAAAGGAAATTCGGCCATATAAAGGCGAAAAATTAGTTGAAACCGCGGGAAGAATAAGAAATCCGATAAGCGGGTCAGGTGATATCCACCAATCAGGAAAATATCTGCTCTCACGTGCAAGTAAAATTGGCGCTTGATGGGCATGGGCCATAGTTTATCCGAGGCTAACTTGACGTCTGGCGCTTAGTAAGCTTATATCAGTATATGAATTGGAAGGCATTTAATTTAGATATCATGGTCTAGATAGTCCCCAAGACACGGCGGATGCTCCTCCGGGCACCCTCGCCTACTACATTGACGAGGCCCTCAGTCTCGAGTGACTTGACGGCTTCTGTAAACTCAGCACCCTCTACTGGGACAGTGCCCTCGTTCAACTTCCTGAGCACGTCAACCCACCTAGCACCGGTAGCGCGGCCTCCAAGCTCATCCACAATGGCCAATATGACCTTCTTCATGTCATCTCGCAACCTACGCTCTCGCGCAGTTGTACCCTCGGTCAGCAGGCTCATGTCGATTAGACCGGTGCGGGCATCTGTAGCTGCTTGTTTCAAGGCAGATCGGATCAACCTCACTGCTTCCTCTACATCATCTGCCGTTACTTCTTCGGACAGCCGCATTCGCGCGTGAGCTTCAGAGAGACGAATCATAGACTCTAGCTGACGCGTAGTAGCCGTAATACGGCGCTCGGCCGCTCGAATGTCATCTCCCAGCTTACGCATGGCAACGTATGCATCTGTAAGCGCTGCACCAGCAGCTGGGGTGAGCTTCGGCGAGATTCGTGTCTTCGCATAGGTAATGTAACTAGTAAGGAACTCAATGGGCTATAAGCTTGAATTAGTAGATGGCCTACTTATGATCAAGAAGGCAAATGTGAAAACTTACCAAGATCTCTTCACTAGAACCTGTCTCGGGAGCATCTTCCAGGTACATTCCAACCATATGCTTTGCTAGTCGACGATCATTTTGCTCGTCCACGCGGTCCAGGACAAGGTACACCAAGTCAAATCGAGAAAGAAGAGTAGGAGGTAGGTCAATGTTCTGTGGTACAGATAGGTTGGGGTTATATTTGCTTCCAATGGGATTGGCAGATGCAAGAATGCTAGTTCTCGCGTTCAAGGTGGTAATGATACCCGCCTTCGCAATTGAGACTGTCTGCTGTTCCATAACTTCGTGAAGAACTGATCTGGTAGCATCGTTCATCTTGTCGAATTCATCGATACAGCAAACACCTCCGTCAGAAAGGACGAGTGCACCAGACTCTAGTACTAGCTGCTTAGATTCTGGATCTCGCGTCACATAGGCTGTCAAACCAACCGCAGAAGAACCCTTGCCGCTGGTATATATACCTCGCGGCGCAATTTTGTGAACATATTTAAGCAGCTGTGATTTTGATGTTGACGGATCTCCGCAAAGCAAAACGTTGATATCTCCGCGATACCTGGGGTTCCCACCCTTCTGAAACGTCTTATTGGTCCCACCGAAGAGCTGCAGAAGTATCCCCTTCTTAACATCCTCCATCTCGTAAATGCTCGGTGCTAGCGACCGAGCCAACAGTTCATACACATCTGGGCGGGCTGCTGTAGCCTTGATATTCTCTTCTTCTTCCTGTGAAATTTTCCGTACTTGGTCGACTTCTCCCACGACTTGGTCTGCGAGCTCCTGTTCCACTGTTGATGCATCAATCCCTAACTTCTTCCTGTCTATCTTTTGTACATGGAGGACATCGACATAGGTCTTGAACAGTGCCTTGGTACTTCGCTGACGTGGGTTAACCCGGACTGGGTTAGAACGAAAGATGCCGGTAACTTCCACCCTGTCACCAGCTCGGCACACGTCAACCAGCTCATCATATCCACAAAGGGATACAGAATGAGGAGTCTGGCCGTCAGGAATTGAGTCCGGTGTTTCTTGTAGGCGGATAATTTGTTTATCAGCAAATGTGCAACGGTTGTGAATTAGTTGCATTGAATTCTGTGCGTCACAAAGTTCTCGCGGGCAGCGTGTGGGTTCAGCAATTTTCCCACGATCAATGTCAACTCTGACGCAGTGGAAGCATACATCGCATCGAAAAAAGGCTGTAATCCATGTTAATCCGGCAGAAGTAAATATATTGGGTAGAGATATGCATACCTTCTTTCATATCTGGAATGATAGGAGTTGCCCGGATGACAAGGCCCTTTACGCTGATAAGTTTGTCTAAGTCTAGGTGATAGTTAGGGCTAGTAGCAATTTATACTTGTAACGGGATGTTTAAACATACCACCTGGATCTAGATCTCTCATGTTCACGGACTTATCCATTCCAAAAGGAAGAACCTTATAAGTCCTGCTCTCAACATCCGCAAGAATATTAGATGTATCCTGCTGGGCAGGCGTATCTCCAGCTGCGCCAATATCTGAAGTGGGAAAAGCAGGGGCGGAGCTGGCATCTCTATTAGCTGGGCCTAGCCTTCGCTGACTATTTTGTCGGGCCAGCTCTACCTCCTTCTCTGCCAACCCAATCATAACATCTTTTGTACATTGATCCATAATTGGGATGATTTCCTGAGGGTAAGCTTGGACTTGGTGCCAAAGCTTAATAGTAGGTGGAAACGCTTTTAGGTTCCTGATATCAAGATTGAGCCCTGTAACACCAAGCTGTCGCATTTCATTCAGCATCCTGATATACTCCTTTTCGTTAGCAGCAGGGCCAATGGCATGGATCTCTGCTTCAGAAGCACCATCGTACGCCATACGATGTTTCCGTGCAAAGTTATACAGAAAATTTTTGAACGATGCCATGGCATCTTGTATCGAAATATTGGTTCCCCATATTATCCGTGTGGAATTACCTCCCAGAGCATCTGCTTCGGATGTATCGGGGTTGATATTGGAGAAAGTAGCGTCAGACTGTAGCTCTCCGTTACGGACTGGCATACCGCTCTCATCGACAAAGAGCGTCCTGCGTCTTGACCCAGTGGTAGAAAAGGCATCTGAATGAATATCACCCCTGCGAGTAGCAATATCATTAGGATTAGGCGAACGGAGGAATAAACCGCTGCTACTTGTAGGTATATCATTTCGTCGACTTTGACTATTTCCAGGGCGACCAGGACTTGAGCTTGGCATATATCTAATTGGAGAGGAGTCTGTAACGGAGTTAGAATTGATGCCTCATATATAATAAAACTATGATACAATACGTGCCTTCAACTAGAGGTCGAGTAGGTCTTGGAGTGGTTTCACGGTCGCCCAACGGAGAAGATGGCATCGGTGAGCTTCGATCTGGCGCATTGGCTGCAGACCGTCCGTCCTCTGGCGAAGATTGAAAGAAGATGGGAGATGACGAAGGAATCCCATTGTCTACTATTCTCCGTGTTTGAGGTGTAGTAGTTTGAGCAGGATTCTGAGATTGGCGAGAAGGGGCGGGGCTGGAGATAACGACCTGCGGTTGCGCACTTCCCCTCGAGGGAGTGGAATTAGCAGAAGCCCTCGAGGGGCGTCCACGACGACGAGACGATGAAGGTGTAGACATGATTAGTTCTCGTTGCAAGAAAACGCGTTCAACAGGAAGTCATTCCAATTGTCGACAAGTCGTTGATTGTTCAGTCGAGAAAGCTGGAAGTTTGAAAGATTTTGTTTGATACAAAAAGTCGCGCTTCTTCATTGGGACGCGAAGCGCGTAAAGTGGTTTATTATGTAATCACAACCACGCGCTTATGAGGCGCAAGAGAAACGGAGAAAATGAATAGAGCAAGCAGAGAAGAAATGCAATAAATAGTAAGTAGAATAAGTGAGTAATATATACAAAAAGTAGGAAATGCATAACAGCTACGAGTGTAAAAGATTAGTGTTAAAGAAAAAAAAAAAATGAAAGCCCAACGCGGGGCTCGAACCCGCAGCCTTGTGATGGCGAACTAGTATAAACTTGTTATAAGAGTATAAGAGTCACACGCTCTACCGATTGAGCTAGCCGGGCTGACTTGTTGTTAAGGGGCAGCCAGCACTTTCTTTTCAGTAACAAGTCGTAGATGGGATCTCGTTCGTACAAGCTACAATATATTGTGTGGTGCTTATATTGATTAATCCAAGTATCTACATACGGGCAACCTGTAGTTATCAACGACCCAGTACTTTCTCCTGACGCCCTCCCACTCTCCATCTAATGGAGGGACAGGAACCTTCGTCCAGTCGACGTCAAATCCGGCCTCCATCATATCCATCTCTACAACTTTTTGGTAAACATCATAGCTGATCTGTCTATCAGCTCCCATACCGTTGAAAAAACTCCATCGTCCCTCAGGTTCGAGCAGAGCTATTACATGCTCTGACGCAAAGTCACGAAAGTCCGAATACGACTCTGCGAAAGTGTCGTAGTAGATAGCGTCGAACATCACCCCTTCTGTGGCAAGTTTGGGTAGGATATCTTGCCATTTGCTTTCGTGTATCGTGACTCCTGTCTTTTCATGCCATCCCTTACTCTTCATATCTGCAATAACAGCTGGGTGCGCTTCGACAATGTGGTGAGCACTGGGTTTCAGGTTTTGAAGGATCCCGTCCACAATGCCCATTCCATGGCCAATGTTTAATACTCTCAGGCCCGGGGTTGGTAGCAGTGCCCTGGCTGATTTATCCATTATATCCATTTCCCAGGCCATCATCACTCCGTTCTTGTCTCCATCCAGTAGTCGGTTCTCCTGAAAGGTCAGACCAGAGCTCAGATAATGCTCGTTGCCGACACTCGGGTCCTCGGCATTGCTTGGTTCTCCTTCGCCAGTAGAAGTTTCTACACTTCGAGTTGGAGCTTCATCTTCTACTTTGTCTGTCGCAGAAGCTTTCTCCGTCGTGATATCAGCTTTTTCGCCATCCTCTTCGTCTTCGTCCTCCAGCGGCTCATACCCCTCAAGCCTGTTCAAGAGCAGCTCGGCACGCACACCAGCATCAACCATTAACTGATACAGTTCCGTAAGTCCCAATCTCCTTGCCATACATCCGGGTGTCTCATCATTCGCATCCAAGTCATTCCATATAGCTCCCTCTTGCAGTAAGAATTTGACAGTCTTCACCCCTCCCTCAAGGGTCTCCTGCTCCTGTGTCGTACGTTCAGCAATATCGCCATTCGCTACATTGTCAGTTTCTGGCTCGCATGCTGCTATAGCCGCATGTAGAGGGGTATATCCCGTCTCTGGATCTTTCGCGTTGGCGGGGTTCTCTTCTTTTTCGTTGCGGCGTATCAACTCGCGCAGTTTCGCGATATTATGCTGCGATGCGGCTAGAAGTATCTCCTGGGTATCAAGGTCGACGTCAATAGCACCAATGGCAGCATCATTTGGGTCCTCCATGGCTGAATGTCTCGGGATATGATCAGTTGTATGTTTTTTTTTGGATGTTGCAATAAACTTTAGCTTTTATTTCCACCACTTGACGAGCCATCATCACAGCAAAGAACACCTCTGTGTTCTTTGGCGGATATATGTTAACTGGACATCAACAATAATTTCTATGCATGGGCGATATGTTCGTATCTATGAACCGTGGTACAGTATATAATTACCAATAACTATTATTTGCAGGATTCAGATTTCTCCAGATAACTAACTTATATCAATCATATTAGGAAATCCATATTAATATCCCAGTTCCCAAGGCCCTTACCCGCTGCCTGGACTGCACAGATATTCCTAATAACCGCATTCTTCTCTCTCTCTGCACACCTTGCCCTAGCGAGGATTTCAGCAGCTCCATTACCTGTGGCGTTAATAACCATTACATCGCTAGCATCATCCTCTGATAATATACTCGTGTACTCTTTCAACCTGGCAACACTACAAACGTGCTGTCGTGAAAAACGATGCAGTTCTCGGAAATTAATATGATGCTGCGCCCCGAAAGCCCCAGGCTTGCAAGCTGGAGGCGAAATGAATACCGGGTTTGTATATAATATAAGCCACCAGGCCCAGGCTACCATCAATTTCAAACGTTTATGCTTGCTAGGTATTCAGGTTCATTGAAGGAGTAGACGGATTTAATGGAGTAATAGACTTCATGGTAATGATTGCAGCCTGCTGTATCGGCGGCTGGGGTATCGCCCACTGGCCTAGCTCATGTATGTACGCAGATGTTTCTTCGTCGAATTGCTGGCCCATGAGTTCATATTGGTAATGATAGTATGTCCTGTCTGCAGTATTATCTTGTGTCCTGGGTGGGTATTGCATCGGCACCACATCCTGGGCCTTAACACGCACATACCTCGCCTTGTCGTTTTCTGAAGCTGGAAATGAGGGACAAAATGAATAGGTGGACAAAGACCTATCAAGCCACAAATGGACTTGGAGCATGGATGGCATCCGGGTACCCTGCCTAGCATCGTACGAATCCGGAAGTAGGACATTTTGGGAATTGAAACGCCAGCGTCAAAATTATTGGCAGGGCCAAGGTGACGGGTTGATGGCGTACAATAAATCAGAGTAGCCATTATATTAAAGGACATCCACTTTCCGGGGGTGTGAGGCTATAAAACCAATCAGTGGCGTGGCTTGAGGATTTATTGAGATTTCTATAGTTTGTGTAAGTCTCCTTAACAAAATTTCATGATTCGTCAATGTAAGGCACTTGATGATCTTAGCAAAGGTGAGGAGGTCATCCAGCTGTTCTCTATGAATGTGAGTGTCAGCTTCAATATATTCAAGTTCCATATCGTCGTCTCCAGAATTGAATGATCCTATATTGGATGGTTGATCACTTGCTTGAGGCCAGCCACACAGAGAAACAGCCGTTGTCGCTCCGATACTAAGTCCATCAGATTTCGCATAAGCATTGTCTCCTGAAGACGTAGGCCATCTGCTATGCACAATTTCCAGTCCAGTCTTGTCTTATCTTCCGTTGAAGGTGTATGTATAGCCTCTCTACAGCTGAGGGTAGGCTTCCTAACTAGTTGCACATTTCCAAACCATTGATCCTGAACTATGAGTAATGCCAGGATAACAATGTCAGACTCCGCAGTTGTTTCTAAGAACGTGTGTGTGGCTAAAACTATCAGCGAAGCGAGTCGTACGTCCAAGCTAGATGAAGATGGGAACGGGTGTAATCCACCTTTAGATGTATATAAGATAATACCTTGATCTCTATAAGTAAGTATATTCGTTCTTAAGTTCGAAATACGGACCAGAATACTCACTCACCTAACTGCCTCAAACATCCATCGGGCCAATAACTATCCACAATGAGGGCTTTTGCAAATCCCTTTCTCCCCGCAACCGTTCCGGTAGCCCCTGTGCTCTTCCCTGCGATCCCCGAAACAGCGAACCAGCTGCTGGCCTTGCACAACAACCCGCATCCTGACTGAGTCGAATGAATTCTAGGTATGCGTCAGGGTATGCTATTGTAATTAGCGCTGCTTGGATGCCATCATATAACGCTCCTCCCAGGTTTCTTCGTATATCAAGTGTTTGGCACTGGTTTGATGCGACGTTGATACAAACTTATATTAAATAACTACAACTGTAACTAATAACTAACTTACTATATAGTAGTTAGTTATAATAAGCTTCGCGCTTAAATGCTTTTAAGACTTACTATGTACATAGTAGCTTTACTCCTAAGAGGCTCCTCAAATGGATAACTAAGTTCGCCGATACTTGATATAACTTAGTGACAAGGGGACATACAGAATAAGTATGGAACCTGTGCTCGTGGTGGAGCAACTATGGTCTGGGATGGTTTGGGGCTGAGCCTTTGCGAGAGTCGGCCAGATGCCTGTCGGTTCCCAGTCCTTTTCTACGTCCTTTGAGCTGCCCATTAACCAATTAGTTATTCATTCTACCATACTATGTATGGTATATCATTCGCAAAGCTCATATCCCTACCCTATAGTATATATGTCTTAATATGTCCAACGCGCGGCGTATGTAGGACTACTACTGCCTAAGAGAGAGGCAGAATTTAATAGGCTGACTATACCCTTGTTTGTCCCTTTCCAGTTCACTGTCCCCTCTCTCCTAGCTAAACACCTTCGTAGCTATCTTATTATTCCACCAACATGGACTGTCCTGACGGCTGCGATGTTATCCTCAACCTCACCCGCGAAGAAAAGGGTAAAAGGTTCGACCACGACCAACCCACGAGAAACCTGGGAAGGTCTCTACAACAACATCCACAGCATCGGCAGAAGCTATCTCGAGAACGATTCTACCGCCTTCGAGATTGAAGGCCGGTTGCATGATCTTTGGGACGAGCTCATCCATGCTGCGAGGATAACTCCTGCCCTCAGCCCAGAACACGACCGGCTCGTCGTCCTGATCCTGGAAGCTCGAGAACTAGGCCCCTTTCCTGTCAATAAGAAAGACGGAGATTCGTTGCCCCCCACCGTGATCTGTGATATGGCTACCCTGCCTAACGGACAACGCCTGTGGGCTGATTTCCTCTACCTTGTGCAGGAGATTCAGGATTCCTAATACCGACATGATAACATCACATCCCCCTCAAGCACCTTTGAGTTAGTACGGTTTCTCTAGGTCGAGGTAAGAGCTTACTCAAGTCAACCAGCTTGCTTATTTTAAGCCTTTCCATCCCTTAGCACAATGCATAAGCCACGCATTCATAAGTCTCTGAGCTAAGTGCTCTCTTTCTCCCGGTGAGCCGAGCAACGGTTCTCCTGGCATGAGCAGCAACAAAACTATGCTCGGCCAGGACGCAGTGGCAGTAGCATCAGCGCCGCCAGCCTCGATATCGGATGAGGGTAACGCAGCAGCATCTAGCGTAGTCAGAGCTGGTATCACAGGGCGCTTCGAGGTCATGCTTGAAGCGATGCGGATAGTCGGGTTCCAGGACTGTAACCAGATGGCCGTGGCATATTATTTAAATTGAGCCCCTAAATCTTCTTTCAATATTCTGGGGACTCCCTCACTGCGAAAACAGCATGCATGGCTATCCCAAGAGCTTTGGTGGAGGGGGTATCCTGGAAGAAGTAACGACGCTATGAGAGCGGATGGATGCGGCGCAGGACTCGGTAAGTAACCACGGCTAAACCTTTCAAAGCCAGGAGGCATAGGGGGAGAGAGATAGAACTTGTGCATGCCTAGCTGACCGACGTTTAGATGCCGTATCTTTGGGCCCTCCTGACAGAATTGCCCGGGCCTTGGGGTTTTTACTGCGATAGGATTGATCAAGAGCTACTAGTGATTCTCCTCTGTGCTAGGCAGACGCAATAATAGCTGAACTGTGTGGATGGTTTGGGACCGGGCGGGTAACTAGACACGATAGAGCCGAGCAGTGAGTTCATATCAATATAGCTGAAGGAGTGAGAGACGTTATTTATATTTTTGTAGAGTACTCCGTGGTATAAAGCGTTGAGACTGGCGGATGTTCGAAGGCGCTGTTTGATACGCGCTCGCCCCAGCGTGGCATGAGCCCCAGCCCTAAGACAATTATAGAGTATGCAGGTGTTCAAGTAAGAGTTGAATAATCAGTCGAAGCGGAAGACAGTGTTCGTGAACGAGATATAACACAGCGAGATGTCCAATTGTAGAGACTTTTTGTCCATCTCAGTAGTGAGTATCTAGCTGTAAACCCCCTTCGCCGTGACTCAATATAACACAGCAGTGGGAAACCGATAGGTGAAGCTGGTGAAAAACATATTATTTTTGACGGTAATTATACCAGTTTCGTATATGCGTTCATTAGGTATTCCTACTGCATATGTTTCTTTGATAAATAACTGCATCAATATCATTTTTATATCAGTTGAAGCGTGAAACGAAGTTGAAGTTGTTAGAGACTGTTGGAGCCAACGCTTTTTTGGCCGTTGAGCCAATCGATAAAAAGCAGATCTAGAAAAAGGGAACATTAACAATATTAGAAGTAACTTGAATCGATGTAAATGGTATGTTCATACCGTTATTAAAGAAGATCGATGAGATTTTGAACATATGGTGGAGTAGAATAAAGTGGTACAGGTAATTATACACAAGCTTAAAACGGAACCAAATCCCTTCCCATGCCTCTGGTAAACGCCGTCCGTTGACCAGCCGTGCAGAGAGTTCGGGAGAACATCGTCAAGAATTTAATCAGATCCTTCTCCGTGAGCGGTAACATTTAGGCCTAAACCTTCGGAATCAAGGTACATCTTGTTCTTTCCACCGGCTTCCTGCAAGATATGGGCAATATTTCTGGCGTTTTCGATCTTTCGTAGCTCAACATAACTCTTACTCTTCTTGATGGCATCACCAATAAGCTGAGCAGACCGGGCCTCACCCTGTGCTCTGACGACAGTGGCTTGTTTCTCCTGGCGGGCCTTGTCAACGATGAAAGCTGCTCGCTGGGCTTCTTGCTGGGCAACTTGTTTGGCTTCAACGGCAGCAGTGAACTCGGGAGAGAATGCAAGATGCTATTGTGGTAAGAAGTTAGAATATATGAAAAACGAACAGGAGAAAAAGACAAAATAAAAAGTCCAAGGGCTTCATACCGTTAGAGATACATCGTCAAGCATTATGTTAAAGCGTGCAGCACGTCTGGCCAAGTTGTCTCGTACAAGACGGGCAACGCTCTCTCGCTGAGTGATAAGTTGGCTGGCATTGAATTGAGCCACCACACTCTTCAAAACCTCGTTGACAATGGATGGAAGAACTCTCTCGTCAAAGTCTGTTCCGAGAGTACGGTAGATCTGTGGAAGCGCCTCAACGCGCGGTCGTGATAGTACACGGCAGGTTATATTGACCATCTGCAAATCCTTGGTGCCGGTAAGAGAAGCGACATTTCGTGGTTTCGCTCGGACATCGTAGATTATAGGTGTCTCAAACCATGGGATCTGGAAATGTGTACCTTAATATGAAATGTTAACAGAAAACGACCTAATTAAACAAGATATAAGCTTGCAGACAGGTGCTATAAAGAATTTACCTTCATTGTATATCTCTTTCTTCACTCCACTTATTCTTGTATATTTGATCGCTCGGTGACCACCATCAACTATACGGCACGTCGCAGTCAGTCCTAGTGCGAATAAATGACAGCCAACCTAAGAGCACATACCATTGAAAAGAGAATTCGAAAGCACATAGCCTCCCAATCCCAGTGCAATCAACAACCCAGCACCCCCGAAAGCTTTTCCGCCGGCAGGAAAGCCACCACCTGCACCGAATCCTCCACGTCCCCGCTGCTGGATGGCATTCTGAAGCTTCTGCCAGGTCTCACGAGGGTCTGCCATGGTTGTGTAAAATCAGCGAGAGTGTGTTTGTCTGCTCGTTCAACCGGATTATTCTTAATACCTCGTCTTCGTCTAAGCAGTGAAAGTCTGGAGAAATTGAAGAAGTTTAGAAAGCGATGGCGCTAGTCCGGATCGGGGAAGCTCGGGCTAAAACGACCAAAAGTTGAACTTCGAAGAACAAGCAAAACAACTTTTCCATATCATAACGAACCCTTGGACGCCAGCAACTCCTGTTTCAAGAAGGCTGCCAGGCCTTAGCACTACGTGAGGACGACAAATATGGCTCCAGAAAGGTCGGGGAAGAGTGTTTTCCTTGGGAATATCCCATACAGTGAGTCCTTCACCCTGCCACCTAGCTCTCCCTCCCTCTCCGTTTGAGCATTTTACACTGACGGTGACTTTAGATCTCACAGAGGAACAGGTGAAGGATATACTTAGCTCTGCGGGAACAGTAACGAAGTTCAGGCTCATGATCAACCCTGAAACGGGAAAACCAAAGGGTTATGGCTTTGCAGATTTCGCCGATGCAGATGCTGCGGCCTCCGCCATCCGAAACTTGAATGATTATGAAGTTATGGGACGCAAGATCCGAGTCGACTGGCCTCACAATAATGAGAAGGATTCTGTGCCCCCGGATTACTCCCAGCAATCACAGCCAGGGATGTCGAGCAGTGCCGGACAGGAGACACAGAACTCGCAAGCCCCTCTTCTACCAGCCCTACCCCCGGGAGCCGATCTTCCTCCAAACTTGACATGTCCCAATGCCATATCACAGACCTTATCTTCGCTACCCGCTCCTCAGCTCCTCGACGTCCTCTCTCAAATGAAATCTCTCGTCATGGCCGATCCCGCTCGAGCCACGGAGTTATTGAGACAAGCTCCACAGCTAGCATATGCCATATTTCAGGCACTGCTTCTCATGAATCTTGTTGACTACAACACGCTAGGCTCAGTTGTAGACCAAGCATCCCAAGCGCAGGCGGCTCAACAAGCACCTCCTCCAATGCAGCAAAAGTATCAGCCATATCCTCCCGCTCCGGGCCAGGTAGCAACTCCTCCCCTACACGGCACCCCATTCGCACCCCCGCCACAAGTTGCGCCGCAGCAGGCACCTCCACCAGTAGCACAGGTTCCTGGTCAAGAGGAGCTATTACAGCAAGTTCTTAGCATGCCACAGGCGACAATCGACGCTCTGCCCCCAACGGAACGGAATCAAATCATGGTATTAAGGCAACAGCTTCTCCAGGGAGGGATGAGATGAGATGCAATTGGCTTGTTTTGTTAAACTGAAAAGCATTGGACGGTTTCAAACGGTTAGTATGCTGTTTACTTGTTATCTATGTATAACTAGTCCATATACGGCTCGATTTCTCTGGCGCAAGGGCGGGATGGGAGGTTTTCTGCTTTGGTGTTGTCATAATGGTGTTTTGGAGCGATTCTCAAAGGTTGATAGATATCATAATGCCACATAGATGTGTTTTATGCATCTATTCTGATCACTGGTCAACACCTACCTTCTGTCCATCATGCCTCATCCTCTGTTTCCTTTAGAATGTGTCATATTTATTCCTTGACACACCTAATAATATTATAATCTTTATTTTCAAATCCATATATCTAACATTTATGTAGCAGATTTCACGTGACTCTTGTTTCGCTTGATATCAAAATCTTAATTCAACAATATAATTAACAGTTATATGGGGGGGAAAAAGGTTTGATTATACCGTCCATTGTCTTTATATGCCTTATTATCATGGATAGTCAAGTTGACCCTGCAAAAATCTGTAACAGTAAGCTTCCGCTTTCTAATGTCAAATCATGTAGAGATTGCTTATCCCTAACCTATAGGAACTGGAATACTGGAACTGCATAGGATGAGCAGGCCAGATAGCCAGCAATGACTGTTTGGGATACCCATGGCCAGGACTCCAGATGGAGAGACAAAATAGAGCAAATCAGACTGTTTCTCTATAGATCAATGCCATTGTCTAGGGATCCAATGGAATATTCCTATAGTTTTCTGATTTCTAGCAGTCTTACTATGTGCCACATGTATAAATTCCTTTATACATATATTGGTAACGATGGCTTGTTTCTGAACGCATTTCCATGGGTATTTCCAGCTATTATAAGAATGAACCAAGTCATGAAACTAAAGTCACAAACAGCGTGTGGCACACTATCCTAGTCTTCACTATCCTTTTACCTTTTTCACAATGGTATAATGATAGCTCCCCTTTACACGTTAACTTCTTTACTACAGGTCGAGTCGTTAGGTATCTGAGAAATTGAATCTATACTACGTGTTCTGTGCCTCCTCATCCCTGGAGGACTAGCTGTCCCCCATTGAAGATGGATTTTGGCGAAGAATGCCTCTCCCCAAGCAAGACGGACGCGTCTAGTTCAATATCCTCAGTGGAAGACAGCAGTGTTCTATCTACCGGCACCTCGGACACGGATGTTGAATCTCTTCTCGACGCGTCAGTTGACCTTCGTCATCAAGAGAAAGTCTTGGAAGAGCCTCCCGCAGTGCGTGAAGCAGTAACGGAAGAAATTAGATCTATGCTGATATCAGTGCCTCCGGAAATACTCAGAGGAAAATACACTACTCTCCCAGGTGAACGGCCAAAGCCCGGACTTGACAGATCACTTCCACCAATCTGTAAAATTGAAGAGATTTTTGAAGATCTCACTGCTCAAGCATTGAAGAATGGCTTTAATTCCTTCCTTGACCATATTGGTTCTCATGAACTACGCGTCGCTACTATGTGTTCGGGCACTGAATCTCCCTTGCTTGCTCTAGAGATGATACAAAACAGTATGTCCAATGATTCTATTCTCCCAATTTTGGCTAATTGTTGGACTCTTAGGTCTTCGGCAACTTGTTGGCAAAACATTTCGCCTCCATCACTTATTTAGTGCAGAAATAGACGCGTTCAAGCAATCCTATATACAAAGGAATTTTGCGCCAGAAATCATATTCAGAGATGTTAATGAACTGGTTGCGGATGAAGCGTACGGCTAACCCTATTATCCATTTATTTGATCAGATAATAACGGCTTTGCATAGAACTACTGCATTCGGATCAGTGAGAAAAGTTCCAACTGATCCTGATTTATTGGTAGTTGGTTTCTCCTGTGTTGATTTCTCTGCGCTCAACTTTTATCGCAAAACTCTTGAGGAGATGGGGGAGTCGGGTCATACGTTCTACGGAGTACTACGGTACATGCAACGATGCCGCCCAGCATTGGTTGTCCTAGAAAATGTGTGCTCTGCCCCCTGGGAGCAAATCAAGACCATTATGCAAGAAATCGACTACAGTGGCTACCATATGAAGATCGACTCCAAGAACTACTACCTCCCACAGACACGTGAAAGAGGCTACATGATTTGCATCGATCAGAGGAAAATGGTGACAGAGCCCGTAGGAGATATCAAATCAAAGAAGCCATCCGCTTTCGCGCAGATGATGAAGAAGTTGGAACGCCCTGCAAGCTCTCCAGTTACCCAATTTCTGCTACGTAACGACGATATCCGCCTCCAGGATGCAGTTAGCGATATATCCGTGAATTCAACGAAGGATCGTCAAGCAGTTGATTGGACAAGATACAAGGCCCGCCACCTCGGGTATCGAATGAGAGAAGGTCTTGGGGATAAACGGCCATTGACTAAATGGCAAGACAACGGAGCCTGCCAGATGCCAGATTTCTATTGGCATGGGTGGAGCAGAACACAAACCGAACGTGTCTGGGATACTCTCGACGTTAACTTTTTGCGAACTATAGCACGGGGATATGACATCAGTTTTAAATCCAGGGTCATTGATCTCTCTCAAGGTTTAGACAGGGAGCTGGACCAGAGAGCATCTGGTGTTGCGGGATGTCTAACGCCCCGTGGGCAGCATTTCATAACCTCTAGAGGAGGTCCGCTTCTCGGGATCGAGGCTCTCGCACTACAGGGAATTCCAATTGACAAGCTTTTGATCAATAATGATGGCCAGCGTGATTTACATGACCTGGCAGGAAATGCAATGACCTCAACTGTAGTAGGAGCTGCTATTATAAGCGCTTTGACTTTAGGCTATCAAGCATTACCACATTACTCTACTTATTCTAATCTTGATAATTCTGAGGTCGTTACCCAGCCGCCTTCCACCACACAATGCCACGAGCTGATACCACTGGTGACAAATACCACAGGAGAGAGCGCTATCTCAGTAATGGATATATATCAGCTAGCTCTTAGAACCTCTCAGTTGTGCTACTGTGATGGTCAGATGGGGACGCGATCGGAGAGTATTCTTGTGTGCACGCTCTGCGATCATAAAGCATGCTCGAGGTGCGGAAAGAATCCTACACATTCCTACAAACGTGTAGATGCAGATGAACTGAAGCAGCGTCTACCTCCGATAGAGTTCCAAACGCGGGTCAAAACTAGACTGCCTATGCGCCTCATTGTTAGTGGTATAGACGTTGACATGTTCAGTCGTTTCCAAGAGCCAACTTTATCACCAGATGTTACCAAGGCTTGGGATGCATTCATGGCTGCAATTAAACCTGCTCTTGGAGAAGTTCTTAAATTCCAAGGTGTAACCAGGCAGCCTGCATGGGCTATCACTTATGAAAGCGCCAATTCTTTGCTAAAGCTCAACTGCACCACAACTGGCCTCCAATGGCTACTGTATGCTATACCAAGAAAAACAGAGCCAAGTAACTCACCACTTCGGCAAATCCTATCTTATCCAATTGCTAAAATGGTGCCGAGCGGTGCAAACATACTAGATGGAATATGGCAAATTGGGTCTCCTATCAGCTCACAGTTTGACCTTCTAGTAACAGGTGGTGGAGGGTTGATAGACTCCCTTCCGTCCCGGTCTGGCCTGCAACGCCCAAACTTTCGAAATCTGAAAACTTGGTCTGTCCTTCATATAGATGCAAAAGACGGAGATATGAGTAAATTGGAAGCTGATATTCGTGGCGCTTATAAGCTGCTGCCCGATTGTGGCACTTCCAGTGGGAGTTTACGCAAGCGACTGAATTCTCCAGGCGGCCCGATTTATTTATTTTTGGATCCTACAGAAATTGGACCCCATCAGTTGGATTCTTGGGTATTCTCAATAGATCACGAACGATTAGATTTTGGGCAAACAAGGAATATTATAGCCGAGATTCGCCCAAATTGGAACCCATTGTATCTCAACCAGGAACAAGAGATTGTTCAATGTTGGTACCGGAAATGGAGAGAATCAGCGGAAGTTTCGTTGAACGTTTATCAAACGTCACCTCCTCCACAATATTTTATACCAGGCCCTTTAGATATTGCCGCATCATGCAGCTTCACTTGTGACAATTCTTATTCTGCTGTGCTTCATTGCTCAATTCCAGCTGATTCTGCGGACATAGGAACAGCATTTGGAATACCAAAGCAAGAAAATTTGTTAGAATCTACCTCCATGCTCCGAAAATTTGCATGGATATTGCGGAGGGCAATTGGAATTACGCAGTTCGAAAATTGGGAGAATGTTGAAAACGATAGGGTGTGCTTTGGCCTAGACTGTTTAACATGCGCTCCTACGAAGCCTCGCTTGGCTTGGGCCCTCGATGAGAAGGATCGCGTATATGCATATGAAAACCCGGAAGATGCAGCCTCTTTTGAAAGAAGCATAAAGAATAGACCTGCACCGTTTTTGGGATTTACAACTTTTGACGAGCATTCAGTGTTTCACCTTCGAATTTGTCTTAATATCTTGAGTCTTCTTCATCGGGCAGTTGGCAACCTGGGCACAAAGGAGAATGTTTCTTTGCAATGGCGCCTATGTATAGATACAACGGGGTTTATCCCGCGGCGGTTACCGAAACTTTTGGAGCGAGACAACAAATTGGATATTGAACACGCCCAGCCCCCAAATTTCAAATACTATCATTTACGACCAGAACAACTGCGCTCTCTCCAATGGATGTGCCATCAAGAAAGCGACAAAGCCTCAGCATTTGTTGAGGAAGAAGTAGTTGAGGCTCTTCTACCTACTATCAACTGGCGGGCAGAAGGTAAGGCTTCAATAAGGAAACTGATACTTGGAGGGATCCTTGGAGACGAAGTTGGATATGGTAAGACTGCAATATCACTTGGTCTTATTGATATATACTACGAAAAGGACCGTGCTAGCGTTCCAAAACTTGTTAAGGGAAGAATCCCTATCAAAGCAACATTGATTTTGGTTCCTGGTCACCTCTTTGACCAATGGAAACGAGAGATACAAAAATTTTTGGGCAATACCTACAAAGTTTTGGAAATTAAAGCAAATTCTTCGTATGCTTCGGCTACAATACGCGACTTTGAGGAAGCGGATATTGTCTTGGTATCTACATCAATCCTGAAGGGAACATCTTACTATACTGTGATGGAGTGTTTTGCAGCTGCTCCCGAGCTACCCAAGGGGGAAGGCCGCATTTTCGTGGAATGGCTCAAAGATGCCCTTCACTCCCTGTCAGACCAAGTCGATCGGCTTATTACCTCCGGCGCCACGTCTGTCCTAAGCAATATTCATGATAGGAAAGAGGAGCTTCAACGAGGGAATGGCCTTTCAAAATATAAACCATCAAAGCGGTTGAAAGGGCAAAAATTTCAGGAGCATCTTGTGAAAATGCGACAGGCTGCTGCTGCCAGTTTACATGAGACTACATCAATGGATGACATAAGTGGAGACATGAACTCGGTGACTGTTGAGTTGGGAAAAAGAAAGAGAGAAGCCTCCATCATTGCCCCTGTGGCAGAGATTCCGCAGGATCTAAAGAAACAAAAGAAGGACATCCAACCCCAACGGAAGGATGGAGGAGTTTCTGTTGAAATATTCAAACTTTGCAAGTCAACCAACGACTGGAAAAGTGTTCGTTCACCATTACTGCATATGTTCGAGTTCAGTCGAATCGTCATTGATGAATTCACTTATTCAAAAGATCGGAACTACGCCGCTACTCTAATGATCTCTTCTCGAAAGAAATGGATTCTATCAGGGACGCCTCCTCTAAACAATTTTGCAGACATCAAGTCTTTCTCCCCATTTCTTGGAATTAACTTAGGTATTGATGAAGACGACGGTCGGAAGGTTGATAATGAGAGATTAAGAGTAATTCAACGTGAGAAGACGGGTATGGTCATTCATATTAGCCCTTTTCCTTTATCAGGATTACTAACGTGAACAGAGGTCGAACAATTTCAGCCTCTAGTGACCCGACGAAGTAGCGTATGGCACCAGAGAAGGCATCAACTGGCCCAAGAGTTCTTAGACCAGTTCATGAGGAAGGTAAGTCTCGACTCTACGACCAATGATTGAGGAAAGATATGTATTGACTTTTTTAGAATGTACCTGATATAGATGAAATTCCTTGGACCGAACATATCATTGGAGTATCCCTATCAGCAGCTGAACGTGCAGTTTACCTGGAGCTTTTCATGCAACTTATGTCTCAAAATTTGCGTCTCAGGAAACATGGACGAGGACTTTATGACTCTGAGGAGATCGCTCGTCTAGATGAAATCATTGGAACCAGCAGCGGCCCAGAAGAGGCGTTATCTAAATGTTGCTCTTTATTTACATTCACAGACTCTACACCTCTTCCGAGGCCCATGTCACAGGAGAAACCTGGAACAACGCATGAGGAAGACAATCCTCTCATGTCCATAAGACGTAAACAAATTGGTCGTCTTGCTGCGGATATTATCTCTCAGTTGAAAAGGGCCTTATGGCTCCGTCAGCAACTAGATGAAGGGACAGCACATTTTGATAGACTACTGGAAGGCATTCAGGAGGATAGATTTGGGGATCTACTTGTTACTCTTGGTATTAAAATGCTTCTCCACGATACAACATTGAAGTCAACTCCGGATGATGGTAGTATGTTCTACCTTACGGCACATGAGGTAGGCAGTCTATCCTTGGTAACTATCCCGTTTTACCACTGAGGCTAAGTTATATATAGAAGAAGAACCATCTGGACGATCCAAGGCCTGAGTTTCCTAAGAATCAGACGGAGCTTATCAGCGATCTCAATTACTGTACTGACAGTTTGCGCCGCCTTGTTTATGAAACGGTAGCTCATGCGCGAGCTCTAAGGCTGTATCAGGCAGTTCGATGCTTTCAGAGTCCTCCATCAGGTTCTAGGTTTACCTGCTATAGCTGCTGTAAGCAGAGAGATGATGCTCGACCGTTTTCCATCCTAGGGGAATGTGGCCACAGTGTATGTGAGTCGTGTCTAGAACGTTGCCAGCTTCGTGAAAGATGTTTATTACCTGGCTGCGGTGGAACAGTTCATGAGTACCGAATCATCAGATGGGCTGATCTATGCCATTTTGACTACAATGCACAAGACAGAGAGCTTGCAAAGTACGGTAGCTCAAAGTTTACAGCAGTTATCAACCTATTGCAAGATACGAAGAAAATTCCAGGCGATGACCAGGTTCTGCTCTTCATTCAATTCCCTGAGTTAATGGATGCAGCAGCAACTGCACTACAACTAGCAAATATACCTCACATCGTTGTCCAGCCAGGAGATCGAACTCCAGGAGGTAAAATATCTGAATTCCAGAACGGAAAGGAAACAGTTAAAAGTAAGGTGTTGATACTGAATCTTGGAGATGTAACTGCATCAGGACTGTAAGTAACCACCCTACATTCTCCATATATAACTTACGCCTAATCAAGTGAATATAGGAATCTACAAAATGCAAATCATATCATATTTTTTGGTCCACTGGTTGCTCGATCACAGTATGACTATGACTCTGGAATGGCTCAAGCAATCGGACGCTCACGCCGTTACGGTCAATTAAAACACGTACATATTTACCACGTTTTGGCTCTGAGAACTGTTGAAGTAAACATTTTTGAGCAACGGAGACGACAATATCTTGCAAAGAGGAGCGGCCACTTTGTTACAGTCGACAAGAGCGAGATTAGAGACACTGATGAGGTTGGCTGGCGAGGTTTTCCATTAGAAGGATCAAATGCAGAGAATTATGACGATTTTGATGAGAAATAGTTCAGGGTTTCTTTCTTGAGGTTTTTTTTTCTTGAGCCCATCTATCCAATATTCGTTGAGTTTACAATTCGGCCATGTACTTGAGATTCTCTGGTTAATTTTCATAGTAAACTTGATACTCTCCTGTCTATATGCCAGATACCCGATGTAGCTGGTTATAAAGACACTTAAGAAAGGGTTGGGCTAATCTTTCATATTAAGTCTCCCGTCTATGTTAGAGGCTCAAACTGAATAAAAAATAGCAAAGTAGATGACCGCATAACTGACCGGTGCAAGTTACTGTACAAAAATGGCAAAAGGTAGAAACTCGGCGGGATAAAATCACCTTCTCTCATTCTAGGAGATTCTTCTTCATCACGCTCATTTCAAACACACTCCCTATTCTCGAGCACATCCCAATTTACAACTCTCCGTCTTTTCTCAAAGTTTCATTTCCCCAAAGAGGCTCAGTCAAGCTTGTCAAGCCTGCGCTGTTCTCGCAGGTTTTTCTGCCACTCAATGGCCCTGGCGGTGGGACCTTTACATTGGACTGTGTTCCGTTCTCTGCAGCTACGGCACTAGCCTTGAGAGCATCGAGTAGTTGGATCGTAGTTTCTGGTGTGAGATCCTCATAGTAGTCATCGTTGATCTGGACCATTGGCGCATTTACGCAGGCTCCGAGACATTCGACTTCAAGGACGGTGAAGATACCATCTGGGGTTGTTGCACCGTGTGATGACACACCGAGATGTTCCGTTATAGCCTTGACGATCTTATCGCTTCCGCAACCGCCGAGCTGGCATGGTGTCTTGATACAGATTAGGATTAGAACATGGGGAATGTCACACGTCTAAGAGGGACAAGTAAACATACGGTGGTGCATATCTGAACAAAGTACTTTCCGACCGGCTCGCGATTGTACATGGTATAAAAGGTAGCAACCTCGTATACTCTCATGGGTGGCATTTCCAACATGCGCGCAACCTCGTTCATCACGCTGATGCTGGTGTATCCATGCTGTCGTTGCCCAAGGTCTAGTAGCGGCATAACTGCACCTTTCTTATACTGAGGAGGATAACGCTTAAGGATTTCATCGATAACAGTGAGGTTTTCCTGGGAGAATTTGAATGGAATGGTCGGGTTGTTGGTAGGTGTGTTTCGGTGCTATGGTTTACCTCGCATCAGCTTCCATTGGGCTTCATAAAGATGCTCAATCTTCCGAATTAAGGTAACTGAGTCAATCAAAACACCATATGAGTACTTACAACATGGAGGACATCACTCATAAGCGGTGAAGCGGTTGTGAATGTTCGACATTGCCGGGAAGAGATCTGTGGGAGATATTGTCGGCCGGCGTGCCGGAGGGTGAAGGGAAGTAGTTTCGAAGCCATCGCGAGGAACGATACACTCAGAGGCCCCCGGAGTACTAAAGGCGCAAAGACAATGACTCTTCTCGTTGCTGCTTCGGCGCTCGAAGATGTTCGATGTTCGATGGCTTCGACGAAGTTGAAGAAACGAACATGGAGTTGTTTTTCGACGCAGCCAATCAGCGTGCGTAGAATTGAAATCCATCAACAACTTCATTTTTCTGCTTTTTTGAAGCATCAAATATTCACAACAGTTACTGGACAAAGCAGCATGAGAAAGATAATTATTAGAGGAGATAATAGCGTTATTCGTTGTCACAAGGACTGAATTCAGATATACTAACTACTGATGCATCAATGGAATTCGTTAAATACATGATCATGATTAGAGACCAACGACTTCAGACACTTGGGATCTTTGCTTCATACTCAGCACAATTTGATATCAACTGCTTCTCCAGGAGAATCGCCCATTTGACTCGCCGTCCTTGTTGATGGAGACACTGCCTTTACCCCAGTCCTTGGCCCTCTTGCGATCGATGCAGACCTCCGCTCCTATCTTAGCGGAATCTCCCCTATCGAGCCCCTTTGGTTCAATCAGACGGACTCGGATCCTTTCATCTTCACTCACTGGTACTTGGTCGAGGACTACCAACGATACCGGTGAAGACTTGGTATTGTTGATTCGGCACACGCGAGTGAAGATTGCACAGTCTTCCTTGTTAAAATAGCCAGTTGTTGCACGTCTGACCTTGGGCTTTGAGTATGTCACCTGGATGGCTGGATCAACTCCGAGGTTAAGGTTGAAAGGGACGCCTGGGTTGCAATTTGGGATAGTTGCCTTGCCCAGGAACGCATCGTCGACGGTTAGACCAGCTTTGCCACGAAGGAGAGGAGTAGTTGACGTATTGGTAACTCTCCCTTTGAGGAATGCTGCCTGCTTTAGCTTTGGTATAATCACATGCGAGAATGTGACAGAGGACAGTTCGATTTCTGCGATGATATGGCGTCTGACATATGAGGATGGCTGTAGGGTACGCGATCCGGGCACATTATATGTGGTAGTAAGCCCATAGTCTTGGCGAGACGATTGCCTAAACGCAAGCACGTTTGACGAGCCATGGATAGTCGATGCATCGTCATCCAGTTGATCGTCATCATTGTCCTCGTCGTCGCTTTCATCAAGGTAAGGTGCCATCGCAGCACACTGAGCCATGTCATCCGGTTGATCACGGCCTCCGGCTGATCCTCCAAAAAGGACTGTCTGATTTAGCATTTGCTGCGCCATTGGTCGTTGGTATTCATTTTGGTATGAAGAAGAAGCAGGTGCCACAGGAGCGGAGCCAAATAGTCCTCCCGCGGGCATACGTGGAGGAGGTGGTGGTGGTGGAAACGGCTGTGAAGTGGTGTCGCGACTTGCTTTCATATATCTTACTGTCGGTTCATTTGCCGGCCCTTCCAAGTTGTGCCTGGTGTGCCTGCTTGATTTCTTTTGGGTTTCGGCACTGGCTGTAAGCGCACCACTCCAGTGGCTCATCCGCTTTGGTGCCAACGTGTCAGTCGCGACCTCTAGTTCCATCACATCATGTTTCCTTAGTCCAACGTTCCATGGCAGGAGAGAAGGAATGTGCTCATCAACTCCCGAGAAACTGGTCTGAGATGTAGAGAGAATGATGGTTGTATCCTTCCAAGTCTCAAAGCTCCGGTTATAATATTCCGCTCTATAGACCAGTTTCCCAGAAGATGTTGGTGTATTTAGCATCAGGTCATAGCGTGGGGTCCAGCGGGCAAAACTCGTCACATAGGTCAATGATAGAGTAATGGTATCATCAAAATCCGGCTTCTTGGCTGAAACAACGGATCCTCGTCTGCTTGTAGGTGTAGTCCCATCTCCATGCCCTTCAACGTGAAGAACAACACGGCCAATACGGGGCGACCAAAACATACGGATTTCCCCGAGTACTTCTCTCTCTTTCTTCCGTCTTAGGTCTCTTTCTTTTCGCTTTGCCTCTCTCTCCTTGCGTGATGGCTTTGCGGCACGAGCTCTTTCCCTGTGGAAATTATCCTCAAGCCGTTGTTTCTTTCGCTCTAACTTTTCCTTCTTCTCATTTAACTCAACGGTTTCTGTCTCTGATTTCTCATATAATTCCCGTAGGCTTGCCCGTTGCTTCTGGTAGACGCCTATATATTCCGATACCTTGTCCACCTCAACATCCTTTGCCAACATGCTCTTGCCATAGGTATCAAGAAAAGAGAGAGACTGTGTAGACGAGGTTTTGTCATTTTCGAGGAAAGCAAGTCTGGTATTTATCCGCTTTATCTCTTCTATGACTTTGTCTAGCTCTGACCTATCGACTCCGAAGTCGTCATCCGGGTCTTCCGAGTCGGTGTCATCGTCCTCGCTCTCCTCTTCAGATGGATAAAGGTCATTAAATTCCTCATCACGATAAACTACCAGAGTTTGGATATCAGTGATAGTGGCTGGCCCATGGCCAGTGACACGAAGTGAGTCAAAGTCGATTCTTGGATCAAAACCACAAATGGTGATTTCATTTGGACCAGCCTACCTTTTAATCAGTACAAGGCGTAGAATAATTGAATACAAGCTGCGAACTCACCTTGATCGGCACATCAGCCAGTTCACGAATAACTGTAGCCCGCTCTGGTGCCAGTGTAACAGTTTTTGTTGGAGTTCCCTGAAGGGACAACTCCACGGTGTTTACTTCATCAGAAGCCATAGTATCTGTGTAGGAGTGGGAGTGGATATCGTATGTAGCGGGGTTTTTGTAGTTAACAAACTAGCGTTGAATGTATATCAACAAAGCCCCTAGAACAGGTTAACTAGAGAAAAATAGGTAGAGTAATAGTAGGAATGGGAGTTTACAAGTGAGGAAACCAGAGAATGCTGCCTCTTTATATACATAGCGTTACAGCTCCTGATGCGGCTCAACGTTGCTGCCTTGGCTTCGGAATACGAAGGCGCCACCATAGTAGATACACGGCATACAAGGTTTTCAAGACCATACCACATGTAGTGCCAACAGGCGAGACATCTTTATGTGCAGCAAGCCATATCAGCTCAGCCGAGCAAAATTAATTAATAATAAATATCGTCAAATTGCTAATTTATCGAGCCGTTTGATCTGTTTCTTTCTCGTAGACACGGTTATGTAATCAATACATCGATGATGTAATATTATATCACGTGATTAAATACGCCGCAAAACCGCCTAATTCCTCGGATATTTCTGATCGACGGTATCGGAAGCCCATCCTATAGCCAGCTGCCCAATAAGATATATACACCTGATTAAATATTTCGTTATTAGCTAAGAGATAACAGCACAAAAACCGCTGTATAACTCAAAAATGGAACAACGTACCACATCAGGTTAGCAGTGCCAAGGTAGGCATCCGAGACCGTCGATCAGCGGGAATAAGGCGGCCGCAAAACCCTAATTAGCTTACATAATATGCATAACTTAAAAGGGCAGAAGATTCGATGAAACCCAAAAAGGAAACTGAATCAACAACATTTGATGTTTATTGTACAGCCAACACTCTGGCGCCGCCGTACATTGACTTGCACAGTAGCAGTATCGATGGCTGTTAACGGAATGCTCAGATACGCACCTCGAGACCAGATTCTAATGCGTTAGTGTGACGATGACTCACGATATTGACGATTGACAGAATGTGGAATACTGCACCTCCGCCTTCGATTTATTCTTCTATAGTTTAAACAGACCCCCATAGGATTGTTACCTAGGGCCGTTTCGGCTCACTCTTGTCGTAAAGCTGGTGACTTCACAACCATGCCTGAGATGGCACCTGGTTACCCAGAGCCCCTCGTTATTTCGCCACTTGATGTGCATCAGTATACCTTCATCCTCCTCCATGGCCAGGGCTCAAGTGCTGTGAAATTTGGGCCCACTCTTCTGTCGTCTCCAATATCTGGCCTCCCCGGTTCTACATGCCCAGAGTGCACGCTTGCATCTACATTCCCGCACGCCAAGTTTGTGTTCCCTACTGCCTCCAGGCGTCGCGCGACTGTCTATAAGCGGAGCATTATCAACCAGTGGTTTGATAGCTGGACTCTTAGCACAGATACAGCACCCCCTGCAACAGCTCTTGAGAGACAGATGCGTGAATCGCTCCAAATCGATGGGCTCCGTGAGACAGCCACCTATCTTCACGAGTTACTGAGGCGAGAGGTATCATTGCTTGGAGGCAATTCCAAGCGTGTCTTCCTTGGGGGATTGAGCCAGGGCTGTGCGGCTTCCTTGGTAGCCTTGCTCCTATGGGATGGGGGTCCGTTGGGCGCAGCAATTGGCATGTGCGGGTGGCTACCATTTCAAAGACAAATGGACCTCGTTGCGCGGGGAGTAGATGATATTGAAGAAGGTGCCCATGTTGGTGACGAGGACTTTAATCCCTTTGAAGACTCAGCCGATAGTTCAGACAACAATGACATATCGAAGTCTCCCAGGCCACCACCGGTCCAAGCAGTGGCTTTCCTAATGGAGGAACTCGAAATTTCCTTGCCCAGTACCCTACCCTGCACGCTGCCATTTCAAGATACTCGTCTATTTATTGGCCATGGAGTGGAGGATCAAAAAATACCTGTATGCCTGGGAAGGGAGGCAGCAAGCTTTCTAGATACTATGGGGATGGAAGTCACTTGGAAAGAGTATGAAGGCCTCGGACATTGGTACTCGGAGAACTTGTTAAGCGACCTAGTCGGATTTCTAAAGCAGAATAGCCTTCTGGCTGACTGACCTCACAATAGCTGGCTTTCATCTGTTTTTATAGGACTTACCATGCCAACAAGTACTTATTCGCTGGATTCATATTCAAGCCATCAAAATTAAAAATATGACGTTTATTTTTACCATCACGTGCTCAATATCAAACCTTAAGTTTGACTCGAAAAAGTCATGAAAATCAATTTTTATAATCAAAAACGCTTCGAGTTTCTTGTTAAATATTTGTCTTTCTCTTTTCCAGATAAATAGAATAGTTCTATACCCTTTATCTTGTCGATACCAAAATACTTGGGTTTAGGTCTAGCTATATTCCTTGAGAGCAAATCTTGAGCAGTATCTGGTGGATCAAAGTGTGACTCAGCCTGAGAATTACTTGCATGCACTTCTCCCGCATCATACTTGGGCCTTCACATCCATAAAAAGATTTTGTTTGCTATTAGCATCAATATTTCTTCTGGAAAGTGTTGGTTGCGGCCACGGCTACTGTTAGTTTTTCTCGTGCCCTTTGCCCTTATCTAGGGCGCTGCAAAGGGTGTGCAGTTAGACTGTATAGCGCTGCTGCTAGCCCACTGCCTAGAGACGATGTTTTAAGGACAATGCCTGAGAAGATAGATCAAGAGGGTGCTGGGCGGGTCACTCGAATACTACCCGTCCACCGATTTGCAGACTGCTCACCAGGTCAAGACATCTTAGCAAAATGGGCTGGACAGGTCAAACAGGAAGGGCCCGAAGTTACAGCTCTTCTTGAAGCTGCGGAGGCTATCCGTACTAGTGATGTCCCTGTGGCCTTTCCGACGGAAACAGTGTATGGATTAGGAGCAGACGCTACACGCAGTGCAGCGGTTCAGGGAATATACAAGGCGAAACAGCGGCCATCGGACAATCCACTTATTGTTCATGTCAGCTCTAGGGAACAACTTGAACGACTTCTTCAGACTTCTCAGCCGTCAAATGGGGCCATACACAACCCTACTGCATCACCTATTCCGAAAATATATGAACCAGTAATCGAGAAATTCTGGCCAGGAGCGCTAAGCATTATCCTTCCCAACCCCTCTCATTTGCCTTTAGCACCGGAAGTCACTGCGAGTCTCTCAACTTTTGCCGTACGGATGCCTTCATCTCCCCTGGCGCGACTCCTGATCGCACTTGCTGATAGGCCAGTGGCTGCACCGTCCGCAAATGCTTCTACAAAACCTTCTCCTACCACTGCACAGCATGTATATACAGATCTTCAGGGACGCATTGATATCATCCTAGACGGCGGACCATGTGGAGTGGGTGTTGAGAGTACCGTTGTCGATGGGCTTAGTTCGCCACCTGCAATTCTCCGACCAGGTGGAGTTGGCATTGACGAACTACGAACTTGCCCGGGATGGGAGAATGTGCAAATTGGCTACAAGGACGGAGCTTTACAAGGCAAAGCTACTCCTCGAGCTCCAGGGATGAAGTATAAGCATTATTCTCCAAAAGCAAGGGTTGTCCTTTTCGAGGCTGGGCAGGACATCTCCTTTGTTACGAACCGAATAATTACTGATATCAATAAACGATCCGAGCCGGGAAATGATGCAACTTTTTTCTCATCTATCGGTATTATTCGAACGAAAACGTGGAAAAAGGGGCTGGGGATATCTCAACCACCGCCCAATGATGCAAATGGTGAAGTTGCACCTTCGACTATAAACTCGCCCGCCGATATACCAATAACATGTAACGAAATCAGTTCAACCTCACAAATCACCCACATGTTTGATATATATTTAGGAGACGACACTTCGTCCATTGCTCGCGGCTTGTTCTCTGCCCTTCGCAGCCTTGACGAAAGGAATGTATCCGTTATCTACATTGAAGGAATATCAGATACCGAAGGAGATTTAGCGGCAGCTGTCATGAATCGATTACGAAAAGCTGCTGAGGAAGAAGTCAAGGTTTCTCAATGAAGCCTTGATTAGTGAGAGATACGCTGTTATAAAAGGATAATGAAAAGGAATATGGTGAAAAGCACATCTTCTAATTGGCACTTGGTCTGGTTGGATTGCATACTAGAAAATAGACGGAAGAGTCAGTGACGGGTTGAGGAAATAGGTCGAAGTATTCTGTGATTTGTACGTCGCTCATTAGTTCCTGTGGAATCAACTATATACTTGGGGATATTCTGCGATACCACGGAACAGAAGATAAATATATCTTATTTCTTTTTGCCTCCTTTACCCCCTTTAGCGGTCCCTGTTTTCTTCCCCTTTCCTTTCCCTTTGCCTTCTACGCTCTTTGGTCCCACGCCAGAACTGGAGCCTCCGGCACCAGCAACAGAAACAATAGTAAACCCACCAACAGGTAATGTATTCATAACCTCAACGTCTCTCCAGGCTTTAATACAGTCCAGTTCCATAGAAAGCAACTGGTTTGCATCTTCAGCGTTTTCAGTTGATTCCTCCGCTGTATCCTTGACCTCTTCAGAATCGCCTGTGTGTGGAGGTTTACTCCCAGTAGACCGTGCTTGTAAGGCACTGGCATCATGTATCCATTTAGCAAGTATATCCTTAACGGCTTTTCCCTTCTTTACCTTTCCGGGTTGTAGCTTTGCACGGTACTTATACTGTCCCAGCGCGGTCCAGGGGGCGCATACGGGGATGGCAGCTTCAATTTCATCTCCCTCCACTGGAGTTCCAACCAGAGCAGGCAGCATTGAAAAGTCGAGTTTATGTTCCTCCCCAGAAGCATCCTCTACGGAGTGCCGGGTAAATGCTTCTTGCTGCCGCTTCACCGCCTGCAGGGCACGTTCATGTTGTGCTCTACGTCGTTCCTTTTGTGCTTCACGCTCAGCTTCAATATCTGCCTTCGTTTTTGTTTTGTTAACGGTTGTAGACCCAGGGGCTGATCCCAGGAGTCGCAGTGCAAGCTTACGATCTTCTTCATCTTGATCTTTGTATTTTGTAGCTAGCTTCTTTGCCTTCCCTCGTTTACCGCGAACGGGCGGCTTGGATTTCTGTGTTCCTGTAGAGCTGATAACCGACGGTGTTGCCGGCCGAGACCCTTGAATAGCTGAAGGGGCTGACAACTGAGTTTCGTCTTCGGACTGGTCAGCATCCTCTTCCACTTCATCTGCATCCACGGAGTTATCTGGGACAAGTTCCCTCTCAACCTGCGGGGCGTCCCGCTTCTCATCGTCGTGCGAGTAACCCAGATTTGAATTTGTGGCCTCATCGTTTTCAAGTTGTACAGACTGTACTGTTTCCTCCAAATGTGTATTTTTCTTGTCATCTTCGTGCTCTTCCTCCCCCCCTGTATCTGACGCGGATGCATCTGCATATTCGCGAGACACATCTTCCTGATGGTCCGATTGGCCAGTTTCTGCCTGCAATGCATCGGGTGCACTGGATGAATGTTGATCATTTATCTCAATTTCATCTGACGCGGACGGTACAGACTTCGTGTGGTTCTGAACACTTTGAGGCGAGAGTTGGAATAATACCGCAAACCCTAGAACAATCTGTCCCGGCGGAAGGTGGTTTTTCTCCCCCTTTATCATAAAATGGCCGGCTTTAAGAATATCACCGGTAGAAGTCACCTTTGACACCTGAGATGCATGAACCCACCACCCACCCATTGCTGCTTTGGTATCCCAAGCCTTTGAGGAAGCAACAGAGTATGCACTCGCCTGTGAGATTGTATTGGGAGGAATTGGATCATCCGGGAATTCGGGTTTATTCTTTACAATCAACGGAACTCCACCCTCCAGGTCAGTATGTACATAGATGTCTCCTTTTTTAAGATAGCGCTGAAATAGTATCTCGTCCTGCTGTTGATCTCTCCCCCTATCCCGGAATTATTAGCTTTGATATTATCGGCAACATGATAAATGACTTGCGCGCACTTACCCGATAACAAGGTAACCATCTGAGGAGATGAAAAAGAAGAACTTTTCAAACCACGCTGGGTTTCTGGCTCGGCGAAGAACAGGCTTCTCCTGCTTCAGCGCAAGCTTGAGATCCGCTTTGACCTTCTTCTCGGTGCTCTTGATGGCTTTGGTAGAAGCCTTCAGTGTCTTCTCTTCCTTCACAGCTGCTATTTTCTTCTCGTCATAGTACTGTCGAGCGTTAGCCCATGGAGAAATCCCCAGATCGATATCAATGCTCAATCGGTTGTCCTTCCTCTCCTTTTTCTCTTTCTGAGTTTTTGCCGTCATTTTCTTGTGCTTGGGCCTCTCATATTCATCATCGCCGTAGTCATTATCCTCGTCCTCGTCGTCTCCCTCAGATTCATCTGACTCCTCATCTTCATCTTCAGTTTCAGCTGTTTCCTCAGTTAGGAGGATTGTGATTGTATTCTCATACAGTTTAAGAGGTAACTTTATACACAGAGCAACGGGATTACCCTTCGCCTGTTCCATTTCAATCAACCTAGCAATCTCAACCCAGTCCATGCCCTGCGCAACCAGGCCGTTGACAGCATTTATCGCGTCCTCCACTTGTGGAAGATTCGCTTCAATAGCATGCGCCTTTCGAACGTGAAACTCTTGTTTCTCTTTTAGAGCATTCACTCTCTTTTCATGGTCTCGCTTTGTAGCTTCAAGTTTTTTTCTCGCAGCATCCTCGCGTTCCGTCAAACGAGACTCAAGCTTCCGAGCTTCTATTGAAGAGAAATATTTATCAACCGCACTGTTAAAAGTGTCAAAGCGTAGCATAGTTGTATTCGGGAGGTCTTTCGATTGACTGGGTTCGAACGGGTGAAAGTCTCTAAATTCAATCGTAGGAGCCGACTGTGTTCCCTCTGCTCCGTCAGCAGTTCCGGGTACGATGTTCTTGGCTAGGATGTACCCAGGGGTCTGACGGTCGGAGGATAATGCATTATTCACTCGATCAGCCTCTTGAAGAACACCCATAAGACCATGAATCAAATTATTGTCAGTCAGGATTTGTGCTGGCTGAAGCTTCGAATCAAATCCAATAATATGAAAGGCATGGTCAAGTAATGTAGGAGGATATTCTGGAAATCCAAAATATAAACTCCGCTTCAGCACCTTTGATCCGGTGTCCTTTTCGAGTGTGGCCTTGAGCCTGTCGATGGTGAGTGGAGGAATGCCATTATAATTCATCTTGCTTTCCAACTTATACGACATGCCGACCTTGACCTCCTCAACATCACTTCCGGGAGCAACATGCCGCAGCAGCGCAACAATCCCATACTTTGCGTCCGTCAAGATGAGATTCCCGGCCGCAAAAAACTCCAAGTATAAACGGAAAAGACCATCACTTATCTCGAACTCAAGGATTCGGTCTGTACCTATCTGGCGGACGCCGGTGATTCGTCTCGTTTTCAGGAGTTTCCGGAGCCGGCTGACAAAGTGAGAGGGTGCGTCTGCTGTAGTGCGTGATGACTCCGTGAGGTGGCAGTGGAAACCCGCATTGATGATAAGCTGTTTTTTAATATCGGGTAGCGCGAGTTTGAAAAGAAAGGTGCGCTATATAACATGATAACTGTCAGGATGAATCAAACTTGAGCAGATGTGAAGATCGCGCAGGACATACTGGTGAGATATCGTAGATGTTGGCGATTCTCAGGCCAAGGATATTGGCAGAGAGCTCACGGCTTATGACCTGATAATAGTTAGCAAGGAGTAAGTAGAAGGAAACTAGCGGCCACATACCTTTACATCCAAGGAAGAATATCTCTGCTTCATTTTTATAATTCTGCTTGTTCCGTCGTGGTTTGCACAACAAAATATATTTAAATGTGAGTAATATTGAACAAAACAAAAGTGACGTAGGCGGCGGCTGACAAAGCGATCAAAGATCGATATCAAAAAGTTTTAGCACCCCAGCGTGTTCAATAAGTTTGCAACAGATGGAGATACTCCTTTAGATACGTTTTGTAGCTGGTAAGGTGTTTCCATGGGCCAAAATTTAATAGCTAGGATAGATCAAGCGGCGAGGATAAAAAGAGAAAAGAGGAACAGAATATCAGCCAAATATATGCCAGGGGCATATCTGTATTAGAGTGATCGGTAAACATACACCACATCTCAGGCAAGATAAAATATAAAAGAGACATTCATTCAGAATCAGCCGTTACGCCATAATGCCCACCAAAAGATAGGACGTCATAAGAAAGGCAAGAAAATGAAAAGATCTATGCCAAACCCTGTGGAATAGATAGATAGAAAAGGAAGAAAAGCGGCACAGAATGACTTTTTTTTATAGGCCTTGTCGTAGCTGTTCTGCCAGCCTTCTCTTTCCAAACTCCCATGCATTTAGCAGCCCCTGCTCAGACAGATCTATGTTCTTCATATTTGGAGCATCTTGCGCAGGAGCCTTGCTGACACGAGAGGCAACCTGAACAGGGTCCGTCTCCAGCACGATGCCGTCATCGATAATCTCGTCAATTGCAAGAGAGACAAGGTCGTAGTTCTCAACGATGGTGCGTTTATCAGTTGATCCCCTATAAGCCGCTTCAGTCAGTTCTATGGTTCATTATACGGTAATCAAACGAGCCAATGCATACCCCAGCAGTATACTGAGAGAGTCTCTGAGGGTGACGACCACGTTATAGAGCAGGACTTCGTTCTCCTCTGCGCTTCCAACGACGTAGAGCATGACGTCGCCTTCGAACTTGAAGACGACCACGCGGTTATCGTAAAGTATTATATCGCTCGACTGCTTGTTTGTCTTCTCCAACAGACCCTTCTCGAACGACTTCTGGTCTTTGACTGTCGGGTAGGGGTTTACACCAGGGTAGTCTGTCGATTCTGCAGCTACGCCAGCTGGTGGGTGAGGCGCGGAGTAGTACTTTGCGAATATCCGGGAGCAGTCGTCGGTGGCCATAATAAGGACCGCATTGACGGAGAACAGGGAGAGAGGAGCCGGCATCTTGACTGTCTGTATAGCTTTCGCTGTGCTGTCTTGTCGTGTTTGTTATCTTCTTCTGCTCGACTTTCTTTGCTGGCTTCATTGATTTGTCACGTGATATCAACTTCCTCCTTTTTCAACATCAAAAGAACAGAAAACAACAACAATCATAATAACAAGAAGATCTCTTGTTCAACATATATCTACATATAATATATTTATATATACGTATATGTCATGAATTTAAATATATCTCAAATGTATACTGTACTGTTGAATATGATAAAAATACCAGCCAGGTCTATCCAAATATAGCTTCACTCTATACCTTCACCACCCAAAAACATCTTCTATATTGGCGAAGCAGAACGTCAAAAGGAGAAGCAAAAAAGGTTCGTACCAGGCCCTGCAGAGCCGGTACTACTCCTTGCCCCCCTCACCGCTACCAGCCAGGGGCGTCCCCCACGGCTGGTGCTGGCCAGAGGCTGCGGTCACGAGAGAAAGCCAGTCAAAGGCAAGTCCCCAAAGGGACTCAAACCTGACTTTTTTTCTCTCGTCCGCAGCGAGGTTCGAACTCCCGGCCTTTCCTGTGGCGTGCAGGTGGTTAGACCGCTACGCCACTGGGCCGTCCGGGTGTTGATGGTCTCTCTGCTCAGGGCCTTTTATGTCCTCTGCAAAATATCATATCAACATACATCCATGTATCAACGTCATATAATCCATATTACCGGCATATATATATCAATATTAACATATATTATTGATATCCACATTATTATATAGTCAGCTATATTAAATCAGCCTAATAGGTTCAAACACCTGTTACAGGCCTGTGAGCTAGCCAGGACAGCACTCAAGACAGCCTTTGCGGTCTCTTCTTCCTCACCCCTGAAGCCAATAGACAGCCTCTTCAGCCTGTCTGGATGCCATCTCAGCTTTTCTTGCACCAACTGTGCCTTCAGCGCGGCCAATCTCTCCCTAGACGCCCCCTGGACCCGGATATCAAACAATATAGCCTCCCGTGGCTCTTCAGGCCCCTCTATTTGACCCCTGGCACCGTCAATTTGCATATACAGCGGATGCAGACCAAACGCTTGAACGAAGAAGCTAAAGGCATTCCACTTCCTGAGCTGAAATATATTCTCCCTGATCTCCTTTGGCAGGTGACTAGGCCTTAGAAAACCGCTTTGTGACTGTGGATGCTGCGACAGAGGACTCGCTTGGAGGCTGCTCGTTGGCCATGGAATAGCTACACGCGCCCCTAACGCATCCTTGCTGTCAGAAACTGATTTCCAGGCGTTGTTATAATCATCGATCGACTTGGAAGGCCTAGGAGGTGCCTTGTATGTGCTAGGTCTGTGTGATTGACCGGTATCTCTTCTGCCTGCTTCGCCAGGCCTCATACCAAAGTGATTATGGTGATGATAGAAGTTCGCTCGTTGCTCGGACCTGTGTCCCCAGTGGGTATGCTCCTCCCTCTTCAGGTACTCCATCATCTCCTCAACAATACTTCCCAGGCGTTGACATTCCAAACGTTCGCGTATCATCTTCTTCTTCAACTCTTCGACTTCCCCTCTCAACATCTTCACTGTCTCTCGCAACGACATGTTCGTACCATCATCCCCCATCTCCACTTCGCTACCATCCAAATCTTCAAATGGCTTCTCTGGACCCGGCACCTGCTGACCACCCATCACCGTTTCAGTTTCAGCACCGTCCTTCTTCGTGGCCAACTCTTCATCATCAACTTCATCCATGTACCCATCGCTATCCTCATCGACACACATCTCCTCCCAATCTTGGCTATGTCCATTCATAAAAGGATCCGAGTCTCTTATAGGCCCGCTGCAAGGCGGGCAAGAAGGTAGTTCGAATCCCAGTGGAACCGCCCTTCTTGCCCCGTTGTCCAGGTTAAAAAAGAGAAGTGGCTCCGTGGTATAACTCCGACCACAGATTGGAGTGCCGAAGGGGGGAGGCGGTGGCGGTCCATGGTCTAGCACCGGGAGGATATCTACCTGTGTTGGGACGCAGGTAGGACGTACCCAGCTGTCAGCGAACGATCGCCCTCCGCTATGCTGAAATCTGCCCATATGCTGATGCTGGCGTTTATAGAATGAGGACGCATATCGAGAGGAAAAATAATCCTCTAAACCCGAAAGGTCATTCCATACCCTTTTTCTTTCATCCATCATACCCTTTGTTCTGTTTTCGGTGGCCCTTTGATATGGAAAGATCGAATAGTGATATGATTCTATAATGCCTTGGACACCAGAGCCAGGCATATTTATTATGAACTACCACTCTAAAGGACAGATTTGCCCCTTTAATTTACGCTGATACTACCTTGTCACCTCACTGTTTGCTCAAGTCACACCCAAGCGCGACTTGTGCAAGGCCAAACAACGCCCGGCCCGACTATGCGGGTTCAAAGGCGCATTGCTATACAAGTCGGGCGTCCGGTACTACTTATTTGGGCAAGGATACTCTTTAATATGGTTTATTTCTGTTGACTTAGCTAAGAGTGGTAGCTGGTAAACGGATATACCAAGAATATAGCATGTCGTACGGGGCAAGAAAGGTGATGCGGTGCAAGACAAGGAACCGAGAATAGGACGTGGGTATATTCATAGACAAACTTGCAGCCGGGCTTGCATTGGAGTCCAAGATCAAAGCATTAGACAAGAAATATTCATAGAAAATGGCATGGCATAAGATAAAACAAAAGAAAAAGAACATAGTAAATAGCATCAAATAGGGGGGGGGGGGGGGGGAATATTTAATACATCATTTCGAAATAGATTCTTCTCTCCAAAGGCGTGAAGCTGGTGCTTGCATTGCAAAATAAATGAAAAGAAAAAAGAGCAAATCAAGATGACGGCCGGGAGTTGCTGGAATCAGATAGCGTGAAGCTACCGCGATTAAACCAGCCAGCCCAACTGCCTCTGTTCGCCTTCTTTCGCGCAGCATCGTCAGCCAGTGGGTCAGCATCCATTTCTTGTGTTTCCTGCACCAGACGCAACGGCCGCAGCTTGTTCTGCTGCATCACTGCACCGGTATAGTTGTTCATACTAGGCCCAGAGCGCGGCGGACTGGCAGACGCACCGCCCTCAGTCGATCCAACATCTCCGCTTCGGTCGCTTCTCAGGCTTGCGGCGCCGCTGAAACGACGGTCAGCGCTTCGCGTGGAGATGGATGTTCCTATGCCTCCCGGAGCGGTTGCTACGGATGAGCGTTTGGATGTCGCACCGGGAGTGAAGAACGGGCCGTTGTTTGATAGCGTCGGGCTGATTCCTGGGCTTAACGGGCCGGTGGACGGGGAGCGACCGCTGTGAGGACCACGGTACATCTGGCCGACGACGTTTGCGGTACCCGCAGGGTTGGAGGCGTCCAGCTGGTCTGACCTCGTTCGACGGTGTTGAACTGTCCGAGAGCGTCCGAGGGGGATTCTGGGAGCGGTATTTGGGTCTTCATGGGCTGACGGGGTGGGTGGTTCGCGAGGTGATGATTGCGGAGGAGAGTGTGTATTAGACGTAGACTGGGTGAGCTGGCTGCTTGGTCTCGGTTTAGGACGAGCCGGCGGACCTGCTACGACGGATTTGGCACGCTGGAGGAATGACTGTCCTGCTGCGTCATTCTTCTCGGCTGGTGGAGGAGGAGGAAGCTCTTTGTCTTTATTTGCTCCCCCCTTGGAACCCGCAGTGTCGGTGTCGCTCTTGTCGAGGATATGCTCAAACCCTTCATGTTGTAGCAGTCTACCTATAATCCGTTCGATATACAAGCTCAAGGCCTTGTTCTGGTCCTTGAGGCTCTTCAGCTCGCTTTCCAGCTTGCGTTTCTCGTTATCCTCGCCCCCTTCGCCGATGGAATCTAGCTCATCGGCCAGAGAACCGCTGGTTCCATTCGCCTCGGCAGGGGGGTTAGAATCATGCATGAAATCTCCCTTGGTGAAGTCGCCGTTCAAGGTCCGCTCGCTGAGGAGAAGCTGGTAGCTTTCGTTATCCTCCATTAAGCGAGCATTAGCCATACGAGCTTCCAGGAGTTCCCTCTCGAGTTCCTGCTGGCGGCCTCCTCCCAGGTTCTCCATCTCCACGATCTTGATCTGCGCCTCTGCCAGCTCAAGCCGTAACGATTCGATCAGCTTGTCTTTCTGTAGTATCAGCTTGGAGTTGGTTCTCGAGGGGCTGCGCTGAAGCTGGGATGACGACGGTGCAAACTGCCCATTTTCAAGATCTGGAGACGAGCGATTGCGGAAGCTCGCTATATTTATGATCAGTATCAAAGTGAAAAAAAAAAAAAAAAATTAAAAAATAAATAGATAGAAAGAACTAACGTGAACGAGAAAGGTTGCGCTCGCCGTCAACACCCATCCGAAAGTCCTTTTGAGCGATGGTCTCCTTCAATCGTTGGATGGTAGACTCCAGCTCCTCCTCCCTCTTCGTCTGGTTCTCTTTATCCGCCATCATCGACTCACGTTCAGTCTCGTGCTTCTGTTCCAGATCCCTGATCTGTCGCTGCAGCTCCTTGATCTCGTCACGCAACGGGTTTATCAGCCCGTCTTTCTCGTGTGCCTGTTCCTCTAACCGGCTCTGTTCGCTGACAGCGTCGTCGAGTCTCATCTGCAGCACACCAAGCTGTTTCCGATACTGGTCCGAGACGGTCTCAGCTTTCTGAACCTGCTCCTTCAGGTCGTCGATGAGTGCATTATTTGCTGCTCTGGCTTCTTCGTCTTCGTTGCTATGCGGGTAGTTTCGCGGTACGCTGCTCATGCTGAGGTTCGACCTGCCCAGCCCGGCTCTCTTCGCTGCTGCGGCACGGGCTGAGACAGGGCCTGGTGACCCTTTGGTCGACGGCGAGCGACCAACGCCATTCGTCGTGGCATGCCTCTCAGAGGGCTGGGAGGCCTTTCGTGGTCCGTTTGGGCTTGTTTGAGCGTCCGTTGACGTCCTTCGGCCAGCTGGCGTGGGAGACGATGGTTTCTTGGGCGTCGCCATCTCGAGATGTTGCACCTCTTTGTGCTTGTACACGTAGAAGATTGGCCCTCGTAACACGTAGAGACAGCAACTCCTCTCGAGTCCCGATGAAGCTGATTTGAAACTGAAGCGACCAAACAGGAGATGGCCGTTGTTTACTCCGTACACCCTGGAGTCCCTTGTTCTTTAAAGCCCGAGAGATGTCTCTGAAAGCAACGTCTAGAATGCGCCTTGCTGTGTGATCGTGAATACTAAGCTATGCGGCCATCTCGACTCGCTGCTCATGATGTTCTCTCTTTCACTTTTGTGCCTGATGATTATTGTTGGCTGGCGTACTTTTTTTTGGTTATTTTATCCTGGCTTTTTCCCCGTAATTAAAAAAAAAACCCATGGAAAGCCGCAGGTTAAGACCTTTTGATGCGTCTTTGGCGCCAATCAGAGGCGACGACGCGGCGGATCTCTTACTAAGCTGACAATAAGGAGAAGAAGATGAAGAAAAGACAGTAAAATAAAGAGAGGAAGAGAGGAAGAGAAGTGAAGCCAGGGGAGGTTGATATATCCTCGAGAAACATAGTTCGCTGTCTACAGAGGCTTACATCAAGTATGATGACACTTCTTGTATGCAGCTTATCAAAAGGTAACTCGCCATCTGAAGCTGCTCCAGCTCTCTCTTCCCTGGCTATAAAGGAACCGCCTCCGTGGCAAAGAGATCCCTCCACATGCAGGACTCGACAGCGTCATCGTGTGGGTGAGCTTGTTCAACAGCCCAGGGATGGGTTCGGGTTTTCATATACCTTGACATTGAACTTCCGGTTCTCCTGGAAGAAAAAGAAGCAGCTGTCATCCGTAACATTCTTGCCGGGGAAGAGTACGTCAGCATCATTATCAGTTTCTGGGGCATTTTACCTGCCCCGGCAAGCCCGTCATTTGGTATCACATTGAGGGTGAAACATTTGGAGCCTGGACAGCGTGTGGGAGGCCGTGAAGATGATTTATTGTCTTAGGGGCTTTCTCTGATATGCTCATTGGAGTGGCTGAGCGTGTTATTCTCCCTGATATATTTCTTTCGCGCATTTACTTTATGCTTCTTTTTCTTATTCAGGAGTGTTGAAAGGGATGCATAGGTGATGCCGTTTTTTTCCTGGAGAAGTCTTCGGTCTCTTCGTAGTGCGTTGCAGTACAATGAACGCATAGCTGAGACGGTCATATTCGAAGACTAGATCGCCATGGTGACCGCCCCAGGTTTGCTTTGAGTACTCCGTAGAGATAGACCGTTTCAAAATATCAAACGGCAGCGTATCACCCCAGTTAGCCTACCGGCCCTCCACTCCATCTCCCAATGTTTTCCAATGATCATGCGATAGACATGGGCTGGTCCACGTCACCAGAAACCTCATCTGCCCATCACGATATATCAGGCCGCTGGCAGGATAGGGGAAATACCCAGCTTTAGAAGGACCAACAGCGATCGAGTCTGCCTCCTTGGGCGCAATGTTCATCCTCGAGATAAGGAACGGAACATCTGCTTGCATTTCCCCATGTCATCTGGGATCTAGGATTGAGCGGCTTCCAGAGACTGAGGTCCTTAAAAAGCTTTCTACCACCAACACGGGTGGTAACCTTGAATTTATCAGCAATATACCATAACGAGCCTTTATTCTGCATGACCCGGCAGTGCGTGAGCGGGGAAATTCTTAGGTTGGTGTCAGCCTAACATGTCAAATTGGTTATATTCAGTACGTTGGGAAGCAGACACCGACAGATGAATTCGTACTGACTGGGTCATGCTCACAGTGACCCTCCCTTCATCCACTAAGCAATCGTGGAGTATTGTAGTCATCAGGAAAGATACCTGTCATGGTGGACGAAAATGTTGCTCTTACTTGTTGCTTAAGAGTATATACATAGTTTGATGACACCGTTGACGAACCGTCTATAGGAAGCGTATGTGCGTTGCTTCCTCCCACTCTAGGGCAATCCTACCTAACAATATATCCCAGGCAAAGGCATGCGACGTTAGCAGTGCCCCTATATATGTAGATATCGACATGAGGGATGCTTTGCCAGCAGCGAGCACATAGATACTCTCAACGTTGCGTACTTAAGTTGTAACTCAATGACTTCCCCTTGGGTTTCTCGCTTGGTACCATAGTGACATTCTTCCTTCTTTATATTATTATATATCAGCCGCTTTCTACCCAAAACCATAACAAATCTTTCCTTCGGTTGATATTTATGTCTGCCTCAGGCTACAACTTGCAAAGCACGCAAAATTCAGTTTCAGCCTCAAAGGCAATGGTTTCCACGCTAGTCCACATGCGGTTACTCCCAGGTTCAATTTACTACATAGTACGGAGTACTCCATGTGTGTGTATACAGGTAGAATTCGCTGCTCAAGCACATCCGCCAACTTGAGCACGACCACTCATGTTGACACATCAGAAGCTGCTACTACGAAACGACGACTCCTCCGAGAAGAGGTTTCCTACTCTACCGCCCAGGACAAGGAGATCAATATTCTCCACAGACTTGGGTACTTCGATAAGCAAAACTAATTCGTTGCAGAGCTCGCGAGTAAAGACAAATGGATAAAGAACACCGTTGCTCATCATCTAAATGTTGACCCTTCAAAGTACAATATAGATTCAACAGATCGATGGTTCTCGGGTAGTTTCAATCTATGTATCCCGGTTACTATTCAAAGCTGGACGACCTGGAAACCGCGTCCTTCTTCGGCTACCTCTTCCCTATAAAGTTGAAGAAGTATTTAGGCCGGGCAATGTCGACGAGAAACTTAGATGCGAGGCTGGAACTTATACATGGCTTCAAGAGAACCATGGTATTTCTATCCCGCGCCTATACGAATTCGTTGATACTATCAATGAGGATGAATATAAAACGATATGGATGGAATTGACAAATTTTAGCACGGGATAAACCCGATACTGGGCGGGGATCTCAGCTATCAATAATAATGACAAAAGGGTGGGAGATAGGTACCTTTTGGTTCTCACTTGCGCTAAGAAATACTGCTGCCATTTTCCGTTGATTTGATGATAAAATCCAGGTGAAACTCGGGAAAGGCCTATATAACGAAGAGCAATACTGTCTTATCATGACATCCCACTGGGCATTTAACGTTGCCGACATTATTAGCAGAAAGACAAAAGATAAAGAAGAATACAACTATAAACTTCGACAAGCTTTCAGCGAACCTGCGCAAAGCTAGCTCTCTCTTATTTCTAGTTTGATTTTGGGTCCTTTGAGGCTCCTATTAGCTTTTGGAGTGCTATGTCCGGCTTAGTTTCGTTTTCTTGAGGTCTTTTCCCGGAACATATAACGAGTATTTGCTACTCCTGGATACGGTTCATTTGGAATATTCGTTGTCGCTTTGTTCCTTTAGAATTTTACGGGCTTTATATAGAAACCTTCTTGGTCATATTTTAATGATTACTCCACAGAGTTCAGATGCAATCAATATTTTGCTGGCCCTCGGGCATCCTGATTTGATGCAGGCAGCAAACTAACTACAAAATCTCTTAACCTTGCGCCTACGATCACGGTGAAGGTATAGCACCAACGTCAACACCACGTCGCTTCAGACCGATAGTAGATGACATAATCTTTCCTCCGGTGTAGAGAATGAGCAAAACGAGCTCTAGCTAGATGAGGTTGCTGGATTAAACTATATGTAATACGTCGGAACTGGTATACAATCAATTAGTCATTTCTTCCTTAGGGGGGCGGTCTCTACTCCATGAACGTATAGCTAGGTGGCTGAACATAGGCGTCCTTTTCCTGTAGAGGGCAACCATACCCGATTACCTAGCCTTCACAACAGGACAGATTAAAAGAGTATTCCGCTGAGTCTCTTCCTTTCCGGTATCGGTTGAGACACTCCATCAAACCACGCTGAGTATAATCTCACAGTATAGAGATCGCTCACTCGATCTTAACCAGCAGATAGTCACGGCCACTAGTGTCTCATACCAGCTCATAGAATACTCTAGCAGCAACAGGAGCCGTCGGGCTCTCAATATTAGAAATTATCCTAACAAGAAGTCGTAGAAACGAAAGAGGAAAAATTGTCTCATGGAAGCCGGAGGTTTGAAATTGCCTGTTTGGGCATTAAGTTAGGGCTTAGGGCTTGCTTGGAAATCAACCCGCTTATTAATTATTCTCTTGTGTGTGTGTCGCCTCCCAAAAGGGAAAAGGAAACTTCTTCTGTTCCTTCGTCGAGATTATAAAACCATCAAACCTCCTCCAACCCGCAGATTCAGAGCCTTATCGTTCGCAGGAAGTGCTCGTTATACACACCCGAACAGATAAGATGGCGCGCCGTCCCGCAAGATGTTACCGCTACTGCAAGAACAAGGTGGGTTTGACCTGTTACAACATTTCGTTGAAAGTTCCCGGTGGATTGCATATGGAAAAGATTGGAAATCTGGATATTCGATGAAGTTGCGCTTGGGATGCTGTGCTGGGGTGAAATATTGATCGTGAAAACCGCAATTTGAGATTCAGTCGCCGGGAGATGTTGGACGATATAACTCTATGAGTTGGAACGATAGCTAACTCAACAATCTCTAGCCATACCCCAAGTCCCGTTTCAACCGTGGTGTCCCAGACCCTAAGATCCGAATCTTCGATCTTGGACGTAAGAAGGCCAATGTCGACGACTTCCCTCTCTGCGTACATATGGTCTCCAACGAATATGAACAGCTGAGTGCTGAGGCTCTCGAAGCTGCTCGTATCTGCGCCAACAAGTGAGCGTCAAACCACCTGATAATATACCCGACATTATGCTAGAGACTAACATGATGGGAAAACTAGGTACCTTGTCAAGATTGCCGGAAAGGAAGGTTTCCATATGCGTGTCCGTGCTCATCCCTTCCACGTCGTCCGTATCAACAAGATGTTGTCGTGTGCTGGTGCCGATAGATTGCAAACCGGTATGCGTGGTGCTTTCGGTAAACCCAACGGCTCCGTCGCCCGTGTCAACATCGGCCAGATTCTTCTTTCCGTCCGCACTCGTGACGCTCACCGTGCCACCGCTGTCGAGGCTCTCCGTCGTTCCATGTACAAGTTCCCAGGTCGCCAAAAGATCATTGTCTCCAAGAACTGGGGCTTCACCCCTCTTCGACGAGAGGAATACGTCCGCCTCCGACAGGAGGGACGTGTTAAGATCGACGGTGCTTACGTGCAATTCTTGAGAAACAAGGGTCCAATTGAGAAGAACATGCAACGATTCCCAGAGGCTTATGAGAATGTTTCCCAGGAGGCATAGAGCATGAGTTTTCAAGCGGGTTTGGGGGGTTTGAGGTTAAATTTGTTTGCTTGTTTTGATTGAGGCAATCCACAAAGATATCTCAGAAAGGAATAAATGAATCAAAATAATGACAAAAAAATGAGCATAATATCTTCTTTTTTCTCACATTGAACTATCCTGGAAACTTGTTTTTAACCCAAGCTTTTTATATGCGCCTTCTATGAAGCAGTTATTGAGGTCGATGCATATATGGTGGTGACTTGGTTTAATCTATGTATCTTGTCGGGTCTGTATGGTAAGTCCAAAAATTGAGTCCTTGATTACGACGGGTCGTCTGGTTCGTGGCATTTAAAAGGAAGGAAAATATAGAACGAAAATGAAATAAAAATATGTAAGACAGGCGTGACTCCCAAACCAACTGCTCCGGTCAAATAACTAGAGTAATGAAACTCGCATCACTTCAGAATACACGTCTTAGGCCGAAAACGCCGACATCTTTGCAGATACACCCAAGATTCATGTATGCAATTTGACTCAATTCAATCAACAAATAAACAGGCCCAGGATAGAGGCTAGCCGACGTTAAACGTCTCCCCAGCTGCCCATACCGCCTACGGCCACCGGGGCATTGCTACTTCCAGCACTGCCCCCAATATCCCAATAATGTCTGCTGGAACCACTGCCGCCAGCGATAGTTCGTTTAGTTGACACAGACTTGCGTGTGCTCTGGCTCTGGCTTGCACAACTCGAACTGGCAGTACCACGGATATGGTGGTGGTGCCTGTAGATACGCGTAGATTGATGGTGGCGGAAGCGTGAGTTTGCTTCTGCACGAGCAACTAGGGGATGATGCTGGCGGATAATGGCTGCGCGGATGGGATCGTATTGGCGCTGCCGTTGAGCTTTATGCTGCGGAGAGGTAAAGTCAGTATTGGTGCTGTTGCTGGTGTTGGTGTTTCCAGTTGCCGATGCAGCGAAGCGGTTCCGTAGATACCGGAAAACCATCTTGATGTTCAGTTCTCGCTCCCAGTATTCATGATCACGCTCTCGACGTTCAGATTCTAGTAGATCATTAACCTCAGTTCCTTGTGTTGGTGTGCCCTCTTCGATGCCCCAGAGAGCAGCGTGTTTAGATGTAGCGGCATCTTGTAAAGTTGGAATAAAAGTAGGAGATTGTACGGATGCATTATCGCGGCTGCAGTATGATTCATGCGGAGACGTAGTGGCTGATATGGTGGGTGTAGTGATGGGTTGAGTAACGGGCATGCCAGCATATTCCGATGAAGGGTCAATATTGGTCCGCATATACGCTGTAAATGCTCCAGGGTGTTCGTAAATTTGATGGACAAGAATGCCAAGTTCTCTGGCGATTCGCTCAAGCAAGCGTTCCTGCCACCAGTCACTCCTCGTGGACGAGCTCATCGCGTTTTTAATGGTTTCATCCACATTTCCAGAGCAGCCAATTTCTGATGTGGTAGCTCGTTTGTTTCCAGTGACAACCCGGGAATTCTTTGTGTTGTTTTGCGTTGAAGCATATTTATTCAATTCAGGAATATCGGTGATGAGCGACTCGCCGAATATGACGGCAAGAAGGGAGTCATCAATTCCCATCAGGCCATTGATCACCCTGCGAGTAATTCGTTGCCAGAACGATTCATCTGAGTCCGTATCATCGTTAGAGGTCGTATCAAGAGCAGCATCAAGCTCTGCCTGACTGCTATTAAGCGGCGTGTCCATTTTGGACATGGTATCATCTGAGGTGGTCGATTGAAGTGTATGTGTAGTTGCAGGCCCTTTGCCCTTTGCTCTTCGCTTCTTCTGTCTGCGTCGTCTGGTCTCCCTCTCTATCTCCTCTAATAGAACCTTACTTTGTTCCATGCGCCACTGCTCGATTCTCTGCCACCTCTCCCGTTCCATCCCTATGCCCATACATCGGGATTCATTGGCGTTATCGAGATGTCTCTGAACGCTAGAGCCGCTTCTCTGTCTCGTTTCGCCAATTTTCTTAGGATTAAACTGTTCGTGCTGCCATAACTGGTCCTGTACGTTCGGCCCAGAGGGTGAGAATGTCCCCAATCCATCATGAGTAGGTAGTAAGGCTGGACCTCCGCTTTGGTCTAGCTGTGGTTCGCGAAAGGCATGGAGTCCGTCATCAAGGCTATCCAGCTCCGTAATGTCGTCCTCCTGCACTCCTTCCTGATGCTGTTCATCATCTATTTCCACGTCACTTCTCCCATTATGAATCGGACCTGATGACTGGGCGGCCGTATCCAAAGATCCAAAGTCGCTCAACCGCGACAGACCAGCTGTGCGAGGCGTTCGTTCAGTAGATACGGTATTGCTATGAGTAATCGTGGACCTGGCCTCTACGGGAGAGAATAGAACCCATTCCTGCGAGTCCTCCTCGGCCGGCCTCGCGTTGGGCTGGGGTACATCTGGCGGTGTCGTAGAAGCACGACCGGCCTTGGGATAAGGGCGTTGTCTCTGTGGCGTCTGATCTGGGAGACGAAATGCCATGTTTAAAGCTGTATTCGATGATGGATATTCGTATGTATATCACGTTGGACTCTCTACTATCGTGGCATGGCGGTGATGTGAGGTCTCTTGCACTTCCGTCTAGTTCCAAGCCGTATCAGGCGATAACTAAAAGGTTAAACTGACGGAACAAAGATAAGATACGTTACGGAACCGCCGTCTCCATACTTTCCATATAACAATAAGTCGAGATGAGATAAGAATAACGAGTAGGCTTGTGGGCTCTCTGATAGCAAAGCCCCCAGAGAATGAAGTTGGAGAATCATCAATTGACGAACTTCAAGTTTCCCCATGCGTGACGTGCATCACTTGGCTTAATCAGCAGATCGCTTAGTCATATATAATACGGAAGTAACGTTACTTAAACCTGCTTCGAACGTCATGCTACATCCTGTATCTTGCCAGCTGAGCGGCCGTCATGATGCAGCTTTCGAGAAGCCTACATACATAGCAGTATTACTCCTAGACGGGGGTTTATTAACAGGAGGCAACTCTAATGACCTGAAACAATTATAGCCGAACCTGAGGACTCGAGCTTAATATGACTCCTTATATACGCTAACTACCAATCCTTCAGCGCCAAAATCCTTTCACATACATCCAGGAGGATTAATACCCTTAGTAGCTATGCAGAGCTTACGCAACCTGTTTGGCACTGGAGATGGCCTGTCATTTCGAGATATATATAAAGGGATGGGTTAACGTCTCTAGAGAGAAGGAAAAGCTCACGGGAGTACAAACACCAAAGGACCAAGGCAATATATGAAAACAGTGATGAAGGCCATTCAGCTTATCATTATTACTGCGCTGCAGTTGAGTCTTATTCACTGTTCTCCTACTTTACCGGCCATGACAGAGAGGAACAATCGCCCCAAGGCCTTGGTGTACCGGGGACCAGCTGCATGCGATGAATGCCCTGAAGCAGTGAAAAGGCTTCTGGAAAACTCACCTTCTGCCTTTGAAGTTGAATTTTGTGGACCCTATGAAACGATCAAACTAAACAAGGAGTCACTGGAAAATATAGATCTCTATGCGCAGCCTGGGGGCGGTGGTACGTTCTCTTAACAGTCTAATTCGATTATTTGATGGCACCCTTTATTCACTCATCATAGATCTCGCTCCTGCGTGGAAATTAATGAAGGAATATGAAAGCGTTATCCGTGACTTTGTCGCTAATGGGGGTCGATATGCTGGCTTCTGTCTTGGGGCGTATCTCGCAGGAAACGGCCCCGGTTTCGGTATTCTTCCGGAAAATTGCGACACAGATGCAGAAATTGAACAGTTCGGCGCACAGGTCAAAGATGAATCGGATACCGTTATCCAGCTAGATTGGAACTTCCAGGCTGGCGAACGTAAGGGTGAGCAAGATAAAGGCCGATGGATGTACTTTCAAGAGGGAGCAAATATCGATATAGCGAAGGGATCGCCAGCCGTGATAGTCGCCACATATTCGAGTAACGGAGACATTGCTGCCTCAGTTACTCCCTTCCAAAAGGGTTGGGTTGGGCTTATTGGTCCTCATCCCGAAGCAGATGAAGACTGGTGTACGTACATTCAATCCCTCCACAAGCAAGGATCTTTAGCTGACATGACTTGGCCAAGATGACGAATTCAATATCACTAACCCGGATGGAATAAAATTCGATCTTGGCTATGATTTTGTCGAGGCGATTATGAGTCAAGAATCTCGGGCATAATTCCTGCATGATTATTTGGGGACAGCTCTGGGCTTGAAGGATCCGTTTCACATAACTACCTTGGCATTCCAAGATTTTAATTTGACTAGCTAGGGCCATTACTTGCGAGTTAGGCGGTGGATTGTTCTGTATGGTTGTAGCGGCCGCTGCGGGATGAATATGGTGTATTTGTAATTCAATCCACTAGTAAGGTGGTGCATGATAGCTTGCTCTAGCTTTCTCTCAACCTTACATCGCCTATCCATGGTATCTTCCAGGGTGGATCGGAAGGGTTGGCTGAAAGAATACTCATCTCTCATTGAATCTTTAACACAAACACCTGTAAATTGATCCTTAATTGGGCATACTGGTTAAAGGAGGCCATTGTAATTGGTGTAGAGAAATGAAGGGTAATCCAACAGCAGCTCGCCTTCAAGGAAGGATTATTTATGGAATCAACGAGTATTTGCAAGGAGATATATGTGAGCCTCCGACTCTTAACTGCCAAAGCGTGCAGGCTGTGAAATGACCGTCGAAATTCTCCATACCAGTACTTCTGTACTTGAACACAGGTTCCTGCGGACAAACCCTACCTCCCCAACACAGCCTCCTGACAGGCTGGTGCACCTGGCGGGGGGCTTTGGGCATTTTATTTGGTATGATGTCCTCCCAGTGTAAGTTGCATGGTGGAGAGTGCATGGGAATTCGTCCATGAGGATGGATGGTCTTGCTTGGAGATGTAGTTCTTCAACTGTCCCAGGGGGCGTCATCATGCTAAATAATAGTCAGCGTCCGTTGGTTCTTATACTCCCAAACAGAGAACTTTGATGCTGAAGCTTCCCTTCATCTGGCTCGATGAGCTGTAACAACTTCGCCCTCCCGTTTGAAATTTCGCAAGCTGGGCTTTTGGTTGCCTCGTCGAAGGAATAGACGACCTAGATTGTGGTACCTTATTGCTCAGCCCTGAGGCAAAACTAACGGTTTTCAGTGAAGTTTGCCTCCGGCAGATTAATAAACCTCCAACGGAGAATTGAACAATGGGTGGATTATCTGACTGGTAGTCTTAATTCTTTAGGTAGGTATACGTGAGATAAGTTAATGGATCCAAGTTATCCCGTCTCCCCATATCCCCAGATTCTCCATTGATAGGCAAAGACGCAGGGCTACAAGAAATTGGGGTTTATTTCAACGGATATCCATAGTGGCATTAACCCATAACCCATAACCCAATGGATCTAAGATAACGATTCGTAAGAGTGTGCTTGTATGGATAATTCTTAAGCTTAGTTATTCAGGAAGGCTGCTGGTATTTTAAGATATATATTTTTGTTACCCAACTGATCATATACTGCTGAAGGTTTTAAGATTGAATATGTGCGACTACAAAATGCAGACTTTCATATGCACGCATGCGAAATGCATAGTTGAAGCATGGTGCATTGTATACCAGAAGACTGGAGAACGATGCCCTCCTCGTGTTAACAAAGAGTAAGCTTTTACCTACCTATCTTTTATCTCATATGACTAACTCGACGTAGAGAGGAAATGGGCGGGGTCTGTTGTATGCTGAGATGAATAAATATCGGCTTTTTATACTGATATGTGAATAGGACTATGCAGCAGGAAAAGCCTTGTTCTGGCTAGAACTCACGATCAAATCAATCGTCAGATAGAACTTCAATTAGCGTGCGTTAAACAATGGAGCTGGGGTGCTGAGTCCGAGAAATGATTGATTTGTATTTGGTGGTTTATCTTTTAAAGGACGGAGGCGAGGTTCTATCAAAGGAGGACGCGCGAGAAGTATCGTTGTATTTCTTTTTTTTGGCAATCTATAGAAGGCGACCGAGAACGGTTGGGATTCGCTGGTGGACCCAACAAGTTACTAACCTGAAGCTCCGTTTTCCACTCCCTATGGGTGTTGTACTAGATATGGCAAAGAACTGTATATATATGGCACTTGTCATTAAAATATAGAGTAGAGTAGATTCTCTCATTATTATCAAGCACTATTTGAAGAAGCCATATGGTCTATGGCAATAAAAGAAAAGGTCATTGCAGGGGAAATAGTAGCACCGGCGCCAGAATAAGTCCTACCCATGATGCTGGCACTGGTATTCCCCGCCGCATAAAGGCGATCTATTGGCTTCCCGTCACTGTCTCTGAGCACTCTAGCATGCTCATCAGTTAACAAGCCTCCTTTCGTGCCCAGGTCACCAGGGACAATGCGAACTGCGTAAAACGGTGGCTTCTCAATAGCCCCCAGGTTTGGATTGGGACCAATCTTAGAGTCTCCAAAGTAATTGTCGAACGCAGAGACACCACGCCGGAAATCCTCGTCTACACCAGCTCTGGCCATTCCGTTGAACCGATGTAGTGTCTTCTCTAAGCCTTGGACGTCAACGTCGATCTGCCTGGCTAGATCTTGGATGGTATCTGCCTTATAAAGGTAGCCGGCCTTCAGGCCATCCTTTGGGTCTGGCTGGATAGGGAAAAGGTTTCCTAGATTATATCGCTTGCGAAACGAGCTGTCGACAACAAGCCAGGCTGGGATAGCTTTGACATTCTGATGTCGTTTGTACTGATGATGACCAGCATCCGTGTACGGTTCCGCTTCGTTCATAAACCGAGATCCTGACGAGTCGACGATGACGCTGAATGGACGTGCTCGCTCTGTGAGGGCGAATATAGGCGTTCCAAGTACGGGGCAGATGATGGTTGGTCCCCACCAGGCATCGTCTAAAAGTGCAGTAGCAGCGCCAACCTTCATGGCAGCTGTGATTGCATCTCCCGTATCGCCGGGCGGAGCACTCGTCCATTCAACACTGGCCGGCGAAGGGCCCCATTTCTCTCTCAGCTCCTTGTTGTGGGAGAAACCACCTGCGGCAAGGAGGACACCACGAGAAGCGCGGATGGTTCTCCGGCGGCCTTCCTGTTCGACCGTAGCCCCGATTACCGTCGAGCTGTCCATGATCAGGCCGACCAGCGCGGAATTCCGCTGTATTGGCGTGTCAGCTTGCTTGTTGAGGTAAAGCAGCTGGCCAATCAGTGACTGTCCCATCGCCACTGGAGATTGGCCAAGGAGAGTCCGTAGCCCCTGTCGCAGCACAATATTCAAGAGAGTGGTGAAATCCTTGAAGGAAGCTCCCATCTTTAAGGCACTGTTCGATTCCGTAACGAATGCCGCGATAGGAGGTCCTGGGCGCTTTCGAACCAGAGCCTTCCAAGAACCTAGCTTGCCCATATCGAAAATATCTGGTTCTAACGTCCGGCCAAACATCGAACTGCCTGGTAGTTCCGGATAGTAATCAGGACACCCTCCCTTCCCGAGACGCCATTGGAATCCAGCCTTCTGTAAAAACTGCACTAGTCGCGGGCCGTTATCGAGAAAGGCGACCTTTCGTTCTTTAGACGACACGGGCCCGACATCCCCAATTGTGGCTTCCAAGTACTGAAAGGCATCTTCTTTGCTGTCCTTTACACCGGCAGCCTGGGATAGATAGCTGTTTGGAATCCACATGGCACCCCCGGAGTAGGCGGCTGTTCCCCCGATCGCTTCATTCTTTTCGAGCACCAGGGCTCGAAGGCCATGGGACTGCGCTCTTAACGCAGCCGTCAACCCTGCTGCACCACTTCCCACGACAAGAATGTCGGTCTCATCGTCAAAAGACGCTGGTGCATTGGTAGTCGAGATGGTTCGTCTAGCAGGATTGGCGTATAGTCCTCGAAGTCTAGATTTTTGGAAGGATAAATAAGGAAGATGGACAGCCTTCTCACAGCCTGTATATGCCTTCCTAGCGATCATCGCTGAATTGTATATATAAACTGGAGAGAAACTAACATTGATAGTGCTGGCCGCGGAGTACTCTGCATCCCCATGTATATACACATATATATATACATTAAGGAGACGGAGCTATCCCGATCGACTCCGCGCTCTCCAGGCTCCTTGGCCACGGAGTACGGAGCAACAACCTCATTGAGAAACTGCAGGATTTATAGATAGCGCTAATCCTCGTGAGAAATGTATGCGGCCGATAGCTGAAAAACGTTTGTATACCTGTTAAGGCATAATACGATGCCACCAATTATAGCGGAGATATTTGACAAAGGGCTCTTTTATATGGATACAGGTTATTTCCTTAAGGACACACACTTTCTCTTATAGCATTAACTGTCATACCTCTCGCTATCTATAACAACCTTGTAGAAGTGGTATTGTAGTAATAGAGGTGTATAGCATAGTTTAGTATAAGGAGCAATAGAAGAGATAATAAGAGGCAGTAGAAGAGCAGGTAGTAGATATAAGAAGTGCCACAAGAGACAAAAGTGCGTGTCCTTAAGAGAAGGTTCTTAGGTAAGCCATGTAAAATACACAATTATTACCTAGTAAGGTAAACTCTAAGCCTCAACCAATAAAAATAGTTTATAAATATATTACATGATATAAAACCCGCGTGTCTTTATGAAAGCGTGCAGTTTTAATGAAATTTGAGTCAAATATAACCAGTCCCTCGCCTTTTTGGCCGAATGGCAGATTCTGACAAAATATTTAATGAAAACACCGATTCTCGTATCATTGATAGGTGCATGGAAAATATCTTATCGTTTATCAACCTCTCCTGTACGGAGCACCTGTATGGTGCGCTCTTCTTCAAACTGCTGAGTGGTAGAATATCATCAGACATGAGATGACATGATTGTTCAATAAATCCTTACATGGTTCGTCTGACTATGTACAACCATACTCTGGAGAAAGGATGACACGCTCTGATATCACAGCCACAAGGTCCCGAGATCCTAGGTTCCACTTCCAAGAGACGGTCCCGACAACCTTGAGAAGGAGCTCTTTAACAATCTCCCCAGGTATTGTGATGTACAACAGCGCTAAATAGTCATATTAAGCTTTTATCTGACAGTAATGCCGCACTCTAGGTACTTAACTCGGATTCCTGTGTTGATCGCGTCAGATTGGTAGTTTTCGCCTTTTGAAAGCAACATCTCCGCGCAGTACTCTATGGGTTCATATAGCGCAATATACCCATCGAATTTTCCTATCCCTTTTTCTGTAACAATGCTCTCTACATTTACTTCCACATGTCTGTGCAGTAACGGACATGATATTCTCAACTCATAAGACTGCAGGAGCGCTAGACCACTTACGCTATGGAATCACAAGACCAGCTTCATGTAGCTGTTTATAATTGTAGTGTATAAGGTTGGTACTTACCAGATGCTTGTAACTATTAGCTGGCCATTTTGTTGTGCATCTTTATGATGTTATGACGGTGACGACACTATCATCTGTTATCAATAACTATTCCATGCAATGTGAACTTTTTGGATGCTCGGTGCAGTTCAACTAGTTAGACCAGAGAATAAAGGAGAACACTGGCTAGCGTTTGTGCTAATTAATGCCTCACACGGCCGAATTAACTAGAATCTATGTAATTCTGCTGTATTCGATCCTGGACGGAGCTCAAGTAAACAACTAGTTACTATGTATGACTCTAGTTTGGTTTATCTTTCTTTTCTTATCTTCTTGTAATACCCTATGGAATAGTTATTGTAATTTTACGTCAAAAGGAATTTTACGTCAAACCCCTGTCTCAAATACAGTTAAATAGCACCAACAATAAATAACTACTCTCTACCGCCAATCAACGGGCTCGACTTTTGACCGAAGAGCAGATATTGACAAATAGTTATACTTTACAGCTTGCATACATAAAAAAATGGTCAACATAACGGGAATATCGGGCCTAGCAGTACTTAATTTACGTAACGGATGCAGTGCAATCCTCAAATTGAGAATGACATGAAAATGTACATATTTTTAGCTTGGCTGAATACCATGACTATGAAACTTAAGTTCTTTGAGTTGATTTGACTTTCCGCGGCGGAACTCTAATTTATGCTTATTGCGTGTAAAGTTTTTGGTGTTATATATATAGCACCTCGTTATGCATGACGAATAACTAACTAATATATGACTCGCATATTGGCATAGAAATCTCGTGATAGTGTGCATGGCTACATAGTAGTCAGCTAACCCACCATACACTTGTTACTTACTTGGCGACTGAGAGGGCCGAAACAGATTAGCTAACTAGCGGAGCGTGGCACCTAGTAATAAAAAGGGCGGCTGTTAGTTATAATACAAGGTGAATATTTCCAGGAGCTAGGATGATGTAAACCAGCTGGAGCCTGCATGAATGATTCACGGCAGTTACAACTAAGTTCTTTTTCCTTTTTACTCCCCTTCTTTGTTTGAGTGTATGCAAGGACGGGCTGTTAGATGGAAGAGGAATTACACGCCAAACAGCTTGGCCAATTAGTGTCTCAGGGCATTCGACAGCTTTGCCACACACGGTGGTAGTACGTGTTATCTCTTTGTCTTCCTTTGCAGTATTCTTAACAATAGAACTGGTCGATATATCGAGTAGCCAGAGAAGACTTAGGATTATAGAACTCTTCCCGCTACCAGCCCGCCCGCATATGCCAATCTTTTCACCAGGTTGTAGTCGCATTGTGATGTTGCTTAATGCCCTGCAAACTCCGTCGTATGAAGCGGACACTGACTCGAACTTGATTTCACCCCTACTTGGCCGTACCGCAGGAGGTTTCCTGTCCTCTCCGGGATGGCCCTCTGTTGGTGTCGAAGCAATGCATGACTTGACTCTAGCAATGGCTCCCAGAGATGTCTCTAGCGATGTCCATGATCTAATAAACTTTTGTAACGATTGATTCAAAACAAGGGTGGTGTTCAATGCTGCTCCAAGGAGTGTAGGATCGATAATGAGCCACATAAATCCATCTGAAAGCGGTAGTTCGAACAAAAAGCTTTTTGCGTCCTGCTTGTAATGTATTAGCATTAGAATACTCATAGAATGACCCGTTTGCCTAATCCATTAATTTTATAGTTTTGACAGAGTTCAGTGCAGATGCCGTTGTAGATCCACGTTCTTGGATCGCTTGACTCCATAGTTGTCTTTTCGTATCAATGTGTTTAGTAACAAAAGCCTAGTCAAAGGTACAAACTAACGAATTAGTATTATCCGGCTACTCAAAGCACAAAGCGGAATAGATACTTACGCAAAATGATGATAATAGGAACAACGCAGTTTTCTCCTAATTGCCTCTCTAGGAGCCAAATTCCGATGGCAATCTCAATTGTGCTTCTCCATATTTCGTTCATTGGCTCGAGGGAGTCTACGATACTTTCAATATCTGTTGAAGTTGATCAAAAAACTATAAATAAACACCTAGTAAGCATTTTGTCTTACCTGTAGACATTAAGATCAAAGCTGCACCCTCAAACTGCAGCCCATCCTGGATCTGTATGGTATGGTTGTATATGAGAGTCACCATCACCCCACAGAACATTGTGATTATTCTAAAGACACGTTGCCTATAATGCACGGTGGCCAACTGCGAGGATGTATTAGCACCCGTCCAGTTTCTGATAACCTTGTGGGGGAAAAAGGGTTTGGGTGGGGGGAGAGGGAGATTGACTTAACTGCTAACTGCTTTCCCCGTATATACCAGGAAGTCGCACCAATCAAGCCATAACCATAGTTCCAGGATTCTTTGGAGTCTTATTACTGAGTAAGTTGAGAGCGCGACTGGTCATTAAGGGCTGTGCGTAGTTTAATCCAACCAGGGCAAGGCGTGGGGGTATAGTCAATAGCCACTCTAGTAGCAAGCAGATTGCCGCTGCAGTTACCAAAGTATTATCTCCATTTGAATGCTCCACAGGGTGGTTAGCGAAGAAGATAACATTATTATAAATGGAATGAATAATAGTACTGTGGGCATCCCATGCTCTCCCTATTTTCTCTTCAAGGACTCGAGAATCTATCCGTTCATCGATCCTGGATAGGACTTCATATGTCATTATTTTCTTGAAGCTGGTGATGAACAGGTCATTGAGCCACAAAAGAAAGCTCCAGTTAAGAATACCACAAGACGACTCTGGTGAGTAAGAGTTATAGGGTTCCTTGAGGTAGCCATGTTTCGCTTGTGCCTCGAGGAAGAACAGCACGATTTTTGCACCAAGGGATATGGTCAGGATTGTAGATATGGAGGATTCATGCATTAAAAGAGAGTTCGGATCTGAACAGCGGTCAAAAGACTAGAGCAGTAATGATGAGGGTTTGTATGATCTCCGGTGCTCTGCAACGGACAGAAGAATGACTAAACGTGAGTCAATAAACGAGAGGGCAGCAGATGGAATAGAAATGCTCGTCCGAACCGAAGGCTTTGAGGCCCAGAGTATCACAAATGCGAGTTGAAGGCTGCTATATACGGTTCCCACTACCTGATGTTGCCATAAAACTCCACAAGGGTATATAGTTGTATAGTTATACTATTTTAGACTTGAGGATTGGGTGTGGCCGTGTTTTAACCCTCCTCCTGTGCAGAAAGGAGAGCCACACGATAGCGAGCGGAATCATCAACGCCAATGGTAGGGTTAAGAGAATGGCCGAGTCGAATAGAAGAGTAAAATCGAACCTCTGGCAGCTTGCTGGGCCGAATCTATGGTCAGGACAGCTGTCAGGAAGAATCGCCATGACTAGCTACCGCGGTGAGTGGATGTCTCAATCTATCGATAAAATCCATCGAGGATATTCGCATACATAGGCAAGGTCGGGGTTTATAGCGTTACGACGCCCGTTTCTGCCTGGTTGGCCTCTGATTTGGTAGGCATCCCCGTCCCTACTGTACATACATGCTATTAAATAGCTCCCTGTACTCTGGGTATGTGGGTATCGTGTCAAGGAAATAACCCCTGTTATATAGGGGCTCAAACATTCGTTTCCAACAGTAATAATCCCATGTGCACCTAGACTTGATCTTTGCATTGGAGACACCGAATGAAATAGTTGTATTGCATGCCATGAGGGCAAATAGTTATCTTGCTTCGTGCCTTTTCCACTAAAGTCAACAAAACACCAGACTTATTATCCAGCATCGAGTTCAACGTATAAAACTTCAGGAACTGGACTAAGGCTTCAAGTAGTTATAAGTCTTGTCAAGATCGATGTGCTGATACGGTGGCAGTGATGAACATCGTCACTACTCGTTGGCCTACATCACTTGATACCCACTCCAACAGAAGTCTCTGCTTCAATAACTAGCAGTCCCATCACTTTTTCTGATTATTGTTGATCCTCTGGCCTGGGCAGTGGTAGAAAGGACTACCTAGTAGAGTAGGTAGTTAACTTCCTAACGTTATCACCAGGTTACTACGAACATATAGAGTATACAGAGCATACAGAGCATAGAGAATATTCGTACTTGTCCGGAGTAGCTACTATGTACGAGTATAATGTTATACTATTCAATATTGGCGTGATTATGGGCCACAAGTGGACTGGAGGCGGAGCTCGAGCACCGCTGATCCTCCTTTTCCTTGCCATGTCTTGTGTCTCGCTAAACCCAGGTCGCCAGCAGCACGGTCAATTAGATTGTCCAACTCTGCCTCGCTGCGGGAATGAATATTGAGGCTTGCAATCATGTGTAGATCAAGCATATCAAGTAAGCGAGGACCATCCCCAACAGCCCTTGGGAGATCCACAAAGTCGTGGATCAGTAGCCTGGACCTGACTGGGTCCATGACTTGCGTAATTCTCCGGATCATCTTGATACAATTTCTATAAAAAAAGCAAACACCAGATCAGATATTGAGATCACGCTTGCAAAGGCAAAATAGTGGCTGAAAGGATAAAACGAAAAACGTACTCGTCATTGTTATCCATCAAGACGTGGCTCAATAGGTAGACATCGGCTCCCTTCCGAGGCTGCTGGGCGTAGTAGTCATGCGCCTCCCAGGTAACTCGACCCGCTATTTTCTCGTCATATTTTTCCTTGACCGTGTTTTCAGCCATGGATATGACACTGACGTGGTCCTGGACAACGGCGGAGAGCTGGGGATACAAGATGACCAGGCGGATCGCGTTCTGGCCATTGCCACCTCCAACATCAACAAGCGTTGACCCGCCCGCGAGATAATCAAATGGGTAGATTAACTCGATCGGCATGTCCAGGGGCCCATCGTAGTGGCCCGCCATGGCCCGTGAGAAGCGCTGGCCGCGCTCGGTGTCAACGGTGTGGTAGTACTCGTACAGAGGAAGTTTGGCTGTTATTCAAGTTAGCTATCTGTGCCACCCATCATTCTCCTTTTTCCTTTTGTTCGTCTTTGTGCAATCGCCTCACTCACTCTGAAATGCCATCCCAAATGCAGCTTCTGTAGGATTGTCTGATATTTTAAAGCCAGCCTGACAAGCGGTGCGAGAAAAATAGGCGCCACAGAGCAAGCCATCATCAACTCTATAAACCTAGTCAGCCCCATAACAAGAGGTTTTCTTATGAGCAGTAAAGTACTTGCAGATAATGAATGAGGCTGCCAAAATTGCCATCTAGCAATTGTAGAGAATGCTGGTTATGGTGATAATTGCCAGCACTGCATTCTGCAAATATGAACCTGTTTAGGCATATTCTCATGATTCTCTCTATCATCTCATCAGCACATCACTCTAGAACGCTGACGGAGGGGACAGTAGTTTTTCCTCACTGATCAGAGTGGGTGATGCGTTGGTACAGCCAGCGAGATAAGACAAAGTTACCCCTTTCCCACCCGGTTGAATGAGCGTTGGGATACCCATTTCGATGACGGTTGAAAGAGCAACGCTATCGCAGTATGACCAGGCGGCTTGCACCATCCAGCCCTTGGGCTCTGAGATGAGAGCCTGAAGTTTACTACATTCTCGCGCTACCGCCTCAGCTTGCCCCTGTAGCTTTTGTCCTTGTTGGGGGAAAAAGTCACTAGAACTGCCGTTGCAAGCCCGCTGCATATCCGTATATTTGCGAACTTGCTCAGCAATGCTGTTTGACATGGCAAGGAGCGTATCCGCGTCTGGTGGGTATATGGTAGACATGACAGGGGTCTGCCTTTGCCAACACAATTGTAGACCGCAGATAGTAGACGGGATTTCCAGATAATCAGACAGGACCTGTACTGAGTACACGGTATAAGAAGAAAGATGCCAAAAATAAACCAATCTGGGTAGAGCCTTGGTATTCATAGAGTCAACAAGCCAGTTGACCAGGTAAAACTCAGAATATAGATAGTTCTATATCACAAAACTGTATCTAACTCCAACCTTATGCGAGAGAGCGGTGTATCAGATATGGTTTTGACTAGCTATCTATAACTTCAACCATTGAATAAAAGGTGTAAAAGGTTTGTTGCCTGAGTTCGGTAAACACCTGGTGAGCATTAGGCACTTTGGATATGTGCCTAAAAAGGTTAAGAATCCGGTCTCAGGCCATGTAGTAAGTAATACTACTATAAACAGCCCGGAAAGCCCCTAACGGAACAATTGGTATGAAACACAACATCCAGATCAGCTACATTAATTTGTGCGGACCGTTATAGCCCTATAGCCTAGGCATCCAATTCACAATGACCGTTATCACGAACCCCCCCATCACTGCGGAGGTGCTGTTTGACCAAATATCCGAATCATACGAAGATGCGTATGGCGACAACGTTGGACTGAACACGGCCTTTGCCAGGCTAAATGAATACCACGAGCCTGGCTCATCAGTCCTCGATGTCGGTTGCGGCCCTGGAGGGCCTGCATCCCGTCTGGCCAAAGCGGGCTTCAATGTTACTGGCATCGACGTCTCGCAAAAGATGATCGACTTTTGCCAGAAGAATTTCCCAGGAACCTTTCACAAGGCTGACATGACAACATATGATCCATCTCAGCAGTTTGACGCTGTTGTTTCACTCTTCAACCTGTTTCAGGCATCATATACCACGACATACTCAATGGTGTTCAAAATGGCATCCTGGCTCCGTCCCGGCGGCACTTTCATTCTGGGAACGATCGCTGCGGAGGACTACACCCAAGATAAAGCTGCTCTGAGAACCGCCCGGCAAAATCAGTATATTGAGAACTTCGACGCCGAGTTCATGGGGCGAGTCATCCCCGTCACGTTCCTCACTATGAGCGGGTGGTTGAGCATTGTGCAGCAGGCAGGCCTCTTCATCCAGATTGTCGACCACTGTGGGTTCGAAATCAAGGGCTGTGGGCGCAGAGAGAAACATTTGTTCATCACCGCCAGGAAGCTAAACTTGGAACCGCTCTTCGGGCCGTACCCTCTGCCTACCTTCCGAAGGCGTCCACACCTCCTGAGCGAGGGAGCATGGAAGCCCTTTGCGGAGCGACTTACACGCCATGAATTTGATGCCGTGCTTAAGGCTGTTGAGTCGAATAAAGAGGTCCTTGATATTGGCAGTGGCCATGGTGGTGAGTAGATGGATAATTTCACCTCCTCAATGTACTCTTGTCTCTCCGTACAGTCGATGCTGATGTGTGCCTGCTCCAGAATTACCAGTAGCAATCGCTAAGCAGCTAGGCAAAGCATACGCCATTGAGCCAAACGGCGATAGAAACGAGCTTCTTGTCAGCAACAGCGCACAATCGAGCGTTGAAATCCGCCAGGGAACGGCTGAGAAACTGCCTTTCGAAGACAACAAATTCGACGCCGCCGTAGCTCTCTGGATCCTGCACTACGTCGACGACCTGGAGCAGTCGCTCGCCGAAATGGCCCGCGTGGTAGATCCCACCGCTCCCAACGCTCGCATCGTCATCGTCCAGGGAGCGCCAGACAACGAGGTCGTCAACCTCATCAACAAGGCTTGCGCCTCCATCGCGCAGGAGGGAATGCTGCCCGGGGAGTCTGCCATCGACCACCAGGGCTTCCTGCTCGCCACAGCAGCCAGAGTCTTCACCCGGCATGGCTTTGGTGACGTCTCCGTCGCCCGGGTCGATGCACACTGCAATTTCCCGGAAGACGACCTTTCTGTCCGCTGCAGCAAAGCGACGGACGTCCTGACGGATTTCTGGTACAAGGACCATCCGAGGAACGGCGACATGAAGGAGGCCTTCCCGCCCATCTTGCGGGAGCATTTTGCAAGTAGGCCACTAGAGGTTGGCGACCAGGCTGTTATCTTAATCGCGAAGCCAACTTCTCACAGTAGATAGACAGAAGCCTGCTGTAGATAGTTAGCCATAGTCTGTAGTTGATTGGGCACATAGACACACCGGTTGAGACTTTACGATTCCATTTAAGAATAAGAAAAGAAGAAAAAAGAAAAAACAATAAAAAGAAAAGAAAAGAAAGAGAGTAAACTATAGTATATGTTGTAGTTAATACGATCTATAAAGGAGCCAGCGTCTCTCCTAAAATCGTATCAACCTACTTCATCCCCCAATACAACACTGGCTATTATAAGCTGCCATGTCTCTTCTGATACCAACTTCCGCAGCTGGACTTGTTGTCCTCATCTGCTCTCTAGCAGCCGTCCATCACCTTGCTACCAGGCTTCAATTGTACATAAAGCTGCGGCATATCCCTGGTCCGCCGTCAGCCAGCTTCTCCAGCTGGCTACATGCGAGAGCTCTCCTACGATATAAGCCCGCCAAATGGTATCAGCATGTCACCGAACACTACGGTTGGTGCCATCTTTTCCACCGGCCAGACAGCTGCTAGACACCGTCTCGTCTTCAGGCATATCCAAGTTAACGGGCTTGACTTGCCCTCGGATTAGGACCAGTCGCCAAAATCGCACCCAACCTCGTCGTCACATCCTCGCCTGAAGTATGGATGCAGGTAAACACTAAGCCTGGATACACTCGTGCCGACTGGTTCTTCAGAGCTATGCGTGTCGACTATCAGCATGATCATCTCTTCTCACTGACAGATGCCGCTGAACATGATCGGAGAAGAAAGCTGCTAGGCCCTGGGGTAACTTTCCATCTCCTAACAGTTGGCTTCAACTAACCGTCGTGAGCAGTTCTACGGGACCGAATTTCCCTACGAACTATTCATCAACGAGCGTCTTGAGGAGCTTCTTCATCTTATCAGGTCCAACTACCTCTCCTCTGGCTCGAAGATGGTGCCTGTGGACATGGCGGCCAAGATCCAGTATTATGCCTACGACGTTATCAGCACCATCGCCTTTGGCCAGCCTTTCCAGATGCTCCAAAAGGACACTGATACGAACGGTTACATCCAGTCCGTAAAAGAAGGGTTTCTCGTCGCCAACGTTCTGGTTGCCCTCGGACTCGCAAAGGCTTCTCAATCGTCCCTTATCGGCCCGGCACTGGCTCCTAGATCCAACGATGAGACTGGGTACGGGAAACTACTCGCAGTGTCCGCCAAATTGATAAAGGAACGGGAGGCGAATCCCCGCGAGAATCCACAGGATATGCTCGATTCGTTTATTCGGCATGGCATGGCGGGTGATGCCCTGCGCTCCGAGATGCTCGACGCTGTTATCATTGGGTCCTTTGGACCTTACTACTCCATCTGCTCGGTGATCCTCCTCACCTTGACAAACCAGCACGTCCTCGCCAAACTCCGGCGCGAGATTGATGAAGCCGTTACTACCGGTAAAGCGCCCCGGGCAGGCAACGGAGTTATCAGCTTTGCCCAGACGAAGCAACTTCCATACCTGCAAGCCGTGATCCGTGAGTCACTGCGAATGTTTCCGCCTGTAGTTGGCCTTTTCCCCCGGAAAATCCCCGCTGGGGGAGACACTGTCACTGTCGCCGGCAAGACTGTATTCCTACCCGAAGGTGCATACATAGGACGATCGGTGTATGGCATGTACCGCTGCAAGGAAACTTACGGTGAGGACGTGGATATATTCCGTCCAGAGCGCTGGCTCGAAGCTGACGATGCTGAGCTTGCGAATATGATTCGTGTTAACGAGCTCATTTTTAACCACGGGAAGTACCAGTGTATGGGGAAGGTCATCGCCCAGACCGAAATAGCAAAGGCCGTGTTCGAGGTGAGTGCTGAGGTTCTGAACAGACTAAGCCATATTGCTAACGGTGTGGGTGAGCAGCTGCTACGAGCATTTGATTTTGACCTTGTTACTCGAGATAAAGACCCTTGGAAGACGGTTGACATGTTTGGTATTTGTGGAGTATCGGATTTTTGGGTATATATAAAGAGCATTGAATAGAAAATATAGACCGCCCACGGCTGACACAAAGCTATAAAGGCCTGGAAGTGTTGCAGAGTAGAGTACGACGGGTACGGTTGCATGAAGTTCAATTATCATTGATAACCACTTTCAGCAGACGAAACTTCGTCGGCTAACGTTTCTCTTACACATATGTATACTTGCGGCCATCCCAGCGCAAACTTCATTATTGGATACGAGATGCTAGGCCATGTCATCTCGGAACTGCAAGGTTCTTTGCTTGGACTGGGGTGAGCACTTTAACACGCACGGTAGGAGTCCAACCAAACCCCCTGATTTGCGTCATACCTCAAGCCAATCTTATGGCCCATGTTCTGTTAGTCTTGCTTGTGTTCTGATTAGCTTGTAAGCGTAGGACTGTGCTCGACATCTGGGTTGTTCCCGGTAGAGCTGGCGTCGTTGATGTACCCCCAGGCAGCAGCCTTTCGCTGATTAGTTGACCTTGCTCAAGCCAGAGGTGTTCATCCAGCCTAACTGACAGCTATACAGACACTGATCGAGACTGCGTGGCTGGTAAAAGGGAGCTTCTGGTGGCTGATGCTTAAGCTCCCTGGCTGTTCAGCAGTCCATGTTCATGCTATGTAACTGGTCAAGCCACCAGCTTGCTTCGCCCAGCAGCAGCCAGGGTTAATACATGCACAGTGAATCCGGGGCAGTTCGAGAGGCCAAAGCAGCGTGAGCGAGCTTTGTTTCTGTCCCGGCTGAGCATGTCTTAGCTGATGCTGGCTGGCTTGGATTTTATAGTTACAATAATAAAAAGCTGCCCTGCTGCGCCCGCCAGAAGCTCACACAGAAGACAGCAAGGCAGCAGCCAGCCTTTTTTTTCATGCATAAGAACACAGCAGGCTCACCGGTTTATCTATTTGCAGGACGTCTTCTCTCCCATTTTTTTTTGTTCCAGGTATTTCCGTTAGTTCTTTTGTTATGTGCAACCTCCCGTATACAAAGTGCTGACACAGATATCAGACATCATCACCAAGCACAGTCTAGTGCCCACCTGGCGCATCGCTGCTTACAGGCCTCAGGATGGGGTTTAATGTCTCGGAGGCCGTCTGGAGATGGAGGTGTAAGACGTTTGGCACTGGCGACAGACTCCAGCCTCGCCCCCATGCTCGCATGCAATCCGCATCCTCCAAGAGCACTTCTGCTCCCGAAGAACAGACTCAAGGAACCGATGCTCTCATCAAAGTCTTCTACGAGGCCAAGGACAGTCGTGAAGACTTGAAAAAATGGGTTGACTATCCGCCCAAACAGCTCAGCAAGAGCGTATCCAAGGCCCAGGATAGAGCGGCTATCAAGGTCTACAAGATGAATGACATGGACAAGCCGGTCATCAGTGGCTATCCGAGCTTGAAGTACTATAATATCACCATTCAGAGCCCTCTCCTGGTCGCCGCGCTCAAGGACATCGTTGAGAAGGATGAGGTCTACCTTGAGAAGACGGAGGCTGCAGAGTTCACGACCCCTTTCGCGCCACTGTACTTCCACGCAAACGAGATAGCTGACCTCTTGAAGGATGCTGAGAAGGGCAGCCGTTTTATGGAACACCTCCAGCTGCTGCTAGCTCTCATGGACGACATGTTTATGGAAACTCGCAGCCGTGTTCAGACACTGCAGTCCAGTGGCCTCGTCTCCTTCAACTTGCTCTGGGCATATTTACCTTCTGGATCACCCCTCTATATATGGGAAGGAGAATGTGAGTCCCTGGGCAAGGTTGTTAGCACTGAAATTATCAAAGGCAACTCCTGTTCCTTGATGCGCATACGATGCAAGATCATGAAGTTTGACGGCCAAGCGTACGTGTGGGAAGATTACAGCGCTGTGATCCCTTCTTTTGAGGGAAATATCCCCATCACACAGTTGGATTACTATCCACTGAGGTTCCATGAGGATCCAGAGGCAGTTAAGTCGCGGTTGATGAAACGAGCGAAGAAGGCTCTGGACTACCAGGGGCTGACTTATGCCTCCTACACTGGCGTCGCCATTTACAAGACCAAAGATTCGGTGATGAAACACAATGTAGGTTTTTATATACGCTTATCTTAGCTACACCTACTAATCGATTTATGCAGGTTGACGGTAGGATTTTGGTCGATATTGTTGGATATAATAAGCACCATGAGGCTCAAAGGACCAACTCAGGAGTAGAGAACCCCCTGAAACGGAAACAGCGTGTCCTTCAAGCAGCTAAAGGGAAAAAAGACGAGAAGACCGCCTTGCATATGGACGGACCGAACAAAGTCAAAGTTATTAGTGGGAAGAGAGTGGGCGATCCGAGGGCGACAAAGCACATCCCCAAGGAAGAACAAGAGAAGAACAAGGAAGGGATGCTGGCGCTAGGAGAGGACATCATATACATGTCCCCCTTTCTCGAAGGGTACGCTCTGAAGAACAAAGAATGGCGTAAGTGCGCACCTTCTGGTTGCCGGGGATCGGTTTATTGGACTAACAACGGATAGTCAACTTCTACATCGAAGACATTGATCAGATCAGGTGGAATGATGAAGCATATGACCACTTGGTGTATGACGAACAACAGAAGGATCTGATCTTATCCTTCGTGGAGCACCATTATAACTCAAAGAAGGTGGCGGACGATGTCATCACTGGCAAAGGTCAGTTTGACTCCCTCATCTCTACTAGAAAGACCCAATAAATACACTTACTAACGTATATATCGTTCATATCCAGGCCAGGGGTTGAACATCCTCCTAAGTGGTCCTCCTGGAACGGGAAAGACGCTCACGGCGGAAGCTGGTAAGATATACAAAGCCCAAGGTTTGACAAGTGCATGAAAAACTGATCACATTCCATGCAGTCGCCGACAGATGTCGTAAGCCTCTATACTACCTCCAGGCGGAAGATCTCGGCATTCAAGCGGCAGAGCTCGGAGGAAATATCAAAAAAGTATTCGACTTGGCCTTGGAATGGAACGCGGTCATCCTCCTCGACGAAGCAGACGTCTTCATGGCAGAGCGCAACCCAAACGACATCCACCGCAACGAGCTAGTCTCCATCTTCCTGCGAGAACTCGAGTACTACCGTGGAGTCATCTTCCTAACCACCAACCTTTACGACACCATTGACACAGCGTTCAGATCCCGCATCAACCTGCATCTCCTGTTCAAAACACTATCGCCAAGTGCCAGGTTGCAGGTATGGGCTAAGTTCCTGGAACGCCTGCCTCCTCTGCCTGCGACAGCAGGAAGGAAGGAAGAAAAGAGCGTCTTGCATGACCTGAGTGAGGAAGACTTGAAGGAGCTTTCCATGTGGCAGTTGAATGGACGGGAGATCAAGAATGCAGTCAAGATGGTGAAGTCATGGTGTGACCAAAAGGGCTATGACATGACTCTCTCGCGCATGGAGAGTGGTATCAAAGTATCCGCTCCCCAGGCCACGAAGCGTGATTTTACCAAGCCCATGGACTTGTATGATTGAATTCATAGCTTTGTTGGTAGCTTCACTCCTGAACCGGACCCGGACCAACGTGGTCTCTAGCAACATGGATGTAATAAAGCTAGCAGAATCCATTAATTCCTCCGACTCCGAACTGTACCCCGTTATTACGTGATAGTTCGTCCAACCATAGCTTCATTTCACCTGAAAAATCCCATGTCGGCTTTTCATACTCTCGGAGATGACAAGATTTTGAACCGAGGTTCGGCACATGCTAAAAATAACTTCAGATTTTTATACCAAAGAGATTCCAAACATTCATATCACTCAACATGTAAGTCGCCTCTTGAGATATATTCTGTAAAATTACGTGGTATATAATATGGCTGCGCTTTATTCCAAGGTAGAGGCGGGCTGGGCCTCCGTCGTCTCAACATACTCCCCCGCAACGATAGAATTCGTTGGAACCTCTATCGTCCAGCTCGTGAGCTTCTGGATCCCTTCAGCAATATATCTTGGTCTCGATCGATGGGCTCCGGCCTTCTCGCAAAGACATAAAATCCAGCCTGCACCGAAACAGCCTACAGCCAAGGAGATAAAACATTGTTTCTTCTACGTGTTCAAGAACCAACTGCTATCTACGGCCCTACACATCCTCCTGCTCACCCTCGCCCATAAAAATATCATTCCGCCTTCTTATCAGGTCCTACCAACGCTGCCGCCGCTGGCAATTCTGGCCCGAGACTTTGTTCTCTCCATATTACTCCGTGAAGCCCTCTTCTACTACGCCCATCGTCTGCTCCATCATCCCTATTTCTATGTCCGGATTCACAAACGGCATCACAAATTCACGGCCCCTGTGGCACTGGCGGCTCAGTATGCCCATCCAATCGAGCAGATAGGTGCTAATATTCTGCCTATAACTCTTCCTCCGCAGCTACTGAAGAGCCATATCATTACCTTTTGGATATTTATGGCCTATGAGCTGTTTAATACCGCGACTGTGCATAGCGGGTATGATTTCCTGGGGGGGAAAGCAAAAATGCATGATTTGCATCATGAGAAGTTCAATTTGAACTATGGATCTATTGGGTTCTTGGACTGGTTTCATGGGACGGATAAGTTGAGGAGCAAGGAGAAGAAGAGCAATTAGATGAGTTTGAACCTTTAGGCATGTGTACTCTATGGAGCATATATTAATAATGAATATTAATGTTTGTGTCATTAGTTACTATTCTGCGATGCCCTGATGTCTATAGCCTATGAAGAACCAGCTAACACCTCTCCAATCCAATTCATCTGCACTGCGCTGACACCCCTCGCATAGCTTCGACTGGTAAACACATATTCATTATACATGATAGCCTCGACTTTCCTGCCAAAAAGCACACTCGACGGGTGAATGGCGACACTTTGGTTTCCTACCAGCGTCCGATAGCTACCGTCAGGGAATAGTCGTGCTGTGTTCGTTGCAAACCCAGTAAGGAAGCTAGTTAATATCGGCACCGGATCTTCGTTTCCCAAAGGCGTAGAGTCGTCTACTTCGAAAGATGTATCACTAAATAGCTTGGATTGTTTACATTGAGTGAGCAGTTGCTTTCGCACATCCTGTGAGAATTTACATTAGCTGCTTGGACATAATCATAAATTAGTAAATAGCTTGGAAGGACGCACCATAACCGCCTGCATTGCTCTGTGGGAGACAAGATGGCGCTCAGCCCATGCCTTTCGGTCAGTGTTCTCAGCTGCATATGCTCGAACTGTTGCAAGCATAGTCAAATGATCACCTTCTCTCCTGTACAGGTCACGCCTCGCCAGATCTGCTTGCTCCTTTTTCTCTTCAGAAGACGTGTTTAGGAAGATGTTCTCCACACTCAGGCAGGAAATTACATCAATAACATCTCTCAGACAACGGGCTCCCTTCTCTGCTCCAGCAAGAAGAACACGACCCAAGGGTGCCGTAAGTGGAAGCTTAGCTATCCGGCTACCTATAGGGCTTATTTTCCCCGTTTCATCCAGAGCGTTTATATTGAAAAGCTGCAATAACGCTTTCTCGATAGCGTCTCGAGGAGGGGGAGTAAGGAAGGGGAATCCAACAATGTCATCGACACCTCTGGCTTTCATCGTTAATATGGCCTGGCTCACATCACATCGCAGAATCTCGGGAGTATTGGTTTCCGGCAAGGCAAGGTATTCTTTCTCAGGATATAACCTGTAGCATTGCCCAGCTGCTTCTCGACCTGCACGACCTTTCCTCTGTATGGCAGCAGATTTCGATATCGGCTTAACCAGCAAAGAGTCTAAGCCCAGGCGTGTCCTGAACTGTTTTGTTTTCGCTTTGCCACAGTCAATCACATAGCGTACTCCGGGAACGGTAACGGAAGTTTCAGCAATATTTGTAGCTAAGATGACCTTCCTTGTCCTTGGAGGTGTAGGCAGGAAGACTCTCTGTTGAGCGACTTGGGGGAGGGCCGCAAAGAGCGGTACAGCCAGCACATTTGGCAACTCCTTATCCATAGTACTAGCATAATCATTAACCAGATACTCGAGGGTTTCCACCGTTTCTTGGCCTGTCAAGAAAACCAGTATGTCACCAGGTAGTGGCTCCTTGTAGTGAATCTGAAATATTGTTTTAAGTGCTGCGTCCACAAAATCTGGAACTGGCGATGGAGAATATATGGTCGTAACAGGGAATTGACGGCCCTTTATATGGCAAACAGAAATCTGATCCGACAGCACTTGATTATTTTTCTCCCTTTTAGATTGTCTCCCGGTTTTCCGGACGTCGGCATCGGTATTTTCTTCCGTCCTTGACTCGTTCTCTCTCTTGGAGCCCTGGCTGAATCCCTCGGTAAAGAATTCCATCAAGCTCTCCATATCAGCGGTAGCGCTCATAACCACGATCTTCAATGGAATTCCCCCTCTCCCTTCCTTCGACCCAGTAGCAATATTCCTGAGAAACCCAAGAAGCAAATCAACATTGATTCCCCTTTCATGAACTTCATCAACGACTATAGCGCTATAATTCGTCAACCATGGATCACCCAGCATTTCCTGCAACAGCATTCCATCCGTCATGAACTTGATACGGGTGTTTGGAGAAACAGACGTATCAAAACGAACTGCATAACCGACTTTACTCGCAGGAGAGGCAGAACCAAGCGGGCAACCCACTTCCTCCGCTACTCTTCGTGCAAGCGAGACGGCTGCTACACGCCTGGGCTGGGTAATGGCTATACAGCCACCCACTGAGGCTGTCTTCCCGTTCTTTATCTTGGCCGACTTGGGGCGACACCAATCCTCATCTACCAAAAACTGCGGCACTTGGGTACTTTTACCGCTGCCCGTTTCACCAATAAGTAGCATAACATCGGTCCGTCGAAGATGGGCGCGGATTTCATCAGCGTGTCCAAAGATGGGGAGCTTTTTCCTTGCTTCATACAGGGCCTTAGCCTTTTCCCTGAGATTGGCCGAACTACCGTTTGAGGCCGAATTGGCGGCACCATTTTTTGAATGGCTTTTCATGCCGGGTATATCTTTTTTATAACTGGCAGCGACATTTTTAATCATTCCTTCAGAGGCTGGACTGGATTCGTCGCCATTTTCGACGATTCGAGGCTTCTTGTTCTCATCCTTGCCCTTGTTATGTCGGTTACTGCGTTTCCGCTTTCTCTTTCGCTTGGACGTCAATATCTCTTTATCCTCCTTCTTTTCTGCCTTGGAGTCCAGGGAATCCATTTCTGTGTCTGTCGCTGATGGTTTTTGTATTCTCGAGATTTGATAGAAAAATTTGATGTTTTATTCGTATGGTAATTGCCGCGTATCTTGAAATTTAATAGCCAATAAACGTTTTTATATCAATAAAATACCAGTTTCTAGGCTAAAAATAATACAGAACCTGTATTTAATACGCTTATTAAGCACTTGCAGCCTTTTGATGGAATTTTATATCAAAGGTATTTTTATGAAGAGATTAATATATTAAAGAAAGGAAGTTCTATGAGATAAATATATACAATATCTTCGCAGAAGATATGAGTTCTCCAGGTTAATCCTTCACCATGACTATTCAAGGGCTTGGTATTTTGGGTACATCCACAGATCATCGCATACAATGAGATGTTCATCAAACATTCAGGTCTATCAAGCGTAGCTGTCGAGATATCTTCTCAACCTTTGGGGTTAGCGACACAGCCTGCCCCGGTGCATAGTCCTGTTCATACTCCTTCAGGGCAGCCTCAATGGTATTTCGCGTTGCTCGATCTCCAGTACCTACCCAAGCCATCATCAAGCATAAGGGCACAAAACTAGCTCCCAAAGGTCTATAAATCGTCGCAGAGCCCGCAATTTCCAGAATCTCATCGATGTATACGGACGGCTCTACGATCTCTGTGTTCCCAGGGTCGATTCCATTAACCACACAGCTGCAGATGATGACGACGGTAAGACTTAGGCCGAATGAGCGCTGGTAGAACGAATGAGCCATGACAATGGGGTCTTTGAATGAGAACTCGCCCTTGCTAGGGAACTGGGCGTTCTTATACTTTGTCCGTAGCTCATCGGCTGCACCTTTTGCAGTCTGGTAGGCAGCCATCGCATCAGCCAGGAGAGTCTCGTCTGTTCCTCCGTCTGTACGGATCTTTCTTGCCCGGCGCAAGAGGCTAGGTACTTTGGCAACGCACCGCATCATCCTGCCTTCGGGTGTCACCCCGTCGAGATGGTTTTCTACCAAGACCTTCCATTCTTCGGCAGTGAACTGGATTTTTTGGTTGAGGAGCCCTTCAAAGATCTTGTGGAGGTCAGCAAAACTGTAACATTGTCAGATAGTGCGAGATGTAGGGGTCATACCACCGGTCCTCGCAGTGAAAGGACCAATTTGCTCTCAAACTCATCATTTGGATCATAATATCTCCTTGCCTTTAATAACTGCGCCGCACCCTCGCAGTGACCTGTAAAATCACCTTCCGTAACGCCGATAAAACGCTGCAATGGATGTCAATGTCGATATATAGGGTAGGCCTTATGAGTCTCTTCTCACCTGGCACATCAACAACACCATAACCGAACAGAGAGTCTCAGACGCCCGCGCCTTGACTGGGTCATCCAGGTATGAACTCAGCACCCTGAGGGCACGAGAATATCCCACCAGCACCTTCGAGGTAACCCCCAGCCCAGCACAGTAGGCCGTGTGTGAATCGACAAGCACCTGCACCGCCGAATCCAGCGCTTCATTTATCCCCAGCCGGCGGGGTATATCGACCAAAAACCCGCCAAACGACCAGGCCAGGTTGTATCTCAGGTCGGTCGTGGGCTTCATCGTCTCGATAAAGCCATTCCGCAGCTCTGTCAGGCCATTAACAGGGACGCGAGGGATCTCTTCGACAAAGGTGATAGCCTCGAAATTTGGAAACTGTATAGCGACGGGCTTCTTTCTGGCAGTGAGACTCTTCGACTGGCCATTTTGAATGAAGGTCTCTTCCTTGAACTTGTATCTCTGCTGTCCCGCGCCGATACACGGTATATTCAGCCTGGTACATCGCGCACATGAAGGTTTTCCTTGATCGCACTGTGCTCTCTCATCGTTAGCAGTTGAATTAATGTCTGCGGCCCGCAGCGAAGTGTACCTTTTTCTTCTGCTTCCGACACGCATCGCAACCGCGTCCAGACGGCACTCCCGGCATGATGATGGCTAGTTAGATTATTTCAACGCCAGAACGGCCTTCTGCCTCATGAAACATCGAAACTCATCTTTCAAAAAGGAGAAAAAGACGGCGACACTGAACTGACTTGATCGTCCCAGCTGAGGAGCAAACCTGAAGGAACGCCTTGGCGCAGCTAAGTTGCTCTGCTTGCTTGCCTCAGCCTGTGGGTTGAAGAAAGGCCACGACCGGGATCAAGAACACACATATCGGCCAGGAGAACGACGAAACAAGTCTCTAGACCGCAAGAGTGTATATGCCTTGTGAGGGCAACAGTCGAGGGCCAGCGCTGACTGGCTGAGAGCGGCGCAAACCGCTGACCAAAGAGCAGACGACTCCATGCTGCTCCATAGTTACAGAATGCCTCGATGACTGGAAGCACTGCCACGAACGGCGGGAAGACGACGGTGTATATATGTGCTATCAGAAGGAGATACATCAGACAAGCCCCGGGATGCTCATCTACCGACCTGGACTACGGAGAGATGCTATCAGAGACAACTATTATTATTACGGCTTCAGGGGGACAGAGCCACGGTTAAATGGGCATAGCCCTCCTGCTCGTCGATGGGCCTACGGCACTCCTCAGCGCAGCATCAAGCTCTCTTGAGATACAATATCAGCCCTATCAATCTGTTTTATGCAGCAGACATCGACCTCAGACTCGAGACTAGCCGTTTATGGGGCTATCCAGCGCTGCTCCACTTCGGATCCTTCAAGGAACGAGAAGAGAACAAGCAGAAGAAGCCAAGAGGAAGAAGAAACAACTGGGGAAACGCAGCGCTTGTTGGCATGGCTTGGGCTGGCAGTGGTGAACTAACTGCTCTTGGTCTCATGTAGCGCCGCTTAAATGTCTATTCTGTGCAGGTTGACGAGACGATCAAGGGCAGTGCTCGGTCGATCTCCCTTATGAGGCCGCAAATATGGAAGCAATCGAGATATATAAGCAGGTTATGATACTCCAAAGATATCCAGCAATACAGACAAGTCTTTCATTCACAGACAGCAATCATCATGGCAGCAACAACTTTCTATCCATACACACCGAGTCGAGCCCTTGCGGCAGTCTTTGCAGTGCTAGTTGGTATATCTCTTTGTATACACATATGGCAGAACTTGTAAGTTACTCTGCAAACATTGCTAGTATCAACAACTACTAACATCTTTGTAGCCGCTACAAATACTGGCGTGTCATGTTCTTCATGTGCTGGGGAGGTCTCGTCTTTACATCCGGTTGGGTGATGAGGACAGTCTCAAGTTACTATCCTGAGAACAAGAACTTCTACATCTCAGAAAGCATACTCATTCTCTGCGGACCCCCAATCTACTCGGCAGCTGAATACAATATCCTCGGCCGCCTCATGCACTACCTCCCTATGCATGCACCCCTCAACCCAAACAGGCTTGTCTACGTCTTTATCTACCTGGGTGCTCTCGTCGAAGGCCTGACAGCCGCGGGGGCAGCCCGTGTAGCCACGGCAGGAGATGACCAGGGCCTCCAACGCAGCGGCGGCACACTCGTCGCTGTCGGTTCAGTGCTACAGGCGCTGGTCGAATGTATCTTCATCGGGATGATCGCCCACCTCCATTCCCGCTGTGTTCGCGCAAACATGCTCACCAGCAAAGTACGAACCGTCTTCATCATGCTTTACGGCACATCCACCCTCGTCCTGCTCCGCTCTATTTTCCGCGCTATCGAAAAGTTCAGCACGCTCAATGTTATTTCTACCGGCCAATGCGACGGTGTTTGTGACGCGGTACTAAGGCACGAGTGGTACCTATATGCCTTTGAAGCTGCTCCCATGGTCCTCTACACCTACTGGCTTAACATTATTCACCCCGGCAGGTTCCTACCAAACAAGCTCACCACCTATCTTGGCTTCGACAAGGAGGAATACGAGGGCCCTGGCTGGACCGACAAGCGTTCCAAGTGGGAGACGTTTGCAGACCCATTCGACCTCAAGGGAGCCATCAACGGCCAAAAGGAGCATGAGAAGTTTTGGTTACTTCCTCAAGAGGGTCCTCGTTCCAAATATAACGGTGAACTACAGGCGTAACTGTTTCAAGATGTATTGATTTATCCCTTTTAGAGCGTTTCTTTTATCATAGATAAGGCTGTTTTTAGTATACTTTTTTTGTACCTGTATATATACCATTTTAGAATCATGCAGTTTGTATCTTAGCACCCTCGAGTCTCGAATTATACGCCGAAACATCTTCAACCCAATGAAGACCAAGAAACACAATATAGTTGTAGCCCAATGCAAGCTCCAGCTTTGATAGTATGAAGTTGTACTCTTTGATATAGTTATCTACATCTCGAGATGATCTAGATCTTTTGACTGAATTTACATCACCTCAATCAATACTTGGGCCCCCGAGTAGTTTCAGTTACCGCTTGCCCTGGCAACAGCATAGCCTGGCTCGTCTGAGGAACCTTCTGTTCTCATGAATTTCAAAATACACATATATACATATCGCATGCGTATCGCATGTCAACTTTCATGCTCTACCATGTTTACTCGGCGCTTATTTAGTTTTGAGGCTCTGCGTTTAAACCAACAAAACTACGCCGATATCTTTTCCGCGTTGGAGATGGCAAAATATAACATATATCACCAGGAAAAAGTGCCTAGGATCTGCTCGTAATGTATGGAATAACTCAGGCGTGTGAGAGCCCGTCTCCTGTCCCCTTAAGGCGGGGGAAGTGACCGGAATTAAGTAGTTATGTAGGTACATACCTCCCTTATCATTACAAATTATTTACCCAGAATAACGGCTATATAGAGGTTACCTTCCTTCTTTTATAGCCCGTGCCAGTCCGTTGAATGGCTTTTATACTTGTCGAGCCCCTGTTTGACTACTGAGTGTCTTGTCCAGGGTACCGTAGATATGTATACAGAAGTATCTTTGCTCGACATCCTGGGCAGACGCGGGTGTTATAAATATAGACCAGTGAATAAGGATCTTCCCTTTCCAATCAACCGAATAGGCCGGCACATGTGTAGGAGATATATGCAAGCCTGCAGCCATGCATCTGCCAGGCCCCCTTGTCAGGAACCTTGTCACCCCAGACTAAGGACAGATCAATATCGATCTGGCACGGACGTACCAGCGCAGTGATTCTTTACATCAATCACCGACTAGACCGTTATGCATCAAATGAGACACTCTGGATCTTCCTGTTTTCGAATCTCGACGTATAAGAACCACTCATTCTCCAGGTGACCCTTGCATCGGGTTCGGAGAATAACCCATGTATGTGTATCACATCGCATGGGAAAATACCATTTACCGCTGTTTCGTGCATTGACAACATGCGTCCACAGGGTTATATTCCGATATGCAAACAGGCATGGGGAGTCCTCGTCCCAGGCAACCACTGTCATTTATGAGCCTGCAGTTGCTGCTGCATGTTACTCGAGATTATGCTTGTAGTGAGTGCAATGGCCCAAATCCAAGGAGGAACCACAAGCTCCCTAGTCTGAAAGGTTGTTAAAATAATTAACAGTTACATGGTATTCGTCCTCACAGAAACCATGTACTAGTTAGTTAACTATCCAATCGGCGTTAATTAGCTTGGTAACTAGCTAGTTAACCCTGGTAAGACGGAAGACACAAGTTACGGGAACCGTTTTTTCCCACAACCCGTTTTGCTCAATATCGAGGAGTGTAGAGGTAATCTCCTGTCGCTATTGACGCAGTGTACCAATGGCATAATCGTCGATATAACCTGTGGGATTTCAAAGAATCCTAGGATACTACAGGTCAAGGGCATTCGGTGGTGGATTTCCTGTCCGGAAGCGATAGCCGTTGAATCTTTTCCATTGGATAAGCTGGATTCACTCTGAAGTGATATCCCCATAGGGAAATGAGGATTGAATATCGCTTCAACAGCCAGCAAAATGAGTTTTGTCTCTGGAACAAATCATAGGCATATCAAAGGAGCGAGGACTGAGAGGGAAACGATGAAAGCCTTTCACTGTTTCCGTCACATCAGAATACAACATTACGAATTTCCACATACTCCAAGCTGGACCTTTATCGGCAGGTTTCATACCGAGCAATAGCTGCCTCTCAGGAGTAATTCGAGTGCCAGTTTTTGGTTCTGTCACTGAAACATCTTTAGGATTCGGTGAAAGAGATCTTCGGTAGTGCTACGGGCCGATCAGTAATACAGCCACGTCTTCTATCAGTCCACGTCCTGGGCTGGCTAGGAGATTTCCCAAAGCCCTCGTGCCTGTTAAAGCCCTGGCCCGACCCTGTCCACTGGCTGTGACGCCTCTCGGAATCCAGGGCGAGCGGGGAAATATCATCTCAAATGATGATCAGACGTTGGCGGACAAACTATGGGGACGAGGATCACCAACTAGACCAGGTTTCGAATAGACACTGCAATAAGACCAGTCGCGACTGAAATAACGGTTTGGGGCTTACACCGATCGCGAATACTCTAGTTCCAATGCCAGAGGTGCAAGCCATGGCCGTGTCTATCAACGCTCCAGTCATAAACCTGTGGTTTATAGTCCGGTGAATACACACGGCAACGGACATTTAACTATTACTCTGGATGGGTGCCTTATACATGTCATTCAACGATACGGACAGTGCCCCAACTATAAGTCCTGTGAAACCAATCGGGGCCATGTTTAACTGCCACAAGCTTGGCTGTAGAGGCATGAGATCAAGTCATCTTCAAGTCTATACACTTTGTTCAACGCCTCTTCTTGTCATCAGCGGGGTTGGTCTCCTGTTGCAGCCCGTCACCCTGTGATGTCGAACTATATCTCCCCGCTCAATATGACTACATTCCGGTGACGAAGGACTTTGGCCATCTTAGACTTCATGTGTCTATCTACGAGTTGGACAAGCCAAGCGGTTATGGGGCCCAAAGATACAGAATGTCTTCTCCGCAGTAGCACCGGTTGACAGCATAAAGTCGGGCGATGAGCGCCCCATTTTTCCACTATCGGGACCTTGGATATGTGCCAATTTCTAGATATATATATGTGCGTGGGATCCGACACATCCAAGCGTTAGCTAAGGCCAAGCTGAGATCACCATGAAATTGCTTCACTTCGTCCTGTTTTTCCAGGCCTCACTCCTTCCAGTAGGCTCCCTCGCGCAAGAGGGTGGAAACGTCACGGATTCTGAAGTCCAGACTATCCCTGGTTGGTTCTCACTTCTCGTCCTTCCCACCGCCGTTTAGATCATCTTGGCGGGTTGAAGATCGTGGGATGATACAAGAGAGATTGTCTGACTATTATTTCTTTAGGTACCGGGATAGCAGCCGTCAACTCTGTCAATTTGTTGCGGATCTATAGCCAAGACATACTCGGTGGCATCCGCGAGGCCAGATTTGAAGGCTATTGGAGCGGAGGACTTTTGAACGACACGATTGCAAAGGCCAAGACCAATTCATCAATTGCTGCCGCCTCTGATGATCTAGAACTAGTAAGCAGTACTATATCACTCATGCATCCGGAGTATGCACAAGTATTTACTTCAATCTTAAGATCCGCGTCTACTATCTCTCACCGAATAACACTCTAGGCGAAGCAGCATCTGATTCCCAGGGGGGGTGGTACACTGGCTCCCTCAACCACTATCAGTTTCGGGTTGCATCTCATTCGAGGCTGGCTGCAGTATTTGTTCCCGGAATTCGAAGGCCAAGCTTACGTGTATATGCCCAGCTCCCGGATAACAGTGTACAGGAGTTTGGATATGATGGTAAGCCGCCATGATCTCCAGTCCCGTCCTGCTCCCCATATTTCAGTTAGAACCATTAAAGTTGCTAATCATCCGAAAGTTGGTCGTGGATGGGAACGCCTCGATAATTTTGGCCCTGCTCTACCTGGTACAGCTATAGCAGCGTTAACATATACCACTGGTCTACGAAGATCAGACATTCGGTAAAACTTATCTCTCCCCCTCCTATCCACCTGAAACTTCTTGAGAACGACTCGGCTTTCCCGCTTCTCTGCTGTATTCACCGAAACTAATGACTCTTTCAATCTTGTTTCCCCCCACAGTGTCTATTTCCAAGCCACAAACCGCCACGTCGTTGAAAGGATTTATGATAGCCGATCGTGGAGTGATGGAGGCATCGTCGTGCGAACCGCCAAGCCACGAACTCCTCTAGCTGCCACCAGCTTCTTGATGGTACCAGGAAATCCTCAGAGTGTCCGAGTGTACTATGGCACCGAAGACAACCGTATCCTTGAAAAGGGGACCGAAGGCGGCCTTTACTGGTACGATGGCGCATTCGAGCATTCAGTCATCCCTGGTTCTCAGGTAGCTACCGTAGATTGGGGAAATGGAGGAGACTTCAATATCAGAGTCTATATTCAAGACGGAGCATTTAAGAACGGGATAAGTGAATGGGCTTGGTTCCGCCGCTTATGGCGCCGAGGAGTCATTGCTATCCCTCCTGCATAACTTTGAGAAATATCTATTTCTAGCAATGATATATGAAATTTTTCACATATAACCCTACTAAACATGTTTTTCCTTAGTAGAGATACACTAAACTGCACATCAAGAGCTATCGCACACTTGTTTCAGCATAGTGGCGATAGATATGGGTTCTAATCAACATGATAATCCCTGTTCCACTACTCCGCATATCTCATGACAAGGTCCCCTGAAAATTCCGATTCTGTCTATAGTCATTTGACGGGACTGATGCTTGATTTACATTGATTAATCAATCTAATCATTCAGTGGATTATGTCCGTTAAGAGGCTATTTATGTTAAACAGATGTGGGCCCACATATGCAGAACTACAAATATCCTGATAACTGGACAGTGGTGGAAAACGTGGAAATTGCTATAAGGGGCTTCATTGATTTCGTTAATAACACCCAAATTTTGGCAGTCGCGGTATAAGCAGATAGGTATAGTAGGAAATGTAAGACAGTAAAAAGAATACATAGAAAGCCACAAACGAAAAAGAATAGAAATATATGAAAAAGAGAAGAAATAATATGGTAACAGGGGACCGAGTTCTTCAGCCTGGGTATCTATCAGTGTTTGCATTGGAGATGGTGATTGTTGACCGAAGATTTAGTCAGCATCCAAGTTGGCGACTGGAGCGTTGTCATTGACCTGGATACCGCCACGCTTCTTCTCGTTGGTGTCCCAGAATGGGAGGTTCCAGCCACCTTCATCCTCAGGGGTAGAGAGCCAGAGTCTCATGAGGTGTCTGCGAGGGCCTGGTGGTGGGAAGTCTCGGTAGGCGGTACGAGCGTGGAGAACCTGGGAGTTGGAGAGGAACTGGATGTCACCAACATCAAGGATCATGTGGAGAGAGAGTCGAAGGCAAGTGGCCTCGAGAACTTCCATGGCCTCGACCTGCTCTGGGGAAAGTGGTGGGATGATCCCTGCATCGGAGAAGCGGCTAAGAGACTGAACGTAGTAGGGGTCCCATCTAAGAAAAGAAAAAAAAGAAAACATATTAGTTGATATGGCCTTTTAGGAAAACAAGACGTTGAGTGGTGCGGATGACGTTAACTTACTTGGTGTAAACGCGGCCTCCGTTAGGTTCCAGGTACATGATGGCGGCTCTGATATATTCTTCCTCACCAACGCTAACTTCACCCTTCCTATCAACGTACCAGTTGGGCTTCGTCAAAGTCTCGAGGACATCAGGGCGCTCCTCAGCAAGCACGTTATAGACGTGGTGAGATGAGATGATATCAGACTCGCCACCTTCAAGTGCCTTGGCGACACAGAGCAATCCGACGATATCAGAGTCGTCGGTGTGGAAGAATTGTCTGTTTTTATTGTGTTAGTTCAACCCTGATCTCCAGTAGATTTAAATTGTAACCGGGTAAATTACCTAGCGTTGGTCCTGTAGATACGGACTTTGTCGATCTTTCCAGAGTCTTCGCCAAGATCCTTTACGTGTCCCAAAGCATGGCCACGGCTGTTCTGGCTGACGAAGTATCCAAGATAAGTTCCAAGGCCCATATAGGCAATCGCAGCTTTGCGGGTGCCCCATTCATGGACTGGGAATCCCTTGAAGAGAATGAATCCCTTGCCGTCAATGATGTCCTTCCTCAGAACCTCGAGGAACTTAGCAAACTTGGGAAGCCTGAAGTTGTTCTATAGCCAGAGCATGTTAGGATAACCGTTGATCTAACCATAGGGTAGAGGGCTTGGAATATTTTACCTTAGAGATGGCGGTCAGGGGAATGCCGGAAGCAACGAAGTCATCGGCAGCGGCGCTCATCTCGGCGCATTCTTCCTCAGTGAACCGATGGGTCCATTTCTCAGGGCTGTCCTTGTAGTCTTCAGCCTTCCATACGGTTGGTCCGGTGATTTTCTTGGGAAACTCGGAGAAAGGTCTGATCTGATCGTAAAGGGGGGGCTGTTGGCCAGTGGTCTTCAAGCCATCAGGGAAGACATCCAGAGAGACAGCTGGCTTCTGGGGGGTGGTAACCTGCTGAGTGGCAGGAATGTCATAGGTAACAGGTGCCATTGTGACAGGGAGGGAATATGAACGGAGAATGCAGATGGAGAGGTGTAGTCTTAGGGGTATCTTATATCAGATAGCTCAGCCGTAGACTAAAGACGGGAAGAGTCTGATCACTAGGTTTCTTTCTTGCGTGCTTAGGAGAAAAGTGATGAGCTTGTGAGTTTGGATTGAGGAAAACTCTAGACGAAATGGAATCTTCCATATGCCTTATATAGCTTTCCCTTCGGCGTCATGGACAATGGGTGAAGGAGAAAGATCGGCTTTGCCCAGCTTGCCGAGCCCGTTGGATGTGTTTCGAAGAACTAGACACCCCATATACCAGGGGCTAGGACTGCAACATGCCAGGCGAATATTACACCACAACGGGCCATAAGCAGAAGTGCTGGCACAAGGATGATTCACACAAAGGACCCTGTTATCGCAAGATCGCCTATCAGATTATGACATCTCGGCGATAGAGGACAAATAGGGCGGAGCCAATCCGCATCCTCAGAACCGCTGAGTGGGTACGGATTCCCGCCGCGTCGGCGATTGGCAAACAGGAACTTAGGTACGTCGGGCCCTGAAGTCTATGATCAGACAGTGGACATGGGGGGTTACACCCTGCAACACCCCCAGCTCTGGACAGCAAACCATTCCCCAGCTTGGTTGACGCTGAAGTTTATTCACAGCCCTCTCTCTTCTCCCGTCTCCCTCAATGTCTGCCCTTTGCCGTGTCATATATTTCTATATATATAGTTCGGTTGAAAATGCAGCAGCAGCCAGGGGGGCCGGACGGCGACAAGAGAATCGAAGGCTAATGGCGCAATTCGGCTCGCCGGCCTCGCCATGGTATTAAGTGTAGTACTTCCGTTCTCCCCTTTCTCCGCCAGTGAAATTCCAGAATAATAATAAACACGTATATAATCGATCGATCGTCTCTTCGTGCCTTGTACGCAAGGTGGAGGTGCTTCAAGGCACCCTCTCCTACTCTTGGCGAATAGCAGTGACGGCTTCAGCTCGAGGAGGTATGAGGCGACGGCCAGTTTCCCACCGCCGAACGGGGAGACCCGTCAAGCCGAAAATGGGCTCTCTATACGGGACAAGAGACTGAGACCACGCTACTGCATGATGTGCGGCTTCTTGAAACAAGCTTCTTCTCGGTGAATCGCGGCGCCAACATCTTGCGCCGAGTGCCCAGAACTCCTCCGTGGTTTGGCAGTCATCGCAACTGGTTTATGAATAGAGGTTGTGATAGAACATTTGTGGATTTCCCGTAATTTTTTTTTTCCTTTTTTTCCACACTCTGTGGGCCTAGGGCAGCTTAGCCGCTGGTAGCCTCTAACATGATAGAGTGAAACCAGGGATCCAGCCCTGCCGAGTTTTGACACATTATGCCGCCAATCGGCGCAGGGATGGCGACAGCCAAGAGCCTGGTATATAGTCATGTATACCCCATATACTCGACGCTGCGGTGTCGTCTGCCCTTGAACCGTTTTCTCTTGCCGTCGGCGATGACTCCGGGCAAAGAAATACCCCATGGCCAAGATCAAAACAACTAAGATATATCGACTGGCCCAGGAATACGAAGTAGATTGCTGATTTTATTATCAGCTTGGTCCAATACTCCTCAAACGAGTGAAAAATTAAAAGCAAAAATTAATGATTCGTGTTGCGTTATCTAAGGTGTCGTTTTTCATGCAAGGCAGCCCGGCCCGGCCTATATGCAGTATGTGTTCGACTGCTCAAACGGGCAGTATGTTGGGAGCTGAGAGAGTTTCTGCCCGTTGAAATAAAAAAATAAAAAAAGCATTCCAAAACTTTAGGTACAAAAAGGAAATTCGGCGATGTTGAGAAATGCCGAACTTTCGGCTGTTTGTCCAAAGGAAATTTGCCAAGCTGCATAGGAATGGTGATCTTGCTCCGACATCAAACCGTATATGGTGAACGACCCTGGGCTGCAGTTCCAGTTCATGGTTGGGCATGTTTGGGAATTTACATGACGGTACAATGGAAGTCGAAGTAGACCGTCTTATTCTTCCCCTTCCTCCTAGCCTGTCGGTACCAGTAAATGTCCGACTTGACCAGCCTAATCATATTCCGGTCATATTTTCCCTTGAGATGGCAGGTTGGGCAGGTATTCTCAGCAGCTAAGATGGGACCTCCAACACCAAAGGGCAGTATGCCGTTAGTCTTAAAAACTTTGCATTTCATGAATCCTGGGTCTTTGGCGCACGGCTGGCCGATGATTATCCAACGATGTTTGCAGGTTGCAGACTTGAAGTAGACCGTTCTACACATGTCTCGGCGTTATGGGAACGTGTTGATCTCGAGTTATATTTACTGTAAGGCGTTATCCTGTCGGACTTGGACGGATCTCCTTGGCTTTCTTTTTTTCTTTCTCGTTTAGCGAGGCTGTCAGCTGCCGTATAGATCTTCGCTTCACGTTTCCGGGCATATATATAGAAAACCCAGGCATCCTCTTTTCACGAGGCGGACAAGGGTGGCGGAATATTTGATTGGAACCTGGAGTAGGGGGCATGTCTAGGGATCTTTATAAGTATAGTTCATTCCATCAAGTAACTGTTGGGGCATTTCATTCACACCTCTTCATTCTCTGGTTTTTCGCTTGATGCAGGAAGGCTGGAAAAAAGGCGACATCCGTCTGCCTCACCCGGTTGGAAACGTGACATCAAACACCGCATTTACTCATGGTGGTAATCATGAGTCGCCTTCACTACCATCCCCGTCACCACTCTTTATTGTCTGCATGAGTTCGTATAATTGACCGATTTGCTGATCTGTTCACATCAGTCACCATCAGCCACCAGAAATCACCTGCCAAGGATACGCCATGAACAACCTACCACTCATCTTGTCAATCTTTGCCTTGTCCAGCTTCCCATCAGCCCATGAATCTCCCTCAAGCTGTTGTGCATAAAGTTGCCACTCTGTCAAAAACCCGATCTAGGGCATCGATATTACCAGTCAGTATATTTGGTTTCAACTAGAGAGCCGGTAGGAACCCTTGTATCAAGCGGTATTATCCGGCGGACATGGAATAATCTTACAATATGAATGGGATTTTCCACATTTCGGTGAGCCCGGAATTCGCTCTTAACGTAGGAATCGCCTAGAAATCTCAAGTCCGCCGGGAGTTTTCTTCGGTGAGCTCGTAGCAGACGACGATAGAGAGGGATTGGTGGCAGAAGAGCCATTGGCGTTTGTCTCAGCCCCGACCCAGCGGGAATTGACGAGGAGCTCGCCAGTCGAAGCGGTAAACTCGCTCTCATAGTCGTCTTCTTTCTGTTTCCCAGCGTATCAAAAGGTATTTTTCTTGTTGTAGTCAAATATTATTTTTTCCCTTTTCGTTGGAAATAAAAACATTTGCCAAGTCAAGTCACATGGTCGATTTTGATCTGATAAAAGTTTTTTTTGAAAGATTTATTGATAGACAAATTTATACCGAACAAGCTGATGTTGAATAAATAAAACAGCCATCAAACATTCTCGCTGTTTGTAAGCTTGGAAATAGGGGAGAATAAACGCTAAACTATCGGCCTGGAAATGCTCCCAACTCCATCAACATCGCATGTGGCCTTCGACACAATATACGAGCCAGCAGAAGACAGCTATCTCTTTCTTGATACCCTATCAGATCTCGACGAGGCGTCGTGGCTATCTGAACGGTTTAATTCCGGAAGCTCTGGTCAGAGAAATGGCCTTAACCCTCCCAGTGCGAATTCTCCGTCGCCGATAATCCTCGAAGTCGGCACAGGATCTGGCGTCATCCTTGGGTTTATTGCTGCCAACTGCAAGACAATCCTAGGCAGATCGGATATACTAACTATAGGCACTGATGTGAACATGAAAGCCTGCAGTGCAACGCGGCAGACTGTTAAAGTTGCTGTGATGGACAAACATTCAGAGGAGAATTATAGAGCCTCGCCCCTTGATGAGAACGGGGTTGAAAGTTCTACCAATTCTAGAAGACCAAAGCCGCTACAGCCATTGGCTGTGATAACCGGAGATCTATGTTCTCCATTCCAGCCTGGAATCGTGGATGTTCTACTATTCAATCCTCCATATGTACCGACACCAGACCTTCCACATCTTCCTTCACCATCAGATACCGCTTCCAGCTCTACTAAAATGTCAAAATTCGAAATGGAGTCTTATCTCCTATCTCTCACCTATGCTGGAGGTGAAAACGGCATGGAAACTACAAATCGTTTATTAGACTCGATCCCTCATATCTTGAACTCCGAGCGTGGGGTAGCTTATGTTTTGCTGTGCGCACAGAATAAACCCCATGAAATCATTGATCGAATTAAGCAGTGGGGGGACGGCTGGAAGGCCGACATTGTAGGCAGAAGTGGCGTGAAAGCTGGCTGGGAGCGACTAGTGATACTCAGGATATGGAAGGATTGAAGAATGATGCTCGATTCATTTACAGCATGAACAGCACTTATATATATACTGAAATGACGACTCTCAAAGAGAATAGACCCATTAGAATTCGCTGATATTGCTTTGAGTCACCAGATTTTATCTACTAAACTCGCCCTCTGGTAGTTGACGATTAAAATCCCCATTCAGCTCCTCCTAGCAAAAATAAAAGTATAATCAGTGAAGGAGCAACAAAAACCGAAGGGGACAAGACTATTCAGGCCTTCGGCGCTCATAGCCTCCCTTTCTCGTCTGAGCACGCAGGTGATATTCGTATCGTATTCTTCTTGTCATGCTTTCTCTGCCATCAAAAGGCATAATTTTTCAACAAAACGCCAAACATGGAGTTACCACATTGAAAATGCGGTACCACGGCAAAAGCCTAGAATCCACGACCTCGTCCACGTCCCCTGCCGCCACCTCGTCCACCTCGCCCTCTGGGGCCTCCTCTTGGGCCACCACGGCCGCCTCGATCACTCTCCTTTCGTGCCTTGTTCTTTGGTTTTGGCTGGTCGTCTACAAGCAAGGTATCAAGAGGAAGGCTGTCGGGTAGGATATAGTATCTGATTGTAGAACCACGGATATTAATCGAGTCAAGGGAGATAGGGTCACGGCCTTTGGGGGTCATCTTGACTGTGCGTAGGGCGGTGTTCATTTGTGGGGAGACAGAGGCTATCGTTCCATGGAGAATGGTTCCTAATGTCCAATACGTTAGAAAATTATAATTTTTCGTACAATTGGGCTCTAGAATTTAAATATAGAGGTGTAGAGGTTTCCGTATTGGCAACATCAAGTCGCGCAAGCTTGCGCGAGGCCGTATATCATGGTTGCAGAGCATCCACCACTCACCATTCTTAAGCTCGATTGTGACTGTCTCATTTGCACATTTCATAAGAAACCTGAATAATTAATAATATATTAGCTGCTGGTTTAAAACTGCTTAAATCCTTTAATCTGTCCCCAACCTGTCGCGCACATACCTGACAAGCTTCATGGTGGAAAATGTTGCCAAGTTTCACACGTACTCCGATAGAAAAGCTGATGGCAGATATAGCACACAGAGAGTAAAATAGTAGAGAATGTATTCCTCGTATCTAGAGATATTGAGTCTTCAGAGTTGGTATTTGTCCTGTTAATATTATATTTATTTGTGAAGCTTCAAAGATCGCGGAAGTTCTTATCAACCACGTGACCATAGCTTGGAGATATTTAAACAGGCTTTTTCTTTTCACAACATCATTGCTATGAATGAGATCTTTGACAGACGTCTTTGGAAGAAAAGTAGGAGATATTCTGTCTCCTATGTACTATTCACAGATATTCTGAACTATACCATAGAGTAATCTTCTTATTTTTTTTAATGAAAGTCTCCATTGGTTGGCAGTTATATAAAGCAGATTTGTATAACTACACCAGACCATAAGAGCTTTGATATCAAAGGTCATGAAATGGATTTTCCCCTAGTTCTCTAATATCTACTTGACGCAGTGTTATTTTATATCAGCCTATGCTCACTACTGATGCTACCCTTCTGGCCATCTGCCGCTCACTTGATCATCCTCTGACTCTTCAATTGAATATTAAAATAAAACCTTGCAGCCAAAGGCATTCCAAATATAAGTCTCTTACTCCTCCTCTTCTATAGAGTCCATGATTCTTACTCCCTGCTAGTGAAAGCTAGGCGCAAGGGCTTCAATGTTGTCGACTAAGCATGATGAAAAAAGTCACACGATGCGATATCAAAAATGTCTTTTGACATTCACCTTTCCTTATCTTCTCTTCACACAGTTAAAGGCAACCAGTTGAGCTCAAAAAGCATTATCCCGCTAGGCAGGCAACCTTGTCTTACTCGATCCATCGATCCGTACGGTCTTCCACTTCCTCTTCGTCTACAACGCTTTTTTGGATAAGGGTTGACATTGCATTATCCACCTTTTCATTATGAGTATCATCGTCAGCATGCCGGCCACAGCACCCACTCCAGTGTCAGTTCCAGTAATACTGAAAACACCGATCGCTCGCCCGGAAGCCAAGTTCGAACTTCTTGCAGCGGAACTGCTCGGGGAAATCTTTGGCTACGTGGATCCAGAGTATATCGGCAACGTGCGACTGACTTGCCGGTCTTTCGCTAACGCTTGTGTCAAACATATGCCTAGGATGTGCGTGGTCAGCTGTGCGAAAACCAGTCTCGAGAAGATGGAGCACCTTTCAACCCACCCGCTTTTTTCTCAACATATTCGGTCTCTTACAGTAGACTGCAGCCAGTTATGGACACTTGTTACTGGAAAATGCAATCAGCCATGGAATTATGTGAGTGCAGTTAATCCAGAGGCATTTCCGTGGTGTGAAACGTACAAGACCCTATGGAAAGAGCAGAGAGAAACTAGACAAAGCGGTAGAGATGCTACCATCATATCCAAGGCTATTCCGAACTTCCAGAATCTCAAAACCGTCCGGATATACATGGGCTGTTTCAATGAAGACGGCCGTTTGCACCGGGAGACGTACAAATCAGCATTTGAGCATTTCAGCTTCGCCCATGATAAGCCTGTTTCTTGCGGTATTGATCAGTATCTAATGGTCATGGAGCCTCTACGTGACGCAGGAATTAAGATCGAATCTTTGGAGCTACGTGATGTGTCGTACGGTATCTTCTATCCCCAAAAGGAGATCGTGGTTGACATGGAGAAGATCTTCCAGAACCTCACCAGCCTATATATTCGTGTCCAAGTTCACCCTGACAAGGTAATGAGCTCACTCAACCCGAAACCTGAGCTGGGAAAGGTCCTCTATTGGGGAGTCATGGCACAATACGTCGAGGCAGCTGCCGGTCTACGCTCCTTATCTCTTGCATCAAAGGATGATCACGGCTGTAGAATGATGTCTGCAGACTATGCATTCCCTGCTACCTTTACATGGGAGCAATTACACACCCTTTCACTCGATAATGTCTGGATCACGGAAGATATGTTGACCGGCCTGGCTACTCGCCATTCCAAAACACTCAGAAGCCTGACGTTACACAATATAGTCATCCGCGGGTCTTGGTTCACTGCCTTGCCTGCCATTCGCGAGGCTACCTCTCTAGAAAGAGCAGTAGTTTACGGCTGGCTTGCCAACCCGGTGGGCGTGTATCCTCGACGTGAACACTGGAGACTTGGCGTCTATCCCGACAGAGAGCATGACACACCTTGGGGGGATGATGCAAGGCAACATAGGCTCGGGCTTCAAGTTGCATCTTACCTCTGTAAGGTCCCAGCTACCTTTTACCTCCCATTGGATTATTCGAACATGACTAGAGAGATTTAAGGCAAAGGAGAGACGACAGGATGTGCCCTCTGCATTGTATTTTGGATGGTTTTTTTTTTTTTTTTATTTTTTCTTATTTTCTTATTTTATTTCCCCATTAATCTTGGTTATTCACCGAGACAACTTGTGACCCATGCGACCATGCCCGCCTACGTATGTACCATCTTAACCAGAAAGAGGAAGAAGAGCCCTGTACGATGCATGCTGCCACGATGAAGATAGGGGGGGCAACCCTTGCTTGTTCGACCCGATCATATCGATAAAGAGAGCCACCCCGTGCAAAACACAAAAAAGAAAAGAAGAGAAAATGAGTGAACGGAAAAAAGAAAGGAAGACAACGAAAGATCGTCAGAAGAATTTGTCATTCCTTAAAGTCAAGCCTTAGAGCCTCCATCTCGGCCTGAGAAATACTCCCGATACATCAACACCCCTGCTAGCTACAAATACGTATTGTACATTAGCTAAGTGGAAAATGGGAGTCATAGCATAAAAAAAGCAAGAAAACAGATCAAAACCTCCCCTATCACATCTGCGAGCCATTCTATCAAAGCTTAACAGAGACACTAACGGAGGCCATCAGTAATCACCAGCCGCTTAATTTTACCATCTGCTAGCCTTACCATGGGGGAACACAGCCTTCCTCAAAATGTCTCTTTTATAGTTCTCACTCTCTGCCCTCAAACCCATCAATCAGATCCATAGCTGACCGGCGGATAGAAGGGACTCAGCACCCCTGACCATGGTCGTGTTGGTTATATGGGGTTAAACCACGCGCCATCGAGGCCTCTCCCCCTTTTCTCCCTCCCCAAGGCGGAGCCCCTGGTCGATTGCCTGCTACATAATTCGTTACTTTAAACAGTTCTTCTATCAAAGCTGTCAAGGAAATTAACTTACGACATTATCATTATTATCCCTGTATTTTCTGATATGTGACTGGGTTGGACTGCACATCCTCTCCCACAAGCAAATATGCAACCTGGCTGAGAGGAGATGATGGAGCAACTCCGCAGCATCCGCTCCACACCGCCCGTTCATTCTCCGCACATAGCAAAAAAATAAGTACCATATGGAGTACCAAGTATTGAATTGCGGTTTTATGTATGCCCTTCCTCTAGTAACACATTGTACACTAACAGGATAAAAGAAAAGAAAATGACCCCCAAAAAAGAACCCGCCCAGGGAACGGACTTGGTCGGAAATGGGCTTTTTTGATGCGCAGCCCAACTCGGTCGAGGCTTGTAGGTGTGCGTCACTTCGGCTTCAGAGGCTAAAACGAATAAGAAGTCCGCAAGCAGATCAAGATCTCCGAAGCAGGTCTGCATGTGGCGGACCGAGTTGGCGGCTAACACGCAGCTCTTTTCCCGTGGGGTTGAAAGTGTGGACGAGGCCCGGACGAAGCAAATACGAGGCAAAAGGGGGCCAAAAGTAAAGCAAGTTCGTAGTTCTAGATCAGGTCAGGTTCGATGAAATCAAAAGAAAAATAACTAACATTAAGAATTAGACATAATAGGGACCATGGCTAGGACAGAAAAGGATAACGCTGGCTGATATAATCTCCTTGAAGCCAGGGGAGACAGATGAGTTGATGTTTGCCCTTCCCTTGCACTTAGCGAGGTTGATAATATAACTAATTAATACCGACAATAATATATAACTATACCCAGCATACTAGGGAAAAAACCCATCACCCATGGCAGCAATGACAAACAGCCAGAAGACACGAAACAGCCGCCGAGACAATGGCGTTCGTATTCAAGTACATGCTTACAACCTGAAGCAATCGTACCACCAGCTTATGCAGAGTGGTTGAGTTGTTCTCCTAAGGTTGCACTCTGTACTCTTGTGGCGCTGTCCTTTGAGTGGTAGCGGTTGGGTGACTCGATCCTTGAGTCAAGGACTATCAAGTGCGAACTTCCATGAAGAGACCTTTCTCCTAGGCAAAAGGATGACGAAAATAGCCTTGCAGAGAATGAAACCTATAGCTCCATCATCTCCATTTCTCTCCTCAATCAGGCGGTACTTGGTCCAGCAACCCCGATGGGCCCATACTGAGGCAACGCAAGAAGCAATTGAAGAACAGACCCTGCCATCCTACTATCGAAAGACCTACTATCCAGTGAGAATTGGCCAAATTTTTAACGATCGTTATCGAATAATTGCAAAACTTGGCTATGGCGCATACTCAACCGTCTGGCTTGCAAATGATGAAAGGTACTTACCCCCCCCCACCAGTCCTATCACAGCTGCGCCCTATCACAACTAATATAGAATCGCAGGGCAAAAGAATACAAAACGCTGAAAGTTACTGTGCAAGTTGATGACAGTACGGCCTCGACTTCTCCTGTCTTAAATGAGATCAAGATGCTTCGACACATGAAGACATTCGTCGACAAGGAACATCCCGGACTTTTTTTCACACGCCTTGCCGATGACATTCTTGAGATTGACGGCCCAGCTGGCGGCCGCCATTATTGCGTAGTATCTAAGCCACAGGGGAACAGTGTCCGTATATTGCAGGAAAGGTTCCCAAATGCAATACTACCAAAACTTCTAGTTAGATCTATAGTACACCGATTGTTCTTCGCGGTGAATTGGTTACATGCAACCTGCGGCGTCGTACATACTGGTAGGTAGAATATATCTAGAGAAAATATCTTGCAATGGTTGTCTGTACTGATGTATAACAGATATTTCACCCCAAAATGTTTTGATGTATCTATTCGACGATACCAGCAGCCTTGAGCAGGTTGAGGAGATGGAATCCCAAGAACCTAGTGTACCCATTATCGCAAATGACTATGGATCCGCGTCGCATATCACTTATAAATCCCGGTCTACCATGCTAGAAATATCTGGCCATCCCATTCTCACGGATTTTGGCCAGATGCGGCACGTTGAAGGATGTATAAACCAGGACTGGTGGATGCCTGACATATATAGGGCTCCAGAGGTGCTCTTGCAGCTCCCTTGGAGCTATGCAGTGGATATATGGTCGATTGGTGTCATGGTGAGTCTCACACCTAGATAAATCTTCTATAAATGATTTGATTTAGATATGTAAAATGACAGAATGCCTTGAATACATAGACACTTGAACTCCTCGAAGGCAAAAATCTCTTCGATCCAGTAGATCGTGTCCACAGGCAGTATGTACTTCCGTTGGCCATAGCACAGTACATAGGATATCTTGGCTTTCCTCCACTGAATATTATCGAAAAGAGCCCACTCTTCTCAACTTACTTTGACGCAAAAGGTATTTTCATCCCCGAATGAATTGAGTTGAAGTGGTGGCCGGCGTTAATATGACTATAGGAAACTATATAGGTGAAGCTCCAATACCCAAGACCAGCTTGGAGGATTTTGTAACAACCATACCACCAGGCAAAGAAAAAGACATGTTTCTCCGGTTCATACGGAAGATTTTGACATGGGATCAGGAGGCAAGAGAAACTGCGAACGAAATTATACTTGACGAGTGGCTCATGATGCCGAACGAAAGCCTTTGAAAGGGTGAGTACGGAGTACTCAGGGAAGTGTACTTTACTATAGAATTATAAAACGGATTAAAACGAAAAAAAAACACTAGACTGAACGGAAAATCCACAATCTCAAATAACGACTCCGTATCTTGGTGACATCTCCAGTGAAGAAGCTGTCGATGATTTTAGCGTCCAAATTAGAACCCGATGTACGGATGCTTAATCAAGTACTCCATTGAGGGGAGTTACTAAAAAAAAAAAGGCTTCGTTTTCTCCGCGGTTATGCCGTAATCATCTTGCTAAGCCATCAAGATCAGTTCGAAAGGGCTACACATGTTGTGGCCAAAGGCCTATGCCAGTTTGTTTGGCGACATCCTAATGTACCCCATATACTCTCCCGCACTCTGCAAACCGCATCGTAGCAGTAGATCGTAGCATCAAGGCTGGTTCATGATTCAATGATCCCCTCCAATCGGCGGGCTGAGATGTTTCCGTTCGGGCAGTGCATGGCATGGAGAGTTGTACCATCATCCATCTCAGCCATGAATCTGTAAGTTCAGGCCGTTGATCGAAGGGCCAAACTGAAATAGAAGCAATGGTCGATGGAACGTTGTTTCAGAGTTCAGGACGGAGAGTCGGCCTTCCGGGCTGTAAGAAGATCATCATTTCGGTCAAACAGCAGCGGCTGATGATGCTTTTTCTTCTTCTGCTTCTGCTTGTTCTTCTTTTCTTCTTCTTCCATTTGCTTTTTTTTTTCTTCTTCTGGTTTTTATTTTTCTTTTTTCGTCCGTCTTGTCCGTCTCGATGACATAAGCAGATGATATAATATACAGCTGATTAATACACGCTAATCTCCTTTTGGTATTTGTAGAAAAAGGTTGATGACATAAGCAGCGGAGCACGGTGCAGGGGCCAAGCTTTCAAGTGGATCCCGAGATCTTTACCCTTTTCAGCAGGGTCCACCTTTTACTATCACGACCTTTTTTTATTTTGAGCTTCAAAGACATCAAAAAAGCAGATCAAGACGAAGAAGAAGACGCAAACAGCCCAAGACAAGTAAGATACAGCAGAGAAACCGACAGCTGCGGCAATACGGCAGAGATAGATATTAGAGGCGAGATGAGACAGCGGGTCGAGATCGACGTTCAGGCTGAGCTTCGACAGCCTGTCAAAATTCACAACACAGCAGAAGGCGGTTAGATGCACCTAGCAAAACCTACCCCCTTACATCATTTTGTATGGGCAGCGACTTCAGTCGAGTCTCCTTCGGGCCTTGACTCAATATCAGATTACTCATTACTGCACTGACAACCAATGACACGCAGGAACCGGCTGCTCAGGCATAGCGCTGGGCTGGTTGTGGACGGGTCAGCCTGGCCCCCTGGCCCCCTTTCTGCGGGCTTCCCTCTCGCACTCCTCACCTCATTTCCTCCAAGAGCGGCAGAAGGAAAGGGAAATGGAGGGGGAAATGCAAAAGGGAAACCCCATAGGGCTGAGAAAAAGGAAACTCTGGGTGCAACATGCAACAACCGCAAGAATTCTTTTTCACCGCCCATGGAAACAAAATATCTACATTCGAAATAGGGTTTTGACTTTCCGACCTATTAACTACCACTAGTTCCATGCGGCTGTGCTGCCTGTCTCAACCAAGATATATGCATGCCCTGCTCGAAAAGTCGAAGGATTGTTCACAGAGCCACATGGGACCCCTGGCGGGCCCAAAGTCGTTTAGTCGTTTACTGCCGTCGTGGGCATAGTCGTGGCCGTTCAGGTTCCTCACCCAGGTTCCTGGTCATTGCTGCCCTTCTTATCGTGCAGGTTGCTCATCTCTGCCCTTCGACCACTGGGACTGCGTTAATCTCTTTTTATTTTTACTTTTATTTTATTTTCATTTTTTTTTTCCCGTACCTCTTCAACCTCTTAAACCTTCCTCTCCATCCATACCTCGCAACCCTTTCCTTTCAGCCGTTTTTGTAATAATTTGGAATTTTTTTTTTTGAAAACACAAACGAAAAAGCAAAACAGGGCAATGGAGATGGAAAGCTGGTTGGTAACTTAACCCGGTGTATACTTATATTCTTCTTGACCCTCTTCAATTATTCGACTAAATCGACAACTAAAACATCAGCAAGAGACCACCACATAGCCAGTCCAGCATACAATCCATATATACGCGCCTGCTGCGTACATTTTACAGTCATATAGGGCCAAACAAACGTACACATCTACATACTTGCTCCCCAAATGCTCCAACACAACAGCAGACCGCACACTCCAGGCTCTCGCCGAAGACGACCGAGAAGCGCATGCGCAGATACTGGTTTGCTTCTATCACCGTCTCCGTCGCCTTCACCTTCACCGTCAACACCTTCAAACAGCTCGTACCGGCCAGACTCGTTTCCCATGGCCGCGCAAACATGCGAAGCCTTGTTAGGCATAGCCATCCACGATTTGTCATCCACTTCTGACCTTCTCCCTGACTCGACTGGTGCCATGCAGATGCAGGCATATACATGTCCATCGTCTCAGCCTTTCGAAATAGACCTCTCCCTTCGGGGGGTTACTACTCCCTCCTCCCCCATTTCCTCAACCTCATCCGCCTCTCTCGGCCATCACTCCGACGCCGCTGAGGCATATAAGTATGACGCCCACTCCCACACCAGTGCTAGTCCAAATTCACATGGACAATCCTCACGGTTAGTTCAATCCATAACAAATTCATTTATATATTTAACTCGTGACTGCAACAATTTCATGAATACTGTCTTTTACACCCAAATGATCTCGATTATTTGACGTCAATAAAGATCTTTCCTCTGCCAGGTGTCGCCTCCCACGCCCTTGTCCGACTTCATGCACGAGTCTCAGCCCATTTCTGTACTAGATTATCCCAACATGTTCGGTATGTTCGGAGTGCGGTTTTAACATTTAAATCAGCTGCTCTTCCCCCTTTCTCCTACTAAATAAGCTCCCCCTCTCTAACAGCCTAGCAGTCCCCGACTACACCGTCGACAGTGCTTCAACTTTCGACTCTCTCCAGTTCACCAACGTAGACACCCCAGTCAGTGTTAGCACAGCATCATTATCAATGTCTCCACCATTTGGAAATCCACCATCCCGTCCCCCAAGTGTATCGGACTCCTTTGGTATATACGACCAACCGCAGCATCATCACCAACAGCATCCCTCTTCAACACTTCAATTCAGCCGTGAACAGTGGAATATGGCTCTCCCGATCCCTCGTTCATCTGTATACCCGGACCAGCAGAAAATGAACAGGGTTGCACCTGACAGCTGTCCAGGCAGCAACAGACAGTCCATGTCACCTGCGCATGGGTACTCAGACCTTTCAAAACCACTGGACATGCATCTACAGAGTCTTGATGGTCCAATACCCACCTCCCAAGGCCAATATGGCCTCTCAGCGACCTCATATCCCCAGTAAGTAGTTTTAACAAACCATCTTTTCCCTTGGACTTTGTTCTGACATTTATTTCCAGGGCACCATACTACACACCTGTCCCTTCACTACCAACCACACCTCCATCAGCAAGCTCTCCAACCTTTTCGCGCTCTCATGCGCACGCGCCTGCTCATACTCACCATCGCACCCCGTCATCCAACTCTCCATCTCCAACAGCTCTAAGCGAAGCTGACCTCCGCTCCAAGCCCCAATGTTGGGACCACGGATGTAACGGACGCTCTTTCTCGACCTTTAGCAACCTTCTGCGCCACCAGAGAGAAAAAGCCGGTCTTTCTGTTAAAGCCGAATGCCCCTACTGCGGAGCCGCTTTTACCAGATCTACAGCGCGGAATGGCCACTTAGAACGAGGCCGGTGCAAGGCCATGAGAGAGGAATAATCGATACAGCTAATGCTATGATAACGACGCTCTGCTCTTTTCACCGTTATGATATTTTTTAATGTCCAAAAGCCTCTCGAGTCTTCTTTAGCAGAAAGGAAGGATTATACTTTCGTGCTATCTATCGTTCAGACATGGGGGAAGCGGGCGAGGAACACAGTTGCATGGTGAGAACCCATGATTTAATGTTTCAGCCTAGCGTCCACGTACGCTCAGCGCGGACACGGACGAAGAAAGCGAGGGCGAAAAAACCGCAAGAGCCCCATCTCATGGCCTGCATCTGGTTTTCTTGTGCTGAGATGCTCGGAAGCACACGAATCCATGCTCCGATGACATAAATGGGGTGAGCCGTTTCTCAGCTCTCGCTGATTTCAGCTAGATCGCTCTCTTTTCTTTTTCTTTCCGGGTGACGTTTTTTTTTCTCTATCCCCTTGGCTTGACTTACAGGGATTGCGGATTTAGACAGGGGTTGGTTGTCAGCGGGGGGTTTTCTCTGTTATTTTTTTTTTTTCTTGGTTCTTGTCCTCTATATTCTCCCACTTTCTCAACGTATATATTACTATTTTTCTCGCGTTTCTTTTTGTTTTTACGACCATGCGCGAGGAAAGGCAAAGGACCGGGAGTATCGGCAGACTGGCAGGAGTTAGCGACTTGTGCATTAATATCTTATTGATGATTTTTTTCCCCATAGAAAGCGAAGCGTCCGTTTTTACTTTCCGATGTCAATCTTATTTTTAGCCTTTTTTATGCATGCACGCTTAGTCCTTACCATTATTAACACGTGACTTTAGATTTTCCAATTTTTTCGTTTTTGTTTCAACTTCGACATTTCAAGTTCGTCTTTTGCGAGGAAAAGTAGGGGACGGGAAGATGACAACGAAGAGGTGAGCAAGACCATCATCAGCCCTACTATGTATACAAGCTGGCCAACGGAGTACGAGCAAAGCCTTCTTGTGAACTACTGGCAGCCAACCAGCGACCAGCCACCTCCAGCTCCTGCATGATCCTTGTTCGCCAGGTCACAGAGTGTGTCATTCAGCGGCTCAAACTTCCACCGCTTATCTCCTAACTCCAAGCTGGAAATCCAACCCAACAAGGTGAGATTCGAGCGGTGACGGGATGAGCAGCGGTGCATAAAGAGACAGGGAACATCGAGCATCCCCCGGCCTGGCTGAATAGCGTTCATCGCCTGCATATATTTCCCTCTTGGGTGCAGGCTCAGCGCTACGTGAAAAGCAGGCCAGCCCAAGTCGAGCTCGTTTTCTGTGCAACTATCGCAGATTCATAAACCCGAGCCCGAATATCCGGCCTCAAGCAATTACCTGATGTGAAGGCTTGAACCCGGACACTTTTGCATCACCTTGCCATTAGCCCCCAAGTTATATGCATGGACATGTCTTTCGACTGGGCAGCTACCTGGAGCCCAGATTTTGCGAGATAGACTTGTTTCATCATCTCTAGAAGCAGAGTTTGTCCGCTTCATCTTAGCTATGACTCTCGGGGCGTGGACCAGCTTTCTCCGATTTTTCTATACTATGTATGTCTTGGAAGCTCGAAGTATAGAGGCCAACACCAACCCTGCATCTTGCGTTATTGCACATCGTACGACTAGACTTTGCATGCACCACCCCGAATTAATGTCAAAGAACTTAACACCCATCTTCTAGTACATCGTAGGATGCACATGCATGCATGGAATGCGTGGCTACCAGGGTTCTTCGACCACGCGCAATCAGGCTGCGTATCAATGTATGAGATTATGCGTTCCAGTCATGTCTACGAACAGAACAACAAGCCTTCTGAACCCCAGATATGGGAAAGCGTAGATGCAACCTCACCCCCCTCCGTGTCTACGGGAATGCCACGTTCAGCCAGTCAAATCCCAGAAACAATAAGGCCCCCAAGCTCAAGAAAAGATGAAACATTCTCCAACCCCCTCTCTCGCATGTCCTAGCCTGTCCAACACGGACTGAGCCAGCTCAGTGGTCAATGACGGCCCCATTTCATCTATTTTATTCTTATTTCACTTACAAGACCCACGGTCCACGTCGTGCCATGCGACTCCCGTGCTCCATGAACATTAATTACCATGAACCATGATGTTTATCTGCGTCAACATACAATCTATTTTCGTCCGTCATTCAACGGAGCGGGTTCCTTCAACACGTGGACGGCGTGGCTATCATGGTTGTACCCCCTACCCCTGTCCTTGTCCCTTGTCCTTGCAGCAAGGCTATGAAGTATATGACTTCCTTTGCGGTTATCCAGTCTTCCATTCGTCAACTCAACCACACTCACTCATGACAAGGGCTATCTTCAAGCCAGCAGCCCAATTCGGAATACTCAGGCATCCTTCCGCCACCCGCGAATCCATAACCTCCACTTTCTTCTCCAATTTCTTCAGTAGCCAGCTATATACTTGCTCCATATACATGAAGTATATACATTTCGATACAATTTTCCTGCAGATATGCTTTTTAAACCTGTACAAGCGAGGAACTCTGGCTGGGCTTTGTTTCTCTCCCCCATGCCGATCTGATGGGGCTTGATTCTCAGATAACTTCAACCCCTCCACCCCTTCCCTCAAAAATCTAAAACTAAAAGGCCATGACCCAGTAGAGTCGCTAAGATCATGGCCATCAGGATAAACCGCTTTGGGTATGGTTGTGGACTCTATATTGTCTCGATATTATATGCTCGGGAGTTGCGGCTCGTACGTAGATCCCGGCGGACGCCACGAGGTCGGCCACATTTGCCTTAATACACTTAGGTTAAGATTAATATGGAGTATTACTCAACAAATGAACCGTATATTAGGTGAGTTATTATAACAGCTGAAGATATTTGCAGCGCCATTTTAGGAATACAATTAGACATTGCAGATCTTATCAATCTCCGGAGGAATGCATCACTATAATTTCCTTGAATATTTGGATATTCCTTCTTATCCCTGTGCATGTGAATACGTTGAGATTCTCGTTATTGGCAAAGCTCCAACTAGGTTTTTCTTTATATTATTAAATTATTGAAAAAAAGAAACCTCGATATAATTGGTCTATTTTCCTTTGGATATCCCGCAATGCAAGGTATGTTAGTATAAGAATGGTCTTCAGAGCGTGTGGAAAGGTATAGAAAGAAACAGATGAGATACAGTAATAAAAATACTAGTATATATAGAGAAAGAGAGAGAAGCCATAACCAAAAGGTAGTTCATAGTAAAAAGGGAACGTTTATTTAATAGGACCCAGAAAGTGATAAAGTAATATAAATACAGAACGGGAAGTAATCTGGTCTGTATATATGAGTAACCCTATTGAGGTTCAAGAAGCCCAAGTTCTGCTAGCAATGATCCTACCCATGGATACCCTTGGTCAGAAGCATACTTAACGGCCTCTTCAGCAACTTCTTTGTCTTTTCCTCCACATAAGGAAGACCAAATACCCGTCACAGCAAGGTAGCGAATAACATGCTCCTGGCCACTCCTGGCAGCGTAATGGATAACCTCTTTATGGTGACGAGTCTGTTTTGTGTAATCCATCAACATTTGGAATGATTTCACAAACCCGTATTTTGCTGCCTTTGTGAAAGAGCAAGATAATAGTGGTACTGTGTCCCGTATCAACGAGCGACGATTTGGATCAGCACCCTTTTCCAAGAGAATTGTCATGATTTCGTAGTAGCCCAGACCAGCAGTGATTGACAAAGGGGGTTCTAATACCCTGGAGCCGCTTATCTTATGCACAGAAACGCCTCTGTTGAGTAGCACTTTAACTACATCAATAGAGCCGTGGGCACAAGCGACGCGAAGAGTCCGGTACCAAAATTGATATACGGTGGTCTCTGGCACAGAGGATAAATCGGCCTTGTCGAGAAGGTAGCTTACAATATCCGAGTGTCCCCCTTTAACCGCATTCAATATTGCATATTGATAGTGAATATCGGTGACTGGGATATTGTACTCGGGTAAGGAAAGTATTCTGATGATCTCCCATTTCCCAGAAAGACATGCAAAGTTTAATGGAGTTACTGTATAGATCCTAATATCGTCCTCTTCCCATTTATATTCCCACGATATCCAGTTAACCAAGTTTGGGTCCGCACCGGCTTCCAGGAGTAGTTTAAGGGTGTCGACATGACCATTAAGTGCTGCCAGGTGGAGCGGTGCACCGAAAAAGCTGCTAACATAATTGCAACTAATGCCCTCAGTCTGGAGTAGGCTCTTTACGAGCTCAGTGTTTCCTACACATGCTGCGGCAGATATTAAATGGCGAGGGCTGTCGGGAGGGTCAATCGTGTGTTGAATTGGCGAGTGATTATTCAAGAGCATCATTCTAAGGACCTCCCAAGTTGGAATAACCTTCACAAGGGCCTCCGACAGTATAGTGGTATAATTATAAAGATTTTCACTTCCATCGCATAGTGGTGTTTTATTCGATAGTCTTAATGTCCTAGCCGCAATGCGGATGACATTAATCAAGTCGTTGCTAGATTGGCCTCTGCGTAAAACCTGGAACCGTAGATAATCACTTGATAGAGACTCTGGAGCATAATAGTACAGTTTCTCTTCACGGAATATCTGAGTCGAGTGAATTGCTCTGATGATACCACGAGCGAAAAAGCCTTGTGGATATAAATTAGCATTGATTCACTTAAAACAAGTTGATAAGGAGCAACATACTGCATATGAGCCTTAGCTTGAGTGCGACTCGTAGGCCCTTATATGAAGGCCCAAGAATGAGAACGAGATGATCGAATATCTCCTGCCAAATCTCCTCTGGAAAAGGGGTATACATTGTGATCATGGATACGGGGAAAGGCAATGGATATGAAGTGGAAGTGGATAGAAGTTGAAGTTATATATAGGGTCTTTGGAGCTTTAATGCACTAAATTGTTCTCTGAGCTTTGGGGGCCAAAACCATGGATTATATACATCATGATTACTGTAGCTGCATAAGTGTTGGTAGTTAGTAAACTAACTTGGCGTTGGCGCGCATCGCTCATAATACTCTCTATCACCTCCAATTCATTACTTCTCCCACCTCGTTCATCACATCTTTGACAATAAGTAATGGTAGCTGGTAGGTTTTTACTGTTTAATAGCAAAGGCGGCCGGCTATAGAGTCAAACCGTGATAAATTGACAATTTAGTTACAAATCATCTAATTATCAAATTTCAACTTCGATTTGGATACCTTGCGCTGGTATGTCATAATAGCAAAACCTACAAAGGATCACAATAAACAGATAACTAGCAGTGAGAAATAGTAGCTATCACTCTGAGAAAGAAAGCAAACTTCAAAAACATCAAGGACATCTCCTTAATTCCTCTCAATTCCCCCAAGGGACACCGGAAAACCCACTGCCAGTGTAGCCCGCAATAATACCGGTATGATCTCTCCAGACTTCAACTTCTCATGGCTCACCCTAATGGCCTATTTCGATTAGGAAATAAAAGGGACTGTCATATGTGCGAATTCCGACGACTTTGAGACCGCCCAATTCCGTATGGTGGTCGGCCAGCATAAACCATGTTCCCCTGACATTTTCTGTCCCGGACAGGCTATTAAAAGCGTTGTCCATGGCCGAGCCAGGTTTCGATGGGACAAATACTGCTTCACCCTCCGTGACTTTTATAGCTTGTCTAGCAGCTGCAATTGTGTTCCATGTTCCTTCATTTAAGATTGTGTCCTGGACCACCCATTTTAGATCTTTGACGTTATCCCCAGCAACAGACTTCCAATTCTGAAACGTAAGCTCGGAATAGGTGGCACGAGTACCATCAGGCAAATAGTCTCTTCTGGAGTAACTCTCCTTGATCTGGATTGCCTTTAGCTTTGGGCTGTATAACGCCTCATGGATTGGAACTGTATCGGAGACAGGGTGAATAAAGAGATCTTTGTTGTTTGTCACTTGTATATGTGTAAATGACTTGTCGTCTTTAGCTCCTCCGATAGTTTCTGCTAGCTTGGCAGGCTCGAGGGCAGCCATCTGATTTTTAGACCTCTCTATCTTATAGAATCGATCTATAGGTGGTTTTGTCACGTCCGGCTTGTGTGTAGAAATGGCCTCTTCAAGTACATCTCTCACTCGTTTGCCCTTTTCGCCATATTCTTCAAATTTCAAGGCCTTTGCGTCGGGTGGAGGGATTCTGTCTTCGAATGGACCCGGTTGTTGCCTAGAGGAGTCCCCTGGCCGCGGGTTTTCATCCGAAGTCCCTGGGCTAGGGCGGTTCTCCGCCGGAGCGTCACTACCAGGCTGGCCAGGGCCGTTTGACTCGTCAGGTCGGCCCCCTGGCGCTCCGCTGCCTGGCTTACTGCTGCCTGGCTTACTGCTGCCTGGCTTACTGCTGCCTGGCTTGCTGCTACCTGGCGCTCCGCTACCAGGCTCTCCGCTGCCTGGTTTTCCACCTCCGGGTTTTCCGGCCCCGCCAGGTCTAATAACAGGAGGAGCTCTAGTACCCAGGTCAACGGCGATACTCCTTGGGAGCTCGGGTAAGATTTGGCCATCTGTAACTTGTTACTATTTGCGTTCCTTTCAAAGTGTACTAACTGAAGAAACGGTACCTTTGCAAGTTTCAAATTCACAGGGTCGATTTATGACCTCCAGATCACCTCCCAAGGTAGCTCGTGCAACTACAAAAGGTTCAATCAAAGTAGAAGCAGCAAGGAGCTGAAGGACTTTTGCAGCGTTGAGATGCATTGTATCTCGAATAAGGTGGGTTGGTTCTTGCAAGTTGAATTCTCAGTTTTACTTCGGTCGTTTGATCCTAAGTGCCTTGGAGTAGATGAAGTGTGCTCTATTTATATTCAATTTCCGGGTATAATAACTAGGCACCTATCCTGAGAGCCATTTCTGATATCTCCAAGGCACATCCGTCAATACCCTTACATCATTCCCAGGGATGGCACATTTGTCCTGAGTAATCACTATGATGCAATATGGTAATATCGAGCGTCTGGTGATAGGCTGTTTTGTCATGTTCATGCTTCTTCCTCTTTCAAGATGTATACCTGTGGCAATGAGATAACCACAGTTGGGGCAAGGTTGAATTTGTTAGAAGGGGCCGTTTTGGGCCAACATGTTAACCTTCCTCCTGTTTCCTGAGATATCTGATCAGATGAGACTCGTTGTAATCATCTTACTTAGCTATGCGCAGCGCTGACATCTTAATACTAATCTTCCCCTTATTTGGTAGGGGAATCGGATGTAAATTGGAGTGCATATGCAAATGCAATGTAATGTTTAGTATCAATGAGTTCGTTTGTTGGGTATACCATATATCTAGGCCGACCTACAACTCGTTTCGGGGTATATCGCACTTAATAATCAATGAAATGTTGGAAAACATAGTATATAATCGGTAAGCGTTATCATTAATAAGTATAACGAATTAGGAAGCACATAATGCGTAATGTTTTGAAATAAACAATGGGTATAGCATTATAATCCTGCTTGTTGAAACGTATACTCTTTTGGTATCAGGCCGCGAATAGGTTGTTGTTGGGTTATGTTGGTGTATCAGAACTCCAAAATCACATGGAGAAACCACTCAGTCGGGACCTATTGCTAGGAGGTTCAAGGATATCCTTGCGTGTTCATGTCATCAAACTGCTTGATGCACGGGCGAAAAGTTCGTAGCTCCATACAGCATTGCAAGTGGCTGTTACCACCGCTTCACGGGATCCAAGCGCAGATATACGTTTGCGACTCGATTGGGTATTAGTATAGATATCGTGAGGCATTGTATCAAGGCATAAATAGGGGGGCAATATCCCGCAAGTGCCACTCTTTAATATCTGCTTTGACCATCACACATCATACCAACGCTATCCTCTCTCGCACACACACGCCACAGATTCAGACAACTATCATCAATCAATACATCATTCCAGAGATTTATCGCACAGCATGGGGGCTGTTTTTAACGGTATAATCCTCGGGATCACAGGGCTTTCTCTTTTCCCACTCGGAGAATACTTTTTTCCCCCCAAGAAAGTGGCTAATACTGTTGTTCGTGTTGCGGCTGGCTTGTCTCAGCCGCGCCAGCATAACGTCGCTAGTACTGGGGGAACAACGCCGAATGTGGCTTTGTTTAATGAGAATGGGGAGAGAATCGGTTTCCTAAGCGGCCAGAGGCATGGGGTTATCAATGACGGAAACTTTGGTGACATTGTTGTCGCTCCCATCGATTCTAAAAACAACAATCCAGCCACATATATTTCCCTAAGTGCATCATCAAGCGATGCCATCTGCATTGCATACGTCGCTGTGACACATCCCAGCGGGGAATACTGGGCCTTTTCTGGGGATAGCGCAGTTAGCTGCGGAGCAGCCTGGTACCTCTCCAACCTCGAAATGCAGGGAGATGACGAAAATAAAGTACACAAGCCAAAGTGCTTTTGGATCGATGGTCCGGGAGATGACGGAAAGGTGACCAATAATTTCCCCCAGGGAATCGGCATTCACCTAACCGACTTTGTGGGAAGCAAAGCACGATCGGAAGAATACCAAGCGAACAAGGACGCGATGTGCAAAAGCCGCCCTAGACTCCACATGTACAAAGAGTTAACTGAGCTGAATTGTTTGCCAATTTTCAACCCACCACTTAGCTATGATCCTGAAAATCGCGACAAGGATATCAAGGCCGCATTATCAGACGGCGAAGTCATGTGCAAACCGGGGCCGGATCAAAAGCCAACAGCAAGTGATATAATCCATCTCCGGAAATTTAGCTCAGGCCGATTTTCAGTCCCAACTTACGGAGTGAAGCGCAGAATCGTGGAGTTAAGTGAGAGGGAAGAAAAGGCACCGGGGCGTGCTTGTTTCACTGACGATATAGTAATCAGCGACTCCATGGGTGCAAAGGAACTTTGTGATGATCCTAACTCTCATGGGCCTGACTTCGTCTCTATAAAGGAAGGGTATTATTGCGATATGTGTTCACATGAGCTTTTCCCTCTCTGCCACAAAAGCGCGGCCGCGGCGAAAAATCAAAGGGGCTGTTTTGACGTTGACACCAAGAAGATGCGGTACACTGGGGATATAGCTGCCCGTGGAAACGGTACAATCGTCCCCGATAAGAGTTACCAGAGAGTTAGAGTATGGAAGTAGGGGTATACTCTGAATACTACGTGTCTACTTCGCAGGCGAAGGACACGATATCGTGTGAACGTCATCAGCTGAAGGAATGTCTGATCATGGAGATTTTCTACCTGTCGCAATTTCGGTATCGTTTCCTATTATTTCATACGGTTCGACATTGATAAACCTGCATTTGCGGAAGAAACACCAAAAAAAAAGAAAGAAAAGAAAAGAAAAGAAAAAAACAAGTGTGAGAGAACGTTTAGGTAGTTTTTATATTCAGATTGAAGAATGAAAATTAAGTTATTAAGCTTAAAGTGATTAAGTAATATAGTTTACACGTGATCTAAATATTACCTAATAAAATCTCGAAAATTTATTACTAATCAAAGCTACTGCAAACAGTGCAAACACATCGAGTCATCTTTCAAAAAGTTGTTGGCTTCAACAACAAAACGTCGTCGATTTTGAGATTTAACAACTAGCGAACACTTCAGCAACCATCGACATCATCGCAAGTATCACTATATTCTCATGATGAACTCTCCTTTTTGAGAAGTCTCCAGGAGCTAGCTGTACTCGTCCGACTACCTGCTACAGTTTGCCTCCTTCCTGCTACTTCTCTCATCATTAACTTTCCTCGTTCTCGAGTCGTTTCATTCTAGATACTATCTTCCTGCTTCAAGATGGTCCAGTCACTCTATCATCCTTTAAGATCTTACTATTTCTATACGAGCATTCAGTATCTTGGGTTGTTACACTATCACTCGAGGAACATACCCAGGGGAGAGCGCTACTGAACACGCCTATTCATACCTTTCTGCAGGTCCAATAAGATAAAAGATCAAAAAGTATATGCTGGTTTTGAAAGTGCTTATTTTCATAAGCTAAGAGGGGTATACCGTGTCTATGGCGTCGGTATTTACATTCGACCCTGACCTTCCCCGGGTTTCATCTCCGTGGTTAAGCTCGGGAGCCTCAACGCCCCATTATCAAAAGGGTAAAGGTAGCTCTACCTCCGGACCCAGCCCCGTTGATACGAGCGATCCGGGCTTCCTTGAAGCGTGCGGGATTAAGAAACTCCAGCCAGAGCCCCAGGATGGGCCTATTGAGTATAAACTGCATTTACTCTTACGCCCTAGACGTCCTTTTGTCTCCTTGACTTCGGGGGCCCAGGTTTCGGGGTCACACCATTCCAAGTCCCATGGTAACAGTGTTACAGAAAGAGATACCTCCGAGTCCCCTGAGCCATCCTCACGGCCTGCACAGTCGTCTTCAAACTCACCAAGACAGGCTCGTTTATGCCAACTTACCACCCAGCTCCTATGGAGACTGCAGCAGTCATCGCCTTTTCATTCATCCTCCACGGCAAACCTGGTTCTTCCTGCCCTTCCGGAGGCAACCGAGACGCTTGATGTCCCCAGCACGCTGTCTCCGCTACTTCCGGGCCTTGAAGAGAGTCAGGGGGCCTTGTATGAAATTGGTGTTACTGATGACGGCACTTTTGCGGGATTAGCGGAAGACGAACTGGATGAAAGCCTTGTTAATCTCCAGGCCATGGCTGCAAGCCTGGGCTGTAAAGTTGAAGTTCTTCGCCGTGTTGCAGTGGGATATTGCAAATGGATGGAGAAGGATGGGCTCTCTACTCGGACCGAGAAACTTTGGGTCGCGGAGGCACTTGTTAGTCCTGATTTAAAGCAATGCCGCTCCCAGGCATTGATAAGCGGAATATCTGATCGCTGGAAAGAAAATGGCTGCTCAACATATCTTTCTGTGACATGTCAACAAGAGCTCACCGAACAGCTTAATGTGGCAATTGCAGGGGCATCCGGAGCTGGAAAATCTTCTCTTCTTGGGATACTCTCTACCTCTGCGTTAGATAATGGGCGCGGTAAGAGTAGATTAAGTCTTCTCAGGCACCGACATGAGATTGCTTCTGGTGTTACCAGCTCCATTGCACAGGAATTAATCGGGTATTCGTCGAACGGGGATGAATCCCCAGATGTAATCAACTACGCATCTGGAAACATCACTTCATGGGATGACATCCATGTTGCTGCGGGCAGCGGTGGACGCGTCCTCTTTCTGTCAGACCTCCCAGGGTCTTTGAGATACGTCAAGTCTACCCTCAGAGGGCTCATGAGCCTTAGACCACATTACGTTCTTCTCTGTGTACCTGCAAACAACCCTGAAGACCCAGAGAGTACCGTGCCGCCTGAAGTAGGTATGTCACTAGCATACCTTGAACTATGCGTCAAACTAGAAATTCCTGTTGTCGTGGTAGTTACGAAACTTGACACCGCTACTAGATCTAGTATCAGACAGACGTTAGCTCAAGTTCTATCAGCAATTAAGTCAACCGGACGTAAGCCCTTGATGCTACCTGTACCGGGAGAAGCGAATGACCAGGACATGGAAGTTCACAGCATCTCACCAGCTGATCGAAAGGATGCCAGCGCCGCCATTGACTCCATGGGGCGTGATTGCTTAGATGGTATTCCAATCATCATTACCAGTGCGGTTACCGGGGCTGGGGTTGGGAAACTGCATGCCTTGCTACAGTCACTCCGTCTCCCTCCTGTCGAGCCCAGCCCACGCCTCGTCGAGGGCTCTAAAGATGATAGCGAAGGATACCCAAAATCTCTATTTGATATCAGTGAAGTTTTTGAAATGCCGCTTTTCAAAGTATACTCTCTATCAAATGAAGGCAAGCGGCAGGATGATCGAGGTATTGTTCTTTGTGGCCGTGTCCGCCGCGGTACTATTTCTATCGGTGACCGACTTGTTGTGGGACCTATCATTCCTGAACCTCGTCCCCATGAACCAACCAACACACCTCCGCGGACCAAATCAACCTATAGCAAATCCCTCCCAGATTCGTTGCCTTCTACACGCCCCCGGAAGTTCAACGGAGATTGCCTGGATGCGCAGCCTCAAACGCGTGCAGTCTGGAAACAAGTCCGGGTCGTCAGCGTTCGCAACCTCAGGCTCCCTGTCAAGGCCCTTTTTGAACACCAGGTCGGCACCATTGGTGTTGACTTTGTTGATTCATCAACCTCAGCATCCCTCGGGAGAATGCGCAAGGGAATGGTACTAGCGGACTTTAATTGTGGGTATTCATCCAACTCACTACTTTCTTCACGCCCACTCTCCACCTCTGCTCCATCCTTCCATTCAGGGTTCATTGCTCGGTTCCGTGCGTCAGATTTCACAGCTTCACCCCCCATGTTAGTTTCTGGCAGCACTTCTATGGTATATATCGAGAGTATACGGGCTGCAGCTCGGGTAATACTCGTGGAACAGGCAAAATCACAAATAACCGCGTCCTGTGGCATGGAGCCAGAAATATTCATGCTTGATTCCGCAGAGCATAGTCGTGCTGACAATGCTCATGCACTTACTGAAGGAGACCATGAGGACGAAGAGGTCAATGTGACATTTTCTTTCACAACTTCCGTCGAGTGGCTTGAAGTGGGATCTCTTATACTCGCAGTCCCTGGTACAGGTATAGGGGTTATAGCCACTCCTCCGTCTTCCTCATCATGCCTGTCGTCGATGGCTCGAGGATCAAATTTGACTAGCGCATCAGGCTTGAATGGTGTCGTTGGTAGAGTCTGTGAGGTCCTACATGCCTGATATATTGGCCATCTGGCCAGTTTAACGTCTGTCTTTCCGAGCGTTCACAAGTTTGATTGCTACCTATTCACCCTGATACCCCGAAAACTAGCTACCGAGGCAGAGACAATACATGAGCGATGAGCTGTCCCAGAGTTATTTCAATTTGGACTTCTTTTCTCTATATCTGTTCTTCATTTCCTTTGTCTTCTTTTTCGTCCTTCTGCCTTGTTCGGTCTTATCTTTCATAGCTTAATCGAATATATTTTTCTAAACAAAAAACGGCCGCGCCAGTAGATCCCTAGGCCTCATCACATAAGTATACAGCTGCCTAGCATAAAAATAAAATAAAAGTACAGCCTGGCCTTTGTGAGCTGTGACGTCGTTTTGGCCGCAAGACGCTCGCAGCAGGCCACTTTATATAAGCGGATTGGAGTGGGGAAACGCGAACGCTAACTATTTAGAATAGTTAACTACATATAAAAAAGAAACATAAGCCCACCCGCAATAAACAAATGACTTGAATCCGCCTCGAGTCACAGGAACGCAGCAGCTATCATACCAGCGTCTCAAGGGCACATCCATATATCATCTGGCCTGGATGAATCTACCTGTCAAGATAAGAACAAAGAAAGAACAAAGCTGAGCCTAACTACGACTCTCGGCCTTGCGGAGATTCCATTAACAGAGCCTTACCTCCATCCTACCCTTCGAGGCGATACCTTCGACCTGCAATAATCTATCATAAACACCTCTGCCCATCCAAGCCAAGCAAAGAGGGCATCCTCTTCTGCGCAACCTCCATGGCGGCGTTCTTCCAGGAGCTGTTCTCCAGCATCTTCACCCCCGGAGCAACGCCAACCCTCTTACTCGCTACAAACGCTACCTTCGCCGCTCTCCAGGTCGTCTTCTTTGCTCTCCTCGTAGCAACTTACAGCGTACACTTCCTCGTTCTCTCCTGCATCAGCGGCGCACTATGGTACTCGATAAATTGGTTTGCCGAGGAGGTAAAGGCAGAGAGTGAGCGGCAGAGGAAGCTCACAGAGAGCAAGGAGAAGAATAATAATACAGGATCATCGACTGATCTTAGCAGTCTACGTGAGAAGGAGGCGTCTCCTGTCGCTCGCCTGGCGGGGGCGACGTCCGATTCAGCCGAAAGTGGAACTGAGACGGAGAGCATACGCGCCGGCCATGTTGGCACCCCAAAGATATCAAGTGCCTCTCCACTAAGTGGCGGTGGTACTGTTAGGAGGCCTATGCCATCCGCGTCGGGAGCACAGGTGACTCTGACGCCAGAGAGTAGCACGGACGAACTCACGCTGCGGAAGCCGTCCGGGGATAGCTCAGGATACATCAGCACTGATAGCGAATGGGAAAAGGTCGACGATAAGGATCGATAGTTCGTTCGTGATGAGTATGTTTTTATGAAGTGACAGCGACGTTTGATTTCCTTTGGAAGTAGTAGATTGAGATTTCTTGTTGGATCGTTCCCCCCCACGCTCATTCATATCTCTCACCCGATATGTATGTTCGCATGTCTTGGGTATATTAGAAACACGTCTCTACTTTACTCTATCCTATATAACATGTTAATAATATACCCATATGTCTTTAATATCTTCCTTTTGCATGGGTAAAGTACTAGATATTCCATCGATATCTATTTGGTCGGATAATTTGTCTAGTTCAACACCAGTTCAGTACGTAGAAACACAATATATCCAGCTATGGAGTGTGACTCGGCGTACTCAGCTACATATTTCACAGAAGAATTCCTTACTATCAAAGGATTTATATACTTAAACGGCGCTTGTCGCTTGATGAAAATAGCCGCCTATCGTATTAATATATCACGTGAGGGGTAGTTCTTGATAAGGAAAAAGAAACAGCGAGTCAAGAAATAATAACAAACGAACGGACGGCGGAGGAAATTCACAGTGATGGATGGCATAGTTTGTCAGGTTATTCTACTGGAATATACACATTCTTGATTTCAGCAGACCAGGCCATGTTCCAGCACGTCCCATCGTCCATTGGCCACAAACGTGTTTTCGACTCCGTCTTCCCTCCGTCCTTGCTCAGCGGCGTATCTCCCACCTCGGATGTCACACCTGTCCTAGGCTTCACACCTCCAGGCGAGCCATTGGGTGGCGTACAGACGCCTACTAAAGCAAAAAAAGCTCCAGCACCCTCAGAAGAAGAGCCAGTACCGGAACAAGTCACATGGAATCGAGCATGGCATATAGCGACGGCATATCTTTCTATACCCGACAAACGGTTCAACATTAATAATGACGGCAACTGCGACGATAATATAGGGGATAGAGTGCTACTGAAAAGATGGGCTCGGGATCCACCGTCGACAAAAGTCAGGGATGCCCTGTTTTATGTGGGTGCGGATGCATCCCAAGCCAAACAGTCGAGGAGGGACGTGAAGGAATGTGACCTTAAATTATGGTATATAAATGAGACCCGTCGGCATTTCTTAGCTAATTTTAAAAAATCCTTTATTCAGGTAAGCCAAGCCGTGTAGCCTGTTATTGTGATGATAATGCTAACCAGTATAGATCTTAGGGCACACGGGGAAGAAGCATGTTCTGACCAGGCTGGTTCGGTACCTTCGCCTTGTTCAGAATATTTATTACACTCCCTTTTTAAAGTTTATCTTACCATTATCTGACCCTACAGCAAGGGATACTGGGTTTACGGCTCTGCGTGCGAGTATACACGCGGTCACAACCTTCTCTCTTCCTGATTCATTTTCGGATATTCTTGCCACAGAACTTACTACTGCCTGCTCATTGATCCTAGGGACCAAAGGGCCTAAAGATGGGTTTCATAGCCCAAAGGTGGAGACTAGTGATGAAATGGATGTTGATTCGAAATCTAGCATATGCTATAGAACCTGGAAGAAACAGCCATCTCGCGACAAGAGGGTTGAGTTGATGACTGAAAGTGCGCTACCTGGCAGTGCCGAGGCAAGACATGCATTAGTACGCCTACTAGAGGGCCTTCAGGACGTTGGTCTAGGCGGCAGCAAAGCCCAGACTATTTTTGCCAATGTGATGAATAACATGATCACAGAGTTCGTTATATCCTCGTACTCTGGGATGTGGGATGCACCATCTCTTGCTACTGAACATCTACGATTATGGATCGCAAACGTTTTTGGGCGGCTAGTTGTCCAGGTCCTTCGCTGTCTGAAACGGGACGAGCATGGGACGCACCAAGCTGAGGATCACCTTGAAGTGACGTTGGCGGATATAGAAAAATGGCAAGAAATTGCTATAACTCGGCTGGCCGCACTGCGAATAAGTGAGCTTTTCGATATAGTTGTTGAGTGGGATACAAGTAGCGGCGCGATTGAAGATCTGAAGAGTTATACTACAAACCCAATGACACGGCTTTACCTTTCTAGTATGTTCAACACCGCGATATTCCAACGACTTCTTCACCCAGGCGCTTCTACCGTCGAGATATTGCAGCTCTACATTTCCATCATCCGAGCGCTTACTCAGCTAGACCCTAGAGGAGTGTTACTAGATAGAGTTGCGAGACCTATACGCAGATATCTACGTGAACGAGATGATACCGTGAAAGTGATAGTGAACGGGCTGTTAGCTGACGTAAGCGAGACGAAAGATCAAGACAACCCTGATCCGGATACACTTGTGGAGTTGGCCGTCGAACTTACCAGTGCCCGCCAAGCGTCTCTACGCAACAATTCTGGTGAACTTGACTGGGACGATATGAACTGGGTGCCGGATCCTATTGATGCAGCGGTTGACTATAAGAGATCCAAACACTCTGATGTCATAGGCAGTATGATAACTCTATTTGACTCCAAAGAAGTCTTTGTAAAGGAACTCCAAGAGTCGCTGAGTGACCGTCTACTCAACAAGGGTGGCACTTTTGACCAGGAAGTTTCTGTGCTTGAGCTGTTGAAGATTCGTTTTGGTGACTCGGCGCTACAAGCATGTGAAGTGATGCTACGCGATGCACTTGATTCCAAGCGGATTGATACCGTTATACGCGCAGACAAAGGCCTAGATGAAGGCAATACTACGGATCTTCATGCCAAAATTTTGTCCCGTCTATACTGGCCCGAATTGCAGGAGCAGGAGTTTAATATCCCAGCAGAAATTAGATCGCTGCAGGAGAAGTATTCAGCAGGTTTTGAGTCTCTGAAACCATCCCGAAAATTGACCTGGCTGAATAACCTTGGAACAGCTACCGTTGAACTAGATCTCGAAGATCGTGTATTCAAGGACGAGGTGACAACCTGGCAAGCTGCTGTTATCTACTCTTTCCAGTCGGTCGAACACTCCGCAGTCTCAAAAACGGTCAACAACCTCTCTCAAGAGTTAGATATGCCAGCATCTCTTGTCCGTAGTGCCTGTCTATTCTGGCTAAGCAAACGCATTCTCATCCAACCACAGCTTGATAGCTTTACTGTCCTCGAAACACTACCAGACGAAGAAGACCCTGGCGTCGCCTCCCAACAGCAAGGAGAGGCCCAGCCAAGTTCCGATGCCAATGCTGCTGCTGCTGCTGCGGCAGCGGCAGCAAAAGAAGCTGCGGAGGCCGCCACAATGGCGAAGATGGATCTATACTGGCAGTTCATTAAGGGAATGCTTACAAACCAAGGAGCCATGCCTCTACAACGTATTATTATGATGTTAAAAATAGCTGTTCCAGGGGGATTCCCATTTAGCAGTGAAGAGCTTAAACAATTCATGGGCAAAATGGTTTCTAACGGAGAACTTGAGATGGTTAGCGGAGGGAATTATAAGATTGTGTAATAATAATGCGTTTATTATCACAATAATATAATATCCACATTGGAAGTATACAAATGGCTTTTAACTAATTTTCGTAAATGAGCCGACTTTCATTGCGAAGAACAGGCCGAACGGCGAATTTGTTATATATCCGCTGGTGATTAAGTGACCATCAGAGCAAATAATTGTTGCTTGGACAGCGGGAAGTTTAAATAAGCTTAACTAAATAAGGTGCATCTACTCGAAACAACTAGGATCATTTGAAGCTCGCTCACCAAGTTTTATGCTCACAAATGATAACAGACCTGAAAACATGTCCCAGTCATACATACCCGTTGGGCAGTCGCTATATTTCCTTTCCTTGCTGTATCATCAAAATGTGAGTGAGCAAGTCTCCATCACCTAAAGCCGGCAAACCTAGACCAAGCACCGATGGATCATCAGCCTTAACCAATTGGCCCTCATGAATAACCCACTGGCCCAACACAGCCCCATCTGTGCCATCTTCCTCTCCAAATACTTCCATATTTAGCTGAGCCATAAGCCCAGGAATCGCCTGCGCGATGTACTTCATATTCTGCTCAGTGCTGAAGGTTTTATCAATAAATAGCCGAAATAGTCGAATTGTTCTCGTTGCTCCAACTCTTTTTAGTCTCCCAAGAGCCTGCTGTTCAGCAGAAATCGGAGCAGCATCCCAGAATACCAGGTTGCGGCAATGCCCATGAAGATTTAACCCCGTGCAGCATACCCAGAACGACGTTATTAGGATTTGGCATTTGGTTGGGGATCTGTGAAATGTATCAGCCAATATTTGTCTATCTTCTATGTTTAGCTCTGCTCTATATGAATTGGCGTCTAGTTCAAGAAGTTTGAGGACCTGATATATTCAATTAGTGGATGGTAAACTAAAATAGGACTGGGGTTCATAAATACACTCTCCAACCAATGCACTTGTGTAGGCAACGTGGCAAATATTAGCATTTTTTCTTTCCGTAAAACAACCAGTTCAGCCACCAGCTGTAAGAGATATCGTAATTTTGGAGATCCTCGACAATGGGCCTGCAGTATTCCTTTGATATCATCTGGCGAAGGAAGGGGATGGATCATGATTTGAGGAAATTCCTCTTGTAATAGGTTTTGGCGTCTAAGTAACTGCTGCTTCCCATTATTAACGTCCTTCAAGATTGTAAGTGCAGGTAATACACCTTTTTTTCGACGCTCCGTTAAATTCTTCGCTGTATAGGATTGGCCAACAAAATCAAAATCTGTCCAGGAAGTGACCAGGCAGAGCCTTCTAAATTTCGGACCACTTAGGATGTCTGCGGCATCCTTATTCTTATCTTCCTCCTCGTTTTCCTTTGCCTTTTTCCTGCGAATCGTAGCTAAACAGTGGTCCAGTGTCCGCTCATATTCTCTCTGTTCTTCTTGGGTAAATTCGAGATGAACAGATATATTCTGAACTGCAGGCAGGGCTTGCCCCACAACTTGGCCATCTACCAATGATCCATATGACCTCTTAATCATGCATGCTTTCAGTACCTCTCTCATTCTTTTACCCTTTTTGGTTAAAGGGTCATTCCCGCCTCCATTGATGATATGATGTTTAACAGACTCCGACGTGTATCGAAGGGAAGAGGCGGGATGGTGACATGGGATTTCCCAGGGATCAATTCGTTTGAGGAAATATGTGAGGTTTTCAGCTTCTTCATCAATTGAATCATTCCCATCGTTTGTATCACATTCATACTGTATACTAGACTCTGAGTTTTTCAAGGGCTCGATATCGAACGCGCCGAGCTCGTTCAATGACTTTTTTGACCAAGGATTCTCGACTGGTTCTAACTGATAAAGTAGCCCAAGAATATCGGAAAGCCCGTTCCAAATGGGGGTTGCGGAAAGTAATAAAACCGCCGGTGACTGCAGCCAATGTAAAGTAGTTGCCGTAAGCGATTTTTTATTCCTTATTTCATGAGCTTCATCCACAATGACTCTCTTGAAGCAGCCGCTTAGCCCATGCGGCCACTCATCTGGAGGACGGGTCAACCTTTCCATGATTGAGTGCACAGATTCAGTAACTGATGCATAATTTTCGGATCCATCTTCGCTCGAAATTTTGTTTCTCAACCACTTTCTTAGGGATGTTGGTCCATGTCGAGTAGTCAGGGTACGAAATGAAGTGATAATGGCCGTTCGTGCGGTTTCTTCTGTCTTGGAAAATACCTTGTCATCTCTAGAGAGAACTCCACGCAGATATTCTACTCCGTCCGCACCACTTTGTCCTTGATTTTGTCCTCGACCTCCGTAATATATTTTCACAATTAGATCCATTGACATAGCCCTAATCGTTGAAGCCCATTGTTGGATTAGATTCGGCGGAACAACTATGAGGGTTGGCCTAGGCGGCGCTATTTGCATGTTGGATTCGAGGGCCGCCTTTCTCAGATTCCAGTGCTATATCTCTAGTTAGTTTATAGTGAGCTCTAATATTTAGAGGGTTTCTTACATGTTGCTCAAGGCCAATGGCCTCAAAGGTTTTCCCTATCCCAACCTCATCGGCTAGAATTCCTCCTCTGAGATAGCCTTCTTCGAATTCCTTGAGTGCTTTCACAGCTAGCGGCTGCCAAAATTCGAATTTTGCGCTTACTGGCATACCTGGTAAACGGGGTATATCTGGATTTGGAATCCCAAGAGCACTGCAGGCCTCGCCATGGCCCTGGCGCTGTAGGTCTTGGTTATCAATCCACTTTTCCTGCTCTCGGTATTGTTTTATATCGCTGTCGGTCAGCTCGCGAAGTACGTCTTTCGTTCCACTCTCGGGGTCATCCGAATCTTTGGATTTCATTAACCACTGTATTAACTATATTAGTAACCCTAAGATGCACTAGAATTTGGTATACGTACTCTTATGCTATCTCCTTCAATGTCAACCGCTTCGTGTAGGAGTACACAATTGCTGTTAATAGGTGAATGCTGAACTTTGGATGCTTTTTGTATTGCGGTCCAAATCCAGAATCGATCTCTCAAGTCAAACTCCGAGGATACTCTTTCGGCCACCATAAGGTCGTATAAGAGCCGCCTTGAAAGTTCTTCATTTTCGATTTGTGGAATGTCGGGCTCCGGGAGGCCTTTTTCTGTATTTAATGCAACCAACAACCTACCCGCGGAACAGCAAGCAAGTCCCAAGAATTCCTTGAAAGAGCTTCCAGATATAGTGTCACCGTCAACACTCAGTTTATCAATTTGTAACCCGTGTTCTTTCAGCTCTAGTCCGCGATAAATCTCCTCCAAAAAACGCTCATAGGTATAGCTGACCAGGCCTTTCAGAACAACCATTGATTTTATTCCCTGTTCCTCCAGGTCGGCTGGGATATTCATCCATATGACACTAGCAGCTCCTCTTTCCGGGTTGACGGGCGTAGGAATAGCCTCGTCATCATCGATCCGCCAATGTTCAAACTCACTGGTGGCTTTCGCCTTTTTTCTCGGCCTGTGTTCATGGGACGCGTCTAATTTCAATCGTAGAATCACTTGCCAGGCTCGGGATGCCATCTCTACCTCACTAAAATTCTTGCCGTAAAAGATTCCATGTCGATCGGCCTGGTTTACCGAGAGAATCTTGTAAAGTAGTCTTGCATGCCAGTCGATGGCCGTCCAGGCTGATATATCCGGAAAGTCAGTAGAGAATTTCCGGATTCCTACAGCTTCACCCTCCGTTAGATGCTTCAATACAGAGCGATAGTCGGTGAGTTTTGGTATTCTCCCATCAGCAATTTCGGATGCTGCCCATCCATGATATTCGTCCCAGTAGGGCTTGCATAACATGCTTCCCATCCATTTCTGGAGTGCTGGGATGGTGTCGAACCCAAGGAAGGTAGAAAGCTTTTCCAATGATTGGTATGTCCCAGTACTGGTATTCATGTCAATTTCAAATGTAAGAATGGAAGTTGCAGGACTGTATAGAATAGAAATTAGCAGTGTACCGGTATCAACTGTGATTGAGGAAGATTTCCATGATATTTGGCCATATATTTGAAAAAGATAAACTTTGTAGCTTCTTCAGAAAGTGAGAAAAAGGGGAGCAGACAGTACTTAAAATGTCATCAGGGAACTTGCATCGAAGATCCGTAAATAATCAGAAGGCAAAGAAACCAACAGGCGATTTGGTTTCTCCCTGGTAAATGCCCAAAGCTGCAAGCAAAAATACTTGAGTAGTGATGAGCAAGGTTAAATATGCCTTAATATAATCTTGGAGACATACAGGCAGAGAAAAAGTGAAAGAAAGAGTTAGATATAAGTGTGCGTTTTGCTTTTGACTGGTGTTGAAAGGCATAAAAAGAACGTAATCTCCATGCCGGGAGGGTATATTCATGACTTATAACTGTTTTTCACAGGTAGAGTCTGTATCATGGCTTTCTACTCATACATCTAGAGACATAATCTTTGGTGTGAAGAGGAGCTCTGATATACAAACTTGAGACCATACTAGTCATTAGTTAACAAGTTTAGGAAAGCCAGCCGAAAAGTTGTCCTTTTATGGGCTTAACATAACAAAACCCATGATTACATTTGATATCAATCCGTTTAGGATGCATGTTTTTCAATCATCGACTTGAGGCCCGAAGGGTTAGCGCCTATCAGTTCGTCGATTTTGTTTCCATCCTTGAATACTATGAAAGTTGGCATTGCCCTAATGCCAACTTCTTGGGAAATCTCATCCTCGGCGTCCACGTCCACCTTATAGAAATCGATGCCCGAGATTCCTGAGTTCGACACCTCTTCGAAAATAGGTGATATGAATCTGCAGGGCCCGCACCATGTTGCCCAAAAGTCGATGACAACAGTCTTTCCGCTGTTGATTAATTCGTTGAAGTTCTGCTTTCTAAGACATAATTAGCAAGTGTAGTTAACTAGATATAAGGAGGTTATGAGTGTATGCCCATACCCGCTTAACACGGTGACACCCATCGTGCGTTTTGGTGAAAAGGCTCTACCTCTGTGGTGAAGGTTGTAAAAGGGTAGAAGAGGGAATGGTATTGTATCGTAGGCTGATAGACCATCTGTTTACGTGCCGTAAAGACTGGAAGCGGGGGATTATATAGTAAAAAGACCCAAGGTTAACTAATCATTGGGAAGGATCTGGTGATTTGTCAGTCTCTGGCCCATCGATTGCGATATATTTAGATTCGGACTTGCCTGAGCATGAAAGTTTGCGTCTTTCATAGGCTGACATGGTTGTTATTACGTCAGAGGTTGAAGATCACCAGGATGAAGGATATCTGTAAGAGGTGAGAAATAGGCTATTTAGAGTTAGTTGATCCAGCATGAGTAGGGTCAAGACATCTAGTCAAGAAAGGATCTATTGGGAGAATATTTCCGCTTCTATGACACAGGAAGAGGCAGCAGCCAGCAGAGGTTTCTTACGATCGATAATAGACAGCTATTGCTGTCCAGGGTCTAGGGGAATAAGGTTCCTCTCCGCCAAGTCAACTCTATTTGGGCATATATTCCACATATTCTCCAGTGTCGTTAGCTGCTGTGGAGCTGCTACTGTTCCCTTTATCCGTTTCCATTCTATGATCTGTAAACATGGGAAATGCTGTATTCACACATCTAGATGAGAAGGGAGTGGGACAAACAAGAGGTTATTTCTTGATAGGTTGTTGAAATAGTTTCCGTATTTTGTTATCGTATATTGCCTTTTCTTTAACCTTTGTAGCGATAACCTCGTCTGCATCAGTGGCCCAATATTTGGACACAGTATCCGGAAACTCTGAACCGCTGCGATGAGACTGTGCGAAGGATGATTGAATATGTTGGTAAAAGATATTGAAAAGCCCTTTGGGGCTATTAAGAGCTTGCAAATACCAAAAGGTGCCGGTTCTTAGGCCTTTTTTCATGATACTTGCGCGGTGCAGCTCAACCCTATTAAAAGGAGCAAGTGTTCTCTCCTCCTCCTCGAAGATATCCGTGAACTCTTGGTAGGTTTTGCTGAAAGTATCGAGATGCTCACCACTAATTCCATCCACAAAACGCCCAGACATCCACCATGGCGGATAGAGATGCTCTACAGGCAGAGAACATGCCCACTCAAGGTCAATCAGGTATTTTATACGCCAGTCTTGGTCGACAAATATATTGCTTTGGTGAAGGTCCGTCAGCTGGAAGAAAAAGGGCCCGTGGCGAAGACCCCGGCTTGTATAGTCGGAAAGTATAGTTCGCATAACAGTAAGGGTCGCCAACTGAGCACGTCCGTCATTTTCATCGTTCATGGAATTCGGCTGATACCGTATACGGTTGTCATGGTACGACAGCGTATCACGGTAATATGAGTCGGATGTGATATATGTTGACTTTCTGTCAATATTTGTGGGTATACCCAAATTCTCAAATTCATGTAGACGAAGAGTGAGTGGGCGGTTTGCTAGCTGGATGTAGCCCTTTGAGTCTAATGTCCAAGATCCAATGCAAGGTTGGGGTATACGGCTCAGTGAAAGCATGATACGGGAAAGGTCCCTGAACAAGGTTCGCCTTTTACCGTCATCAAAACGTTGTTTCTCCCAGGTAATGGACAGCATCCCCACACCGGGGTCGTCTATAAAGTCTATGAGGATGTATCCATGCTTCAAAACGTTGTTCCGAGAGCTAGTTATATAGCTACAAGGCAGTGGATATCCAAATAGTCGCGAGATATAACGGCGGAAATACCAGCCAAACCAGGTAATCCAAGGCACATTATCGGGGTCAACGAACTGGTACGCACTATTGTTAGTATTGTCAAACAACGCTTAATAGCTATTTTTGCATGTCACTCCATACCGTCTGTCCGTTAACGAACGCAAAGCCCCATAATTTGGGTATTGGAACATCAGGACAATTTTCCTGTAGCCATATATACGTAGCGATTTCGCAGCGCAGTTTCTCTTCTGCGTTACCGGGATAAGTTGACTCTCCAACTTTATACGGCAGTGGAAACCGAATAATTACCCGTTTCCCTGGCCCTTTGATCCAATTGTCAATGTAGACAGGTATGCAAAGGTTGAAACTTCCATGAACCCACTCCCTCACCTCCCCAACCCGGCATTGCTCTGGTGAAGATAAACCCAGATGGAACGAAATAGTATCTTTGATATCTTTTACATGGCTATGTAGCCACTTATACAACCCGAACCGTTTATCAGGGTACGTGAGCTGATGAAGTATGTCGTCCTCTTCTGAAAGAGCATCTTCAAGAGTAACATTGCCTCTAAGGAGAGGACGAGGGGCAGGAGCTTCTGTCGGGTTTTTGGCCATTGATTCCTCAGTTAGCGGAGCCTGTCCGTAGGAATCTTCTCTGGCCGTTGACTTAGGGGTTATTCATTCAATAATCGGTAGGTCTTGGACCAAAAGCTCTTCTTCTTTGGCTGTTGGCACTATGGCTGGCGGCTCTGGCTCTAGGGCTTTTCAACGACTGCTGGTTATGCCGGTGGTTCTTAGACAATCGTTTTCTCAGCGGATATCCCAGAGGCTGATAGCGTATCTGTTGTCATCACATTGGCCATAATAATAAGTGATAAGCGGACGATTTGTCGAGTGCGAAGAATCGCAAAATGAAAAAGCGCAATAATTGAAGTAAATATAGAGTTTTGAAGAGGCTGAAAACGCCTGGTTAGTCATCAAATGTAATGCAGGGGTGAAAGTAGAAGAGACATAAGATGTGCGTAGATGGTAGATGCAAAGATAAATCCAAACAGTATATCCATGTACCCCTTTTCTACTGTGGCATCGTATGACGCCGATCTACCCAGACAAACCCCACCCTTTGACCCTTCTAAAGACAAAAGAGCGATCATTTCTAAGAGCAAACTCAGCCCAGTCGTCAGTGAGACGATTGTAACTCCAGAAACCCTTCCATATAAGTTTTGTATTTTTGGATTTATGCGAACCCGCAGACCGAAGGGCCAGGTGCATTGTATAAGTATACTTTGGATCTACGCCTTCAGTCTCGATGAATAGATCGCGTGGGTCCGAAGTGGAGGCGGACGGGGGCTCCATGTTGGGCCGTTGGGAGCTTGAAGTCTGCGCGGCTGCATCTGGATTTGTGGTCGATGTATTCGTCACTACTGGCGGGGCAAGCCTCCATCGTCCACGCAATGTATGTTTCAACGCAGCGGCGGCAGCTGGTGTCATCGGGTTGGTTGTCGATGCCGACTGGGGTGCCGGTGCCGGGGTGTCAGAAACATGTCTTGTGTGCTTCTTTCCTGCAGAACTGGCAGCCAGAACATCAATATTCTCCCTGGTGAGATGGTGGACGACCTCTACAGGCTCAGTGGTAGAGAGCAAGGACAAGACGGTACCATCAGGATAGAAGCGTAGATATCGATAATACGTCACAATGTGGATAGGCGAGTTCCATGAGACGCTTTGCATGGCCGAGTTTGCACCCGGACGCATATAGTTGACAGTGCTGAGGTAGACGCCGGTAAAGCGCAGCCGAGGAAAAGCTTGAAACACATGGGACCAGCTAGTGAGAGGCTTTGGTATGGTAGCCGTTATCTGAGCCGTGAAAGGATGCGAGTGTAGGATCTGAGAGTCCTTGTCCGGGTCGAGGATGTGCCCTTTATCTATTGGAGAGCCATTGATTTGACAGGCAAAGGAGTAATGCATGGAAGCGAGGCCGAACTCGGCACCCTGACACAACCGACGCCATATATGCTGCTCATGCGCGAAGTGGTAAGCCAGGCGTTTGCAGACGAGAGACAAGCGACAAAACAGAGCTGGATCGAGTAGGGCTGCGTGCTTGAGTATCTCTATCAGCACCTCGGAAGGGAGACGGGCAATGGGACATGGCGGAGGAGGGGTGTTTTCTATAAGTGGCTCAGCGGGGAGGATTGGAAGATTGGCAAACGATGATACGTCCACTTTCTCCCCCGTCGATGGCTGTGCCGATGTAGACGTCAATGCTGGCGGTGCATGATGTCTGGCATGGGCATGGGCATGGTGCTTCTTGCTGTATGCTTGGTCGACTTTTGCATCCAGCTATTCATCTTCAGCATTTTATGTACCAACGACGATCACAATGGCATACGTACACGATATGCCTTCCGATACAAGGTCAGACTATCGCCCAACCTGCCCTGATCTTCCTTCTCGATGGCCCGTTCAAAGTGCTCCAGGGCTGACTGGGGATCCTTCTCCTCCGCCTTCTGGCTTCCCAGTTCCAACGACCTAAACTCCCCATCTAGTTCGGACGTATCCACCTTGGCATGGCTGTCATAATCCGCCTCGTCTTCTGGTTCCTGTGGCAGCTGTACCTGTGTCTGGGGAGGTAGTGATATCTTCCTCTCCGTCGGTCTGGCTTCTGGCGCCGGCTGTGCCGGGTGCCTGGTCCTCACTTCTTCCAGCCACTGGCGGCGAAAGGACTCCAACTCGTCTTCTTCTTTTCCTTTATCCATATCGTCCTCTATCTCTATCCTTGTATCCCTTTATACCTATATGTATGTATTATCGTCAGCTTTGATATCTTCGTCCTTCTTATGACGATGTCGGACTTACATAAACAATCAGATAAGCGGACTAATTATCTCCGAGATCCGGCCCGAGCTTATCAATCTCTTTTTTTTCCGCCGTTTTTTTTTCGATGACTCCAAAGAAAGCATTTTTGGCGACATCACGACGATTTTGCTGATATCATATCGTTTCCCATCATCTGGTACGGTTGGATAGTGTGGTTGTTGTCCAATAGTACATGAACGGTGGATGAATGCCTCATGACGCTGAGTCCGCGGGTGCCTTGAGCACCGGCGCCGGCAGCAACAGGACCGATATCAACGGCAGGGAACAGACAGCATACACAAGCAGCAGCAGCAGCAGCAGCAACAGACACAGCAGAGACAACTCACATACAATGGCATCTAGACAGAGCAGCGGTGCTGGCAGCCGCGAGAGTGATGCCTCAGCTCAGTACGACAGCATATCAACCAGCCAGAAGATGATATCCGCCACATGGGGGAGCCTTCTCACATCTCTCCTAGGTAGGTCTATACCCGTGTATATAAACGTGTGGGTGGTATGGTGCTAACGATGGTAGTAACACCGCTGGACGTGGTAAGAGTGCGTCTACAGGCGCAGACACCTGTGATCCGAGCCTCACTGCCTCCGTCAACGGGCTCGCCACCCCAAACGACACTGACATCCGTCTCACCATCACCACTAACCTTCTTCCGGCATCTTCCTCCCAACCTCGGCGTGACGGCATGCTGCCGGGAGGTATTCTGGATAGGAGAAAACGCGCAGACGCAGTTCTGTCTCGTCAACCAGCCGCCACCCTCGGCGACACCGCAGCCACCGTCTGCATCCTGCATTGTCGAGCAACGCAAGTCGTACACCTCCACCCTGGACGGGCTACGCAAGATAGCACGCCACGAGGGGCCGTTGTCTCTATGGCGAGGCCTCTCTCCCACCCTGGTCATGGCCATACCGGCCAACGTCATCTACTTCACGGGCTACGACTGGCTGCGGTACGACCACTCCAGCCCGGTAGCGACCTACGTCCCGGCCAATGCGGCTCCGCTGGTCGCCGGTGCGGCAGCCCGGATAGCGGCAGCGTCAGCCATCAGCCCGATCGAGATGTTCCGGACTCGACTGCAGGCCGTCCCGGCCGGGGGCGGAGTGCACGGCTCGGACCACTTCAAGGCGACGCTGCGGGATCTAGGCCGGATGGTGCGCCGAGAGGGCTACACCTCGCTCTGGCGAGGCCTGACGCTGACCATGTGGCGAGACGTGCCCTTTTCCGGCCTGTACTGGTGGGGATACGAGCGCATCAAGCGGCAGCTCGAGTCAATGCGAGGCCACGCCTTCCCACACACCTGCACCGACCCGGTGCTGACGGGGCCGTCGACCACGCCCGGCTCACCGAGCTCGACGGTGGTGTTTGTCGAGAGCTTCACGGCCGGGGCGGTGTCTGGAGCGGTCTCTGCGCTGGTGACGACGCCGTTCGACGTGGGCAAGACGAGGCAGCAGGTCTCCTCCAGGTCTTCTTCTTCTCCTGCTGCTGCTGCTACGTCCTCGTCCATACCGCGCTTCCTCCTCAAGATCGTGCAGGACGAGGGAACCGGGGGTCTCTTTAGGGGGTGGGCAGCTCGCTGTCTCAAGGTAGCCCCGGCCTGTGCCATCATGATATCGAGCTACGAGGTTGGCAAGAAGGTCGCCAGCACCGCCAACGACGACTGACCGTACTCTAAATCTCTCTTCATCGAATATAAATAATGTAAATATCTTTTTATACGCATTTAGACCGTCGCTAGCCACCTACTACTGCCACCCTCCCGCCACGCACTCTACTACCTACATGTAACTATCAAATGCGCGTACTTGGAAGTGCGTGGAAGTACGAAAGTGCGTGCGAGAGGAAGCTCCCCCAAGCTCGGGCTCTCCCCGCGCTTTTTCCCACTTTGGCCTTTTCAACTTCAACTTGTCAACTTCAACATCTCGACGTCGACAAGCAACCTCACGACACCTGCCAACAGCTCGACGAAGGACACCCGCGACGCCAGCCTCGAAGCAGTGGTCGATGCCACTGATGCTGCTGCCATGCCCCGGCCGTCTCTTACAAGCTCGTTCTCCGTCTCGGACGCCACCAACGAGGTCGTCTGCCCGCTAGTCAACAACGATGGCTCGAACTGCCGCAAGCGATGTCTAGGAGTTGGTCTTCCTCCGTCCATGCTGCTACTGTTGAGTGTCTAGAATGTACTGACGCTGCCGCAGGAGAAGAGGTACCGCTCAATGCAGGAGCATATCCGGCGGGCGCACCCGAACCACTACATACCAAAGCTGCCAGCTACCGAGGAGAGCTTCCAGCTCATGGTCAACACCCCGCCACAGCAGCCAGCAGCAGCAGCCAGCAGCAGCAGCCCAGCAGCAGTTCCAGCCCTCCCAGCAGCATCAGCATCAGCACATCAGCACAGCACAGCAGCACAGCTCAGCGAAGGAGAAGGATTGTCGAGCATCCAGCAGCTACCACAGCCGCCGTGGCGTTGGCGCAAGCTGCAGCAGCATCACCGTCTCGACTGGGACTTGGAGACGCTTACCCGTATTACCTACCCCAAATCTTTCTCACTATCTCTCTCTCGCTTTCGCTCCAGACAGGCCCAGGTGCAAGGCTCAATGGATGCTAACTGGCCGATCCAAGACGACCACCGATATTCGGTCAGTCGAACTGCCGCCCATCCGTGACACTGAGGGATTCCTATCATCCGCGGCAGCGAGAGCTTCTGCCGTCGATTCTGCATCCACACCCACACTCACTCCCCACCCGGTCGCTCGTCGACTCTCCCGCCCATCAACCGCAACCAGAAGATCCAGCGGTCCCGGAAGGGGTCGCTCACTCACTCTCACTCGGCCCGCAAGGCCAAGCACGACCGCAACCGGTCAAAGGACTTCAAGGACTTTAGGGACATCACCCGTCGCAGGTCTCTTAGCGAACGCAAAGCTCTCTCCGCCGAGCCACAGACGGCCGCCGCCTGGGTCCAGGGCAAACGATGGGAGGACCTGATCGAAGCTGCTACCTCGGCTACTGAGGTAGACGATCGAGACATCACACCAGTGCCCCAGTCACCTCCCCCGTCCTCTTCTTCCTTTCAACCTCTCTCTCCTTCGCTCCGGTCGCTGGCCGGCATCAAGCATCGCTCTTCCGTGCCTCCTGCGTTTCAGTCACCCGCAAACGCCAATCCGAACTCAACTTCTGTCACGTCCCAGCCCGCCGCCACCTCCCACCCGCTCCAGCCTCCACCATACACCGCTTCCCCGTTGCAAAAGGCCCAGACTCCACCGCCCTTTCATCGTGAGCGAGATACCGACCTCGAACCTTTCCCTTCCATCGAATCAAGCATGGACGTCACAAAACCCTACCTCTCCCCTCCCAGACCAGTCACCTCCTACCCACAGCAGCAGCACAACATCTACCCACACCCACATCCGCATGCACACCACCCTCTTCACCCCCTCCATCCACGTTCATCGTCTCTCAAACCCCGGCTCCCTTCACCTCCACCTCAGTCTCGAGCTCGACCTCCAACGTCTCCGTGTCCAGGGACAAGGACCTCCACATCCACATCTACTGCGCTTCCTGCTCGCGCCCTCGAGCTATCCGAGACTGCTTCGCCTGCACAGAGTGCATCTGTGGCGTGTGCAGAGACTGTGTACCCGCTCTATCGCTTTCCATGCATTCTTCCTCTCCCTCGACGTCCTCCACCGTCGGCGCAATGGGCATATCCGTCCTCAACCTTGGGCCCACTAGCAGCCCGCGCGCTGGGAGCAGCCCTGCGGTAAACCGGCTGGCAAGAAGCAATAGCACAAATACCACAATGTCGAACCACTCCAGTATCCACGCCAATGGCAAAGGTGACGGTAGGCAAGGCCACGGATGTCCCCGATGCGGCGTTGTGGGAGGCAAGTGGAGAGCTTTCCAGCTGGATTTCCGATGATCGCTAGCAGCAAACGACAACCCGGCGTTCTTATTTCTTTACGTTGCATCTTTTTCCTTTTACGACCCTAATGCCATGCTATACCTTGCCGCGGAATATCACGCATTACTATACAATACCTTACCAGTTGGTTGGTGGTTCGTTATTTTTTTTTTTCTCATTCTACTGTTACTTGTGATCCGACTTTCACCCAGTCGCACACCGAGATACACTTACACTTATAGCTCCGTTGACTACTTGACTCATTGCCTCCTCGCCTACTTGCCTACTTATATGTGCCACAGCCTCCTCTCGGTCTGACTCTACATCTCGTTCTAACTATCCACTTTTCCTATGTCTGCCACTACGTTCATGTCCATGCTTTAACGCCCCTGTACCACTTCCCCTTTCCCATTCCCTTAGTTCTCCCCTTGTTCATGCGTTATATATATTCTGGTTAAATCCCGGTCGGCCTGGTGGGTGGTTGGTTTGGTTGACGAAACAAAAATATAAAAAGATTTCTCCTGCCCGCCCACCATCACATCATCACCCTCTATCCATCCCCCCCCCACCCTCCCTTCCCCATGTTGATTTTGGTTTTGGACCTCATGTTTAGCTAGCTTCTGCAGCCCTGGCTCTGGCCCTTCGATGGGACGGCTGATTTTGGTTTCCCTTTTGTACATATTGTTTTTTATCTTTTGGAGCGAGAAATATACACTATTACACTACTATTATGATATAGTACAGCACGATCTAATGCAAGCAGGCAGGCGGGCGAATTGGGCGGGAAAAGTGCTGAATGGGTATTGTGTGAATATCAAATACATTTTGAGAAGGGGGCTGAAATCGAGAGGAATCGTACTTTGGACCTGGGGTTGACGTGACGCTCCAATCAGCTAATTAATCAACGGGTCCGAAAATAGATGGTCAGGTAGTCTGGCAGACAGGCAGAGAGAGAGAGAGAGATGTTAGGGAAGGCAGACAGGTAAGTAGAGGCGAGATGGTGAAAAAAAAAATAATGGCCAAGTCGAAAGAAATAAAGGAGAAGAGTTTATGAGAAAAGATCAGAAGAGGGGAAGAAACGAGAGAAAAGACCAAAAAACACTGAAGAGATAAGATATCAAATCGAAAGAAGAGGAAGAGGAAATTAAAAAGAAATAAAGGAGAGAAATAAAGAACTATTGCACCGTTTCCCAGCTCCAGTCCAATCATGGTCAGTCCAGCTTCATGCTCATTCTACTCTACATACTTACGAAGAACAGATTTATCTCCATGGCGGCCTCTCATCTTTCGTGGCACCCGCGACACTCTCCCGTCCAGATCTACCCGCTGTTCCCATCCTAGGTAGAGGAAGCATACTGCTTCTTCGGTTAGAGTGTCCTAGCGCCGTACCAGGTCGAGCTGCAGTAGGCGGAGCAGCGGCCTTCTTCGCACCAGCGGCGTCATTGGTGGAAAGAGATGTTATGCGAGCACTAGGAACACCTGCATAACTCTGTCTACTCCTCGGCATGGTTGGAAGGCCCGGTCTAGATGATGCAGCTAGTTTGGAAACTGGGGCTGGAGCCGGGCCCGAAGTTGGAGCGGGAGCGGGAGCGGGTAAGGGTGTCTTAGCCCTTGTGCGCGTTGGAGTTGGAGGCATTAACCTTGATGCTGATCTTGTTGTTGTAGTAGTGGTGGTGGAGGTGGTAGTCGAGGAGGACGCAGCGGCTGCTGCTTGTTTGCGCAACTTGCTGTAGGGAGGGGGATCAAACATTGATGATGGCCTGGGAGATGGGGATTGGGATGGGGAGTGAGCATGGCCGGCGCCGGGATCCAGGGATCCGCGATCCGTCACACCCCGGTGAAGTCGGCTGGATGGTCTGCCTGGGGCGGGCGAGGAAGATGACTCGCGGCTAAGTGGGCTGCGCAGGCCAAAGGAGTAAGTGGAATTGCTGTGGGACGGGCGCGGCGAACGAGCGGATATGGGGACAGGCAGGTTCCTGTTTGATGAAGATGCAGGAGAAGTGCTGAGTGGTTTGTAGACATGGCCTACGACAAGATCCTTGGTGTTGTACGTTGCGTTCCAGCGTGGCCTGCCATCGGGCACATAATTTGAATACGTCAGGGCGGTTAGAGGGTCGACCAATCCCGTTCGCGATGGTGGACGTCCAGAGTGATTGGTGGTTGTTATTTTGGGTGTGTTGACTGCCCGTGGTATCGATGGTTTGCGAGGCGTATGCCCAATGCCTGTGGAAGTAGGGGCCGGCAGAGCAGAATGGCGTTTTAGCTTCGCTGCAGTACCTCTGGAGACAGTGCTACCGCCGCCTACAAGGCTGCTTCGTCTGCTGGTATCCTTTATCATGGTGTTATTGTTGCCATTGGTGTTGTTACTGTTGCCGTTTGACATGATGATGGAAGAGGCCGGGGAGCTTCCAGGGGTACCGATGCTACGGCCGGCAGGGCTGTCTAGAGTGAGGATGCTAGAGACGGAATCCCGCAGCTGTCGACTGTTAAGCTCTTCCAGCAATGCATCCATAGACTGTACGGTAACCTGCAGAGCATCGAACCTGGCTGTCAGGTCAGCAAGAAGCCGAATAATCTCGCCATTAACAGTCAGTCTGTCATTGATCCCCTTCTGGATAATAGACAACACCCGTTCGATAGCTGATCCATAATGCACCTTCTTTGCTTCGAAGTTCTCTGCTCGTTTAGCTAATGCGGTAGGATTGTTATGTTGTATGCCTCCCTCTATGGCCTCACGTAGTTTCGCAGCACTCCTTTCAACAGACTCGCACATTTTATGGGCCTGTTTACCAGCATTTCTAAACACAATCACCCATCTGTCTTCTCCCAACTCGCGTCTGAGGGCCTCGGAGTCTGTTTCTAGCTTTTTGTATCCCTGCTCGAGACGGAGTCTTCGGTCCTCGAGCTCTTCGCATGCGCTGGGGAAGATGTCCTTGGCTCTGGACTGGAACATTGACAGTCTCATGGGTAGGAAGTCGAGAGAGGCACGAAGAGGCTGCATCCGTGCAAACAAGGCCAGCAAGCTAGACTCGTCTTGCTGGCTGTCTGAGCCGGGGGTTTGCGCGCCAGAAGGCAGGATGGGAGCAAAGTGCAGCCGTGGATTTGTAGGTATATTCGACGGCGTCTCTTCGACGATGGTCTCGAGCTCATTAATATCTAGACCCGTAGTCGGTTCGTTATCCGTGTCCATAACCATCACGGCCTTGTGTCTCTTTTCTTCCATTTCAAAAATCATTCTCGACAGGTTATCGATCTCCAGCCCGACATCTCCCAGCACGGCATTCCATAGCTCTTCCCACTCCATGGCCAGCTCGACCTGTTCCTTGACTCCGTGTAGTAGAGCTCCGACCTTGCCCCAGTTCTGGATGGTCTGTTCCATCTGAGTGACGATGTTGTTTAGCGATTCAGAGCCGACGTCGGCGATGTCCTCGCGAACCTGCACTTCCTCAATGGCCTTAACGTAGACATTGATCAGGCATTCGAACTTGGTGACCGCCTTGTCGACGTCGTCCAGGCCTTCTCGACCCCCGGCAGCTGCCCATTCAACGTCGTCTTCGGCCTCGAGTCCGCCCAGGACCTCTGACGCCTTGTTTGTCCATTTCTGAATCTGGTCTGCTGCGCCGCTGAGAGCCCGTACGGCGGCCGGGGCGGTCGATATGGACGCTATGCTCTCTTCGAGGGCTGACGGCTGGGGCAGGCTGATGGAGGTGAGCTGTGAGAGCTGGTTGCTGAAGGACGCTCTGGAGAAGGAGTAAATAGAATCTGTCCTGCTGAGTCCTAGCGGGTTGAAGTAGGACTCTGACGCGTTCGAACCGTTGCTCGAGTGTCCTAAAGGCGGCGTATCCTTTGGCGGCGGAGGAGGAGGAATCTCAGAGTCAGTATCTGTCGCCCCATGGCTCACTCCCGCCGTTCCCATGGTCCGAAAAGATATATCCTTATCCGTAGACGCGTCTCTCTCCTCTAGAGCAGGCAGAAATATTTGTTCGTCGTTGTCCTGCTCTTCTTGCTTCTCTTCTTCAGTCCTGACCTGGCCGACGGAGTCCTGCTCCTGCGGCGCAATCCGTCCACCACTCCACGCCCGTCCTCGCCTCTGCACCCGGATGGAGAGGTCCACGTTCTGTCGTTCGAGTTCCTGTAGCTGCGAGGCCGGTATCTTCCCCACCGGGCTCTTTGAGTGGCTTCGACCAGACGCAGCGGTGTCTGACTTGCTCGATGCACCGTCCAGTAGCCTCACACGCGCCGCAAGACTGGGCGAGAGCCGTCGAAAGATGGACTGGCGACCCTTGGACTCTACCACCGTGTCTCTCTCCGTGTCTAACGTGGTCGTAGCTGTCGTGGTAGCCCCGGCAGCAGCACCAGCAGCAGTATTTTCTCGACTCGAGGGCGACCAGGAAGCGATGCGTTGGGCAGCAGTGAGTGCAGCAGACGCCCGCTTGGGAAGAAATATCGAGTCGACAGCGCTCGACGGCGACACTGGAGGGTTTCTCGAGCCCGCAGCAGCAACTCCAGATCTCTTGCCAGGCCCAGAGACGCCTGGGGGCATTGATACGTCGTCCCGTCCAGCTGCTGGCGTGGCTGATACTGGCGTACAACTGCAGCTTTCCCGTCCCCCTTGCTTTGTCTGCGTCTGCGTCGTCGTCTTCTTCGTCCTGTTCGACTTGTTCGACTTGCTCTGCGTATTCAGGCCATGTTGTCCCAGCACTTGTACTGATGCCGTAAAGATGTGTCTGGTGGCTGCGGTGGTGGTGTTGAAGGTCAAGTTGTCACTTCTGGAACATCGCCTGCTCCTATTATTATTATTATTACTAGCAGCCCCTGGAAATTGCACACTCTCCACGACGGCGAGCAGACGGGCAGCCGGACGGGCGGCGGCGACGATGACAGTCTTTATATCCCTTTTTCCCTGTTTCTTCTGTGTTTCTTCTTTTCCTGGCATCTTCTTACTTACATTTTTTCCTGTTCTTGTCTTGCTCCCGGTTCTACCAAATCTACATCTTTGCTACCGACACTTTGATATGCCATATATATACACCATTAAACCCCTGAGATATGCATATGGATGTATATACGGCATTTACATGGTGTAAACAATGCGGGTAAGGCGGCAGTTCGATTGAAGATGGTATCCTGGACTGCGTACAAAGCCCGAATGTACGACGTGGTACCAATGGGATTTCATGTCTCGTTACATTAAGCCTTGATATTACTATTGTATATACATCCAGATAGACCCGGACGGAGAGGGAGAAAAAAAGAAGGAGAAGAGAAGAAGAGGAAGAGGAAGAGGAAGAAGAAGAAGAAGCGAAAGAACTCCGCGTCATCCGTATGGGGTGAGTGACGAAGGAGATTTGACTCCGGTTTCATTCTCACGAGTGCTCCAATCACTCATCACCTCCTCCCTGACTCCCCGGCACCACTGCAGGATGGCAGCATCAAAGCCCCTCCAGGCCTCCGGCTTGTCCCCGGTCACTACGCCCATCACGTCGACCTCCAGACGCATCTCCCAGCGTATCTCGGCCGCCTTGACCCAGTAGCGCAGGTTGTCAGCCATCCGGTACGGTTTGGCCACGTCTTGGTGGAACGTCTTGATCTCGCCAAAGGGACGGTACGACAGCTTGACGGCCTCGTTGTGGAAGCGTACCAGGTCCCGGCCGTCCCGCAGACGGGCCAGGAAGGCCGTGGGCAGCGCTTGGTCGTCCTGCAGTGCAGGGTCATCCCAGGCAGGCAGCGGGTTGGCCACCCCAGAGGGCAGATTCTGCAAGAACTGATACTCCCTCTCACGCTCTGCCGGTCCAGTCGCCGCTCGTCCAGGTCCAGCTCTTGCGCTTATGGCGTTCTCCTTCTTCCATCTTGCGCTCCTGGTCGAGCATGACACCGATGCCGTCGATCCAGTCGAGGATCGAGGACCGTTCCTTGTCCTTTAGTCCGCCGGCAAACGACCGTGACGCCCACCTCTTCAGCACCTCTAGTACAGACAGCAGCTCGCTTCTGATCTCCTTCTCGCTCTTGATCAGGGCCAGTCGCTCAGGGTGTTCATGGGCAGTATAGTAGATCCTCGCTGCTCGTATGGCCAGAGTGACCAGATCGAGTATATGCATCCCCTGTATCTCATCCCAGCCTTTCTGCTGCTGCTGCTGCTTCTTCGAGGGAGTCTGCTTCTTCTTTTCGTCTTTATTACTCTCATCTTCATCTACCTCCGCCTCTGCCTCTGCTTCTGCTTCTGCCTGTGGCAGTCCATCTTCCTTCTCTTCGTTCGTAGTTAGCTCGCTCGCCGCCAGCTGCTGGGCTGCCAGTTCATCCTTGCTCGCCGTCAGGACGTTCCTCGCCTTCTCCAGAGCAGTCTGTAGATCATGTCTGAGGGCAGTCAGGTCCGGTGGCGGCGGTATATAGTGTGTCTTTATGCTGTATGTGCTCACTGTTGGTGGCAGCATAAGCGGTTCATGTTCGTCTTCATCCCACCCAGCAGTGTCATTGTCTGCTCCAAACTCCCCAAACGCTTCAATGGGGCTCTCAACCAGGTCGCCGTCCAGATGTACCTCTTGACTGAGCGTGAGCTTCGGTACATCTACCTCCGTAGGTTTCTTCTTAGCCCTGGCCATCTGGGCTCCCTTCCCGTCCAGCAGCCCCGTCCGAGCAAAGTAGTACTGAAGGTGGGCAATGCTGCCTAAACTCATCACACTCTCCCGGTTCTTCGCTGACTCGGCAAACGTGGCGCCCTGCGGACGTACGTAGCCTCTCCTGCGGGAGCCCGTCGAGACAGACGAGAGAACAGACGACCTCGCATCGCCCGAGAAGTTCGAGATGGACGAGACGGTCGAAAAGGTGCGGCCCGGCGAGGGACAGGAGGATATGGCGGGCGTAGGCGAGAGAGAGGGAGACCGAGACAGCTCGCGGGCGACGCCTTGGGCATCTACACTCGGTATATCAATAGCTTCGCTCATTTTCTTGTCTTTTTTTTTTCTCTTGTTGTCAAAGATCTAATTCCCACCAGCAGATAGCAGTAATGGTAAACGACAGATAAAATCCTATTGATCAAAACAAACCACCAAAAGGGGCAAAGACAACGAGAGCGGCCAATTTCCTATCCATGCTAGTTCATCCAGGCGAAATCTCAAACGCATATCCTTGCCGAAGAGTGAGGAAGAATGAAGGAAAAAGTAACGTCAGCTAAATATTTAGTTTCATGTCGGTAGTTTCAGGGGCAATCCACTCTATTGGCCAAGCTCCGTGTTGATCTGTTGGATTTGATAGTCTGTTGATATCCGATAAATAGTCTTGAAGAAGGGCAAAGAAATCTAGAAGCATTTGCCTAGTAGTCATATATATATATATACTAACGTATGAATACAGTCAGAGGCGAGCGACCTTGTCCAGCAGGGCGAGGATGGCGTTGTTGCTGCAGCCATGTTGGGCATCCAGTTCCCTCGCTGCAGCCCGGGCTTTGGCCAGAAGCACTTCCACCGCCCGTCGAGTGTATGCGAAACTGCCTGTGTTCTCCATGTAGCCGACTGCATGCTGCTTGATCTCGTATTCGAACTCGCCCGGTTTCTGTGCTAGGATGTGAAGCAGCTCCCCGTTACCGGGCTGCGCGTGGATGCTGTGTACGACAGGAAATGAGAACTTGCCCTCCGTTAGGTCCTCGCAGAATCCCTTCTTCCGCGTGTAATCCAGGCTGGCCAGGTTCCTGTAGTCGTCTGTGATTTGGAAGATGAGGCCCAGAAGGTTGACGAGCGGCATGCAGTCGACTTTCGTCTCACACTCAGCCTGCATCAGCTTGATGGCCAGTCGAAAGAGGCCTCCCGTCTTGTTCGACACCATCTCCAGATAGTCGTCTTCGCTCGGGCAGCTCAGCGTGTCTCGCCAGAAGAGATCCATCCCCTGGCCACGGTGCAGCGAGAGCATCTCAGCGGTGAATATTTCCATCGCCTCTTTCGAGTGTGGCAGCTTCTGCAACTCCGCCAGCGCGAGGAAATACACAAAATTAGCCGAGTTGATCGTCTGGGCTACCCCGAAAACGCTGTGGGCCACTGGTCGGCCTCTCCTCAGCCTCGAGTTGTCCTGAATGTCGTCGACGAGCAGAGAGGCGTTGTGTAGCATGCGTATCACACCTGATATACACTGCAGGCTATCGGGTGACACCTTCAGCCAGACGTTGAACGCGCTCAGCAGCTGCGTTCGAAACTCCTTGCCGGGCTTCGAGGTGATGTAGTCGTATGGCCCTCGTATCGTCTGCTCTTTGTGCTCTGTCCATCTGTTCTGGCCGCGCGTGTCAATATCCTCCAGCGTTGGAACCTGGTCTGCTAGAGATACACATGCTTTAGAGCACGACTCGATCTTCCCAAAGTCTTCAGCCGGCTGGGCGATAAGCGTCATCATGCTCTGGGTCATCATATCGTAGGTGTAGTTATTATATCTTGACTCTTGATCGGTTCGTTCAGTCCAGCAGTGTCTGTTATGTGGTTGCCTGGGTATCGTGGCTGGTTTATATATCAACAGCCTAAGCATCATCAGCTGGACAGAAGCATCAGGCGGGCAAAACATCACACTCTCTCGCCAAAGCCTCTCTTTGATCGTTCTGGACTCTGATGTAGCCGACTTCGTCTATATCGACAGCCCATAAGAGGAAATCGAAGGAAATTGAGAATCCTTCCGGGAGGATTCTGTGTCAATCAGTGTAGGATCGTTGACATGGATTCATCATAAGTAGATCCCGTTTGGGATGCGTATTGACTCTGAATATGATTCTGATAGTTATATAGGATGAGACACAGCCTCCTCCAACTGTTCAGCTGGTTGATTAGAGATAATCCGGACAATGTTGAGTGCAGATTGTCGATGATTATAAGGCTACACAGTGACCAGTGTACCTCGCGAGTATTTCTATATAAAAATTAATATTTGAATCTTAATAACAAATCTTTTCGTAACCGAGATTCTTCTGACGGCCTTGTCTCTCTATATACCTGAAGTCATACATCATTAGCAGGTGAGAGAGTACACAATCTTACTGCTAGCAAAGATGCGGCAGTGTATATGGAGAAGAAAGCAGGTAGTTACATTTCCTGGCATCTCTGAACAGGGCTTATCAGACTAGGACTGCATGCTATCACTATATCATGCTGAGATAGTTATACTACAAAGGCTTACCATGGCAACGAATGTTCACGACATAAAGCCAAGGCAAAGTATTTCAAATGGCCTGGTCAATACGGTGTAAGCTTCTTGGAACCTAGAGGTCAGCATTTGACCATGGAACTGTGAGAGATGGCTTGCAACTTGAGATATATCTCCCTGCAATACTTTCTCACGGTCTATTTCAACAGATATTTTGCTATTTAGGCCTTACAGTTACTACAGACACTTGAGATTTACGTAGTCTTTGCCGCCAACAAGGGAGTTACCAGGTGTAGCCATCTAAATACTCTCCTTGGTGACATCCAGTTGAAGGCTACCCGTTTGTTACCAAGCACAACACTATCGGCTTTAACGTTATATAGCTCAAATGTCTTAAAGAGACTACGATTTTTCCTCGTTGAAGTTGAGCTCGAATAGGGCCTAACTCCAAGTAGATGTATGTAGCCTGATATTATCATTCAAATTGCTAGATTGTACTAGGCCTTCAACCACAAATGGCCATTCCTAATCCCCCACGCCATGGTCTATTATCCAATGCATGGTATGCTACGGTGCATAAATTTTTTCCAATACCTTGTATCCCAAAGCAGATATACCCAAAATAATACCTATATTAAACATCTCCATGACGAAGCTAACTGAGACTCAAATCCAGTCGGGTCACGGTGGGAGGGGTGTAACATTGCTTGATATTCTCCTGTTTTTTTTTTTTTTTAAAAAAAAAAATCATACACTTCACATCCAGTCAATGTATTTCATCAGGCTAGATTTCGTCCAACTCTTTCCAAAGAGCTTTCAAACACTTTGGTGGGTCGGGCATAAGCTTGTTCTGTGCCCGAGATTCAACTCGATCATAGAAAGGGGAAGCGAAGTGAACAATTGACCGTGCATAATCTGTTTATCCCCATATATATTGTCTACACACCATTAATACCAACATCCCATATCCTTTTTGATCTGTGTATCCGCATAAAACTTGCAGGGGGGAATTAGTGAATTCAAGTGTAAACTCGGCATCCTCGGCTCACCATCAGAACTCTACCCCTATAAACTAGATTGCAGGTCCAGAGAAGGTGAACGTTCTGTTTTTTTTTTGAAAGCTAACTAATAAATTTTATCACGTCAGAAGTAAACAACCCGTAACTAATACTAACGAGCATCCACTATTTACCAGAGTATTACTACCGTGGGATACACATTTAAATGGATACTAGAACTATCACATGGTTCATCCACTTGAGGCGATATGAATAACAGTATGTGTGCAGCAGTCAGAACCAACAATAGGGGTTTTCTACGAGGAACCCTGTACTAAAAGCAGGGAAAGCTTGTGTACACATCTTAGAATCGTACAGTCAAATAAAGGGAGCTCTTGTTTGCCTCCTACTTTATACATACTGTTGTCCAGTCCTCTTTCGATGGGCATTTTAAACTTTAAAGTTGCCGTTAAACCTCGACGCTAGACGCAGTTAGTGGATCTAATAAAGTAAATTCTCCACTGTTCCGCATTAGTTCAAACGTTAGTTAACTAATGTTATTTTTGTACAGGTTGAACAACCAAGGATTAAAAGGCTCTATTGCTAAATGCTCGCGGTTTCAAAATAATCAGACGTTCTATCTGAATTGACTAGTAACAGTTTCCTATATATTCTGATTTTCTAATTATCAGAAGCTGGACGCCCATTCTACATCCTTTGTTCAAATGGGCCGCCACAATCCGTCCGGTGCCAATATCAATATTATCTATAAAGGATTCAAGAGGGTGAAGTTGGCAACCATACAAACACTCCGAGAGAGAACCTAAAAATTTTACTTAGTTAATTCTCCGTAACGATTCTCTGGCCGTCGAAACTATTATATTTCCTACGGAGGTCTAAACTTGCCGAATTGACAATCTCAAAACAAATGTGACCAGTAGTCGATACATCCCAGATACCCAGCTGAGATTGTAGTCACCACCATTAGATACTCGAAGGGCCCTAAGAAAATTCATTCTCGTTTCTCACCAACTGTTTTAGGTAACCACGGCCACCCATACTATAATATTTATAGGACATATTTCGTTATGGGGTTATTAATTCCTAGCATATAATTTGTTTCTTAGATGGTTAGCAATATCAAAGTCACCATTAAAAATTTGTAAATCCTATAGCAAAGGATTTTCTGATTTCAGGTGCAGCCGGGGTGGCAGCTCTGGAAGAGAATCGACGTTCAGGGAACAGACTTGAATATAGAGGGAGTTGTTTTCAACCTTATTACGTCGAAGAAGTCAGCACAAAGACCACTTAAGGGATTCTAGACGAGACCGGAGGTCTATCAGGAGTATATGGAGTGGTTAGAGACCACTGCATAATACTCTTGTGATATTGTCGCAATATCCCAACTGCTGAGGCAGTGGTCGCCATTGATATGCCCCTTCGTTCCCTTCTGGCTAACAGTATTCTGAACTATGACATCTCTTTTCATGGGGGCCAAACTAAATGATCGGCGATATTGTATAAGGGCGGCCTCATTCAGTCTGACCCAAGTTAGAATAACGTAGGAGGCATTTATCAGGGGTTTAATATGATAGCCATTAAGGCAATACACTTACATGAGCCTAATACATCAAAAACGTAGATCTACTACTGCAGTATTTGCTTCGTTGCCCAGAGACCATCGTCAACCTGCAAAATATATGTTTCTATTGGCTAGTATAGCCTATATAGGAAATTCTAACCAATATTTGGGCCATTTAAGCTCCAGTAGCAGGAACAGACGGGGTGGACTCAACTCCAGCCGTCTCAGGACTCTCTCTTTTCTCAGGATCAGGAGCGGCGGCCGCAGCAGTTGGAATTTCCTCCTTCTTTTCATCCTTTCGCTCCTTTTTGCTTTCCTCCTTCTTTCTTTCCCACTTAGCGGGCCTAACCCACTTGGGGTCATGCCAGGGGCCGGCATCGGAGTTCATGCAGCCACCTTCACACTCACAGTTGCCGCCAAACTCCCTGGGCAAGTTCTCGGCGGGAACTTGCTTGAGTAATTCCGTCTTGTATCCAGAACTCAAAATATGAATTTTGCCAACGGTAACAGGATCAAGCCAACCCTTGACAACATTCCAGACCGTAGAGAAACCCCACGGGGCGTTGATCAAATAAAGCTTTCCTAGACGTTCAGGATAATAGTTTTGAGAGACTACAGAAACCTGGCGAACATAGGAATAGACTGAAGGCACCTTAGTAAGCGTAACACCCTTGAGATCCATGATGCTGCAACTGGTTTCGACAAGGGAACCAGCCTTTCGGGAGCAAGCAGGGAGGCGGGGATCGGAGACACGCTCGTACTCGACAGCCAAGTTGGTAAGCATGCGTTCGGCGGTGGTGATCTTGTACATGGCAGTCAGGTCAATGCCACCGAGAGCTTCAATGTATATAGGTCGGCCATCCTAGGTAGTATAAGACATCAATCAATGGTGAGAAAAAAGAGCTCTATCCTGAGGTCCAAACCTTATCCGTCTTGTGATAGAATTGTTTATAGTATTTTGAAACCTCGGGCTTCTCAGGATAATCCCAGAAAGGGAGAATCTCGTCTAGCTTGATATCTTTTCGCCACTTCTCGCAGTCAATGAACCTGTAGGTGGTCAGTAATTCATTCTTTGTCAGTTAATCTATCTATAGACAGACCAGAATATCCTTAGCCTTACATCTGCTTCGACAGATTAACGTCAAACTTGCGTGCTCGGAGGAATCGCAGCTATCATCCGACCATATATTTCATTAGCAAGTGTAGCTCTCACTCCATGTTTGCCCCCTCTCCTTCACCGATATTCTGCTGCCATACCAATGTCAAGGTATCCAGGCGTTCCGTGTATCCTTCAGCCTCCAGCAACATTCGTAACTGGTGAACCGAAGCAATCTGCTGTTCAGTCAAGTGTCCCGGATGTCCATCCTGCTGAGTCGCCGCCTCAACCGGGAAGTCATAGTCATCATATTTGGGATTCAAATCCATGGTAAGCTACTAAAAGGGATAGACCGAAAATTAAAGGAATGAACGAAGCTAGGAAGAAGTAAACCGAAAAGTTCTCTAACGCCGGAAGAATAGCTTTATATGCCGGAGTTTTGAGCTCTGGATAAAAAACGGTCGAAAGGTCAAAACGTTCTTTTTTATGTGTTTTTTTTTTTTTTTTGAGCTCTTCTTTTGCTTATGTAAGGAATACATCGGCAAATATATTTTCCTTCGATGACTTAGTCAGCAAAAGCTAAGTCGTTTTGGACAAAGCAATCTGTTGGATTATGTCATCCACTCTGGCTTGGACGTCAGGCCTAATCGCAAGCCAAATGATGGAGATTCTCTTCCTTGTTAAAACATTTGATAGATTTTGGTCGAGCCATGCAAGCCTCCATAGGTTAATGTATAAATATCCAAGGAGAAAGTACATCTAATAAACAGCAGGTCCTTCTCTGGTATTCCTCTTTTGGCGGTTAATTGTGACCATGAATGCCTATAAGCAGATGACAACGACTCGGTACTATTTGGAGATGGTCCGATACATACCCTTCCATCAGAGCTGAACTTATCTGGACTATTAGCACTAGCGGTAGCCCTAGTTACTTGGTGGATACTCCAGCGCTCACAGTCAGAAGTCCAATTCAAGAAGCTGGCAAACTGTGACCGAACAACCAAAGTCGAGAGCTAAGACGAAGTTACTTGTCGGCTTAAAGACTTTTATGTTTTACTAGCAACACTTTATGGGCCTCATTAGTAGACCTAGAAATACATATTTGTATCGTGCAACTCCCTATAATGAAAAAGGAGGATGCCTGACTACGATAAATACCCATGCAGGAGTCAAGTAAATGACCATAAAACGTTCAACTTCTATTGCTTAGGTAGTTAGGGGTAAAATTAGTAACATAATAAATAAACTGATTATCTCTGTATTCAATGTTCACAGTAATCATTAACCCTGACTTGGATAGACGATGGTAAGGTTGGTACCCACGCCTACCTTAGTTTATTCTTCATCCCATAACTAATCATTACAAATTTTATTATTACTTTCATCGGAATGACACGATCTGCATAATACTGCCAAACTAGAAAGACTTGTCGTATTTACATAGCGGTATAAATTGGTAAATGGCTGCTTCATTGTCAATAAATGTTGAATTCTAAGCTATTATATACATGGCAGATAGGAGGGTAAAATTAGCGGGGTAGCCGTGTAAGAAGGAATAAGTTGAAACCGAAACAGACCGAAAATGTATGGAAATAAAGCCTATTTTGCAGCACTGGTACTGGGCCATGGACTACACACTGCGATGGGGACATGTGGGTAAGGCATACCTTAACCATGGGTGGTGTACAAACTTGGCTCTCATTTTGCCTAGCCAAATAAACGATCTTCATCTTCATCTGTGAGGAATAAGCTTAAGGATAACATGGCACCGTTGCGTTTCAGTTCGGGGAGTGTCGATTCTCCCTCCGGCTCCCCATCTAGCACAAGCCTCCATAGTCCACAGAATATGGTGGCATAGTAGGATGGCCGACCGCCTTTTTCGTAGCTCTGTAGCGGTTCTGAGAAGGACGTGGTGCCTCCCAGTAGCGCAGGATTAAATCCGTTGCAGACAGAATCCGGGGTATGTAACACGTTATTCAGCACAAGCGTGTGGACTTCTGGGTTATTTGGTGTCCTCGGGACTTGAAGTTCAACAGTCCCAACGCCGATAACACGAACGCCTGAGGAAAGCGTTACTGCTCCGATATGGTCGTATGACTTGAAAGAGGATCGGTTCTTTGCGTAATTTACGCCGCTGGTCACCATCCAGTCGAAGCATCTTCGTCTTGGTGGGTTTCTTTCCCGATTTTCTTTCACCCGCTTTCTGTGCTCTTTGACATCACGCCAGTATTCGCCAATTTCACCCATGGTAATCTTAGCAGTGTCTCCTTTCTTGGCTGATCATTATGTCAAGTCCTTTAAAGTGACCATAGACCAAATATGAGGCCGTGGGGGAATATGTTAGTTAGGATATCGTGGTGGGCGTCGTTGAGTTCTCTGACTCTTTTAACTAAATGAAATATATCACAAATATATTTACGTAAGCCGATTTAGTCAGCAAAGGCTAAACCGCTTTTGACTCGAGATGGAGATTTGATAGATTTTGGTCGAGCTTTGCAACGTCCACAGGTACAAGAGCATAAGAATCTGAGGAAAAAGCACATCTAACAGCAAGCCCTTCCCTGGTATGCCCCCTATGAGAAAGCTGAGGCCGATGCATCAGCAGAAAGCTAACAGAAACACTTTTAGAAGCAACGTTGTTCCGTTCCGAACACCCCATGTCCATGCCAGGGTAATCAATAACAACAATATGTAAAGCACTTGGTGGCCTGTAGCCTTCCTCGCGATGCCGTTTATCAAGGTACAGAGAGTACTCCGTATTATCCAATACAATGGCAAATTTTAGCAGGGACAATACGCTTCAGAATCCGGAACTCGCACTACATCTCGCCGCTCACAAGAACGACATCATCAAGCTGCGGGCCCTCATCAGTGAAAACTGTGACCTGGAACGCGGGTCCTCCTACGGGACTGCGCTGCATGTTGCTATTACTAGCGACCAACCTGATGCGGTGCGGATACTGCTCGACGCAGGGGCAGACTCTGAGAAGCCTCCCGATTGCTCTAGCTACGAATGTGAGAACTCGTTGGTGCTGGCTGCGATATGGGGGAAGCGCGCCATCGTCAAGATCTTATGGGATCACGGCGTGGCGCATGATCTCCCAAGCGTACACAAACCATCACTCGACCATCTTTCAAACCAACGCAAGTCGGCAAAGATCCGTCTATCCGCGCTTAGTCAGGCCGCGTTACAGGGCTTCGACGGGATTGTGAGTGACCTTTGTGCCTGGCGGGCCATGGATGCGGATGAGATGGATGCTGCACTGTTTTTGGGCGCTGTGCGGTGGGAGGATGATGTTATCCAAGCACTTCTCCAGGGCGGTAAGGTGACACAGGATGGTCTCGATGAAGCGCTGTTGAGAGCAGCGTCCCATAGGATAATGCTAACAGAACGCGGTCTTGCGGCGGTTGACATGCGCCCGCAAAAGCAGGGGAGGGTCATCGAACTGCTGCTCGACGCTGGCGCAAGGATAAATATTCAACAACCTGTCTCGGGTAACACTGCTTTGCATATCAGTGCTTCTTCACCCGATACTGTTGGAGCAGTACGAGTTCTACTTGAGCGAGGCGCGGATGTACATATTAGAAACAAGAAGGGCGAAACAGCGATCGCAGGCGCCATGGTAAAACAGCGCCGTCCGCCTTATAAACAACCTCGCGAGATCTATAATACGGACGCTATTATGATGCTACTACAACACGGAGCCTCGGTCTTTGTTACGGATAACTTTGGACAGACACCAATGCATATACTTGCCTACTACGGGACATATTCGCTCTTCCAGCGTTGCTTAGATTACCACAGCAACCCCAACATCTTCGTTACAACTCTCTATGGCGAGACACTGCTCCACAGGGCAGCAAATGGGAACCAGGTAGAAATCGTCGAGAGGCTACTTGCTGACGGAGCATGTATCAACGAAACGTCTTCTTCAGGTTGGACGGCTCTCATATTCGCTCTCTCAGAAAAATTGGGGGGTGTAGAGATGCTACAAGTCGTCAACTTACTCCTTGACCACGGCGCGAAGGCCACAGATACAACCGAGGAAGGGTGGACAGCCCTACACCGTGTCGCCGATGTTAGTGATAGGTATCATGAAGGGGTCACAGCTCTCATAGACCGTCTTATCAGCCTTGGTGCAGATACTGAGGCGCGGGCCGTTGTGCCAGGCAATATAGACAAGTATAGGCCCGTGGGCTATCATCTCAAACTTTCTCTACAGGAACAACCTCCGATCGCCAGCGAGCAGACACCGTTACACTGGGCAGCAAGCAACGGGTCGGTCACCGTAGTAGAGGCGCTACTACGGCACGGCGCCAATCCCGTTGCGAGAGACAGTACCAATTCAACACCTGCACTATGTGCTGCATATGCACAGCCAGTCTACGGACGTGAATATAGTATAGCAAAGAGGCAGCAGGTTATCAAGCTACTACTGACTCATGGTGCGGGTTATGAGGATGAAGATGCCAACGGCAGGGGCGTCTATGGCTGGGCCGCTGTCAATGGATTGCCCCTTTGGTGGCCGGAATGGTAAGGAGAGTAATTTGACATGTGGGTTATTGCCCGACACACAAAGACAGCGGATGGACTTTATCCTCATATATACTTCGTACAAAAATATTCATTAGATCAAATGTCTGGTAAGTTTGGTGTTAAGTATACCCACCGTAGCAATAGAGTATTAATGTAGCATGTGTGTGACTCCATATATATATCTATATACATATCTTTTAGTAGAAGACGAAAAGTTTAGTTAATTATACGAGCTCCTTGTTACCCAAGGAACAAATCACAGTTCATCACGCTCTGGTGGCGGGTATCCCATGATGAATTCTCCATTGCGTAGGAGGAAGTTAACCCCATAAGGATCTCGGTTGTTGAGCACCGCGGACATCCCATTACGGCGGACGATATAGCCATAGTTGTTCGGGTCGATGTCTCCGTTGGCCAATGTGCCTCCGCCCTGTATAATAGCAGATGTACCTAAACGACCAGTGTAGCCGTCATTGAATAGGCGTCTGCCCCAGGTGTCTAGTTCCATATAGAAGGCTTGATCTTCAGGGGAAAGTTGTGAGGCGTCATGAACTGTTCCAATATACCATGCAGAACTATATTCGTCTTGCGGGCAATCGAACCCATCCCTCTCATTCTCATATCCTGTCTGCGTGACCTGCACTCGCCAGCCTCTTTCATGCCCACGATAATCTTGGGAATGAAACACAGTGATGTATGTAATGCCAATATAAGTACGGCCGCCCACGTTCCGTAATATCTCAGACTCCGGATCCATATGCAAATGGAAAATAACCCAGTCATCACCAAGCGCTCTCTCCAGGTCTCGATATCTGTTCAGCTCCGAATTTGAGTCTTGTACTCCAGGGGTCCGGCCAATCCAATATGCGAGTTCTAGGAACGGGCCTGCCGGAGCATTTGATTGTGTGCCCTCTGCCCATTCCCACCGAGCATAATGCAGTGTCAAGCGGCCAGAATTGACGCCATTCAATACAGTATTAATGGTGGGGGTACCAGGATTGGTGTCTATTGAAAACGTCAGATTATCGGATTCCTCTTTTATGAAATTCTTGGTAACTTACGCCGCGTCGGCCATACTACTATACGACGGCCCTCGAGAGTGGAATTTTTTGCCTTTCCTTCCAATAGACCACTGTCCTCAAGAGCTGGTTTGGCCTTTTTCTGTAAATGTGTGGGCCGCGTTGTCCTTTCACATATTATCTCCGCTATACTTCGATCTCGCCTTATTCCAGCTGCCGTGTTTTGAGGATCGTATAGAACCCGTTCGGCCAAGCCACGACTGTCGAGATGGCGGCTGTGTAAAAGTTGGCCTAAGCTCGAAGACTCAAGGATGGAGTCGAAGTGGACTATAAACTCGCTACTCCAGACGAGCCTGAATGGGACCATCTCTGGGGTATTTTTCGATAGAATTAGAGCTAAGTATGAAACGAGCTTTATCCAGTTGTCCATGGTGCAGTCGATAGCTCTCCCGTGCAGGATTTCGGATTCTCTTGCTTCTAGTACAAGAGATCGTTTCCTGGATCCCTCATATATTGGATGCAATGAAGGATGCAACATCTCTGCCGGACAAGTAGGATTCTTCACGTAACTGTGTAATGTTAGCTAGATATATATAAACACTTGGGCGTTCCCTTAAAAGGTAAGGTCGGTTAAACAGCCTGTAATTGAGCAAATAGAAACACTCTATCACTAGGCAATGCGGAGGATGGGGAGTTAGGACGAATGTTGAGATTTACATACTCTTTCAGCAATGACCTGAATTCCTTAATTTCACCCTCGGCAAAGATATCATCATCGTTGCCTCGAGGCTCCAATTTTGGAGGGGGTTTGCCTTTGCAGCAGTATGCTTGCATTCCAACCTGACAATCGCCCAAATGTATGGCTAGTCGAATCTGGTCCTCAGGGCAAGATGGTTCGCAGATGATTGGAGTCCCGTAGTGGTCAGTAGCTTTCTTGTACCATTGACAGTCAGTAGCAAAATCAGGAGGTGGCTCTTTGCAACAGTAGCTTTTTGAACCTTGGCTACAAGTCTGCTCCCCGCCGGCCCCAGCGCTTGCAGCGAAAACGAAATGGGGAAATTCTGTACTACAATCAGCATGTTGCCCCGATTTCGCGCAAATTGGAGCTGAGCCATGCCATTTGCAATCTTTAAAGGGCGCCACAGCAGTGCTTTCGTCGCAACACGCGCTTTGGTGTTTTGAGGAACAGCCCTCAGCTAAGGTGCCAACTTCCACTTCTCCCTTTTCACAACCAGGCTGGCAGGCGCCTGAGTTTCTATGTCCCCGCCAGCGACACTTGGGAATCTCCAGATCCCCAGGACAACAGAATACGGATTGCCAGCCTTTAGAAGTACCATGGCCTGGGTATATGTCGCATCCAATAGTATGCGTCATCAAGAGATCCGTCCCATCGCGAGGAACGCTCTTGAAGCCTTTAGGGCAGTCCTCAGAGCAATTTGTCCACCTGCAAAGCTTCACAACGGTAGCCTTTACCGGCGGTTCTTTAGAGGGCTGAGCAGTGAAATCAGGCCAGGCCCTTATTTCACGTCCTGCGGCCTTAACAAGTGCCTTGGCGTTGGTATCTTTATCATCGTCCTGGCTAATAGCCCAAACCATAATATTGCTGATGCATTGAGATCTTGCCACATTCAGCTTTATCCTCCAAGTTACCTCATCATCAAATGACGCCCACTGGTTATCCCAGCTAACAACTTTGACGGCCTCATTGCGATGAAGTTTCGGTGTTAGTCCTTTCTCTTTAATAATATCTTGGATTTCGGGATTGAGTAAAACTCCTGTAGTATGAGAACATTTCCCAGCGATTCCGCCAGATAGAGCACCACACTTTGGCTCAGTGCAGCTTGTACTTTCCATGGTAAAACTGCGAGAGTAGAAAGCCATTCCTAAGACTACCTTATCGGGATTGATGTTATTCCGCCATAGGAGGTCCAAGGCATCTTGAATCTCAGTCATATTGGTGTGAGAGTTAAGAAAGGAGCCCGTCCATTTTTGGCCGATATCCCAGGCGCCATGGATATCATAAGACATGAGATTGAACCAGTCTACATGTTTCTCTAGGTTGACGATATCGAAATGCTTAAGATCTGCAAGTCTATATTAGGATATGTAGGGAAAGGGGAAACGAGGTAAATGCTTACACCAGTAACTTGACGGTAAAGTTAAGGAGACCCCTCTCTTTTGGCCATCAGCGCTCATTCTATTTTTTAGGTTCTTTATAAAGGAGACAAAGTTCTTGAAATCCTCGTGACGGCCGCCGCGATCTTTGTCAACAGGATACTCCCTAATAAAGTAAGCGACAAACTATTCTTAGCCTCAAGGTATTAAAATGAAGTTAAGGGGCAACGTACCAGTCGATATCAATCCCGTCAAATCCGAAAGTATTCATCATCTTGACTAACGAGTCAAAAAATACTTCTTGCTTACTCTCGCTCGCAGTGAGGTCACTGAAGATAGATGCAGTGGGCCCCGGATCGTTAAATGCCCACCCGCCCACAGCAATCCAAATCTTTATGTCAGGTTGAATAAGCTTGATAGAAGATATGCGCTGCATAAGATATTCTGTATTAGAGTCACCGGGTTTGATTTTGAATGTTGCTGGGTCAATAGTCGCGAATGCAAAACTGCCACTATTGTTAGTTAGAGACTTATAAAGCAGGGTAACATAGACTCACTTCAGGTGGGTGTATACCCCATAAGGGATTTTTTCCGGTATCATAGAATAGCATGACCTCTCTGTTAAGGACCATCCTTCGTAATAACCAATGACCCTTTTGATTTGGGTGCTACCGATATCACAAGATGGGCGTTTGACACCATTATCTTCACCGCAGAATTCCTTCGTAGTTCCACAGAAACCGAATCTAGTAGATTAATTAACATGACAGGCATCTAGATGCAACTTCAGGGGTAGGGTCCCTTACTTGCTACAGCAAACATTGAGAGGACATGTTTCTGCGGTGCTCCATTTAGAGTCCGGCCATCCAGCATTACACTCGGCCTTCTGGTCGCAATTGTTCACGCAATCATCTCTATGTATTGTTAGCATTCTGCTCCGGTCATTTGTTTCGCAGATGGTCGTAAATGAACGAACCCGCAAAATGTTGGACCAAGGCCACAGTAGCCCGCCTTGCTACAACAGCCTATTGGACAAGGTACAGAGGCACTACAGTCTTGTTGAAGTGAGAGCTGTACGTGAAAAAGTAAAGTAAAGAGAGTAAAAAATGAGGAGAGCTTAGCCATCATGGCTGATGGAGCCAACTGACGGCTGGCTGGGTAGTGAGTAAGAGTGCACTGGATAGGAAAACAAAATGAGAAATGTCTATAAAACAAAAGCTAATGAGCGTAGAAGATATTAAATAACCCAAGAATATCAGCTCATCGGGTAAGGTGCACTTTTCCCTCGGGATGACTGTGCGCCCTTATGCAAGGGCAAGAAAGGCCCAGGCGATTGACGTAAAAGAACCTTGGTTATTTAGTTCCTTGAAGCTTGCAACTACAGGCACCGAAAATTAAAACTCTGATAGATGCAATAGCGGTTTAATCCATGTAGTTATTCGTATAGCGGAAGGTGGATTACTGGACATGTGATAATAATGACTTAGCAGGTAAGATATTTGATCGAGGCGACATACCTTGGAGTTCTGCCTGCTTCCCACCACAACTCTCTCGTTTCAATTGTCTTCTTAATAGAAATATCTTAGAAAGCAAGTACATTGCACCAAAAATATATTTCTCCCATTCCACAGCAGTCATGGCCGTTTTTGAAGGCTTGTCTGGGGTATGGACAGTTATTTTTATGTATCTCATTTGTTTCTTCAGTTTCACCGGTGCTACCAGCTTTCGACCACGCCATGGCCATAGCCACATGCTCGAAAAGCGTGGAACTACCCCTATGGGCTTTCAGCTCGCAGCAACCGGCACCTTGACAGGAGTAGGACTTACGTCTACCTGTGAGCAAGTTTTATACCAAAATATCAACTGCAATGCTTTCGTTTCGACTTTAGGGCAGAGAGTCTACCATGGCTCGTTACAGGATCCCTTGCTAACGGACTCTGTATGCATGCCTACGTGTGGTAATGCTCTAATGACGGCGCACAGACGAATCCTCGGGGCATGTGCCCAATCGCCAGAGCTTGCTCCTGGTTATCCTGTTGTTGCTTTGCTAGACAGAATTCACACTGGCTGGAATGAGACCTGTTTAAAGGACAATAAGTCAATGAAGTATTGTAATGGTAAGATATTTAATTCCATAAACTTGGAGATCGCATCACAGACATGACTGACACACTTACTTTGTTGACAGACATTATTGAATCCTGGCCCGCAGTTGAGGAGATTAGCGATATGCCACGAGATCAGCTTTGCTCATACTGCTATGGTGCTAAGCTTAGGCTCATGCAGCAATCACCATACTCAGCTTATGATAATTTGTATGCGGAAAGGCTCGATTTCGTGATAAAAAGTAGGTTGCTGTGTTGAAGTGTTACTGTCAGAATATTCTCTAACATGAGTATAGGCTGCAATCAACCGGATTCTCCAACTAAGCCTATTGAGAGCCCAGGAAATACAACCTTACCGGAAGCGTGCCATTCTGATAGAAAGTACGTGACCCAACAAGGTGATACTTGTGACAGTATTGCTAGTAAAAAGGGGGTATCTGCTGCAACACTTTATTATATCAACTCTGGCCTTCGAAATTGTGATAGTCCCGGTGTCGGTATCAACCTGTGTTTGCCGCAATCTTGCAACTCGACGTACTCAGTGAAGCCAAATGATAACTGCGTGGACATCGCTATCAGCCACGGTACGGGATGGAAGGAACTTGTTACATGGAATCCCGGCCTTGACTCCCTCTGTACTAATATTGTGGGTGCAAACCCATCCTGGGGTACATTCATCTGTGTCACACCTCCAGGGGGCGCTTATGAGGGCTTACCTCCTGGAAATTCATCGAACCCAGGCAATGGAAATGGTGGCGGGCCAGGGGGCTCCGGAGACGGATACTCAGACGATATTGTTCCCGCACCAAATGGAACTATCGCAAAGGGCACCACGGACAAATGCGGCAATTACGTACAAGCCCAGGATGGAGACAGCTGCGGAACGATTGTGATCCGTGGTGCAGTCCCTGTGGATCTCTTCGTTGATGTGAACCCCTCTTTGGAGTCTACTACAAGCTGCACCGCACGTCTCCAGCCGAGCGTCTGGTACTGTCTCAACCCATTTAGATATTGGAATACAACTGTGCCCGGGGTCTAGCGATATGTTAGTATAATGGACATGGGGGCCTAATTGGGCAAATGACACCTACCTAGATAGTCTAAGCGGTAGCAATCAAAAGAGGATCCTATACCAAGTAAAGATTCCTTGCCCCTGCTCTTCTGCTGGTATGTCCGTTGCGGGCCTAGTATATTAGTGGTAACAGTATACCGCAATGCCAGCTGGTGGCCAAGGCCCCGGGTTAAGATAGCAAGCATGAGGTGAGGCTGATGGTTGTTGGTTGTTGGTTGGAGGTTCGTACAAGGTTATTTAATGAATAGTTAAAGTTATTAGTAACAAGGTTGGGTCCACCGTGGGATCGGAAAAAATAACGAGGTACTTCCGGGCGGGTCTTCCCATGGGAGTTAAGGGTCTATAGTTAAATGTTATCTATGTAAATAATGAGACAAGGATATATAGAGAGAGCCGGGATAGATCAGCTAAAGCTATAGTACTATGTAACAACCGCATCTTTACGTAAAAGAGGGGCAAAGCTTCGGCCTTCTCTCTATACTACATGTCGGACTCTAGTTGAATCTCCGCGCCTTTACGTGAAAAAGGGGCGGAAGTCATTTTACGCGGAAGACTAGGCCTTCTATCAGACCTGCTTTTCGTCCAGGTTTACTGATTGCATTATTATCAATTGGTCATATGAGCAGTTAACATGCTATACCCCGGTACTCTTAGAACGAAATGAGTTCGCCACGAGTTTGACGTAGCATTTTCCAAGCTGACAGTGCGTGCAGCACTAGATCAAAGTGATGCGTGTTGACAAGGTGTATCGGATAAAACTACCTCACCCATACAAAGCAATGGTCAAGGAGCATGATATGTGAATATCAAAGACATAAAAGGGTGCATGTTCTCATCTCCAAGCATGTCAACCACACAGTCCGAGATATCCCAGACAAGTGATAAACATGCGCATCGCTCTTGTTCTATACAGCCTTCTGTGCGGCTCTGCTGCTGCCCGCTCCCTCTCTTTTTTCAGGGGCCAACGGAGAAGCGGGAAAACTGATCCCAATGCGCCTTCAGATTGCACCCTTTTCGACGATGCAGTAACAAAGGACTATGACTGCGGATACTTTGAGGCCACCTGGGGGATTTCACATCAAGACTTCGTGAAATGGGTAAGTCCGTAACTTCCTACATTACATTCCATGGCTAAGGCGGTATCAGAATCCTTCCGTGGGAGAGAACTGCGATGGCATCGTGGTTGGAAATTCCTACTGTGTGGAAGTCAATTACGGGCTGCCTCCAACGGGTACGTCCATGATGACCACTATGAAGCCAACGCCAACCGGCTCGCCTATCCCATCACCCACCCAAAGCGGCATTATCGACAGTTGCACCAACTTCTACCAAGCCGCTTCGGGTGACAACTGTGACAGCATCGTCAGGAAGTTCGGCACTTTCTCACTTGAAGATTTCTATGCCTGGAATCCGGCGGTGGGAAGTTCATGCACGGGGCTCTGGGCTGGGTACCACTATTGCGTGGGCATTCCAGGAACACCGAGTCACCCGCCAACTACCACGTCTGCGCCAATGACCACGACGACAATTCCTGCTGGGCCGTCACCAACGCAGGACGGTATCATCTCCACTTGCACGAAGTACCACAAAGCGGTCTCCGGTGATACCTGCTTCGGTATAGCTACAGCCTTTGGCACCTTTACTGTGGAAGAGTTCGTAGCCTGGAACCCGGCGGTTAAGAGCGACTGCAGCGGCATGTGGGCTGGTTATTACTACTGTGTCGCCATTCCAGGTACCCCCACTGCGAAGCCGACAATGACCACGACCACGTCCAGCAAAACGCCGACCCCGACTGGGCCTTCGCCGACGCAGGATGGAATTGTTGCGAACTGCAAAGCGTACTATAAAGCTGTGTCAGGGGATAATTGTGCAGTTATTGCTAGCCGTTATGGCACATTCACATTGGAGCAGTTCATCGAGTGGAACCCCGCTGTTAAACCTGACTGCTCCGCAATCTGGATTGGATATTATTATTGTGTTGGTCAGTTATACAATATCTACGGTTATGTCAGTATCAACCGCTAACTCTGATCAATAAAGGTATTCCTAGCACTCCTACCACACGGCCAACAACCCAAGCTCCAGCGCCAACATGTGCTACTGCACCCACTCCGACGCAGCCAGGGGCCTTGTGCTGCAAGAAATGGCACAAGGTAGTCAGCGGCGACAACTGTGATGCGATCCAGAAGAAATATAAAATTAGTGCGCAAGATTTTAACGCCTGGAACCCGAAGGTCGGGGCTACCTGTACCACGCTATGGGCAGGTTACAATGTCTGTGTAGGCATGTAACGGTTGATGGTATGAGCTGTTAACCAAGAATGTATACATCTTTGACCTGAAAGATATATTGATATAAATATAACAGCAAAGCTGGCACTTTTATTACACAAAGTGAATGAATTCTATATCAGAAGTAGTATATCGATGAGTAGTTTTCGACGTTGGTAGAGACGGAGTATCTCTATTACTAAGCCATTTATGACTAATCCTCTACTCGATCTCCTTGCGAACTTCACCTTCGCAACCAACAAGAAACAACTACTAGTTGATTATCTGCATGTTGACGATACATTACACACACAATGGCGAAGAGGGTAAGTAGGGGTAAGACTGGGTTATCCTATTCTGCTAACGACAATATGATGAATGTAATAGGTAGCATTCGAGGTGTATGGGCTCGTCCAAGGTATTTCTCACGTGGCTCTAAATACGATATTATTATGACCGGCGAGGAGCTAACCAAGTATACTCCGTACTCTATACCATCTCAGGAGTCTGCTTCCGGTATGATCAGTACAAGTCAAGACTCCTAATAATACATAATATATCCTGGCTGACAGATACGTTCCAGCGACTTTACTCAAAAACGGGCAAACAGTTACGGGCTAACAGGCTGGTGCAGAAACACCATCAACGGATCTGTGCGTGCCTAACTAGTTAGCTCGTGCATATTTAAACGCCAACTAATCTAGACAATAGGTTGAAGGCGAAGCCCAAGGAGAGGATGAGTCGCTCAGCAAACTAATGAAAGACATCTCTTCTGGTCCAAGCCACGCACGGGTAGACGGAGTTGACAAGACCGATATCGAACTTAAGCAAGGCGAGACAAAATTTTTGGTCGTCCGATAAAGAGGAAACTCGGGCCCGAGGGCGGGATTATTGTCCTACCTTCAAACCCCGTAGAGCTCTTGCTGGAGCTAGCTTTTTCTTTGCAAAGTTAGCGTTGTTGGCTATGCAGTGAGAAATGAGCTCTGTTTGGTTTGATGGAGGGAGACACGAACCAAAATATGGAGTAACCTACTATGTATGTATCCTCCAGCCTTCTTGGGCGTTTCAAGTGGGTTGGACGACAGGGCTATGAGAAGATAGTGCCCGATGGATCATCTGAAGCAGCAGAAATTTCTCTGAATCCTACCATTTATAGACGATGATTCACAGGGCTGAACTAGCTGTTTGGCTGGTATTTCGGGATTTTCCGGAAGTGGCTGATGAAGCGCCAAAAGTATGGAAACTTTTCTCGGGGTTCAAATCTTCGCTTGTCGCCTCTACCTGTACCTACTTGCTTTCTCTTCGTTGTTATGCTGACATTAGCCGCCATGTACGGAGTACTGCCTGTCCTTGTCTCCTCCATTTCTTCAACTGGTGAAAAAAACTGGCGGCAAGGCCCCCGGTTCCTCCCGACGCGCTTAAAGTAGCCCGCCAAGACATGCGGGTCTTTTCGGGGGTTTTAGCTGTGATTACCTAAGGCGCTTATTCATCTATGACCTCATCTCTTGTTTTGATTTTCTGCCCTCTTTTGGTTCCGAGTAGGGGACATCAAAAGTCTAGGATTCTGGATTTCTTATATCAAGGGCACCCGGTTCCTGGAGAGAAGTCAAATTCAATATCTCAATAGTATTCTCTTCACCATCTCAAGGACTATTACAATTTATCACTCACTACTTCACTTCCTACTCTTTTCACCTACTTCCTCTACTACCTACTCCCACCAAATGCACCCACCATCATCAGCTCCTCTTAGGGCTCTAGTACAGGGCTCTGGAGCCAGGCTCCTTTCGCAACAGTGTCTAAAGAGCAGCTTTAGACCATCATCAACCGTGGTTATTGGCCTTCGAAGCAACCCAGTTTCTCTGTATTACCGGGACAGCCATGACCAAGGAAGATGTTTCTCCACCACCTCCCCAGCAAGGTTGAAGGAGTTCTTTGCTGCGCCAAAGCAGACAAAGCGCATAATTGAGACCGAGTCGGCATTCGAACACCCTGTGTACGCTTATATTCCGTCTACCAGCAGCAAAGACACAACAAGAAACTAATCTAGTGACTGTTTAGCTTCACCCAAAAGCAAATGAAAGACATCATAGTTGCCCACCGGGAAACCAAAAACTGGTCAGACTGGGTTGCCCTAGGTACTGTCCGCCTCCTTCGATGGGGAACCGATCTGGCAACTGGGTATAAACACCCCAAACCCGGCGAAGCTGCACCATCCAAACACTTCCAGATGAATGAGCGCAAATGGCTTATACGTTTTGTCTTCCTGGAAACCGTTGCCGGTGTTCCTGGAATGGTCGGTGGCATGCTTCGACATCTTCACAGCCTAAGAAAGATGAAGCGTGATAACGGCTGGATTGAAACGTTACTTGAAGAAGCATACAACGAACGGATGCACCTACTCACCTTCCTCAAACTCGCTGAGCCAGGTTGGTTTATGCGTTTGATGGTACTAGGCGCTCAGGGTGTGTTTTTCAACGGTTTCTTCCTCTCCTATCTCATCTCACCACGAACCTGCCACCGTTTCGTCGGATACCTAGAGGAAGAAGCTGTCTTGACATATACCCATGCTATTAAGGATTTAGAGGCTGGTAAACTACCAGCATGGTCTGACCTCCCCGCGCCTGATATCGCTATAAAATACTGGAACATGCCAGAGGGACACCAGAAGATGCTTGATTTACTTTATTATGTCCGAGCCGATGAGGCAAAACATCGTGAGGTCAACCACACTCTGGCCAACTTGAATCAGAAGATCGATCCTAATCCTTACGCTGCCAAATACGAGAGTCCGGAAAAGCCTCATCCCACCAAATCCGCCGAGATTGTTAAGCCTACTGGCTGGGACAGACAGGATGTCATCTAGGCAGCTCCATATTCAGCCTCTTTTCCCTTGGTCCAATTCCTTGGTCCAATATACTTTATTTTCTTATCTTACAACAATAACAGCGCTTTGAGAATGTATCTTTATGGGTAAAGCGCAGGAGGGCATCGGAAATTCTCCATTCTTAATACGGAGTTCGGGAGATGGTAAAAGGTGTTCGATTCTTAGTGCATTATCTTCAATTCATATACTCCTTTCCCATATGACATTTTTCGGTTTTTAAGAAAAAACTTACGAAGATGTGATTATTTTGAAGTGTGCTCCAATACGCACCCGCATGTGGTTTCCCTATATATTAATCTCCAAGGGGGTATGGATGCAAAATTTGGCCATCTATGCCCTGGTGTCAGCACACTCATGGCCTTTGAAGTACGGAATCGGGACTCACAATATAGCGAAGCTTCTTTGCTTGCTAAAAAGATAAAGCTTGATGCAATCTCGCTCGGCTGGCCGGGTCGACCGATTTTAGAACCGGATCCAAACCCTTCCATCTGTTCAGCTGGCCGTGACGCAGGCTGAATAGGTGTATGTACCGGACCAGGTCTGGGCGTAATATATTAATACTGTTTCTTTTCAAATTGATAAGAAGAAAGTGAAACTAACGCAACTGCATTCACTCTGATACCCTTTGGCATAACGTTCTGAGCCAACGCCCTGGTGAAGCTGACAATTGCTCCTTTTGTTGAAGAATAATCAACGAAGGACCCCGAGCCACGGAATGCAGTGACCGAAGTGGTGTTAATTATTCTTTAAGAAATAGTTAGCATGCTGCAATTCCGAAGTTTGGCATGTCTAACTTACGAGCTACCCTTTTTCATATGCGGGATTGAAAACTTGGACATGGCAATCATTTGCAGAATGTTGCTCTGGAAAGTACTCTGCACAATGTCAAGGTCAATCTCTGAAAACTCCTGGCATAGTATCTGCTTCGATGCATTATTGACAAGGACATCAAGGCCACCGTATTTCTTAATGTGAGAAGCCACCGCGTTCTCGCAGGTCTTGTTGTCCATAAGATTTCCAGGGATAAGTAAACACTCTTTTCCTTCTCTCTTGACTGCGTGGGCTGTTGCTTCTGCGTCTTCTTGCTCTTCGGGAAGGTAGACGATAGTAATATCCGCACCTTCGCGGGCCATTAGGATGGCGACAGACCGACCGATTCCCGAGCTTTGAAAGTGCAATTAGCTGATGTTAATGCCAATTGGTGAAAATATGCATGACATACTCTCCTCCAGTGATAATGGCCTTTTTGTCCTTTAGCTTGTTACTCCCGACATATTCGACGAAACCTTCGCTTGACTCAAGCTTGGTTGATTCGCTAGTTGGTGCCATATGCTTCTCTAACCTAGAAGGAAGTGTTTAGTGCTTTTCTCCGTTAGTATATAGGAGGATCCCATCATTGGATGTCATACCCAGGCTGATTTTGTGTCTGTTTCTCCTTTATTGGTTGAAAGGTGCCACCTGAACCTGCTCCGGAGGATGCCATTCTGGCGTTAACAGTAGTTCCTTTTCTTAGAACTGCGACGTGGATCCCAGTAATGTGGAATTTATAGAGATTCAAGCCCCGGTTGAAATTGCGAGAAAACATTTGTGCTCTTGACACATGTTAGGCTAAAGAAGCAATCTCTTCCTTTTTATATAGCCAGGGTATCGGTAACTACGTAGATAATGACATCAGTGATGAGATCATATCTACCCGACATGTTAACACATGGAAGTTGGACAGCACAAATCCTGCTGTAGATTGACTGCAGCGGTAACATAGTAACAACATTTGATGCCCAGTTACTCATAATTATTGTAAATAATGTCAAGAATGGAACAAGCGAAGTTCTTCATCCCCGCGCTTAAAAGGAGTAACAGATTGCTGAATCGGGACTAACGCGGCGCTTGGCTTTCTGACCAATCACGAGACTTCCTTCTGCTTTGAACTTCATGATCGAATTGATAAGACGAAGAAGACGAAAACGAAGAAGACGCAGAACGCTCGCTGTCCTTTCGTTTTCAGCGCTGTTATGGGGCTAATATACTGGCTGCGGAGGCTGTACTCCCTCAATACCCTTGACACTCGTTTTACAGTCTCCTCAACGACTCCCCTAAAGGCCATTGCCCCATCTTCACATGCCGCCCCTGAATCGAGCCCGAGCGATGCTGATGGGAAAAGATCAGAATCAGTGAAAGCCGGAGCGCCTCCTTCAAGATGGAATACGGTCGAATTCTATTTTTACTATCTGGCTTTCCTTACTATAGTGCCGTTGATGTTCAAGGCAGTCATTGACATCTCGCAGCGTAAGCAGATCACCCATAGAAAAGGGGAAGAATGAACGTACGGTACGAATGCTAACATCCCATGGTGATTTGGTATGTAGCATCTCATCCGACCTATTCGAGTTACTCGAAACTGCTAGATCCTGGCTGGATACCAGGGCGCAAAGTGGTTAGTTGTGTCTCTGAGAATCCTGCATACCGACGGTTCTGACTCGTTTTCGTTCCCTGACAGGATAATTCAGATTCTCAATACTCTACCTTTCGCGATAACATTCCTTACATGACTATACTACTGGTCCTTCACCCGTGTCTTCGTCGAGTCTACGAACATGTCTTTCCCACAAAATTATCAGATGCCCCTCCAACAGGTGGAAAAGCAAAGGACGACGACAAACCCGAGGATGCTATAGCGAACGCAGATGCACGGCTAAGACAACGGGTGTCTTTTGACTATGGTTTTGGGATAATACTTATTCTAGCACTACACGGCATATCTGCGTTCAAGATTCTTACTATCCTTTGGGTAAATTATACGATTGCGACTAGACTCCCGCGAGCACAAATACCTATCGCAACGTGGCTTTTCAACATTAGCATCCTATTTTCAAACGAACTGCTCCATGGATATCCTTTGGCTGACCTTGCGAGAGTGCTATCCTCATCCAACCCCGATTCAGCACTCATAACCTGGGCCAAGTGGCTGGATGGCGTTGGAGGAATCGTGCCGAGATGGGAGGTCCTATTCAAGATCACCGTTCTCCGACTCATCAGCTTCAACATGGATTACTACTGGAGTCTGGATTACCGATCTGTAAGTCCTGTAGAGGTGCGTAACCTTCTTATACTTCACTGCAAAGATTCAAGATTTCTGACTCTCCAAAGAAGAAACAAATCGATCCATCCGCACTCTCAGAACGTGATCGTGTCTCAACGCCTGCACCACCAACAGCATATAATCCACAAAATTATGTGGCTTACGTTCTTTACTCGCCGCTCTACCTTGCCGGGCCAATCCTTACCTTCAATGATTACATCAACCAACAACATTACTCTCCAGCTTCTCTGACCAGATCTCGGACTGTTCTTTATGGAGTACGCTTCCTGCTCACTCTTCTATCAATGGAGCTGGTTCTCCATTATATCTATGTCGTTGCAATCTCCAAATCCTCCCCCGACTGGTTAATCTATACACCCTTCCAACTCAGCATGTTGGGATACTTTAACCTTCACATCATCTGGCTAAAGCTACTAATTCCCTGGCGATTTTTCCGGCTCTGGGCATTAATCGATGGTATCGACCCTCCGGAAAACATGGTCCGATGTATGTCCAACAATTACTCTGCCCTCGCATTCTGGCGCGGTTGGCATCGATCATTCAACAGGTGGGTTGTACGGTACATGTATATTCCTCTTGGAGGTGGCGGGAGAGGTAGATCTTCCACGAGCAGTCCTAGTGATAGTAGTAAACCGTCTCTACTTTCTAAAGCCCGTGGTGTCGTGAATTTCCTGGCCGTCTTCACCTTCGTTGCGGTCTGGCATGACATCAACCTCCGACTTCTCATGTGGGGATGGCTCATCACTCTCTTCGTCTTACCCGAGGTCATCTGCACTATCCTTTTCCCTGCAAAAAGATGGCAATCGCATCCAAACACGTACCGGGTGCTCTGCGGAATTGGAGCAGTGGGGAACATCCTTCCTATGATGGCTGCCAATCTCATTGGGTTTGCCGTCGGCCTAGACGGGCTACAGGGCCTGGTACACGGTATCATTGGCTCTTATTCCGGCCTTGCGTTCCTCGCTGCTGCGTGTGCAACGCTGTTTGTTGGAGTCCAGGTTATGTTTGAAGTCAGGGCCTCGGAGCTGCGGGCTGGTATCAAACTGAAATGTTAGTAATAATATTAATTTTAAATAGATTTCTTTATAGGTTCATGGATTCTATCCCCGCCTGTAGGATCACAGTTAACCCCGTTCTTCGGAAGCTGGCGGAAGAGCCATCTTGCGCTGGTGGGGGGCCACGAGGCGCAAGGTTCCACACTAGCAAATAAGCTTATCTGCCAGATGCAGGTACAAACTCGAGTCTAACCACGGCTCTGGTAAGGTAACAAGTGTAAACAAAGAGATGTCCGAGTTGTCTAACGAAAGTATGTACAATGTAGGATGATTTAAAATGCAACATTACACAGATTGAAACCAAAAAAAAAAAAAAAAAAGAAAGAAAGAAAAAGAAAGAAAGAAAGAAAGCAGGATAGGGAACGTGTTGAAATCTAGTCTTTCATTTCAATGCACTCAGCTGGACTCAGTGAAGCCCGCTCTCTCCAGTCGCAGCCATGTACTTCTGGCACTGAACAAGCATTTCCACCTGCTTGGAAACTTCTCCAAGACGCCCAATAACTTTTCGGTTACCATCTTCAAATCCGTAGATCTTATAGTCAATTCCAACTTCTGCAGCGAACTCCTTGACCCAGCCCTGGAGCTTTCGCAAATTGTGTCTTGGTACGCGAGGGAACAGGTGGTGGATGGCCTGGAACTGGAGACCGCCGTGTATCCAGTCAAGCCAGGCGGGGCAGTCAACGTCCATGGTGGTGCGCAGCTGGCGCTGGGCAAAACATTCAGCGACGCTCACATCGGAGGTGGACATGGCGAAGTGTGAAAGAGTGATTTGAACATGGAGGCCCATGGTGATGATGTGAGAGATGAGGACGAAGGCAATGCGCATTGGCCACGTTGGGATAGTGCACCAGAGTAGACAGTAGCCGTAGAGGTACCAGTAGCAACTCATGAAGAGGATTTCAGTTGGTTTGGTCCAGGCGACTGCACCAAAACTGGCAGAGCGTGGGGAGAGTAGATGCATCCAGGAGAGGAGCAGGAGGTTGAACCGTGCTATGGCCATGATTGGATAGTAAGAAATATGCTGGTATTGGCCGATGATATTGGCCGCTTCATCCCAGACGTAGACGAAATCATAGTATGTGGAACGGAGGGACTTGAAGAAAGACGGAGATGTGGCAAAGAATGGGATATTCTGGATATCTGGGTCATGCTCCTAGAAGAGGCGTCAGTTAGTGCATGCTGCATGCTGCTAAGATGCGAAGCACTTACAGGATGGTTAGGGACAAGGTGGTGGACATTATGGCTAGATTTCCACCAGCCAATCGATAGTCCGCAGCAGAAGTCTGCTATAAACATGGCAATGAGAGTGTCGATGACAAAGTTGTGGGTGATGGCTAGATGGCCGCCATCATGCGCAGTGAACATGATCTGGTGCCAGAACAGACCAAGGAAGACTGCAGAAGGAATATACCACCCTTCTCTGAGTGTGATGACGAAAAGGCCGAACAGAATGGAGTACCGTATCAGTTCCTTTCCATACTCGATGTAAGGGCAGTCGTATAATCCGGCATCCTTGATCCTCTGGTGCAGCTCCTTATACTTGGTAGCAATGCGACGCTGCGTCTCAGGATCAAGGGAAGGATAGTTACGGTGGTCATCGTCCAACTCCTTTTGTACCAGCCTGTTTGTATATTCTTCCGGCGTAAGATGCTGGTCCTGCATCTCAGCCTTGCGTGAGACTGTCCGTCTCCTGGCACCAGCCTTGACTGCTTCCCGAGTCTCCATAATATCTTCCACGCTGGTGACACTTGTATCAGATCTAGGCGACTCATCGTCCGAAGAGCTTGTGCTAACATCATCATCTATGGTAAAGAATATACCTCCCCGAATAGGAGGCGTCATGCTTATCCAAGGCCCTTCGATACGACCAATTCTATATTTATCCATGCTTGCGAGGGTCTTTTCGGAGTGATAGCTGCGATAGTAGAATGTCCCCCAGAATTAGCCAATACACTCAACAAAATGCACACATTCCCCACCAGTACTTCGTACCAAGCAGCGTCGCGCCTTAACTCACCCTACCTAATAATGGCCAAAGGGAAAGGCCAATTGGGGACATATTGTGAGAGATAGAAGGGAATTGTTTACATATTAATTTCATCCGTGGCGTCTCTGCCAACCATGTGCTTGACAGCCAAGCGCCCTCCAGGATGATACTGAAGCCATCCGTCAAGTCGAAGGACTCGATTGTCTGCTATCACGATGGTCTGGCCACGAGCAATGCGGTCCTCGATCTCACGGGCAGAGAAGATGCGGTTGCGATTCATAGTGAATGTGTGAATGTATGAAATTGCTGTAATGCTGTAATGAAAGTGTAAATAAGTGAAATTTTTATGCCACCGTTAACATTCCAGATGATTGAGAAATTAGAAGAAAAAAAGGAACAAGAATGAGAAAAAAGTCCTTTAGAACAAAAGAGTCAGCGAGTGAATGGCCATAGTATTCGAAGGATAAGTCAATGCCAACAGATGGCCGTTTTGTTCAAGTGCAGCTCCAAGGAATAGACATGCTACTGAAAGAACCTGTTTAAGGAGACAGCAATTCTCGAAAAGGAGCGTGGTGGCGGGGCCAGTAGTTAAATATCAACTGCTAGTCAACGGCTAGCAGATTTGAATGATGCTCCCAGAAGCAAAGAAGAATGGGAGAGAGAAACAGCCCTGTCTATCTTGGGGCTTGCGTGTTCGACAGAGCAGGGTCCTTTAACGAGCCAAGCAAAAAGAATTACTTTCCGCGAGGGAAAGGGAAGTAAAAGTTGAGCCATGGCAGACAGACAAAGAGACGAGAAGTCTGCCTCTCTGGCCTTTCTCACCCTTCTCTTTCTTCCCCTTGCCACGCGGCATACAGTAGGCTGTTTTATTTTTGGCCGCCCCCTGATCTTGTGCGGGCGAGAAGAGACAAGCCAAGCAGGAGTAAGCCGCCAAGCAGAGGCGATAGTGAGAGTGACAGGACAGGATATCCACCTGCTGGCGTTGGAGTTCTGGTATATCACACGTTATACTGACCGTCAGACGGGATGTTGTGCGGTTGGTCTCCCGATACGACAGGAAATGAACCACTGCATAATGCAGGGTGCCAACCATCCCCATATTCGATGCTTCCGTAGCCCGTCGACTTGAAAAATCTGCGCGAAAAAAAAAAGAAGCATAGAAAAAAGAAGCATAGATTGGGGGGAGTGAAAAAGCCATTCGATCCACAGTGGAAGCGATCCCCTTGGCGGTGGGCGAAGTTGACCCTGGCCGCGGATAAGTGTTCAAAGTTCTAATAATTTTGCGATCAGGGTTGTTAACAGAGGGCTCGAGGCCGGCTTTATACATTGACAAAGAGTTTTCGCAAACGCAGTGCATCGTATTCTTCTGTTGATAATATCTTGCGTAAAACCTGTACGGAAGAACACGTATCAATGCGCATAAGGGCGTAGATGTCTAATCTGTAGTGAAGAATCGAGTTTGTCATGAGACTGATTTTTTCGTTTCATCAATTGCGTAGGCCATGGATATGATTGTGAGACCGTCTTGCTCCAGATGACATGTTACAGCCTACCGTCATTGTACTCTGAAGCTGGTGATTATTAGCCCAACGGATAATACCAAGCATGGTGGATTCGTTACTTTTTCAAAAGCAAAGGGCCATAATAACGAAGAGCCCAAAGAAGTTTCAGCCAAATAATATTAGAGTCCATTCCAAGTTCAAAATGACGGCTTTGGATGATTCTGCTAGAAGTGCAGCGATGAGACAGAATGAAAAGAAGCAACATATATATTCAGCCGAGATTTAGTCGGCTAGTCATACAAACTGAAGAGTTCGGAGCAAAGAGATAACATTATAACCAAACTACGTCAATCTGCAGTACTAGATGTTTAAGCTAATGACTTCTGGCAATTTATCTTCTTTACAGACGAAGCACACTTTGCCTCTGCAGCATGGTTGAACACATGCAGTCATATGAGCCGGCCATGGGCAAGTCGACTTCTACATCACAGAATATTGATTTACAGGAGGGAATTTCACAGCAATAGCGGAATAATTGGGCTCGTCGTATTCACTGCACTCAGCAATAGCTAATTGCATCTGCGACTCCGCTTTTGGTGTTGATTTCTCTATAGTATTGATGATTAATTGTGGTGGTTTGGTCATAGGGGTTTGGGTCAAAATCTACGGACAAAATGGTCACGAGCAGGGATTTCGGGCAATAAATTCGCGCCAGGTTGCATCGGAGAATACGTTGCCTATTTTCTTGTGTTACACTTGGGACAGGTCGGATTATGGTCATAGAGAAAATTATTATCTCGGCACGTCGTGACACATTAGTACGGCACTTGTTTGCTATCTCAAGTCCTAAAACAAATTGTAAGCTTGTGCTCCATCCCTTGAATTCCCGAGTCTGTGATACTTGATGACCGTGGTCCCACCATCTAGGGCCGTTGACTTTGCGCACGCGCGTTTCGAGGAGGGTCCCGTCGTGTGCCATCAACTGTATCATCGATGTACGCTTTGCTGGAGCCTCTGAGCGCAGGTATTTGATAGCGGATGAGCTTAGGTAGTGCCTTGAGTGTGACCTCACTGATGAAGACCTGGTCTCCCTCAATCGACATGACCTTGAAGAGTGTTCCAATCATAACGCTTGTTTGCACTGCCTGCAAGTTCGAGTTTAAAACCGCTCGAATGCTCTTCGGTGTATTCTCTATAAGCCCTTCCCAGAACCCTCGATCCATAGCTTCGAATGCAGGCCTCTCGCGAAATACCTTATCGACAATCTCCCCAGCTAGGAACTGAATGCAGTAGCAAGCAATACCAAAAGGCTGCGGGTGCGGAGATAACTCCCAATCAACAACACCCGTTATCTCCCCACTTTCTCCAACCAGGATATTCATTTCGTTCAAGTCGAGGTGGCCTAGGAAAAGAGGAAGTGTCTTGAGAGCTGGCGCATCCTCAATTAACCTGTCGATAAATGGAAGAAATGATTTCACATCATCTCTCTCTAATGCCCGAAGCTTTCGAAGGTTCGGGATAATAACATCATTAACCACGTCGCTACTATTGCCAGGGCTAAAACAACGAGCAAAAAGACTGCCCAGGGACTTAGCACATTTGATGCGCTGTGTATCGCCCCACTCGTTTTCGTACTCTAACCAAGTCTTCCCTGGAATGCGCGTCATGTAGAATGGCCATATACCCGCTTCCACCAAGTTTGGGTCGTCAATGGGCTCGATGATAGGCACCTTTTCGCCAAGAAGACTACGAGCACGTGTGAAGGGCTCAGTGTCCAAAGGTTCGATTCGGAATTGGATTATGATATCTCGGCCATCTTTGAGCGAGACTTCGACCGTTCTGCTAAAACACCCTTGAATTTCAGTTAGTTTGGCTGTTTCGGTAGGGATTCCAACATGCCGAGTTGCAAGTTCCTTAGCCCTTTTGATTTGCTTTTCTGCGCTATTTAGGTCTTTGGGAAAATCCGAGTCCGACATGGCGGTTACGCACTCGTCTAGTGAGTGAAGATTCCCTAGAAGCTTGGACGAAAGAAGAAGAATGGGCACAGTTGTCTTTTACAGGGAACGGACGTTGATGCGCTGTAGCCTTTCCGGCCTTGGCCACCTTTGGCCTAGTGTTCGCATACTATTTCTGTCTCCGCCCCTGTCGAAGATATAGAGCTAGTGGGAACTGTATCTATTGGAGGTTAGAATGCTGAGATGAGCTGCCTTGCGCGGTTGACGATCTCAAAGGCCTCAGTTCCGGCAAGAAGAGGCTCTCCGTTAATCATAAGTCCCTCTTCCGTCGCCATTTCGGTCTCATCCATGTGTCTCTTAGGTCTTTCGTGGTGCTTGCCGCTTCGAGTCTCAATGCAGCGAGTGAGGGAAATGATCTTGTCGGACAATCCGTTCTCGTTAAGCGAATCGTCTGGCTCATACTTTGTAACTTCGTAATGTTTGCCGCTTCTGGTCTGCGTGCAGCGAGTTAGCACAGCAGCTTCGCGAGAGTCTCCAGATGGCATAGAAAATCCCCAGTCGGTAGAGATGCTACTTTCGGCATTTGGAATCCAGGTTGCATCTTGAACCAAAACGGTTGGGGCAAGTCTCAAACTCGTGCAAGAGTGTAGGGTTTTGAGGGTTCTTTAAAGCAAGAGCAAAGATGTTTTGAAGACCAAGTTCCACAGTAAAATTCGAAAAGTGATTTAAAAAAGAGCCATAGCTTGAGATGTCCATGGTGGGATCAGTGGTGTATTCGTAAGCTAATAGTTACGGCCCTTGATTGTCTCGTAGACCATGACACGGCCTTCTGGAACATCGAAATGCTTGTGGACCAAATGAATTGAGAAGATATCTTGGAGCCGATAGGAGGAGATGATTCTAAGAAGCTTGTTTTTGCCCTCGGCATGTTTGATTGCAGCTTCTTTCATGTCGTCGATATGAGGGAGAGCATTGTACTGCTTGACAGGCAACGGAGATTGGTCAAGGAGCTGGAAGACATTTTGACGATGTGGCTGAAAGAAAGCTGGATTGACTGCGCCAACTGATTAACATGACCGGACTGTCAGGTTGTGGATAAATGTTCTCATGGAAGTAATGAGAGAGAGGAAATGCTCACAGTTTGAATTGTTCAATATTAGGTTTGAAAGCAGGAAGTAGCTGTATAACTTTGACTTCTCAGTGATCTAGCAATTGTAATGCTTTAGTGGGTGATACATGTGCTATTTATGCGTTCTCAGAGCATCTTCTTTTCAAGGCTATCAATCGATACCTGCCTATGACACCCTCCGACGCGGCTTCTTTGCTTTGACCCATGGCCGCTATAGGCTGGAAACAAAGCCGGATTCTGTCCCCATCCCTGTACCTCGTCGCTGAGCCCCTATAAAGGCCTAGATCATACCCCGAGGCTGCCCGCCCTACTATTTTGGGGGACCCTTCGTCGGTGACTTTTGACGTAGTATTGCAGAGGAGAAAGGCGCCGTACGTAGTTAGCCTCGCGTTTTGGTTGGTTGAGACGCTAGTCATTTCATGCTACGTGACCGGGTTACAAACACTGTCGTTGCTTGCTACATACTCCACGAGCGAGGGTTAAACAAGGATATTGCATTGCATCACGACAGGCTTGGGCAATATATACAACAGGGTACTCGGCAGAGCTTTCCAGGACAGCAAAGTGAGAAGTAATTAGATAGCAGGGAGCAATATTTAACTAAATAAATAATAACTAATATAACTTATTTCAACATGAAGAAATCAAAGTAAAAAAAGTAATATTATATCCGAGCTACGTAACCTAACAATGTGCAGTATTATAGTACTGGGCGAACGCGTGCTACACTTCCAACACCTTCTTTCTCCAATCCATCACACTGTCCACAGCTCCCTGGGGGTCAGATTTGTGGCCTGACAGAAAGCCCTGGAACTGGGAAGGTGAAATCTTGTAATCAGGCAGATCTGCTACCGCTGCATCTGCAAGATTCTCAAGATTTTCAAGGCCTGGTACTTGTTCCGCTTTAGAAAAAATTTGAAGAAACATTGATTTGAGTTGCTGCTTTGTCGCGAGAGTAAAAGGAATGGTTAAGTCCACGCGTCCGGGCCGAATTAGGGCTTCATCAAGATGATGGGAATAATTGGTGGTCATAATCAGAATTCTCCCTTCAGCCGACGCTGGGCCATCAATCGCATTAAGGAGTCCAGATAGGGAGATTTGCCTTTTGTTGCCTTTATTTTCCGGGTTCACTATAATATCTCGCCGTTCAATATTTGCACAGTCGATATCTTCAATTAGAACAAAACATTGTTTTGGTAGGCAATTTAGTAAATCAGCCAAGTCATCATCGGTAAGAGACGGGTCCCCTAAGGACATGCAGTATATATTCAACCCAAAATACCCAGCCATCGCGCATGAGAGGCTTGTTTTCCCAGTCCCAGGGGGACCTTCTAGCAAAATGCCAAATCGATAGGGGATACCACGTTGGGTATGCCACTCCCGACTCTTAAGGAATTCTTCAGTACAAGCCAGAACCTTATTTTTATTCTCTTCGTTTAGAATAACTGATTCAATGGAGCGAGGCAAGCTGGTATTAACTGCCCTCCAGGGTAGAATCTCTCTTGCCTCCGCCCGTGCTGGACGAAACGTAGTGATTTGGTTGTTCTTTGAGCGACAGAGGGTCTGAAGGAAGTCATCGATAGGCCACCCTGGCCAGAGCGTGCGTAGTGTTATATATTGCCTTATAGTCGTACCATAAGGAACATGAAATCGAGAGTATTGAATCCACCACCCACGGTATACGAAGAAACACGTCCTTCGGGGGCAATATTTAACCATAACCCCAGGTTTTTTGCTGGTATCACGATTGAAATCGATATTGTCTGCCTCTATACGAGCTAGGACATGATTGGTAGCCGGGTTTCGCTCCTCAAGCCATTGCTGGACGTTACAATAAAGTACATCCTGCGTCGGTATTTCAACTGAAACAGTAAGGAGGTCCACAATTGTCGAGGAGTAAGTCCAAAGGGTTAAGAGTAAAAAGCCGGGTAGAAGAGAATAGTATAAGCCGGGGGTGTCTAATTGTCGTCGAAAGGGTAAGAGATATGTAGGGAGAAACAAGTCTGAAATCGTCAAGACTAGGCCAGCAAGGCTCGATGTGGTGATGTTAGCCTCCATTTTCAGCATGTGGTGTTGTTAGTTGAAAGTTACTTGCTTCGACGTCTGTCCCTGAAGGAGATGTTGGTAAGTTATATATCTTTAGGATACTGTAGTTATTAAAGCCATCACCTCAAACATGGATGCTCCTATCCGTCGCATGGCCTTATGATACATTCAGTAATTCGCAATTTTTATCTGGACGTATCCACAAGGACCACCAAAAAGAAGGAAAAGAAAATGTCCCCTGTGCTTGAGCCAGAACTGGTCCTCTAGTCCAAACGAGTAATTGCCAGCAAATCCTGGTCGAAGACAGGCTAGTTTATATACTTTGGTTAAAATCGGTTAGCTATCAAATATCCTCGGAGCCACAGTGTTTTATATAGTAATTGGCAAATAAAATAGTAACTAAAATGTGTAGTGGTCGTTGTTTACTATCGTTGGAGCCTCCAATGCCAAGAAGATATTTAGTTATCCAACTAGTCGTTATCACGAGATCAGCCAGGTGGATTTGCCCCTCCTAAATAACAAGCGGTTAAAAAGGCTCACGAAATATGTCAAATATGAGCAAGAGCAGCGTATGATGATTGGCTGAATGAGTTTGAACGTATATATAGGTGTAAATGTACGTATATTGGTGAGCTTGAAGAGCTTAGGTGCAGGGTATAAGTCTCTGCCGGATGTAACAGGGGCAGTGCACGTGATCTAACTACGTTGCTGACTAAGTACAACATTTGACAAAATATCATCACTGAAGAGGTATGGGAAACCACAAAAGAAAGTAAATATTCTTAAGGCTAGCTATAAGTTCGAATCCGTTGCTGATAAAACTACAATATCCCACTAGCAGTTATGGCATCGCTCAAAGAATATGCTCTTAAAGCCGCCTCCAAAGCAAGATCACACGTTCTCACACACTCTCATAATATCTACCCATGGCTCTTCGTTCGCAACTGTGAGGAAATTGAAGAAGTCTTTATCAAATGGCTGCGGGTTTGTTAAATAAATCCCCTACATATAAAATATACTAACTATCAAAAAGGATCGAGCAAATCTTGACCGCGTCTCAGAACAAACCGGAACACGGTTCGCGGAAGATCCTTTCAATAATCTGGTGCAAAAATTTGCAATTGTATGGACACAGAAAACAGGCAAACTTGAACGCCCGTTTCCCGGAAAATACTTGGTGATTCTAGCACTGGATCGACTGGATTCGGATAATGGACTTCCAATACTTCAAGACAAAAGTGGCCTCCCTGTGGGATTTCTAGACCCCGGTGATTTTGTTGTTATATCAGGCGATGATACTGTAATCCTAGGAGATGGTTCCGGGGGAATAACCTTGTTTATTATACTAAATTTCTCATAAACAATTTAAGAAGATTTCATTTTAGACATAATAAGGAAATTGGGGTGGAAAACATGGATTTAGACAGAGACCATAGGATTCTGATAACTATATGCCCATGCGGGTATGGATGAGGTTGGCAGCTGCTGTGTTATATCGCCATATGCCCAAGCATTGGAGGCATACATAGGAGATGGCTGCTCTGTGCCATGGCTATACGCCCATGAGGTAGAGGCATTTATAGACGGCTGCTGTTCTGTGTCATGATTATACGTCCATGTATCAGAGGCATACATAGACGGTAGTTGTTCTGTGCTGTGGTTATACGCCCATGTATCAGAGGCATACATAGACGGTAGTTGTTCTGTGCTGTGGTTATACGCCCATGTATCAGAGGCATACATAGACGGTAGTTGTTCTGTGCTGTGGTTATACGCCCATGTATCAGAGGTAAAATATTGAGGCACAGAAGGTAGCCGCTCCGCGTCGTTGTCATGCGCCCATGTATTAGAGTCAAATATCAGCTGTCTGTCAGATAAGCTGGGCAGCTGCTGCATGGTATCATGGTATGCTACCTGGACGGGTATTTGCGTAACCATATAATTGATTATAGCCTGGGCAACGCCATGAGCACCGATTCGAATAGCCTCAGTATTAATACCTTGTTCTTTGAGCTTTTCAATTCTCTCCAAACGTCTTTCGCCATCTTTCGGTGTTTTGTGTTCCCAGCTATTCGTAAATTAGAACGAAACTCGCATTCTTTGCCTGGGGAAAACTTACACTGACCCAGTGTCGGGAAGAAGGAACAGGTTACCATAGCCTCCCAATTCTAAAGCAAGAGACTTGTATTTATCCCCTTTGCTAGCCCAGATGCCTAGATTCGTCTTGACCTCTTCAAGGGTAGAATGAACAATGCCGGAGTGCTGAATAGTTGCCGCATAACTGTCAAGAGTGCCACCTCGTAGTCGGCAACGCTCGAACTTTTCCTTGATTAAAGAGAAAACAACATAAAGAAGCCTTAAACGGACATAATCGCTTTTGTGATGTTCTTCCGTTTGAGCCAATATCCCGTAAATTTTACTTAGAGGGCATTGGCCCGTATGTATAGAATCCAGTGTAAAGAATGACGATGGGTCTACCTTCCACGCCTCAAAGAAAGGCAGAAGTTGCGCGGCGAGGGTAATTGGCCGTCGATTTCTGTTAAGGCGCGGTGTTTTTGTAGCCGATCTAATTCCAGCTGGGAGAGCTCTATAGAATTCAACAACACATGTTGTGACCTTAGAAAACGTTAACGATGATCATTTATCAGTAAGCGGTAAGGAACTTACGTGGGTATTCTGAAAGAAATCAAGATCAATCTGGGAATTCCCCAGTCTTTCGGCATCTCTGTAAGCTTTCGTCAAGCAATCTGCTAGAGATTTTACCACTGCGGTATTCATTGCAACCAGATCATATGAGAGGAATTTGTGGACTGAGGAAATAATAAGAAGGTCAGGGCTTTCCTATAGCTATGGGGTTAACTTGTAGGTTTTTCTTTCATGCGTCGAGAGGTCATGCAGCCCATTTTCCTAGCGTTCCATCAAGGGTCGCAAGCTCAAAGGAGACCCATTCATACGATAGTTACTTTTCCATGCGTTAGCGAGTTTGTCCACTCTGGGTCAGCTTTAACTTCCCGTTCCTTGAGCGTTGATGGTATGGAGTTTATCGAAGTGATGTTCGAACTCATTTTAATGATGATTATAAGAGAGCTCACCACACCTTCGGTTTGGGCTCCTCTTTGCCTGTGCTTGGCCCTGCTTAACTATACAACTGATTCAATTTTAGACGTGGTGACCCAGTTGATAAATATGCCTAAAATTGATTTTCTTACTTGGCAATGCTTCCCTTGGTTTCAGTCTCCCTCTCCAGGCGATAGCCAACACATCACTCCAGATCGAGACGGATATTTCGCGGATCTGAGTTTGCCCAAATTCTGGCTTTGTTTTCTTCCCAGCCAGCAGAAACGCCCTCCTCTAGATGAATCTTCGCATATAGATGGTCAATACATCACCCCCGGTACTATGTGTATGACGCACACCGCGCCTAAACCAACAAATTTGAACGATTACTTCGAAAACGCACAGCAGACGCTAAGGCATGGGGTTAGTGGTCCCGCTAGAGGCGACATAGAGGAGCATAACGGCCAATGTGGCATATCATCAACGAACTCGAGCCGGAATCTTTATCATGAAACTATGTCCCGAGGTCAGACCTCGAAATTCAGTATGTCTGACGACGGTGAATGGTTTCGCTCTTGGAAAGGCTGGTTTAGCAGGTGCTTGAGAAACTTTTGATTAGTTATTTATGTTAAAATAGACGTCGTCAAGATCAGCGGCAGGAACCTTAACTAATTAATGTTTATATTTTGCACTCTTATTATTTAAGAACTATAGAAGAACGTTTTCTCCATACAAGATCCAACTGTTTCTCTTCTCCACACCCAAAACTCAAAGAGGGAGTATTTTATTTTTATTTTATTTTTTCAGCGATCTTAAACCCTCTATGGTGCAATATTCATGCTACTATTTTATCCTCTAGAATGATTATCTAGTTGCAGCTCAGCAGTAACTCTGCGACAAATAACTTCTTCTCCCAACTTTTTATATTTTCTCTGAGGGCATTTATGCCTTAAATAACACGGAATTGGTTATCATCAGATTCATAAAAGCTACTCCCTGCGGAATTGATATATTTTACCGGCCGTCTGCAACACTACCTTGGAAGGATTAAGGCTGAAAGTTTGTATTATCTATTATCACCCAGCAACTACTGAACCGTACGGTTGCGAGGTTCAAGTCACAATTATCGGTAGACTCTGTACGGCTTAACTCTATGGCGGTGGTCGAGACCCTAGGACATCAGTGTTATTGCATGATGCTTGGCCTCTAAGTAATAAGCTATATTTAATAAGTTTGAGATAATATGACCTTGGATTGCCTCCACGCCACAAACCGACGCTGATGCAGAAAGCTAAGGAGCGAATAAGAATAATAACTGTTGCTGACTCTTCGGAGAGCACTCGGCCACCCAGTTAAAGTTTATATGGATTTGGTAGTATTTTGCCAGCGAAAATCAAAGAGCTGCTACGTTTATATTTAATACCTAGGTGAAATGCATACAGAAACTCATAGGGTTATTCAGATGAGATGTTGCCGGTGGTATATAAGAGCGGACGAAACCCTCTGAGATAACCCAAGCATTGCGCGTAAGATATGGAGCTCCTTACTCTCTGTGTTTTGGAGGCAGTGACTACAATCATCACAGCCTACTTTCCTACCCTAGCAAGTCCTCTTATCCCTGATTTAAAACACGAGAATGAGTGCTTTTTCACACAGGCAAGCCCAATACCCAAGAATGAGATCATGATCTGGCTAGCCGGCGACGAGGGCCTTAAGGCTGACCTTTTCGTCATTGGTATGTATTTTGCACGGGAGGGGTTGAGCTCTTATAGCAGGACCGCATTCTTTCTCTGTCTGAACGTCGAAACATGCTGGAATATTTGGCGTACTCGGACTGTCCACCATTACGCTTATGCCGAACTGCCGCAAAGCAAAACTGATTGCGTATCTAGAGTGAAAGCGTGTGTGGTAAGTGAAACTGGCCTTATATGTAGAAGTGAGATTAATCCTTAATACAGTGGAAGATCCAGTGGCGAGTTGCCCAAAATCTCGTCATTTATCCTCTAGACGGATGCTGTTATTATTCTCTGGTCACACTCGATAACTCAAGCGAGTCATCATTACTGGATTTCTCGTGCGAGGCGGAATGGGCAATCTATTATGACAAGACGTTGACATACTCGGGTCCACGGCAGACTTGGTGCTACAATAAAGCGATGCCAGATTCACACCGCATATCGGCCTCCCTTTCTGTACTTCTGCTATCCTCAGTTATACAATGTCCGGCAAAAACTACAATGCTGTCCGAAATGTCGTATTATGGGGCAAAACTTCATATGTTAGTATCCACTAGTCGTTTTCTCACTCATAACTAACCCAGAGGTAGTCTTCTTACAAAGTATGGAACTTCAAGAACCTCTAATATACCCCGAACTACCAAAAAGGAAGACGATTTACTCAGGTTTGGATGTGATTTGGCTCCCGCCATTATATCTACATCACACTTGGATAATGTTTCCCGACGGCTAAGAAGAATGAAGGAAGTAATATACAAGGAACCTGGCATGCCTCGGCTAGACAGATATATGAGCCCGTTATTTAACAATAACCAAGGCAAGTATCTTGTTGAGTTGATTTTGCAAAATATTTGTGGTATGGACATCTGTCAAATATAACAAGTCTCTCTGCCACCAATCAGTGCGGGCTCGCCTTTTTGGCCGAATGGCATGTTTGACAACATCTCTCCATCCGTTTCATGAACTTGCAAAACAACAATTTTGAAGGGTATATATACCTGAATTCACGATATTTGACGGACGGGTGAGTTAAGAAATAGATTACAAATATAGGTGCTTGGGAAAGGTATCTATAAGCTAGAGGTTATAATCTATCAATTCCAACCTGGCGCAAGGGAGTCAATTGAGACTTGGTATTACATAGTAAGTTCTGTCAATGTATTGTCTTAGCCAATTAAAGTGACGAATTGAAATGGTGATTATATAATCTTTGCCACCCCTTTTCGTATCTTTTATCTTTTGAAAAATCGAATCTCAAGAAACACAAGAGAAACCAACTTGACTTGCCATTCATTCAACGCATTGATTTCCTTAGATTTTCGGGGACAAGTACGGAGTAGAGGCGCAGTCGTTTATCTATTTTACTATCCTTCCCCGTGCGTACGGAGCATATTCACAGCCTGCCAGAGCAGACGGCCGCAGACACCTACAACATTTTCACTCGATTTAAAATGGCTTCAAAGATTCTGCAAACGGCAGCTCGTGTGAACAAGCTATCGATTGTCTCCAACCTCCAGAGATCCGCCCACTTTTCTTCCTCAAGGCAGCTTCTGAATGCTACCGAGGCTGCTCTTCCATCCCAAGGCCTGGGCGCCTTTCGAGGAGGGTAAGTGACTGTTCTTTTCTCGTCATATCAATACCTCGCTTGCATATTAACAGGTATTCCGCACTGTCATAGTCTCTTTGGGTTCCTTGCCGGCTCGACCCTTGCTGGCGCATCTGTTTACTACTACATCCTGAAAGAATTCCGCCTGTCGAACGAGACGCTGAAAGGAGATATCTACGTACGTTACTGCATCTGAAAACATGCGTCCCACCATATAGTGTGGTCTGTCTGTCTGTTTTTGGTCTTGCCCTTCACGATGGATACTATTCTCGGTTGACCCTTGCTTGAACGCCGCATGCAAGCGGCTTGGTTTCTGGGGATAACCGGGGGGAGACTTGCTCCACTCCTTTCGGAAACCCTTGCCTACTGATTCGCACGCTTAAATTGCCATTTTCCTTTCTTTTTCTACACACTTTCACTAGCAAGTCTGCCTGCCATAAGTTTCTTTTTCTTTTTGTTTTTTCCTGATGATCTTAGACGAGTAACGATAGATTTTAGAGATATATGTTATGATATGAGCGCTGATTGAGATTTTTGTTACTCTATCTGTAGGCCTTGCAAGCAGCCACTCAACGCCTGGGTGCCTATATCAATGAGCTAGAAGGGAAAGTAGACCGGCTTCAGAGAAAGATCTGATCCAAGTCCTTGTGTACCCTCCAACCAAGGTTCTGTGAGCCATTGGGCAGCCCTCTTACTTCCACTTGCTTGACCACGCTAGACACCCCGGTCGACGTCACATGTCCTCCCCTTTTCCTTGATCTCGGCGTCACGAATGTTACATACCTTCGCCTGCTTTTTTTCAATTCTCAAAATTAAGCGACCAAAAAATTTCCAATGTATATCACGTGGCTATAAAAGTTTATCTAATGCATTACATAAGCAAATGAGCAAACAAGACAAACAAAACTTTTAAATATCAAAAACGTCAAACGTTGAAGCAAAAGAAAAGAAAACTGTGACTTTGCGCGAGAAGCCAGCCATGTCTTCACTGATCGAGGTGGTGTCTACGAAAGCTTCCAAGGCTCCAGGATGGGAATATGTTCCTGCTGCGCGCTTTGATGCCCCTGCCAGCAGCCGCAGGGAGACTGGCGCAAGGAAACGAGCTGCCAGAGAGATTGGCGGCGACACCAACAAAACGCGATCAGACTTAAATTCAAGGCAGCGAAATGCTATTGCTAAGCATTTAGAAGCCCTCGATAAAGAGAATCATACAGAGACATCGATTCCCATACCACCGAGACGTCAGAGAGAACATACGGTCAAAGGTTTGTCTTCTGATCCCATAAGGCGTGAAGAAAGCTGATATTGACAACGGTTATACAGGCGTGAGAAGCAAAACTTCCTCCAATACTCGAAAGATAATCTCTTCAGGGAAACAGTTCAAAAACTACCTTGCGGCTGAAGAGCCTACTACCCTCGCGCTCTCTGCATCCTCCGGGACAACTGCAACCACTCTAAGCCAGCGTTCGAACGCCCCTAAACAACCCGAACTCCCAGTCCCACAAGCAGATACCAACGCTAATCGCCCACTTCCTGAGACACGACATCAACCCTCAGATCTAATTGTGTCCGAATCTGACAATGACCCGCTCTTACGATCTTATATCCCGGCAGCACCCTCTGAGCGCATAATGATGGCCCTCGTTTCGGAACCGCCTCTGTCTTATCATGCCTCCCGTGCCACGTTGCCCGCTAATACTAAGCCCCCGAGACATTTTTGCAGTATATGTGGTTATTGGGGTAAGGTTAAATGCATCAAGTGCCATGCAAGAATCTGTGGACTGGAATGCTCCAGGATCCACCAAGAGACTAGATGTGACCGATTTTATGCCTGATACTTCACTGAACTTCTTTGAAGCTATCCATCGAATGCGTTCAGCTTTGAAAGTTGTCGAAAATGTGTTGCTGCCGGATATACTTCTCATAACCGAAAAGGGCCATCCAGAGTACCGGATAATGGGGTCTAATGATCTCTCTTTGTTCTCAAGAATCCCATCGAGCTTGGGGCCATGCTTGAAAGTCGAACATTGCGTTGACACGAAGCCAATTGTGTGTTTTATACGTTACCTCACGCCCTGCATGAGTCTTGGCATAGCAATAGTGAGATCTTATGCCGAAAGAGTGAGCTTCCTGCCATGACGCGGATGGCCAAGAGAGGGATGCTATCAACCTACATAGAGTCATAGCAAATATAGGTTGCGCCTTATACATACTCTCTGGATAGCGATGCGTTAAGTGTTCTATCCTTGGGCGCTCCTCGAGTTTTGTTCCTACAATAGCATTGTGGTAGTTGTGTATGAGCATAGCTTAAGGGACATACGGGAAAGAGGAATAAGCCATTGTATGGCGATCGAAAATGTCAACTAAAAGACGGCAAAACACATTGCTCTACTTACATTATCAAATGTATTATAACGGGTAAATTAGCTACCAAATTAGCTAACTATGGTGAACTCGTTGAACAAATCAGTGAGGAGATCATCTGTGCAAGCCGTGATGCCTGGCACACCCATACTATACATGGTTTCGAAAGAATGAATACTCAGTCGGTCAAAGAAAGGCCGTAACAGCTTTTCCACAATCTCATCCTTAGCTGTTTCCCTGCTGAGATCAGAGTTAAGCAAGGCCTTTTTATACCCATCCTTCTTGCTAGACTCTGTGCCGGCACTTTCCTCGTCACCATCGTAACCATTCATTTCTTGAGCAGAGGCTGAATGTTCACTGTGAGGGCTTTTACTCTTTCCCAGAGAACGGGAGATCTCGTCTGCAAGAGCTGCTGACTCCCATCGATTCGGCGGGTAGACAACATCTATTGTATCAGTAACAAAAAGCCATTCCTGTAATTGGAAATCATCCGGTGAAACCAAAAGCAGAGTTTCCAAAAGCTTTGAGGCTTGAAGAAGTGAATAGGGGCTATAAGTCTCGTTATCTTGGTCTGGAGCAATGGCGGATATCGCATCTTGAAGCTCGGTATTTATCATGGGCCAAAAAGGGGCGAGGCTGATGGACCCTGTTTTGAGAATCAGAGACCTCAGAACCATATATATCTCTGCTCTAGTCACGGATGATGGAGAAGATACATGGGTGGCGGTAAGGAGGTCTTCTAATTTTTGTTGGAGCTCGGTTAACTCAGCGCTAAAATGGTTTTCATCGGATGCAATGATCAACAGCGCAATCCTGCGTAGGTTCAGCTGTGCTTTACGGTCCGCCTCTAGTCGGGCAGCGCTCGCACCAACGCCACACATTATACCAGCGGATGTAGGGGGCGTGAGGCGGGAGAGTAATTCAGTAAGACGTTCTGTATCTGTCAAAACCCACTGGCGGAAGAGGCGTATCCAATGGCTCTTCACAAGGCTAAGTTTAAATCCAAAAAATTTACTGTCGTTGAACGCGTCGCCTACATCCTTCTTCCAGATTTTGGCTGCCCCTTGCACCCTCGATATCTGTTGCAGAAGGTCGAGGGTGTTCTTATCCACATTAGATGGGAATAGGCGTGAGTGGAATGTGGGAGATATGATATTCGTTGATATGCTTGATAATGCGTTGGATATCCTATCGGGTTCATCAAGAGTGGCAGTTAGTGCAGGCAGGGTCATGGCAAGGATTCCTGTTACATCATCCGGCCCAATTCGTTGCAAAAGTGAGGAGCTTGATTGGTCTGACTCTTGGTTCCGGGGCGCGGGTGGTTCGTGGGTACTAGATAACGGTTTGCTTGTGAAAATAGCAGGTAGAAGGCGCAATATTAGGTCCTATATAGTTATTAGTTTCAATGAAGATAAAAATATCCAAGTATACGAACTCACCCCTAACTCCTTTCTGGTTCGTCTATCATCTCCAAAAGTTGTATTCTCCATCTTGCCTCCAAGTACGACAGCAAATTCCAGTAGACGAGGTAGGATCTGGCGATGTGGGAATGGATTTGTGAGAACATCCTTCAAGAAAGTGATACAGTCACCCCAAATGTCATCCAAGAAGTCATCATCTAACGACTTTGCGTACATAACTAGAAAAGCGGCAAGGTCGGCCTCCGATAACTCTGAAGACATTGATGATTTGCGGCTTGGTTCCAGAGCAGCGGGGCTGGTACGGCTGTATATGGCGTTGAAAATGGCAGGAATTGTGACTTTGGGCTTTGACCCATCTAGGGTATGCAAAAGGCTAAAGATTGCTCTGCTTTTGGCAGGCTCGTCCAAAGCTATGGAGGTACGCCATAGTTGGATTAACGTCTCAAGACATTCAAGTGCTTCTGCAGCGAAGAGGTGCTCCAGTATCCTTCTAGCCCTGTTCCTCATCCTTAGTGATGTATATTGAAACGAGGCAACCGAGTCATTGTCCCGAGACGATTTCCCTCGCCCACCAGCTCCCCAGGCCCAGATTGAATAGCATAACTGCACAGCATCCTGAAAACATAGGAGGACTGTAAGTCTAGTGTTCCTGCCGTTGGAGGGTTGAGCTTGGTTGCCTTCGGTTGCGAAGATGTTGCCAAAAAACCCTTGAGGCTGATCTGGTGATTTTGTGCTAGCAGTGTTTACCTCCTCAACTTGAAGACGGTCGTGAGCAGTTGAGATGCAATTTTCTAAACCACTCAATAACGCTATAGTAGTATGTTCAGGTGAACAGCTAGACGACCCCTCCGGTATTTTCTGAAACGTTCTTTGAAGATCGTTAAACGAAGCACTTATCTCCTTGCAGAAGCACTCCACAAGTGCAAGGAGAACCTTGAAAATTGACATATAGTAAAGGGGTAAACATTCTGCTAGAAAATTTACCCATTTGTCGATAATGGGTCGGGATAGTTTCGAGCTAATACCTTTTAGGAGGCAGTCTAGAAGCTTCGAAGATGGTTGAAGTAGAGCTTGATTCACTTGGTTCTTGTCAGCCCTGTCGGCGGTGAATGAAATTCGGGAAATGTCGAACGATCCTTTCCTCTGAAACCTATGAGACGCAGCTGCTGAGATTTCTGATACGTGGTGTGCATATCGGATTTTGAGAACTGGAATTAGAGCATCTATTATAGAGGATTGGTGCTCGACCTTTCCTTCATCTAAGGCAATAGATAGATGATCGAGAAGGTAAGAGTCAATATCTAAAGATAGTAATTTATCTGCCCCAGTGCTGCACAAGAGTAGGCGTAAAAGTGATAGCGCCTCCTTCCTGATTTGACCCTGTTGGACATGGAGGCTTTCTGGAACGTTTTGGACACCATGGAGTGCATGGAAGCATATCTGTGAGATTTCGGTCTGAATGGTGACATCTCCTTTGTTCTCTAATGTAGTAATTAGTAATTTGAAAGCTCAGCATGTTGTAATAAAAATATTTACCTTCTACATCAAAGGGAACAGATTTAGTTCTTGGTGGCTGAGAGGCAGTATTTGATAATATCAACGACCATCCGGCGGGACTAAGTACAGATAGCACATTCCGTACTAATCGCAGCATGTAAACGCACTGGTTTGCGTGATTATGAATCATTGTTTCCCTAAACTCGCTCTCTTCTTCTGTTGATGTTTCACGCAGAAGTTGAAAATCACGAAATTTCAGCAAGATGATACGGAACAGCCTACACCATCTATTAGTGCGTCATTGTCCAAAATCTCGTGTCATATACTCACTCATATATGGATGGAAGATCACGAAGCCAGTCTTTGACCGCAATGGAGGCTTCCTCTGATCTACAGGATAGGAGATCCAGCACAATGAACAGTGGCTGGCTAAGTAATTTCGCACGATATACCGTTTTCATATTTGGGCCATCATCGCCGGTAGTGCGTAGCGCGAATGAATCTGTGTTAGAATGGTGGCTATGATTCCAGAGAACAAAAAACTTCTCAGCCTGGTTAAGAGACGCCTGATGGGACGAACTAGATGAGGAGACCATGACTGATGTTACAGCAGCTTCCACAAGGTGGTCTCGCCAGCTAGCCGAGTGCAGAAGCCATAGACATGAAGCAGCTTCAACATGAAATCTCAGGTTTGCTGGCTCCAGAAACCCCCATAATTGTTGGACTAGAGCCGGAATTAAATCACTCAGCCGCTCATAGGTGATATAGCTGCTAGTCTTTTTGGCGGAATACAAGGAAGTAAGAGCGAATACTATTGAATTAACGACCGGCATTGGGAGAGCCCTATTGTCATCATTTGCTGTAGTAATCTTTTGCTCAATTGTTTTATACAGCTTTCCTTGTGGAAGCTCTGTCTTTTGCGTCTTATTGAGTAGAGCGACAAACTGATTGACCCTTTCTCTAAGAAACACAGCTTGAGTATCAGACTCTAAGGCAAGCAGAACTAGAGATTGAGCTTCACCGAGAATAATGGTTGCAACCCCCGTTGGCGAGAAAGGAGGTTCTGGAAGTCGGAGTGTATCCTTACTTCGAGAATAGAAGTTAAGAATTACATTCGTTATATGCTCATGATTCATCGACGTAATGGAGCTATCCGCTCCTGAATCCTGCATTTTCTCTGCACGAGGTGAAAAGGCTCTTTCAGGGACGAGACGGAGGAGCAGGTTGATAATTGCCCCTATTTCATCAAGAGCAGTGTTTGCTACAGTTGAGTATCCCGGTTCATTCCATGCGCCAGATGCGCAGAGTGTCTTTGTTTTAAGGAGCAGTGACAAGATCAATAAGGGTATATGCGTGATTAGCATCTCCTCTTCCTTCATATTGAAATGAGACAACATAAAAGTCGCTAAGCGTAAGTCTTCAATCATGCGATTCGGCCGTGATGTACTCGAACGAGGCGAGAGGACAAGGCCAACGAGCTCCGAGAAGATCAGATTACTTTCTACTCCGTCTAAGAACGCACTAGCACTTCGAAATACCTCGTCAAAATTCGATTTTGAGGTGGCGATCTGTTTGTATTTTTGAGTGCTGCGAATGACGGGCAGGAAAACTTCAGGAACTACCAAACCACCAACCTCCCATCGATCCATAAGGGATAAGGATACGCGATATGGCCTAGCTCTCTCATGCGGGTTGGAAGAATTCTTCGCAAGCATAGCTCTAATGCTGCTGACAAGTGGCTTTAGGCCGAATCGTTCAAAGTAATAGGACTTTGAGCTATCATTATCAAAGGTAGCTATTGCAGCAGCACTGGCGGATACTGAAGTGTCTACTCCGGCATCATTCGCATGAGAAGATTTATCAAAATCAGGTCCCAAGAGCCAAGCCCATAGTCGACGATTGAGGCTCATGTCCCTCCGAATAACAACTCCAGCGGCAGCGCCGACGAGAAGCTCCAGGTCCCCGGCAGTTATTCGTTGCTGGAGAACGGGGGAATGTAAAGGAAGGTGGGAAACGAGTAGATCCAAGAAGTTTCGTTGTATAAGAACTTGCTCATCCGCCAACCCAGTTGCAAAACATCGAATTAGCAGGCCCGGCTCAGGAGACGTGATACTTTCGATGGCACCTGACAAGTCTTGAGTTGTATCTTCTCTAATGTCGACATCCTCGGACTCTTTTAGTAACTCTTCTGATGGTATTCTGCCACCAAGCTTCGGTAGGTTACGATTTAAATATGCAAGAGCCCCTACTCTCCGCGATGGGTTTGTAACGGATGCAAGAAATAAACACTGCCAAAAGTACTGGCTTCCTGCAGCCGCACCGGAGTCATCCCCAGCGGCGCTGGACACATCACGGAGCTTGTCCACCAGCTTGAGTGTTTCTTCAAAGTCCTCACTTGTCTCGTCTTCTAGGCCAGGGAGAAGTGCCAGGATTATCGATTTAACGGCAGAGCGTAAGGCGGTAGGATTAAGCTGTAGGATATGATTCTCTATGAGGGATAGAAATAGCGGGCGGACCGAAAGTGATGCGAAGGACAATGTGGGAGCAATTCCAGGAAGGTATATAGCCAGGTCTCGGGCTAGGCCATCAGACTAAAACAGAAGTAAGCTATCTGAGTAGTGGACAGGCTTGATCGGAATCTCCCTTACTCTTAGGAGTCCAAATATATACCCATACACCTCCAAGGCCTTCTGGTGAACTCCAGATGGCAGTGACGGGTTTAGACATTGAGCAAGCCTCTTTGCAACAAGCAGCTTATTCGGGACAAGGTACAACGTTGGCGGATGTGTTTGAAGCGCCTAGCCAGCTTAGAGTCAGCTGTATGTCCCGTATATAAAGAGGTATTAGGTATTTCACCTTCAACAGCCGGCTGAGGAATGAGATGTAATCCGCCCATTCCTGCAACGCAGTATCGAAAAGAGAGAGGGCGCGGTCGACATTGGCAGCATAGCGACGGTAGCTTTTATCCTTCTTCAAGCCATCCGCATCTAATCACAATACCGGTCAGTTCTTCTATGTTTCCTTGCGATTGTCTCTAGGCTTGCGCACCTTCATGTAATCGGTTCGGAGGCTTGGGTAAAGATGCTTCAGAGCTGGCGGGCGAAGAGGATCTTGGAAGGCCACTCGGTTCAAGGCTCATTGTATTTAACTAATAAAAGACCTTTGCGTTGCAAGCTGGCCATTATCAATCTCTATAGCTGGAAATTCTCAGTCGCAAAAGCTACGTTGTTGTTTTCCAGCATGTGAGCAAAAACAACGTTTGTTTGCCTGATCTGGCCACAACCAAAAAAACATCTCAGCGTCAACCTCGTCATAGGATTTATATATAAAGAAGACAACCAACTACAGCTATCGAGATGATGATAGGACAACATGTTTACCGCTAGCTTTACCTGATGGTATCTATACTTAAACATATGAAGGCACTCGGCGGTCTGAAAGAGCGCCTGCGATGAATATTATACCATGGCTTCACCTGGACCACAGACACCATCAGAGAACAGAGACTCGGAAAATCGGCCTGTAAGCCCGGAAAAGGGCATAGACAAGGGCAACGGAAGTGGCAAAGATGAGGGACCCAATAATGAACGCCCGCCACTTCCACCACGTCCACTGAAGCCATCTCATGGACCGCCGGCTGCACAGTTGGATGCGGGCCTAAACCCTTACTCGGCAGCACACAGGCTCCAGTCAGGGCCAACGACGGCTCTCTCGTTGGCAAATGTCAATGTCCAGGCGGTGGATGATGTTAATAGGGAGAATTATGTATCACTTGCAGGAGGCCTTGATAAGACGAGGCCCGCCACCTCCGGTACCCATGGACGTGGGAGCAGAGTAGGCATAGAAACAGGAGATACCGCCAGCATACAAAGTTTTATCCCAGGAAGTGAAACCCCAATCGATGCGGGAAGCTTGTTTGGGGATTTCCCAGGTTTTGGCACTGAAATTCCATTCAGACAGGCTTCAACCAAGATCGACGAGAATTACTCCATCTTCAATGCACAGGCTCAAGAAGATGATGCTACCGTTGAATTCGAGGAAGAGTTTGATTCTATTGGTAATTCAAGTGAGGGCGAGAACGAAGGTATATCCAGCCATTTTGCCAGCTCTCTGGTTTAAAACTAACATCGAGTAGAGGAGAAACTTGAAAAATGGAGAAGGAAAAGGAAACATTTTTTCATTTTATCATCGGCTGGAAAGCCTATATATACTCGCCATGGCGACAGTGGACTGATATCCCCGTATATTGGTGTTATTCAAACTATCATATCGTTCTACCAAGAATCTGGCGGTCCCTTGAAGAGCTTTTCAGCTGGGAAGACTAAGATTGTGATTCTTTCCCAAGGTCCGTTGTACCTTGTGGCCATTAGTTCGCTCCGTGAAAGCCAGGCCCATCTTGAGGCTCAGCTCGAAGCACTATATATGCAAATACTCTCAACTCTGACTCTACCCGCACTTGATCATATTTTTGCCGTAAGGCCAAGCTCAGACTTGCGACGACCTCTCCAGGGAACTGAATCTCTTTTGTCCTCGCTAGCCGATAGCTTCACTAAAGGCTCCCCGTCAACCCTCTTAGGTGCGCTGGAGTCGCTGAAAATTCGAAAATCCCATCGCCAAATTATCAGCAATACGTTCCTCAAGGCTAGAGTTGAGCCACTTCTTTATGGCTTGTTGGTTGCAGGTGGGAGGCTTGTGAGCGTTGTCAGACCAAAGAAACACTCGCTTCACCCCGGCGATCTACAACTGATCTTCAATATGATATTTGAAGCAGACGGAATCAAGGCCGGTGGTGGAGAAAGCTGGATTCCGATATGTTTACCAGGGTTCAACAACAGAGGCTACCTTTACATGTACGTGAGCTTTCTCGACCTCTATAAGGGTAAGGCAACGGATCAAACTATGGAAGAGATGAACAAGGATGATGTTGTGGCTATCATCTTAATTAGTCCCAACAAGGAGAGCTTTTATGCTTTGCATGAGATGCGAGATTCTCTTGTAGAGGTAAGATTTTATAGCCCCCTTTGGCCAGCCATATGTATCCAACGAAATGCTGACAGCCTCTCTAGCAAATGGAAAATAATGGAAGCATGGATGTCCTCAAAGTTGCTCTCAAACAGGGCCGGCCAGCTCCTACCGATATCGTTCCCGGGACAGTTGTTAGGCACTTTCTCTATAAATCGAAAGCTAACGTTCAATTTACCATGTCATCATACTCTCCAGATTTCGTATCAATATTGGATCGGCGACGGTAAGCTCCTACCCATTATATATTAACCCATAATGTTTTTCTAGTGTCCGTTATTCAATAGTAACGAATATAATTTGATTGTGTAGGCTTATATCCGCGTACCATTCGCTACATCTCAGTGTCCACGCTAAGCCTGCAAATGTCAAAGTACAATACTGTGTTTCGTCCTCCGCAAACTCGCTTGCTTGGGTTACGCCAACATTTGAACTGTACTGTGTTGCATCACCCAATTCCAATCGAAATGCATTATCCCAGGCCGCAAATAAAATTGCCCTCTGGGCCCAGAGGGAACAGGAACGCCTTTTTGTAATTGGCGGTGCAGTGAGTGTGCCCATGCCCCTATTCCAACCGTCACACATTGTCACAAGCCAAATGCCAGTCAAAGAACAATAATGCTAACCGTAACTTAGGTATTCTAACATGTTTGATAAATTAATCTTGGTCTGATGCTGGAATGGGGAAACTAACAGCCATAATAAATTTGACTAAAAAGTAGAGTGTCAGGTAAATTTATATATATTCATACTCCATTATGTTGTGGTATAGTTTACCACCCAACATATCTCACAATCATAGAAAATAGAGTATAAACAAGTCACGAGTACGTGCTTAGTATCTGGAATCATTGCGGGCGGGTATCACGTATACTAATTCAGGCATGCAGAGTGTTATTAAAGGTAAAAAGACTAGGTCTAAACAAAATATGTGGAGTTTATGTCGGCATCATTCCAATAGAAGGAGTACGCGCAGTTGCAGGTTTTGAGCTACTTCGTGGCCTTGAAGCAGCAGGGGAAGACTTTCTCTTCCCAGACTTAGAGCCTTGGGGTCTTTTGTTAAACTTATTACTTGATGATTTGCTTCCGCGAAACGATTTAGGAGGGCGAGAACGCCGAGTATTGGTCTGGCGTGACCTTGGGCGTTGTGAGTTAGATTTAGAGCGGTTTTCTTGCCGTGACGATTCAGCATTCTCGGAGAACTCAAACTGGGAAACTTTTAACTCCAAGTTAGCAAGCAATGAGTATCTGTGACACGGGGCCCTGACGAACCTCTTGCCTTGAATGATGGGGCTACATCGTCCGGCGGGAAGTACGGGCTTTGTTTTTGGGCTTCCTCAGCACAATTTAGCTCGTCTTCACTCCAGTCACCATACATCTCATCATCACTACTTATAGTAACGACATTCTCATGGTTAGGGTCGTGAACAGCTTCGTTCTGTTCCAGAACATTGGAACACCCGGCCATATCTTCATAGTGTTTTTTCGATCTGGCAATAAGAGTCAAGAATTTTGAGCCATACCGCTCAACCTTGTCGGGGTCAATATTACGAATTCGGCGAAGCTCGTCAAGGGCTAAGTTAGTGAGGTTAGTGTATCTGATGGAGTAGTTCTAGCGAAAGGAGTCATACTAGAGGGGAGCCTAATTCCCATTTCTCGGAGAATGGCATCGGGAAATGGTTGATCCCGAAGACCTTTCTCCATCTTAATCTGTAGTTTGAGGTTAGTTAAATAAAATCTTATTTTTGTCTGTAGACTCAAAATTACCTGTTCACACTTTGCTTTTGCCCTCAATAAGAATTCGTCTAGAACCATTTCATGGAGATTACTTAGGCCGGAACGACTCCCATCATCAGTTATTCGTGGGCCAAGTTGCGAGTGACGGGATCGCGGTGGATTTCTTCCCTCACGAATAGGGGCAAAACCATCACTGTCGTCCTCATCTTCGTCCTCGTCTTCTTCTGCTTTGTTGCTTCTTCGGTTCCGCGCTCGGAAGCGAGATGGGCCTCGAATTGGAGAAGAAACATTAGTTGATTCTGGATGCTCATCTCTCGCAGCCCGAACACCAGTGAAACTTGTGTCCATTCTTCGTGTAGTCGTATTTGGGGTTACTCGAATAGGAAGCTCGGTTTTGTGGCGACCATTCTTATATCGTTGTGCCTTGGGTCCCGGTTTGACATACTGAACGGCGAATCCTCGCTGGTTGGGGACGTTATCTTCTTGAATCGCATCCTCATAAAGGAGATGTCGAAATAATCGCTCAACATCGCCACGTTCAAGGTCATTTCCATATCCGAACTCCGGAAGATGTGAGAGCTCTGAGCGTGAATAACCCCTGAAGGCATCAACGCAAGCTAAAACTGTCACTTTTGCCTTTTCAACCTTTTCAACAAGCCTTACAGCAGCAGCAGCATGTTGTGTGAAATCACGTATTTCAAAAGTGAAGTCAGATTTGCAGTTATCGCACGTCCTGTTGCAATCTTCCCGTTTGAATTTTTCATCGAAGTATGCTAGAATTTGAACACGTCTGCAGTCCGTGATGTTCTCACAAAACTGAGTAACATGGCGCAGCATCTGGCGCTGACGATGTTTTTGTTCCTGAGTAGTATCCTTGTTTTTATTGATCATGTAGTTTATCGAAACTGAGTCGTGGTAAGCATAATAAAGATAGCATTCAGATCGCTTGCCATCTCTACCAGCTCTTCCAGTTTCCTGATAGTACCCTTCCAGACTCTGCGGAATGGAGTGGTGGATAACAAAGCGCACATTAGCCTTGTCTATACCCATCCCAAATGCAATTGTGGCAACAATAACGGTATGCCTCCCTGACTGCCAGTCTCTCTGAACGGCAAACCGCTCTTTCGAACTCAGTCCTGCATGGTAATGGGCAGTCTTGACGCCAAACTTAGATGAAAGCTGCATAGCTACTCTCTCACATGTTTTTCTAGAGAGGCAGTAAATTATGCCACATTTTCCTGAGTAGTCTGTTGTAATAAGATCCGCTATATCCTTGAGAGCATCTTGAGCTCTTCCTTTCTTCCTCACTTCATATGTAAGGTTGGGTCGGTTAAATGACTGAGTGAAAACATCACAGCCCTTCATGTGAAGGTTGTGGATAACATCAACCTGTACGTTTGGTGTCGCCGTAGCAGTTAATGCCATAACCGGAACACCCGTGTACCTTTCTCTCATTTTCCCTAGCGCAGTATAGTCCGGTCTAAAATCGTGGCCCCACTGACTGACACAATGTGCTTCATCAATAACGATGCGGGCTAGCTTCTTATTACTATGAAGTTGAAGTAAAGCACTTTCCATGGCACGGCTTTTGGCAAGCATTTCAGGAGTAACGTAAAGCAGTTGAATATGTGAGTCGGCCCTAAGACTTCGAAGGTTGCTCATTATACTGGTGCGTTCATCCTTAGACACATCTCCATTGATTAAAAAAGCTTTCACGTGGAGCTTTTGGAGATGAGCGACTTGATCTTGCATCAAGCTTAGGAGGGGAGAAATCACAATCGTAACTCCTTTTGTCTGCCCAGTCTTGATAATAGACGGTAGTTGGTAACAAAGTGATTTCCCACCCCCTGTTGGCATTAATACAAAGGTATCTCTTCCACTGAGTGTGGAATTTATTGATTCAAGTTGGTTGGGGCGAAAACCACGGAGATGGAATATTTCCCTCATAGCAGACTTCACGTCTTTGCTCCAAGGATGACCATCAACTGAATGCATCATTCCTAGGTCCTTCTGGTCAGTTTGTTTTGCCGACGGCGGTTTTGACTCGTTTCCAGAAGTTTCGCGAAATACCTCCCTATTTGGAAATTGCGGATCAGAAGGGGCAGAGGGCGCAGCTTTTGGGTTATTGGAGTCAAAAACGTCTTCAATATCATCAAAAGGATTGGATGCCGGTGGATCATCAGAGTCAGAATCAAATGCTGTTGCTGTAATTCGAGGAGCATATGAAGTGTCCATTGTTCTAGAATAAGGAGGATCATCGTCAAGCATATCCGCAAAATCTTCAGCATCATCAAATTCAGGGTCCCAACTACTTTGGGGGCTCTTTGCATTGCGTGGTGCAGAAGGTAGCTCTTGTGACCACCGCGGTTCGGGTACGGGAGGCTTTACGGTATCACCGTTCTTTGCTTCGCCAGAATGGAGGCTTTGGAGCGGGGTCGGGGCTGTGTGTGATGATGCGGCAGGTGTACGATAGCGACCATCATTCTCGGTGAGTGAAGTTCGTGGTAGTTTGGTGGATTTGCTTTGAGAGATTGTTTCCGGGTCCTGGTCCATCTTCATATGCTGATCTAAGCCTCTAGGGCCCTTTGAAATGGCTATTTCCTCGTCGTTGAAGATTGCTGATTCTTGTATTAAGGAAATTATCCTCGATTCCATCTCCTGTAATCGCTGCGCCGACTCTCTAATCTCAGCAACCTTATTGTTGTCAGGAATGTCACCTACCTGCTCAATACATTCAATAAGGGCTGATTTTAACTTCTCGTGTTTCTTTTTGGAAGAGCAAAAATCAATTTGTAGCCGTTGAAGCTCTTCTATAGCTTTTATTCTGGAAGCAAGGAGCATAACCTCCTTCATCATATTCTGGCTCTCGACCCCTTCCAGAATGAGATCATAAGTGGATTCCACCTTCCCTGCTTTCTCACTATTAAGGGTATTAATGGCCCTATGAAAGGATGTCGGAGATGTACTAAGGTATCTCTCTATCAAGGAACCTGTGCTCTCGCTTGGAACAGAGCTTCCGGTAAGGGAAAACTGGCAGTTATTTGCTCCAGGTTCTCTTCGAGAACTTAAGATTGGCGGCGAGCATGGCACGCCGGCCTTTGATACTGACTTTGAGTCAATTTTAGTAGGTTTTTTTGTAGCCTGTTCTTCCTGCTGTTGAGAAAGGTCCGGATAGAACGCATCTTCGTCCATAAGGTCAAGGTAAACACCATCATCCTCAGAATCATTAATAACTCGCTGCCCAGCATGGCCTTTAGAATTTTCCGAAATCCTTCTATCCGTTTTCAAGGTGCAGATTTGTGGGGATGGAGAGGATAGTTTTTTTGTGGGATAGAGGTCCGCCTCGAAATCAGAGCTCTTCCGTTTCTTCTTCTCGCTACTGCTGGTCTGTGGTCCAGAGCGAGACGCGAAGTCCTCCCTCCATAATCGCCGAGGCTCTCCGAATGTTGACGCGGAACCGGATGAAGAAAGTTGACACTCAACGTCTTTTGTGAGGTCAATAGACTCGATATCCTCATGCTTTAGGCCCGAGCCAAAAATCCCACTCTTCTTCACACGTTGTGAAGTATTACTACTAGTCGGTGGAGTTATACTCGTCAAACTTCGTTGTTTTACTAATAGAACTGTGAGCTGAGTACATGGTAGTAGTTGGACTCAAAGAGTTTATAACGAACTTCTTAGTTTAGGAGTCTCTGATTCTGTTTTATACAGCGCCCTCTTCTTTGAGCTCCTGTTTGCGGGAGTACCTGGTACATCCACCGAACTTTTGGTACCTGGTGTGCCGTGCAGCCTGTTACGTGGTGGGGGGGATGCAAGCTGGAGTATGGCCATTATATTATCTGCCGGCACATCATCACTACCAGGAGCCGCAGCCCGAAGAGCAGATGGGATTGCCTCTGCTGATAATGCGCCAGAGGTGGGTTGACCAATGTTCGTCTCGAGATGTACCGTGGGCTCAGCGTTCACGGAGTCTGTCGAGGCGAGTTGCGCATCCGAGGAAACTTGCGGGATCACAAATTGATCTAATGGATTAGGACGCTCCAAAAGCCAGGCCAAGTGAGCCCTCAAGTTGTTCTTGGTCATAGATGCCTGTCATATCTCGTAAATCTCTAATTCTCCCATGTCTGTCGTTGTATCTTCTAGTGTTTTCATCTATTAATTAATTAATACATCAACAACTTTTTTGACGTCGCGACGAACGCGACTATCACGTGATAATCAATTAATCGAGTCATGTGACATGTTTAAATAGAGAAGTCGGATTAAACTTAATTCTTTCCTCATGATTATAAATCACATACATAGTTATTGACTTTAATACCAGCCAATGATATTCAACCTACGAACTTCCACACATCAAAAGACATCGAGGGGTTGTTGGTAATTTTGATTCCTTAGATTAAATACCAGTTCGAACGTTTGGGGTATAAGAACAAATTATTCTGTCAAAATGGCAAAGGATAAAAAGGCCAAAAAGGCTGAACAGAAAGCGCGAGCTGCTGCAAAGCAATCGAAAAAGGCCTCACAGAAGGAAAAGAAAGCCAAAGCCAAGGGGTTAAATGATGACAGTGATGCGGAAGATGTCGACCTCGACGCTGTGCTTGCTGCCTATGCAGAGGAACAAGCGAAGTTTTTGAAAGTGACTGAGGTTGCGAGCGGTATACCATCCCCACGCTCTTCGGCAACCGTCATTGCTTCGCCTTCGAATCGTGGGGAGATTTTCCTGTTTGGTGGAGAGTACTTTGATGGATCTCTCGCCACTTTCTACAACAATCTATATGTATACCTAATTGAGAAAAACGAATGGAGAATGGTCACAAGCCCAAACAGCCCGCTACCTAGGAGTGGTCATGCATGGTGCCGTGGAGGAAACGCGGGAGGAATATACCTCTTTGGAGGTAGGGCAACAACTACTTCCAACCTGATAGTACTTTCGATATTACAGTTCATATCTAACTATTTCTCGTCGTGGAAATTTGCATGTTTAAACAGGAGAATTCTCATCGCCTAAACAAGGAACTTTCTACCATTATAATGATTTCTGGCACCTAGATCCATCTACCAGGGAATGGACTCGTATAGAGACTAAGAGTAAAGGCCCTCCTGCACGAAGTGGGCATAGGATGACATATTATAAGGCAAGGCGTGCCATTTTATTCCAGATTTGCCCCATCTTCTTGACCTTCAGGTCAGTCATATACTAACTTGTACAATTAGAACTATATCATTTTATTTGGAGGATTCCAAGACACCTCACAGCAGACAAAGTATCTTCAGGATGTTTGGCTCTATGATTGTCAGAAATTCACCTGGTACAATCCTGCCTTGCCACCAGCAACACAAAAACCTGATGCTCGGTCTTCTTTTTCTTTCCTTCCCCACGAGTCGGGTGCGGTACTTTTTGGCGGCTACTCTCGTGTGAAAGCCGCAGTCAAGGTCAATAAGGGGCAAAAGGGCGGAAGCAGTGCTCAGCGTGCAGTCCTTAAGCCAGTTATCCATCAGGATACCTGGTTCTTACGCGTCACTCCTCCACCAGCGGACGCACCATCAACTGCTTCACCTACCATTCGATGGGAAAAGAGGAAACGGCCGGTAAACGCGCCGAATCCCCCGCGGGCTGGAGTGACGATGGCTTATCATAAAGGTCGCGGAATATTGTTTGGTGGTGTACATGATGTTGAAGCGACGGAGGAAGGTATCGAAAGTGAATTCTTTGATAATCTATTTGCCTGGAACATTGAGAGAAATCGTTTCTTCCCTCTTCCTCTCCGAGCTCCTAAATCAGCGGGTAAGAAACAACAGGCTACTGAAAGGGCTATGAAATCACGCAACAAGGGGAAGGCGGACGAAGAAGAGTTGCTTCGTAATCTAGCCTTATTAGAAGCAAAAGCAAACCCATCCAAAGCAGAAGCCGAAGTACAGGTAGAGACTAGAGAAATTGATGAAGATGAGCCTGAATCAGGAGGAAAGAAATCGCTACCCGTTCGGCTTGAGATGCCCCATCGTCGATTTAATACGCAACTTACAGTCCAGGAAGATACCCTATTTATGTACGGTGGCACTTTTGAGAGAGGAGATCAGGAATTTACGTTATGTGATATGTATTCCATCGACTTGCTCAAGATGGATGGTGTGAGAGAAATATTCTACGAAGAGCCTGAGCACTGGAACGATGCAATTGCACCTGACAGTGACGAAGAAGAGGATGACGATGACGAGGATGAAGATGATGATGAAGATGAAGACCTGGAAGGAGCCTCATCCATTGGGGCCCCGTCAACAGCTGCGACGGAGCTCACAGAACCTACCTCCATGGAAATCGACGCTGAGAAAGAAGAAGAGCCAGAACCAACCGTGGTTGACTCTCGACCTCATCCTCGACCATTTGAGAGTTTACGTGAATTTTACAGTAGAAGTTCTACCGAGTGGCAGGATATTGTCCTGGCAAAGCTGAGAGAGCAAGATAGTGGAGCGGAAATGTCAGTCAAAGAACTTCGCAAGGTGGCTTTTGATCTTGCGGAAGACAAATGGTGGGATTGCCGCGAGGAAATCACCGCCCTTGAAGATGAGCAGGCAGAGGCTGGAATTGGAGAAGTAGTCAGCATGGCTAGTAGAGGAGATTCTGGTCCTCGCCGGCGATAAACTTCAGAGTATATAATTGGTTTCTATATTCAATGTATGGGAATACTTATACAGAGTACAAACATACTCTAGCAGGTACCAATTATAACCTCTTCAACCTTTTTGGCATGATGATAAACCACAATCATTGAGCAACCCCATCGAGGACTTCTTTAACAAGCTTGAAGTCTCTCTCGACCTGTACTTTCCAGTTCGAAATTGCAATCCTGCATGCCGCCTCTCCGGACCATTTAGTCCCTGACACAAAAATCTTGCCCGTAGCGTTTATTGCATCGGCCAGTTTGAGGTTGAGCCCTTCATCCTTGGCTCTCAGCAAAACAATCATGTAGGTAGTAGCCAGCAAGTCCTCTTTAGATCCAGCACCTCCAAGAACGGTATATTTGGGATGGTCATATAGCCAAGCGGTAATCAGCCTGGCAAGCCTAATTTGTCTCTCTACCATAGCCCTATAGCCATCTTTCCCATATGCAATAAGGGTAGAGTAGACAGGTAGAGCCCTGAACCGCTTTGAGTTCTCCACTCCTATATTAAGCGGAGTTGGTATATGATTCCCAGCCGAAGAACAAAGATAGGCGGCGTTGGGGTTCTTAAAGACCTCTTCTGCAACATCTCCATGCCGAGAGAATAAAAATCCACAGTCATATGGAACGTTTAGCAGTTTGTGGCCATCGCCAGTAATTGAATCCGCAAGCTCAATTCCCTCGCTTCCTTTCTTGACCATATCAAACTCCGGACCGTCCTCGAGAACGCGACCAAATACCCCAAATGCAGCATCAACGTGAAGCCATGCATTGTATTTGTCACACAGTTCTCGTACACGCTTAAACTCATCTATTCCCTTCGTTGCAAAGCGTCCTGTATTCACTTCACCGCAAGAGATCGAGACAATGGTAGCGACATCAGCCCTAGCTAGCTCCTTTTCAAGCACATCGAAGTCGAACTTCAACGGTTGTCCATCAGTTCCACCAGTTTGAGTGGCTATGGACTTCACGTTCGCTCTCCCAATTCCCAGGATTCCAGCAGCCTTTCCCACCGATGCATGTGGTAGGGTAGACAAGACCTGCAGGCCTTTCAAACCTGCCGCTTCAAGTACTGCTGCCATTCCGTATTCTCCCACGCTGTCCGTGATGCTCCCAGGCCCAATACTTCCATTGCCTCCCTTTTTCTGAACTGCCTTCCGCAAGACATATTCTCTTCCACACGCCAGACCAACCAGGTTACTGCCAGTAGCACCAGTGGTGAAAGTCCCATGAGGCCAATCTTCCTTCTTCAGCCCAAATAAATCCTTCAACAGGCATAGAGCAGCATACTCCACGTCCGTCGTAACCGAGTGGTCGACAAGATGAACGCATACATTCTGATCATAGGTAGAAACGACATTATCGGCTAACAATGCAGCGGGGGTGACCCCACCGGTCACGAAGCCGTAGTAATTCGCATTAATTGCGCTGTCGTTTAGGCCAGGGATGATATCATTGAACAGATGGTGTTTTGCCTGGTTATATCCTTGACCGGTTCGAGGGAGCTCAGTGATGATAGAAGAGCGTGAGTGAGCCAGTGACGCTGCTGTAGGGAGAACATTGCGGCTGGGAGGGTTCAAAGCTGTATCCCATAGACCCTTTGAGTGATCATCTTCTTCCTTCACGCCAACGTTATCTTTTAGATGATTCTGTTCCATATTTTATTCCCAGGGCTGGCTTAAGTATTGTGATATTCTCAGTTAAATATTCATCCGTGGATAGTTTGTACTACCGAAAGGTTGAAAACGCGGGGGATATCTCGGTTTTAAGCCAGGGGGTTTCCTGCGCCCTTCCACACCTTATATAAGGATCCGCCAGATGGTTCATCTCACGACTTAGTTACGGTTCAGTGCGATAATTATGTAAATCCCAAGCAGAACGAGGGTTGATATGTATGATGCAGATGAATACTGACTAGCATGGGAAGAATATAAATAGTAAAGGCGATGCGTCAAGGCATAATCATATATTCAAGCGATAGCGATAGTGATAGCGACAGAGGTATATACATAGAGTGCTTTTAGAAACCCCAACATCATAAACGAGCGTAATTTTCAAAACAAGCCAAACGAGTGTGTGTGAATGATCGCAAAACAAAGAGAGTTGAAAAAAGCTCAGCCCTGCCGGAGGGTTGCAGCCAAAAAAGAAAACCGTCATCATTCCGTCGTCACAGCAATATGCAAGTCTTTAGAACCGAATAAACCACTGAGACATGCAGATTTCTCAGGAATTGGGGGTTCTTCAAACTCTGAATTTCGCAGAGCGAGTGCCGCCGCAGTTCTCGGACCTCTTTGCGCTCTTCTTGGGGCATTTCGGAGACACCTGGGATTGAGCAGTCACGCCGTCCGCATACTGCACTTTCTTTCCCGGGTCCTCGAAGACGATAGGCTGTCCTTCGACAGTGGTGCAGCCATTGCCGACATTCGCAACAAACATGTCAGGAAGAGAGTTGAACTGGCTGCTGGAGCCGCTGTTGCCATCGACGGTAACTTGGGCACAGTTCATGTACATCTCACGGTTGCCAACGAGGTTGAACCAAGACCAAGCAAGCAGGGCCTTGCCGGCTGGTGCAGTGGAGGGGATGTTGAAGTTGTAGGTGTCCTTCATGGGGCAGCCACCGAGATAGGAGTTGATGACCTTGAAGGTCTTGCCGTTGTCGTAGCTGAGGGAGACCTGGCAGGATCCTCCTTCGTGGCGGGTGTTTCCAGCCAGAGTAAAGTTGTACTCTTGACCGGCCTCGTAGGTAGCAACGGACTTGAATGGGTCCTTGTGGTAGCCTTTGCAGGGGAAGTCGGCGCCTACAATAGTTTTAGCATTTGTACATTTCTCTATGGAATGTAAGCCAGGCAGAACCAACCGGAAGGGTTGAGAGGGCTGGTCATAGACCAGTCAGGGTTGGTGTTCTCTATTGATATTATCAGCATTTGTATACACTCAGCCACAGAATTTGGGGGATATGTTATAGTTACCCTTGTTGAACTTGCTTCGGAGGGCATATGGCCACTGCATTTCCATATGGGCCATGGCAGATCCAGCTGCGCAAAGGGCGTAGAGAGTGAAGGTGGCGGCACGCATATTGGCTTAAGACGGAAGATCAACTTCGGCTGTAAGGAGTGTAAAGAATTGGAAGAAAGAAGGAAAGATGAAAAGGAGAGAGGCTTGAAAAATGCACTGCAGGAATGAATTGAGAGATCGCTATACTGAACAAGAGAAAAAGACAGAACCCACCGAGGGAAGCATGGCCCTTTTATGTCTGGAGAAAAGGTACTCTGAGATTTACGCGCCTCAATCCCCATTTTCGTACAGGAGGCAATTCTGCATCTCCAATCTGACTTATCGATGGCGCTGCAATCGACAGTACATGAAGTATGAAGTCGATATGCCACCCACTTCTCCAGATGTATCAAAAACCCCATACCACCTACGTGGAGGCGACTGTGATAGGCAATCGGCTCCCTAAACCCTGTCAGCCCGGGCGGTTCGAGCAGAGGGAAAGATGTTTCTGCTTCAGATCTTTTGATCGCTTTTCACCAAAGATACACAACGGGACTAGCCGTGCTGGAACTCAAAGTGTGCTGAGAAGCCCAGAGCCTATGGATTGGCGCCGTCCATGGAGTCCCTTGCATCCGGTCAACGTTCCGAGTCAAGGATTAAAATAAGAATAGAAGCAACGACGTTTGCACTGTCAGAGTCCGAATGTTCAAGCGCCCATATCCCTGGCCTTTTGGCTTCATCAGTTGTGTGCATAAAGCCAAGCTTCACGATATAACTGGCCAAGTTAACAGAAAAGCTTCGCAGCCCTTGTTCACGAGCAAGGGGGAGCCCGCAACCTCATGAAGGGCTATCATGACCTGGTCCAGTCAGGACTTTGATATCCTGTGGCGGATCAGGACTTCAAAACTGGACATGGGTATCAAAAGGAAAAAGGTTGACAAATACGAGGCATCCGTGAGATCACATCGGAAACGTCAGAAGAGCCCAATCGGAGACAGAGACGGCGAGATGCTTTGACTTTGCGGAGTATCTGAATATGAAGGATCAGAGAATTCCTTCAGCCATCATCCAGAAACCAAAGATATTCCCATCGATTGGTCGTTTTGACGTCGAAGCTGCGACGCTCATGAAACAGATGACTAAGCAGCCCCCTTTGAGGATTATAGTTTCTCCGTGACAGTCACGGGACTCCAGCTGTTCCATTATATTATGTAATCTTAACTTTTGTTCATGCTTTAAACTTCAGCCTCATGTATATCCAACTGTCAGCTATTTAAACGCCTCTGCTATGATAGGTAGGTAGTATTATGCCTTGCTATTGTTAACTACTCTCATTGCGGCCCATCTCATCTTCTTCTACTACTCCTATCCTTTCTTCCATGACATATCAGTCACGTCATTGATGATCTTATGCCAAATATAACCAGTCTCTCCACCGCCAATTGGTGCGGACTCGCCTTTTTGGCTGAGTGGCAGATTCAGGCATCTTATCTACATGTACGCCGTGCTCCTTTTCTTCGACTTGCACTCTGCAATCGAAGATGGTTGACGGTCCTGCCTATCCAAACTTCGTATGTTTGACTATCTCGGCCTTTATCTGGCTACTGCCTCCGGGTGGTTCTTCTGAAGCTGCGGACCCGATGCCGATAAAGCGTGAAGTTAGAGGGAGGGAGACTGGGTGTCGAAGGGCGATATCTCGTGGAGCGAAGAGGTTCCTCCGCAAGATCAAGCGTGCCTGTTGATGGGTGACCTGGTCCTTTGGCTTAGGTAGTTTGGCGTTTGGGCATTCTTTTTTTTGTCGTTATCCTGCATTTTTTACCATGTATTTCTTATCATGTATTTCTAGTTAGCTACCCGGTTGAAGGCTCACACCTCTACGTGATGGCCGGGGTGAGTAGTCGGCGACCAGATGCATACCATGGGTCGTTGATGAAACCAAGATGAGCTGCCCTGTACCTATTCTTTTGTATGTCAAAATCTAATATGGCTTTATCAGTTCCGTACTTTCCGGTAGAAGCTCATGATATCAAAACATTCGACTGAATGAACGGATCATGACGTCAAACACTTGAACAATCTCACGGATCGAACGGGTCCCATCGTCGCCTAGCAGTTTATAAACTGCAGACAAGTTCACAGTGGTTACTCGCCATATTCTACCAAAGCCTGAAGGACTTTCCGACGCCATTAAAATGAACTTCCTCTACCTGGCGTCAACCATTTCTCCTGTTCTATTGCTAATTTATCTTTTACCACCGGATTGGGAAAAGTTGCAGAAGAGATGTGAGGCTCCATTCTTGCGGTGGCCTCTGTATACCCGTGTCAAACGCATTATTGGCAACCTCTTATGGCCATCTTACTACCAGCCTATCGACAAACTTTTGCCTTTGGACTGCCGGTCTCCGATATATTCTCTTAACAATGACGCGGTGTATTATATCACTTCCATGCTCCCTCCTGCGGACGCTGCTGCATTCGTTCTAAGTTGCAGGGCTATTTGGCAGGCCGCCGGCGGTCAAAATTTTCTCACCAGGCTTTCCAAGTCTGATGAAAGTTGCTTGGATTTTTTTGAGAGGATCGAAGCGGACTATCCAAAACATGTTCTCTGTTACCGTTGCAAAAAATTCCATTCCCATTGCAGGTCACCGTCAGGTCTAAAGCCGGACGCATGTGATACAGAGAGCAGTGTCCATTTCCTTGGGCCACCAAAGGACTATCGAACATGGCATTTAACATACCGACAAGCGAAAGAAGTCATGAACCATTATCGATTTGGCCCCACACATGGGAGGTGTGCGCCTAAGGCTATACATTATCACACTTTTGCGCAGGAGATTAATCAATACCAACATTATGTCAAAGGTGTCTGGAATTTCGACATGAAATTTATTGGCAACAACCTTATTTTAAGGGAAGATATATGGATCAAATACAAACTTGACGGTCATTTGAGTACGTCGGACGCAGTGAGTATGTGTGAAGGATGGAACAAGCACCTATCTTTAGGACGTGCCATGGGCACGAATGACGAGCTGCACAGCTGCTATCGATGTCCTTACAGCTCCTCTGAGAGAGAGATCCAAGTCTCTTATCTTCGATATAAACCCGGATATGGGCTACTTCGCAGCACCCTATGGGAAAATCTCGGGGCTTGCCAAAATTCAGACACTGACTTATGGAACCATGGAACCTGGTTCAATCCTTGCACTTTTAGCCCTCTCGCCATAGATCCTGCCGAGTTGAGGTACAAACATCATTTTGATACTCGATTACCGGCTCGAGACCATTCTGGCTGGAAGGTTAACTTCTGGTGATCCTTATGTTGATAATCTTTGGCTATCAATGGTCATACACAGCCCATTTCAATGTTTAATAGATGCTTATTCCAATTTTTATATGAAGTAAATAGTGATATCAATGCTTATTCTACTCTTGATAAAAGTACCAAGGTCTCCAGCAAATTTTTAAGAATATTGATAATCTCCATGCAAACTACATCTACATAGAACGTAAGCCCTAAGAATATCTTACTAAACGTCTTATATTATCCCACAACGAAACATAACTAGTGAATCAAAACAACTTCCGCTTTTCAACATGATAACATACTAAAACACCAACAGCATTAGTTATCGCTAGATGCAAAACAAAACACCCGAAGACTTTTTTGGCACAGGGACTCCCAAACTCGTTGTTCCACCCACATTTCGGAGGAAAAGCAATCTGATAACTAGACAAAACCCAGTTATGACCATTTTGGCAAAAAGGCTTCGGAAATCATCCTCCGCTGAGAAGAAATACGCTGTTGAAACATCCCTCCCTTTCCCTCCCTCTGCAAGATGGATGATATTTATCCGCCCCACCTGTCCGTCCATTCTTGGCCTGTTAAACTATGGATTTATGTAGTGCTCGCTCTGCCGAAGAACCTCATATACAAACCAAACAAATTCCGCCGGATCAGATGTATAAGTAGAAAGGATGCTCGTTTACGTGCGTGCCGAGGCGACTGGTAGGTAGGTAGGAGGCTGGTTGCTTGGACTCAATCATGGTTACCTATAGCCAGGCATCTGAGATGGGTTCCAATGTTCAGGCATAACCAGGTTTCTTCCCGCTAGAGAATGTTTGCCAATTTTGGCGGGGGGCTAATCAGCCTGTCGAGGCAAGGGGTCAAATGTATAATTAACAGGTAGATATTCGGAAATGCAAGATAACCTTGATTATTATTAACTAATCTCGGACACTATATGTGAGGAGGAGGAGGTAGGTGGGTAGGTCTATGGGTTGGAGGGTGGGGAGGTTGCTAGGGAATCGCCTGCGTCCAGGCCTGCTAGGGCACTGTTGAAGAATGTTAGTATGTTTTACGTTTTCATACGCGGTTTTATGTCAGGAGTAGAGCTTACCTAAATGCATTTTGGGATGACTCGTCTTTTTTATCTTTGCCGGCTGGCGGTGTACCGGTACGACTGCTTGCACCGCTATCTTCTCCGCCACGGACAAGGTTGCCGCCTGGGCCGAGGTTTCTGCGGCCACTTCCACTCCTCGAGCCAAGGAGGCCTGAGGGGCTGAAGGATGCAGGCTGGTTTGTGTTTCTGCCGGTCTTCAGACGACGGAGATCATCGCTGCCGACCTTGTTAGAGAAGTCTGGAGGAGGAACTTGGGCACCGTATCCGCTGAAGTTTCTAGCATCGCCGCGGCCAAGGTGCATACGGCCACCGCCTCCTCTGCTGGCTTGCTGGCGGGCTCGCTCCATTTCTTGCTCTTGCTGAGCTCGCGCAGCCTGTCTGGCGTTAGCATGGGGTCTTAACGTTAGGAATAAAAATGACCTACGGCTTCTCTGATTTCTGCAATGGTCTTAGGGCCTTTGTCGGCATCCTTTGATATCCATTTAGCTTTTCGTAAATCAATAACATCCTATATCATCATGTTAGTTATCTTGGAAAAGCCCAGTAGTGTTAAGAGAGATACGCACCATAAGCATAAAACGATGTCTGCTCTGCAGTTCCGTGGTATCCATCATCAATTTGATACGGGCAAAGTAAGCATCCATCATAGCATGGCCCTTCTCAGAACTATCCAGACTAGCACCAATAGTTCTCAGCAAGCTAGCCAAACTCTCCACCTCCGCTTCATCAGGAACACCGTCATAATCAACCAATCTCTTGACACAATCATGCATAATTCTCTCAGTCAACATGCCCAGTTTGAAAAGTTCTCCGATAAACTTGACAAGACCGAGACCACGTCGTTTGGCGGCCGCAGCCTTGTAGTATTCATCAGACATCATGGCAACTTCTTCTGTAACACCCTCTGGCTTTTCAGGCATGTTGACTTTCCAGCCCCGCTCGAATTCTTCCTGACAGCGGTTAAGTAGGTATTTGCGGAACAGGCTTCCTCCAGCGACGATAGTGCCGTTTCGATCCCGGATGTTTTCATCTTTGATTTCGGGGCTCATGCTCTCGTGCATACGCATGCAGAATTTGGCATACATAGAGGCCCAGTGGGCTTCGTCGGTAGCTTTTTCAAAAGTGAGTTGGATGACTTGGCGGAGAGTACGGCCGTCTGATTCGTCCTTGGATTGAGCAACGATATCCAGAATTTGGCCGGAGATCTTGTCGAAGTTCTCGGGAGTCATCTTGTTCAGGTTACTCTTCACCTTACCCTGTACAACATCTGGTGGGAGATGGCCGTCTGGAGCAGCAGTTTGAGTCTTACTGCCAATGCTGCGGGGTTTCCAGCCTGTGCCGGAGGCGTTGAGTGGTTTAATTTCGAGGTTGGCCGTAAGAGGCATAGTCTTGCTGAGTTCCTCTTCCTTCTTCTTTTGCTGTCTGCTTCCGGTGCGAGCGCCTCTGTGGCTGGGGTTCCTAGAACCACCGAGCTGGGAGCCGGCTGAGGAAGCAGATCTGGCGCCCATGGGGTTGAGTGGGCCGAATTGTCCGAAGGGGTTTCCGCCCTTGGACGAGCCGCGGGGGGCGTTCATGACAGGGAATCGGTCAGAGCCAGTTGGAAGAGTCTGGGTTCTGACAGGTTGGTTGAAGTGGCCCATCATAGGTCCTTGTGAAGGACCACGGCTAGCGCCTGATCTAGGCCCAGGGGTGCGTACAGGTGTGCGAGCAGAATCAGTCGAGCCATCACCAACAGTCTCGCGAACGCGAGCATCCCAATCGACAGATGGTTTTTCTTTGAAGACGTTCTGGAACTGAAGCAAGAACTCCTTATTATATTTGAACTTGCGGTCAGCCGGGGCGTTGGAGTTGAGGGCAGGGTTAGGAGAGACGACTGAGGGAGGATAGGAGACGTTGCTGGGATCTTCAAGGAAGCGAGCGGAGTGCAGAGACTTCATAGCCGCGCTGGGTTGTGGCGGTTCAACCTGCTTGTTCGTCTCGAGCTTGAGAGACGCTGGCTTCTCACGCTTGCCGGGCAATGGCTTCTGTGGTGGACCCATCGAGGTATCGGAAACCGGGGTTGCGGCACCGCTCTCGGTAGGAGTAGCAATGGCAGGACTCTCGGCTGGTGTAGCCGATTTTCCTCTCAGAGAAGCAAAGAGAGATTCACGCTCTTTTCTGTCGGCTTCATTCTCGCCAGACTCCAGTTTCCGGATACGTTCCTCCTCCGCGGCTTCGGCTTCCCGCTCAGCCTTCTTCAACGCTTCTTCTTCAGCAGCGGCACTCTCTTTGGCCTTTAGAGCTGCTTCAGCCTGCTCCTTAGCTTTCTTCTCCTGGTAAGCCTTTTCAGCAGCGGCCTCAGCGGCCTCTAGCTCGGCCAGTTCCCGCTCAATAGCATCGTAGTCGATCTCATCATCTGCTGCGGGCTTGGCAGGCTCGACAGGAGCCTTCTTCTCTTCTTCCTTTGGAGCAGTCTTCTCAGCAACTACTTCTTCGACCATCTTGTCTGGCTTATCAGTAGTTTCTGCTTTGGTTTCAGGGGCAGACGCAGCAGGCTTGGCGGGTTTCTCAGCGGTTTTCTCTTCAGTCTTGGCAGCAACAGACTTTTGTTCTCCGGCCTCCTTTTCTCGAAGGCTTTGGACAACGGCGTTCTGGAAGCTCTGCTTCTTCTCCTCACCACTTTGAGATTTTGCGTCCGAAACATCGGGTTCCCCGCGGCTGGCAGTGCGAGGTGGAGGAGTGGAAGTAGGGGTGACACCCAGTTTCGCAGGAGAGGCAGATCCACGAGCCGGGGAACTTGACGGTTTGATGACGACACCACTGCCGGGGTCACGGATGATAAGAGGGCTATTCTTCTTTGGCACGACAAATTGGGACTGATTGACGGGGCTTGCTGTGTTGGTGCGGCTGCCGGTGTGCTGATGGCCGGGACCGCCTGGGCCGGCGGGCTGTGGGACCTGACCGACACTGCTGCCAGGCCGGTCTGTAGCGGACATTTGCGAAGAAGATCTAGCGATAGGCACTCCCTGGGGCATCTGGTGTGGTTGTGCTCCGTACTGGGCTGGCATGTACTGCTGGTGGGGCATTCCGTAGGTGTTTCGGGGGGAAGAGGGAACAATAGGCATAGGCTGCATGCCGTATTGGTTTGGATAATAATAGGTAGCATTATTGTCATACGGCGGGGGGTATCCCTGAGATTTGAATTTTGTTAGAAGCTGTTCAAAATTGCCGCTTTCTGGAGAGAGGGAGATATGCGGAGTTTGCTGTTCTTGTGGGGGAGGAAATTGTAATAATTCTCCTGGCGGAGGTTGTGTAATGGGAGCTGATTGAGGAGCTGATTGGGCAGGGGGAGGGGGAGGAAGTGGTTCATATGATATGGGTTGATATGATGGATGAGTGAATTGGGGAAGTGGAGGAGGTGGTTGCGGAAGTGGAATAGGGACATTGTGATGGTATGGTGCAGGGTTGTAATTTGAGGAAGAGTGAGAAGAGTGCTTTTTGTAGGAAGATCCAGAGCGGCGTTTGCCATGAAACTTGGGGAAGAGTTGTTGCTTTACTTGTTGAGTTGCCATGGGCTGCGGATAAGCTCCATATTGCGGTGCCTGCATCTGCGGGTTGGTCAACGGGACCGAAGCCATCTGGGGAGTAGCCGGGTTCGTGTGGGACAGCGCGGGACTGGGTATGGGTTGCTGATGGGGCGGGTTAGGGTAGTTGCCGTACGGTCGTTGCTGTGCATTATTGTATCGAGGGTCCATGTTTGGGCCGCCTCGGCCAGGCGGGTGCGACCTGTAGGACTGGTTTGGCGAGTTGTACGGCATCTGAGGCTGGTGCTGGTGCTGGTGCTGGTGCTGATGCTGATGCTGGTGTTGGTGCTGGTTATGGTTATGGTTATGGTGGCCTTGAGAATAGCCACTTCTGCCGCCACGACCACCATGGAATCCACCGCGGTTGCCTCCTCCGCCGCCGCCTTGCATGCCTTGACCCATGTCGCCGTGGTTCGAGTGTGCGGACTCTTTTCGAAAGTGGTTCTGGGGGCCTCTCATATTGCGCTATTTCATTAGTTAGGGATTATATCAAAAAGTTACAAGGGAAACAGTGGAAAACAACATACGTTTGGATCGTTGTCCATGTCAGCTCTAAAGTTCAGGTTGTTGCCTGAGCCCTGGAGGGAAGACGGGGGACGGCCACCGCTGGCCAGGGGCTGTGGAATGGGCGAAGGGGAGGTGTGCGGAGAGGTTCCCTGCGAGTTAGACGGGCCAACGCCCAAGGAAGACTGTGACTGATTAGCAAGCACGGCAGGCGGTCCCATCCGAGGAGAGCTCTCTACCGCGCCGAATCGAAGGTTGTTAGGCCGTCCGGACGAGGCAGGACCTCCATTCGGGATGAACCCGCTGGTTCCGGCCGCACTGATGGTGACGGACTGTCTCCTGCTGTGGTCACTGTTGTTGATATTAGGGTTGTTGTTGCTGTTGCTGTGGACAGAGGGAGCTGTGTTTCCGTTCACGATGGTCAAGCCATCGGAAACGGGGTTCGAGGAGTTCTGCATATGGGCTTTGGCGTTTACAGGCGGTAGTGTGGGCGATATGCCATGCTGCGTATGCGAACTGGTGCTTGAAGCCGTAGGGGTCGCCGTTTCTCCGGTGGAAGTCTGGGAGGCAGACTTCTTCGTGACGGTGGCGGGAGTAGAAGCAGGCGAGTCCGAGGTGCCCTGGTCCTGGTGTGCGGAGACAGAGGTCATTAGACAGGTTCTTCCGTATTCAAGTGTGTATCCAAGCGTTTATGTTGTATATCAAGGCGTAGAAGGGTAAAAGAGAAGAGATATTCACAAGGACGGGTGTGTGTGTCGAGGTGAAATGAAGGATCTCAAGAGATTCCAGCTCCAGCTCGAGATGCTGCGGTCCGAGATTTACTGCAACAGTTAGCACTCGCATTCGCTCAGCAAGACTGAACAGGACAAGTAGACTGAGGAGAAGAAGCAGAGTGATAGTAATATTCAAGGTCGAGGGTTCAAATGTGCGACCACCGACCAAGCTGAGCAACCGAATCGCATCCACCGCAACACTCCAACAGCAACGAGATCTCCAGAGATGCAAAAACGACTTCCCGGCGCAAAATATACAAGCATGAAAAAAGGGTCGACGGCGCTCTATCGTCGTCCACCAGGGGGGTTGGAAGAGAAGAAAAATTTCGACTTACCCGCAAAAAAAAGACAAAAAACCCTTGCCTAACTAACTCAAAGGCGAGAGACGGAAAAAATACCAACGAAGAGAGGCGGAAGACAGACAGACGAAAAGACTGAATGAAACCCGCGAGCGTCCTGCTTCTATTCGAAAGAGAAGAGGAAGCGCAAAGAAGTCGAAAGTTGTCGTTTTGTGTGTCTTTTTTGGTTGTTTGAAAGGAAGAAAATAAAAAGTTGAAGTTGAAGTTGGAAACTTTTTTGGGCGGCGTTTTTGTATTGTTACGGTAAATACGATACACGATGAAGATGAAGTAGAAGAAGTAGAAGAGGAGGAGAAGAAGAGAAGTTATATAGAGGGATAGAGGATGGGATAGAGAGAAGGATGTAAAAAGGTGAAGCGTAAGACGTAAAAAGAGATGACAAGTAGGGGTGACAAGGCGTGAGTCTAGATGAGATACATGAAGTAGATAGAAGAGATATAGAGGAGATATAGAAGAGAGAAGAGATAGAGGAGAGAAGAGATAGAGGAGAGAAGAGATAGAGGAGAGAAGAGATAGAGGAGAGAAGAGATAGAGAAGAGAGAAGAGATACAGAAGAGAAGAGATACAGAAGAGGAGCATCTACAACAGACACTGCTATACTAACATCCTCCTACATACCATGTAGTACTATGGAGTAGGAAGTATCTTTAATACCACAAAGAGAAGAGCTTCTTCCCGGAGACCTGCTTCTCTATACTATATATTCCAGAACAAGGGGGTCGAGACCAGCTGGTCAAGCAGATACATAGACACAGAGATGGTGTATCAGTATTAGCTGTACATGGCACCAGACAAGGCTCACAGCGGCTTCAGCAAGCGAAGTATAGGCTGACTGCCAGAAAAGAAAAGAAGAAGAAAAAGAAAAGACAGACCGAGATGACGCCTATATGCCGGGAGAGGAAGAGAGAGGAAAAAAGGAAACCAGAGGGATAGACGGAGATAAGGGTGCAGACGGCCTATTCGAAATCACCCATCCGAGGCCGCCTCTGGTCCACGAACCGATCTCTATCAAAGGCCGAAGAGGCACCCAGATCCTCATGCTCGATGTTCTCAAACGAGTTGTCGCTCCTATTCTTGCGTAGACCGCTGGACTCATGCTCGAAGCCAGCAGGGCCACCGACATCGACACCGCCGGAGCTGAGGCTGCCAAACTCCCGATCGTACGCCGACAGCAGCACCTTGAGGCGGTCTCGCTGCGAGGCGATGTACGCTGCCTGCTCTGATCTCGGGGCAGAAGCAACATGGTGAGGCAGCAGCCTGCCACTAGCACTCAGCTCCGCGGCCTGAGCATCGGGACTCTTTGCTCCTCCTCCCAACACACCACCTATCATCGACACAAAGTCTGGTGCGCCGAAGCCTGCTCCCGCACCAGCACCAGCACCGCCAGCCGCACCCCCAACACCAGCGGGCAGACTGAAGCGAGAGAAGAGTGACTGGGCGTACGACGGAGCCGGGACGTTCGACTCGGCCTGGGCCTGTCCCTGCCCTTCCCACAGCGGCGGGAGACCCATCGCCTTCGTCCGCACCAGATCGATCAGTTTCTTCAGGTACTGCAGTCCCATCGCACTGCCTCGTGAGTGGGCCTGGCCGATAAACTCCTCGATCTCCCGCTCATGGTGGCTCAGGAAGGGCTCGACGTGTTCGAGGTACAGTCTCTTAGCGCCCTGGGTCTGCGGTAGGACGAGGTAGCAGAGTGCAAACAGCCGTATCCAGCTGTAGAACGGGAACCTGGCAGCACAACCAGCATCAGTATAACTATATATCAACCAGTAGCAAAGCAGCTGTGTAGACGTACCATGAGAGAATGAAGAGCAGCCAGGACTCGACGAGGGTGATGGCCGAGTACACGACCCAGTACATCAGCCAGGGCGCCAGGTTCGTCACATTGCCGCTCTGGAGGGCCTTGTAGGATGCGAATATGGGGAAAAGAACCGTGGCGACGGCCCTACGCCTGGTCAGCTCGTCCTCTTCAGCTTCTTCACCAACCTCATAACTCACGCCAGTAGGTCTGCTATGATTCCGAACATCGCGATATCTGTAAAGTGCCAACAAAGTACAACGTCTGCTTCAGCTCTTCAAGATACAGCCTGATTATTTATTTGATATGTGTCTCTGCCAGGCGGGGCGGCGGGCCAAGGGAGCTCAGCTGGGTGAAACAGCTATGACGGAGCTGACCCAGGTAACCAATTGACCGGTAGCTAGTTGTAACCTGTATGCAGTGAAGATCTCTAGTGAGCCTGCGTTTTATCAGCTCTAGTTAGTAGTCATCGACGTCACGAAGTGTGGATGTCTTTGTTTGCGCCGCCGGACTAACTTGCCAAAAGGGAAGCTGGTCTTGCCACCATCAAATACTGTATATAAGACCGTCTGGTTGATTTCTACGCTAGATAACTACAGTACAGGTAAATATCATCCAGAAAAATACATACGCCGGCCAGGTCCTCTGTGCATCGGGTTCTCCCCACCGCCATAAAGGAAATTCTCCACCGAGTTTTCCATCCAGGCGTAAATATGTGGCATGCCTGAAGGCTGTCTGGGCCAAAAGGACACCCGCGGCCTCTCCTCTTCTGGCCTGTCGCCCCAGTGGAGCGTGTTACGCATCTGCTCCAGCAGAGAGGTGTAACACTCTTCTTCATCGATGAAGAGGAGCTGGCTGAGCTCGACGGAGCGCAGCGTAGGAGGTAGTCCAGCCAGCAAGGCAAGCAGGTCGGACTGCACGACGGGAAAACTCGAGAGGGCAAAGTGTTTCAGTCGGGGCCATTTCTCGACGGGAAAGATGGATTGAAGGGGTATGAAGTGGTCCATCGACAAGTCATCCGTGGCATAGATCCCCCTATTGGTGCGGAAAGATATATATTCTAGATCCGAGCATTGAGACAGGCAACTGTGCAGAAGGCAATGGCGGAACGGTAACCAGACATCGTCCTTTTCCCAGCCGACGAAGAGGTTCAGGTCTAGATGGCGGAAGCCAGGCTGTCGGAGCAGCGTGTCCAGATCAAAGGACTCACGGCACGGGGTGTTGAAGATGTGATAGTTCACGCCGGTGTTGAGGCCAGTGGTGTCGATGACCAGCTCTGAGACGTGTGTTTGCCCATCTGCTCTGCAAGAGCACGAGTAACGGCCCGGATCCGCGCCATCGGTCTTTTTTTGTATCGCTGGTACTGTCATTCCATGGGACGGCATGATCCGGGATTCCAGACTCATCCAAGCCTGTCCAAATACACGGCATCGGGTAGTTGAACGTATAAGGTAGGCTTCGGATCATCGGGGTATCGTACAAAGGCGTAAACAGCTGTTTATGCGCAGACGGGATAAGCGTCACCCTCTTCAGAGCCGGGAACCGGTCGAGGCCAAACTTCAGAGCGTCAACATCGGCCCTGGAGCGGATCACTTCCTCTTGCTCCTGTGTGAGCCGTTGGTAATGTGTCCAAGAGTCCCAGGGGGGTATCAGTGCAGACACTTGCGCTCTCCTCTTGATAAGTTCCGCATCTTCTACCTCGTCGTACGTACAACAGCCAAGTTCATGGATGTTATCCACGCAGCCGCGCGTGAACCACTTGGGGCAACGCTTGACTGTACCTCCTCTATCGGTGGATCCGTCATACACAGCGCCGGTGACCGCCCCGACAAGGTAGCCGTCCTCCCTTACGACCTCCTCCAGCTTCCAGGAAATAAACTGAGTGTCGTCCCAGATGATCTCGACGACCTTCTGGCAGAGTGTTTCATGGCTAGCTATAGCTCGAAAAACATCAATATCGCGGCGATTAACGGACAGGAACACCCGCTTCAGTCGAAGATACGCAATGTTGCTCAAGGAGGAGCATGTCAAGCGCAAGTTCTTGATATCACTGTTAGGCAGATAGGATAAGATGGACAGATAAGTTTCTACGGGGAGGGTGGTGAGCCGGTTTCTGTCTGTCGTTGCTTGTGCAGACGGAGAGGATGCCATCTTGGCTAAACCTGCACTTTTGATAGAGTAGAACCAGTTCAATGTTGCAACCACAACATATAACTACTTCGTCATCAATGGTGTCTGGTGTTCATCTTTCGTACGGAGTATATATGTGTGTCTTCACCTCGCTCTGCGCCTTGTGCTCTTCACGCCCTGTCCCTATGTTCACCGACACCTTGGCCTTGGCGTCCTTGAGGACCGAATCTCGAAGGGAGGTCCGGATACTGTATATTACTATATATATAATTTACTGGATAAGAAAATATTAATACAAAGCAGTATCTTTTATTTAAGTTAGTAGATTATTTAATAGAATAATTAGTCCATTGGTAGCAGTAAATGTACATGTACCATTAAGCTATGACAGCAGTAGTGCGCCAACCCGTAAATATTTCCCATGCTAATCTTCAATCTTCTCCTAGGATATCCATCTCGATCTGAAGCTCTGTATCAGTATATGGCCTAAATTATTCTCCTTAGTAAGTGGAGTAAGGGAAGGTTGAAAGATAAAGTCCGCGGTCTCCTTTTCTAGCGGTAAAATATTCCTTAATGTGCCCCTTTCTAGTTATCTGAGAAGTAGGCCTTAAAAGACGGATCGGGAACCTTGTAAGGAACTGGCTGAGGGGGAAAGCATAAGAGCTCTTCCCTTTTGGAGGCGAACATTAAGAATCCATAGTAGAATCTGCCTCTAGTAATTGGTGAAGGAGCCCGTATTGGCATATTTGATATCATCGTCTGTATCGTACGGGGATACTTTCGCCTATAAGCATCATTATTTAGTAGAAATAAAACATTAAAAGGGTATAAAAGATATACCTAAAGGTCCGTTCTTCTCTGCTCTTGCTAAAATTTCCCGATAAGAGCTCTTCTTCAATGACCTTTTTAATCCAGAGGCACCGCTCCTCCTCACGCTCTAAATCAGTTTTGGGGACAGATGGAGCAGAAGAGTAGGGCGCGTTAGTTAAACTAGCTGGGGCTGGAGAAGCTAGTACTCTTGGTTTGGGTGGGGAATGCGGCGATGCCATTTACGCTGTCGTTAGACGCTATTTGAAGAGCAGTTGGTTAAGAGTACTCTTTAAAATGGATCTTATTATTTGTCAAAATCTGCTCTTCAACTAAAAATGCGAGCTCGCGATGGTTGGTAAGTTTTTATAATTGAAATTATTTTAATAATTAACTAACGAAAGGTGAAGTCGATGACGCCGTCATAGTGAATCCCATTCCTTAGTGACCTCACTGAGGAATCATTCAGTATACGTAGTAGATACTTGGTGCTAGGCAAAAAGAGCATATAAAAAACATACGAAAGTCGGGATTCGCTGGTGGTCACCCACCCAACTACTAACCGACCGGCAAGTGGCTTAAGTACAGCTGAGCGGACGGGAAGCTCTGTTTTCCACTTCCTATGTTCGTATGTACCAGACTTGAAGACGAGCGTGGTTTTATGGGCCGTTCCCGCCTCAGAGCAACCCACCAATCAGAACTACGTGATTCAACCTGATTCTCCAACATGTAATTGGCCATGACACCTGACGCTGACTAACCGATGATTCCCCGCTTCTTTAAGATCACCGCAAGTTTATTCCGACGTCAACTCGAGAACGTCGAATATACATACCAGAGAAACAGACCATGGACAGACACGACCATCTACCATGGAACCAACACAATGCAATCCTTCAACATCCGTACGAGACAAACCTTCTGCAGACCAGGACCAGGACCAGGGAGGCACAGGGTAAGCGGGTTCTCGCTTGACGACCGCAGACCGGCAACGCGATGCGGTATGCAGAGCGTCTTGGTTGTACAGGCGTGATAGGCGGCTGGGGTACGGCTACACTAGGCTCGCGTGCCATGATACCCTGCGTGGAAGGAAGCGAGCAGGCATGTTAAGCTAGGTTTGTCGGCCAGGCAGGGACAGGCATGGCGGGAGCGGGTGTGCGCTCCACTAGGTTATCGGTGCAAGCTTTGTCTTACATAGCACGCTTAGGTGGGTGTCAAGGTGGTGTCAAGGTGGGTGTCAAGGTGGGTGTCAAGATTGGATGTACATGTATACGTGAGAATGAGCTGCTGATGGGCGTATAGAAGAAATGTTACTCCGATCAATCGTTTATTTTATTATTAAATGGTATCTTTATGTGTCGCGTTACTGCGTTTTATTACAAGATGAAAGAATGTGAGAAATGAAATGATAGGGAAGAGATGTGAGGTGAGCAACGAGTCATCAAACCAGTTGAGGGGCGGGGCGGGGCGAAGCGAAGGGACGACGTCAGGGAGATGAACAAAGAAGAAAAAAGCGAAGAGAGATTAGAAGTGAGGAGCGTTGAGGAAGAGACCCATGAGGACACCGCCGATGGTTCCG